GCCGCCGCAACGGTGGCCGTTCAAGTCGTTCAAGCGGGCGTGTAGCCGCCTGCCTCAACACGGCCAGTGGTGCAACCAAAGCGTGCGGAATTGGCACCTGCTGAGGCGGGACGCCAAGCAATGTTCTTTTCCACAAGCCGGTAGCGCTCACGTCTCCGCCCTCCGTTGGTGAGCGACGACGAAGCGGTAAGGGGCAACCCGACACGAGAAGGAGCCGGTGATCAGTGGCTATGCCGCGGCGCGGATGGCAGGTGTCAGAGCCGCGACTAGGGCAATCATAGTGGTCTGATGAAGGGTAGGGTGGATTCGAGATGACGCGCATGGCTGCACTCAGATCGGGGGCACCGCGGCCAGAGCTTGCCGGTGTCAGGATGTCTGTGTCAATATACGCCCGGGCTCCAGTAGTGTGTGCCCCGCCATGTCAGAATGCCGTCTCATGTCTGTCACTGTCAGCATGCGCACGGCGCGGGGGGAAGGGCTGCGAGGCTCCGGGAAGCCTTTGGAGCAGTGAAGATCAGTGATCTTCGCAGGTGGCGGGCACGCGAAAGGGGAAGCCGGAAGAGGAGCGCGAAGCGAGGAGCATCCCGGTCGCGAGATCTGCGGCGCCCCGGAGCAGCAATCGGGTGGCTTGCGGTGCCCCCGCATGACTCGCGCCGAACGCGGTGACAGACATGTGCCGCCTGCTTTTTCCGCGTTGCAGCGGGCAGGTGGGATGGGACCGGCGGTTGTTTTGCAGAGCAGCTCTGGCCGGCGCAGCGTGGCCGTCGCAGGCCGGCCGCCGGGGGGGTCCGAGGGGTCGATGATGCCAGCCGCCGCGTCCTGGGTCGCCGCCCGCCCCGCCAGACGGCGTTGTGACAGCGCAGAGCACTCGCCCTGGGGAGTCCCGCTCGCGGCTATCGCTTCAAACCTGGTGTCTGGGTCGCGGCCTGCTGCAACCTTGCCGGTCGAAGGATTCTGGTCGCAGGCAGTCGACTCGTCCGCTCTGCCAGGCGGTGGGCGGCTGGCTGCACGATCGTGTAGCCTCTGTGCTGCGCCCCAGCGTCTGGGTTTCTGGAGACACCACGCCTGAGTTTTGCAAGGCGCGAAGCGGCCGGCATTGGTTGGCAATGTCTCAGAAGGGCCTATATGCAGCTGCAGCGCATCAGGTAACGATCCACGAACCGCTCGCGGAGACAGTTACTGAAGAACCCGGCGAGGCACCTGTACCACCGGCAGCCCGCGACCCTGTCCGCATACGATGCCGCTGCAGCTGGTGGAAAAACTGGCAGCATGTCCGCCGCGCCGAGCCAGTCGCCGCACCCCGACCGGCGGCCAGGAAGGAGCTGGCGATGCCGCTGCGAAGCGCACGATATTGACGCATGCGTCTGATGCAACGTGTGGTCGAAGCGGGCTAGGTGACGGGCGACGTCGCAGCCCCGGCCTGCGGCGACAGGCATTGCGGCGAAAATCGCCGGCGGAAAGCGATCTCGCAGGCGCAGCCGCTCGTCACCAGTGAGGCGACGTCGACGTCGTGCTTGGCTGAGGTGGCCGTGTCGCGGCCGCGCTGCCACGTACATGCGTAGATGTTACTGGGACGAGCAACAGCACGGGCGAGCAGGCTGCCAAGCGAGGCGCCCGCAGCCAGGGAGCGTCGCGCACAGCGGCGGGAACTGGCGTATGTGATGGCTCAGCAAGCAGGAAACCTGGAATGGCTGAGGAGCTGGTCGCTACGAGCACATCGACACAGCGGTCGGTACAGGGCACACGCACAGTACCTCGACGGAGAGCCGCGCCGCTGCGGTCACCCTTGCTGCGGGTAGTGCGGGTGATGCCGCTGGATCTCTGGCTTGTCGCAATCAGCTGAGCGCACCCATGCCGGTGGCGTCGGGGTGCAGCGGCACCCTGGCTCTGCGACGGGCAAGCCCAGCCCAGAGCGGCGGACGACGCTCGTCATGCAAGAAGTCCCATCTTCCGCGCGCCCGGTAGCGCTTCGGAGCGGGCGCGTGCAGATTTTGTCAGAGGGAGGCTGGCGGCCGTGCTGCACGTGACAGCGGTAGAGGCGGTGACGACGGGCGATGTGGGCGATGTGGGCGCTGGGCTTGTTGTGGTTCCGTACCGGCACTGCAGTGCCCGCGTCGGCAGGCTGCGCAGAGCAGAACCGGGCACAGCGCAGTCATGGGCCTTGGGTGCGGGCGGCGTGTCAGCGGTGGGAGCGGGCAGCGGGGCGCGGAGGATGGCGCGCAGCATGGATGTGCGGGAGCGAGCTTGGCCTCCGGGCCATTCGGAAGCCAAGACGCCCACTCGCCCTGCTGCAGCGCAGCCTCTTCATCGCACGGCTGCCGAAGGCCTCGATTCCCACAACCCCCCCAACGGCGCCAGAGAGGGATCCGGGGACCCCTTCTGGCGGAAGCAAGCCGGCCGCAACGACGGCCCCGGGAGCGCAGGCACGACCTGTGTGCAGTGGGCAGTGGGCAGTGGCGGCGACTGTTCGACCGGACGGCTTGTCGAAGCCACAGCCAGCGCCCCACCCCCTGCGCACATCGTCGCGGGCAACCAGAGGCCGACGTCAAGCGCCTGTCAGCGGCGAAACAGCGGCGGCGGCGGCCTGACAGTCATGCACGTGTGCGCAGAGGCAAAAAACGGCACGAGCGAGTGCGAAGGCTTCGGGGCGCGTCGGACAGGGTTGCGCGCGCCACGAGAGGACAGAGAGAGCTCAAGGCCCTCTCGTCGGCGGCGGGCGCGTCGATCGCGGCGCGCGGGGCGGGCAGGGCGTCGTGCGCGAAACAGCTCGTCGCTGTGCGACTCGGGGCAGCATCATGCCTCGAGCTCACCCACCTCTCTCCCAACGTCACCCCGCCGCGGCCGAGCAGCGCCGCGCGGCACGCCGGACTCGCGCTCCCACGGCACCATGATCCGCAGCGTCGGCGGCGGCGGCGGCGCTCAGGGGCTCAACGCTCAACGCGGGCTGCCGTCTCCGAGCGCAGGACGGCGAGGCGTGCGGTGCTGGATGCTCTGGATGCTCTGGATCCAACGTAGGTACGTGAGGTAGTTGAGCTGGGGGCGCTTTCGTACTCTGCCGCGGCTGCAGCCTCGGTACTTCCAGCGCTGGCACGCCTGGTCGAAGCATGTTCGGCGCGGTGCGACTGGGGGTTTGCAATCCCTGCGGCGGCGACGTCAAGAGCGAGCTGGAGGCCCGTTGCAGGGGCGTCGCCGCTCATGAAGGGCGTGGACGCTGCAGGGCGGATCTGATGCTGAGGCCTCGGCGGCCGGGGGGGCGCCCACGCCGCACAGCAACGGGCTTCGCGCTGGTGCTTTTTCTCGGGCAGCGACAGGGCTGAGGCCGGCTGCTCTCCCACGGGTCGCCAATGGCGGCGGGGCCCTGGGCAAAAGTCGCGGGGCAAGCACCACAGCCCCCCGGCCGAGCACGGCTAGCCCTGGCGCTCACCAGCGGGCAGCCAGGCACCGCATTGGCCTTGCACAAGCTCAGGCTGGTGGCGGCGGGCCAGCGGGCTCTGTGAGCGCTAGGGAAGGGCGGTGCGTCGCGGGCAGCAGGCCAACCTTAAGGCTAGCGCGGCGAGGCCTGTCAGATGGGCTTAGCCCTTGGCATATTTGAGCTCCCTGATCGCTGCTCGCCCGCCCGGGCCAGCAGCGTGGCTTCACGCTCGCGCGGGCCGTTGCAGTGCTCAGACTGCAAATCGAGCTCCTTCTGCCCTGGCCCGGATCCCAGCTTTGCGCCTACATAATCTCACCTCCTGGCCGCGGGCGGGTGCTTGCACCTCTCCCGCCGCGCCGGCCCCATGGCTACACGTACCGCCTGTGCGTGCACGGGAGTATAGTTATTTCCTCGTCGTATACGCCCGTGGCTGCGCCAGCTGCGAATCGTCACCTGGTTCAAAAGTCGTTGTCTCGGCCTGGCTGTCTGGCTGCCTTCGACCACTGTCGCCCTACCGCCCACCACACCTTCTCTCGCTCAGGCAGCAGCTCCAGTTTCCAGTCGCCGGTACGTTGAAGTTCCCTAGTTCGTTCTCCCTTTCCACGCCGGGCATCCTCCTGCGGGCGCACTACGCTCCGAAGCCCCCTCTGGTCAGAAGCACGCTCGCCTGTTCACGATGGTCACCATGGGGCCGGGCTGCCATGGTTGGCACAGCTGTATATGGCAGCAGCGCTTTGGGCCCGCCTTCCGTGCCCGCCCATCACACCCGCCCCACCTGCACCCACTTCTGCGTCTGCGTCCCCGACGGACCGGACCGGACCTTCTAACCATCGCCATCCTCGACCTTTTTCCCCGTGTTGAACCAAGGGCCGTCCAGACTGCTGCATCCTGCATCCTGGCCTTGGCTCTCGACCTTCCCACGGCCCCGTCACAACAGTCGTTGTTCCATCAGTCAATGCGTTGACTGCTGACGCTGCCAGCCGGCGCATATAAATAGGACGTCTCGCCGCAAGATATGGAGTTCATGACTCTCCAAGACGTGCCTCGATATCACCGCTCCACCATGATTCACCGCACCTGCAGCCCTCTGGGCCGTCATGAAAGTGAGGAGCGCATGAAGGTACGCCGCGTCATTGCCGATGACAACAGTCATCGTTCACGCCTCTCTCGTCACCTGTCAAGCGTGGCCTCTCGTGCCTCTTCTGCACATCTATCACCCCTCTCAGAGACTCTTCCCTCCACCAGCAGCGATTCGGAATGTGCCATTTGTTCCGGGCAGTACGACGAGGAGGCACGGACTGTCCGTAGAGCTTCCCCGGAGGATCTCGAAGCGGCTTACGAACGCCATCACTACCTGAGACGGCGGCGCAGGCTCCCCCCACTAGGCGAACGCCATCACCACCGGAGACGGCCCAGGCTCCCCCCACTAGAGGACCTCAACAGTCCTGCGAGGGGCCGCTTGCCGGACCGGAGCTCAACCCATCCCCATTCAGCACTCACGATCCCCCTCGAGTCACGGCACTTGCAGTTGCCAAGCCCAGACATACATGGAGAGATACTAACTTCGCCTGCGGTGCATCCACAGACTATGGAGCCGCTTCCCTCGTTCGCAGAAGTAAGAGAACCCAACTTGCCCCTGCTAGTTCTTCTGCTGATATTCTCCAGTTACTCGATTCTACGAACAACTCGCCTGATAGCCAAAGCCCCCACATCAAGTCACCCACTGCCGATTCCCGACATAGCCCTGCTGAGCGGCCTGTATTTCATGATCCGTTCAAGGCCGTAGCGCCTCCGACTTTGCCTTCGCACAACAGCTCCAGTCTCATGCGACCACACGTGTCGATGGAGGGCTCCACCGTGCCACTTGAAAAAAGGCCTCCCGGCCACCACGGGCGGTGTAAGATCATTTACTCCACCCACAGACCAATCTGGAATGCCGACTACGAGACCCGCGTTTCTTCTGAAAGCCATCCCGATGCTTTTAGGGCTATACTCAATTCACCCCCGGAGCCAGCGATGACCGGTTGCGGTCCTCGTGACTACTATGGACCGGGCACTCGTCGTGGAACGATAGCTCCCCCAGAGGCTCAATGGTATGAGCCTACAACTCTCCCGGAGGCTAGCCGCTGGAACGAACCGACGTATGGCCATACTGGGTACCGCGACGAGCATCGTGAGATCCGCCGTTCCTTCGCGTATGATCGTTTTCGGCCTCCAGTGCGCCATGACAGCAGCTTTGTTGCGACGCCTGAGCATTACTGGCCGCCGACGATGTACGGACATCCGTCAAGTTATGGGTATGGTATGGACCATCAAAACGGAGCGGATACTTATACTTCCAGTCGCAAACGACGCGGCAATCTTCCAAAGGAGGCAACGGCTTTGCTCAAGAACTGGTTCCAGCAACATGCGGATTCTCCGTATCCCAGCGACGAAGAGAAGAATCATCTGGCCACTGCTACTGGTTTAACATCGGCTCAAATCTCCAATTGGTTCATCAACGCAAGGCGCCGAAATCCCGGCAAGGAAGCCAGAGAACTGGCAAGGCAAATGAACAACAACAGATCCCAAGGTCAGCAACAAGCTCAAGCGACAAGTGGCACCAAGGAGCAGGACCTCCGTGTGCAATCGTCGGCAGCATCGCCGCAGCAGCAATCCCATCGTCCGGCTCCGAAGCCATACCCTCACGACCTTCGCGACCAAAACCGTGATAGGGATTACGACATGGGCAACACTTGAAATGGTCATCGGCAGGATCCATAATCCATCTTGACCATTTCATATGTGCCACTTTCTCTTCTGGTTCTGCTTATCCCTCGCTTCTTGGTGGATGGGACTGAACCGTTGTCTACATTCTTATCTTCTTACCGTGAGAGCCAGACTTTTTCATTACAGCGACGGCCCTCGTTTCCTTTGGGATAGCGTGCTGTGGAAACCGTCCCTCGTTCGATACCCTTCCACTTAGAATGGAAAGCCTGACACGAAAAAAAAAACTTGGAAAAAGCGTTGCATTGGCCTGGCCATGGATCCAATTCTAATCGGATGGCCGCAATAAGTTTCTTTATTCTTTTTTACTTTGTTTTCTGCTGGTGCTCTTGTATTGCATACCGCATTTCGAATCAATCATGGGGTGGCGTTTTGTAGACACGGATCAGCCTGTGTCGAGAACACAATTGGAGTATCGTTAAAGAAGGGCAATCATTGCTGGTGTAGGAGGTCGAAAACAAGAACGACTCTGAGTGTAGGATTGGCACAAGTCTTGTATGTGCCTTTAGCAATGGAGATTCGCCAGTAACCCACTACAATTCATTTTTTCTCGCTATCTCTGATTTTTCCTGCGGCGTTTTTCAGCAGATATCTTTTACGATGAGGCTTTTTAACAGTGGTCGCGAGCAGGCAGGACTGCATTGGCTTCCCCGAGACTAACGCAATAGGAGCATACGTGACGCGCTAGGATGGAGGTCCGTCGTCCGTGCCCAGGTAGTCCTAACAGGCCCCAGTGCCATTTTGTTCCTACCCTTATCTCGATCCTATACACAACCTCAGTGTGCGATGGCCCCTCGCACACGGATAGGTCGGCATGGGCAATAATCTCGCGACCCTGGCAGAAGAAAAAGGCTTGATCAGCCGACATCAAAGACCCCGCCAACTAAATCAAAAAGGCGACCAAGGACGCACGCACGCACTCCCAACAGCGAAAAACCAGCGCAAGTATGGAAACATGCACGCTTCGACCTACCGGAAACGAAAAAAAAGGGGTGTGGGAAGGGATGGTGAAAAAAAAAAGAAACGCAAAGAAGGGAAAGAACGAAACAGCCATGTTCCCTGTCGGTTTAACGCACACACCACCACCCGCGCCAGCGTTGTAACGTTATGTCACACACACACACGTCAGGCGTCGAATGGTGCGGCAACGAAGGGGCGTATTTTGCATGTGCGGTGCAAACTGCGGTCCTTTTTTTATTTTTCGGGTGTGGGTGTGTATGTGCATGTGCGCAGCGGGGCCGGCGAACTGACCCATCCCTATCTAAGAAGGCAATGGAAGTCGTCAGGCTGCATGTGGTCGTCGAAGGGAGGGGAAGAAGGAGGGGGGGGGGGAGGGACACAAAAAAAGTAAACAGTTCCAAGCCGCTCAGCCGCTCTCGCAGCTTTCGCTAGGTATACCTACTAAGCCCTTATAGGGCTGACGGCGGTCGATGATCGACGCGGCCGAAAAGAGGAAAAAAAATTAATTTTTGGCTTCTCGTTGGTTGCTGGCTGCTGGGCCTGTGATGGATCCGCATTCGCTTTCGGCCGCGGCCGCGGCGGCGAGAATGGAAAAAAAAGAGGCGTTGGAGCGTGGCGCCGTTCGGACCCTTGCGGACGAGCGGGTCTCTCTTTGTCTATTGAACGGGGGCCCCGGGGCGCAACGCGTGCGCATACACGTTAAATACCGCGCACGGAAGGCAGACGCGGCGGCGGGGATCGTCAAAGACCACCCGCTGGCCTGGGCGACGCAGCGGCGGGCGGGTGCTGAGCATCCTCGCGTCTTCTTATTTCGCCGCGGAGTTGCGGGCGAGGGCCGACGGCGGCGGCGGCTGGAAGTCTTCCAGGCCTTTTCTGCCTCGTTTCCATGCGTCTGGCGGGAAAAGAAACCAGGCGAGCTTCTTCTTTTTTTTTTTTGTTTTTTTGCGCGACGCGAGCCGGGGAGGGGAGGGGAAGGCATGGGATGGTCTTGTACTGTACATGCGGCGACGGATGTACGACCGGGGGGCGTGGCCAAGGCAAGAACCGCGTCGTACCCCCTGCCTTTCTATTCGCTAAGGATTGCTGCAGGGCAGCCGCCGAACGGACGAACGAGCGAGCGAACGAACCCACCCATGGCCGCCGCCTTGCCGCCGGCATCAGTTGACAGCGGCACAGTTCCGCTGCCTGGGGCTCGAGATTAGGCCGAATCGAAAGCAGCTAACTCCTGCGGCGCTCCTTTTCCCTCAGGCAGGCTGATCGGGCGAATGGGGGAAAAGATGCAGCGCCATGGCACGCTCTCTGTCCAGCCATCTGTGTCGCGGGAATCCTTCCATCTCATCCCACAGGCGGTGCTCGGGGGGCAGGGGGAAAGGCCCGGTGCGGCGAACGACTTGGACGGGCTGGCCGAGTATGCCGAGCGAGCGGGCTTTTTCCCCATAGTATAAACTCGCGAAAGACGGGAATCCTGAAGGATTTGCGGCCGCCGTAGCCCTGGCGTGGCGGCTGTCAAAGCGGCGCGGCGGCGGCGGGCGGGGGGAGAGCAGGGCAGAGCAGGGCAGAGCAGGGCACGGCAGGGCACGGCTCGGCCGGGCAGGGCAGCGTAGTGCAGTGGGTTTTTTCTGTGCATGGGAATCATGGCTTGACCGCCTCTTGCTGAGCTGAATGGCATCGCATCGCCAGAGAATCGAGTGAGTAGCGCCGGCAGCTAGCCAGTTGCACATGATTTGCCTTGACGCCGGCCGACAGGGCTGCGGCCGTCACGGAACAAAGCGTGCATGCGTCCAGCATGCATGCATGCATGTACGGATACGTCAAGATCAATTGTTCCTGCTCTGCATCATGGATTTCCTTTTTGGCCCCCGCGGCGAAGCGAGCGTCGCTGATATTAAAAGGCGAGCGAGCGGATCGTCCTTGGGCAGGTGTGTGCTGATGATCGAACTGCCCCAGCCCCCCGCCCGCCCGCCGCCTGCCCGCCGCCTGCCCGCCTGCTGCTGCTGCATCGTCACGTCCATTCGGGAAATCCGAGCCCGCTCCTTGCCCCTCGCGCCCGGGCCTCGCCTTGTCCGCACTATTGGTCATGATGGACGCAAACTCCACAACGAGCAACGCCTCTCTCGTACCACCCAATTTTAGACTTCTTATTTTTAATTTTCCCACCGACCGACGAGACGAAGAAGCACCGATGCGCGTGCCCGGGGGCTCTCCACGCCCAGCCGAGCGAGCGAGCCGCCGACGGCAGCGGCCCGCGCTGCACAGCTCAGCTCGACGGCCTCTGGCACAACCTGCGATCGACGATGAGACTCTGGCGGTGGGGATCTACGCAAATACGGTGCGGCGGAGGGCAGGCAAGACAAGGTGACAGAGCATCTCGAATAGGAAAGAATGGTGGGAACGGGCATCAACGGGGCTCGCATGGTGCCGACGATTATCATGCAGCAGGGGTCGTGGTCTGGAATGAGGATGCCAAATCATTTCGACTCACCCAGGCCTTGCCTATCCACGATAACGTACGTGACCGCCGCCTCGCTCTTCTCATCAGCCCCGGTACGGGCAAGACTCGGACGCAATTTGGCGCTTTCCTGCAGCGCACATCCGACACACCGCTGGAGCACGAGCGAGCAAACCCGCGCGCGCGCGCCCACGCCTACCGACGTTCGCGCGCCGCAGCCCTAGGTACTGCGGCCGGCCCATCATCATCACCACCGCCACCAGCAACACCAGCTTTGAGACCGCCCACCGACACCACCTCCGACCCCCATCGCGCCCTTTCAGGCATTGGCCGCGGCTGTCAAAGGTTATCGACGAGATGAAGGGAGAGACACCCGCAATTCGCCTCGGCTTACGCTTCGAACGAACCCGACGCTCGCGAAGAACCAGGCAGGGTCATAGCCATCCCTTCTGCACAAAGCACACTAAGGCTAAGCGCGAATGACTTCTCTGACAGCAAGCCAGGCCGTCGCCGCTACGCCAGACGCGTTGCAGATGACGACGCACAGACGGGGGCCAGTGCCGGGGCAGTGAATGATCGCCACTCGACTGACGACTATGTTTGCCGTTAAACTCCCCTGGGAGCTGTCTGTGGGGGCCACAACGACGAGTTGAAACATTCGAGATCGTCAGCAGTCGCCGCCGCCGCCGCCGCCGCCGTCGTCGTCGTCGTCGTCGGCGGCGGCGGCCGCCGAGAGAGACCCCATTTGGGGCTTGGAATCGGCCGACAAAGTAACGCTTTGGCACGCGCACCTGTGACCACTTTAACGTCCGTACGCAGTACAACTCCACTGCCAATGACGACCCAGGCGATGATGCGCCACGGGCGGACGATCTTTACGTTTCGCTTGTCCTCTCAGGGAGACGACGATGCGGGACCCTGCTTCTCGAACTTCCCGCCGCCTGCGCATTGCAGATCATGGACCGCGTCTAGAACCTTGAGGTGGCAGTGGGAGCTAGAGCTGGGCCTGGTGGACGCCTTGCGGAGCACAAGAGAGATTAGGCAAGCAGGCACATGCTCCAAGTAGATGCGGCTACGTGTATGGACTCACTTAGCCGCCTCTCCCTCGCGGACCACGGCGAGCTGCCTCAGGGGAGTCGATCATCGTGAACACGATCGGTGGCAAAAGATTTCTGACCCCAACCGCCTATGATGTACCAGGTATGCTTGATCCATATGCGGTCCATCAACGGGACTAAGAACTACATTTCTCTGCTTCTCAACCAGGAGGGAGGTGTCTCGATGACAGAACGGTTCGACTGTAGGTGCTTCCGCCTAGAGAGTTCTGACCACGCCAAGCCGTTTATCCTCATACAACCCTGTGTCCCTTCGAGAAGCCAACCCGTTCAGAGGTGCGTTGGGAAATAACGGCTCAAACCAACTAATTTCCGGCGGGTGTTCACTAGCTTCCCCAGAAAATCCTTCCGTTCGACGCATGTGCTTGACTGCGAAAACGCCGAAGGTCAGCTAGACGGCTACGGCCGTAGCTTTGAGCTAACGGGGAGTGGGCAGACGGGCAAAGGTTGGTGGTCCCCACATTGACGATCATCCAGTGCGAGAGAGCGTTGTTGCCTTGACCGGTGGAACCAAATGCAATAGTCTCGGTGCTTTGCACGGCGGCTTTCTTTCCAATGGGTTTCTGGCTGGCGGCAATGGTGATTACCATCACCACAATATCGCGTATACGCACCAAACTTGGCTTGCGTTGTTTTGGTACTATTGCCTGCTGGCAACCACAAGGGAACGTAGGTGTAGGTTTGACGGCTGACTGGCTGACGGACTGTGGTGCCGCTATAGTTTTTTTTGCATCCACAGCTTCACATCATCGCTGCACAATATCGCTTCGGTCAGACTGGTTCCCGGCTTTGGAACTATGCCGGCCCATCTCTCCAAATTATCTGCAATACTCGACGAGGTCATCCTTTTCGATTGTTACTTTGGGGGTTGGCTACCGAACGAGCATCCATGGCCGCACCCAACCGTGGTTGCGGGTGCAGAGCCGCAACAACGTCCCGCGTAGCACAGCCACAACGACTCAAAACAGTGGTAGAGCATTTTGTGCAAAACATGGCTGCGCGCAAACGGGATTGCGCGAGGGCAGTCTAAACGCAAGTGAAGACGCAGTTAGGGAGCGCACATTCCCGAGGTCGACCCTGCCTCCGGCTTTTGCCCTGCATGAATATGAGACCGGGTTCATGAAAATGTAGAGTCCCAACTCGATATGCACGCATCTCTTGCCATAGGTGTTCTCAAAGGACAAGCGCCGACATCTTCCTATCTTCTAGCGCTGCCCGCGGATGAGTCAGGCGGCAGCTGAGAGATCCGAATGACTATCACAACAAACACTTCTCAAAAACCTGACGAGTTCAATGATAGAGCATTTTCTTGTGGATTCATCGAATTCTCAAGCTACTAAAAATTAACATTACCCTAATGCCACCCCCAAAAAATGGAGGTACTTCGCAGTTCCTAACGAGAAGAAGCAATAATCCTATAAGCCGCAACCTCCGCGTCTATGCTTCAACACCGAGTGACCACTTGATGAAACCAAAAGAGAATTGGCCGCCCACAAATGTCCTCCAAAGCAATGATGACCCAAACGTCTTTTCCCAACCCGCCAGAACAGGCAGACAGACAGCGATCTACCCAACGATCCCCTCCCAAAAAAAAAACAAGAAAAAAAAAGCCAAAAACCTCACCACAACAACTCAAACTCTCCCAACCACCAACCACCAATGATCATCATGATCATCATCACCGTAGACCATTCACTCAGTGCTCACCGCACACCCCCCACACCCCCCTCAACACGCCCCTCAGCCCCGCCATCTCCCGCCTCGCCACCCACCCCTGCCACTCCACACACGCCCACACCAGCTCCCGCTTCTTCTGCCGCAGCCCCCCGTGCTCGGCGTCGGGCCCCATCCCGATGGCCACCGCGTCGTCGTACTCGGCGAAGGCGGCCGACACGGCGCGGCGGTGGTGGGCGGCCATGCGGGCTTCGAGGGGTGGGCGGGGCGATGGCGACGGTTGGGCCGATGGTTGGGGCGGGGGCGGAGCGGTTGTTGTTCTCGTGACGGTGTTGATGAGCGTCTCGTTGCGGCGGAGGGCGTGATCGAAGCGTTGGAGGTTGGTGAGGGCGAGGGTGAGGGTGCGGGTGGGGGAGGGGGAGCGAGGAGGCGGGTGGGTTGGGGGCGAGGTGGTGAGGCAGTTGAGCGTGGGCGACCACCATGTTGTGTTGTTGCTGGCGGAGTCTGTGCTGCGGGTGGTGGGCGGCGGCGGCGGCGGCGGCTGTTGCTGCTCCTCGACGTACCTGATGGCGAGGATCGCGGCGCGGAGGTCCCTTTTGGCGTTGAGGCAGGCGATGTGGTCGCGGGCTAGGGCGGCGCGGAGGTCGGCGGTGGTGGCGAATTCGTGGATGGTGCCGGAGCCGTTGGGGTGGTGTTGCGGGGCGGAGCAGGTGGAGGATGGGCCCGTTCCTGCCGTCGCTGTCGTTTCTTGTTGTTGGCGAGGAACTGGAAGGCGCTGCTCTTTCAGGAGACGGGCGAGGTTCGCCCGGTACGTGTTGACGCAGTGGCAGGGCGTCAGCGCGGCACGGGCGTCCTGCAGGGCGTTTTGGAGGGCTGTGCCCACTTGCTGGCAGGTGAGTAGGATGTCGAAGAAGGCACGCAGGCGCAGAAGGCGCTCGATCTTGTCCAGCTCATGTGCCGACGGGAGGGTGTAGTCATCTACAAGCGCTGGGATGCTTGGAGGACCGGTGGCAGCCTGTGATGTTTGTGTCAAAACCTCGGACATGGAGCTAGCTGGGGGACTTTGTGTTGAGAGCGCACCAAGGATTCGCCTTTCAGCCTCGCTCTCATGTCGTTGTATTGGGCGTCGAGCTTGACTATGATCTTGTTCACCTGCTTGAGCTTTCCCATGAGGTGCGATGAATATCGTTCGTAGCCCATAATCATTTGGGTGATAATCTGTTCTTGCTGCTCTTCTTGCGCGTGCGATTGGTTTCCTGGTGTTGCGGCTGCCGGTGCGGCTTGGGAAGGTTCGGTCTCGCCGTCTGCAACCGCGTCTGGCCCGCCGTCTGCAACCGCGTCTGGCCCGCCGTCTGCATCCGCGTCTGTCATTACGGCATCGGGGATAGACGACATGTTCGATAGCGGTTGCTCGGCTGGGTCGGGGGCACTCATGATGGCTGATAGCAATGTGGTGGGGCGCGAGTGCGAAGCCCGTGACTCGGGTGCGCGGAGCGATGATGATGTGTGGTGTTAGAAGATGAGGGAGCCGCAGCCATAATAATGGTGCGCGCCGGGCACACAGCTGCAGAAGACGCGGTGAGGTTTCTGGTCTTCACTCTTTTCGGCGCCTACCCTGCAACCAAGGGTACGGCCAGACCCTGCCACCTCCACATCAGGGCGCGCACCGTGTGGTCTCTTTTTTGGAGCTCCTAACACTCGATCTGGTTCGGTGGTGTGGCAAGTCCCTAACCACGGCTTCGCCTCGTCTTCGTCATGCTATTCCACGGGCTTAGTGGGTTTCCGCTCTCCACTCGGGCTTGCCGCAACGATTTCTCTTGATGGATGGCTCGGTTCCATTAGCCACGTATACCTGTGGAGGACCCTCGGACATTTCCATGGCGCTGTGGACAGATCAGCGCAGAACCTTCCCGTGAGCTTCGGAACACGTTGCGCTAATAAGTCAATAATCCTCGACAATAGGCAGATGGAGTCTGGTCATCGGATAGCCGCTCGCTATTACGTTCCACGAGCGCGTCTGGAGCATTAGTGCAGTTGCAGAGCCTGTGTTGACGCTAATCCAACGCCCTACCGAAACACTTCGCCATTACTCAGCCTGGCGAACACTCTGTCTGCCAACTCGCTACACCGAGGACCGACAGTCTACAGACATCTTGCAAAACGCCTTCACTCGATTATTACCGGATGCGGAGTAGAGCGAGCAAGGACGGAAACTGGATCGGCATGTTGTTTGCTTCTGATTGGTGGGAATTTATCTTATCGCACGTCAAGCATAAGCCGTCTACTACTTGCCTCCTACACAGCTGTACAAGCTCATTTGACCTGAAGGAAACTCTTGTCTCATCTCGTTTGCGACCGTGAACAGACCGAGCCACGGGCTGGTGGGCTGTTCGGCTGCAGGCCAGGCGCCACCAAGAGCAATCTGCGACTTGTCTGAGAGTGTTTACAAGCCCATCTCATGCAGCTTCTTGTCAAGATAGCTCGTTGCTTTTCCGTCATCTGGCCGCTCTTGCACAAGGGCTAGCATACATACAGGGGAAAGACGAACAATGCGCTTATAGATCAATTGCGCGACAAGTGAAGCGCATCAATGTTGGTAGAAAGCCACAAATCATTTGTCGTCTGAGCCACAACAGCGTACTTGCTCAGAGCTGTCAGTCAGATTCAGGTTGAGACGATGAGCTGGAGCTGTTTGAGCGACCATTTGCTTGCGAATGGCACGGGTTTGTGACAGGTCAGTGATTTGCTCATTACTTCGGCCAAATACTTGGCATGAGCGTCTGCCTAGCTGGATTCAAGCCTGCTGTACCTATTATACGTGTTTCAGGTCCTTGGGGCATCCAATCAGAGTGGTAGACTGGTGGGCACGGACCATGAGGGTGATGGTTCTGTCTATATACAATCACCTTCACCTTGGCTTTCGAAACACCGGGCACAATAGGAGGGGTTGGGAGTCACTCGAACAATGGCGAGTGGCACTTACAAGAACTCTTCGATTTTGACCCACCTCCCAACTTCTTCCTCTTCTTGGACCACCCTCAACCTTCCACCGACGCTGTCAGATCTCCTTCGGCCTTTCACAACTTCACAGCATCATAACAAAACCACCGCCTCCACCCACAACCACACAAATCCAACCGAAGCCATGTCTTCCAACCCCAGCTCCAGCATCTCCTCTTCTCTCCCCGCCGACGAGCGCATGCAGGACATGCAGCTCCACAACACCACCACCACCACCCGCCACCATTCTCCCGCGACCGAGTCCATCCACGGCTCGCGGTTCCTGGCCCCCAGCGCCAGCTTCGACGGCTCCCCTCGCCGCGCCATGAGCGACCGCATGGCGCTCCCGCCCGCCGCCCCCATCACCGGCGGCTACGACTACGCCGAGATCCCCTCCGGCCTCCCCATCTACCCCGCCGCCGCCGCCCCGGCCCACCCCATGAACGGGCCCACCTCTCCGGGCTACAACCCGTTCTCCAGCTCGCCCGCCTCCTCCGCCGCCGCGCCCGCGCCCATCCCGGCGCCGTTCCAGCAGCAGCAGCAGCAGCAACAGCAACACTTCCCGGGGCCCTCCACCCCTCCGCGCCAGACCTCTCCTCCCTCCTCCGCCTTCTCCCCCGCCGCCGCCGAGAGCGACGACGACGACGACAACAACAACAACGACAACGACGACGACGACAACCCCCTCCTCACCCACCTCCTCACCACCCTCTCGGGCAGCGTCCGCGCCGCCGTCCCCCTCCTCCTCCGGCCCCCCGGCGCCTACACCGGGGGTGATTTCCCCGAGCGCGCGCGGGCGCGCCTCACCGCGGCGCTGGCGCCGCTGCTCGACGCCCACGCCCGGCGCCTGCGCGACGACGCGGCGTCGGCCGACGCGACGGCCGCGTGGCTGCAGGGCGAGCTGGACTCGCTGCAGGGCGTGTGGGTCGAGCAGGACGCCGAGATCGCGTCGCTCCGGGCGGCGGTGGAGAGGGCGCGGGACGCGGAGCAGGCGCGGTACGAGGAGGTGTTGGGGATGGTGCGGGAGAGGGGGGTGAGGGACGGGGAGAGGGAGGGGGAGGTGGAGAGGTTGAGGCGGGAGGTGGAGAGGTTGAGGCGGGAGAATGAGGTGTTGAGGGGGGAGAATGAGGGGCTGAGGGAGAGGGAGTGGGAGACGGAGGAGGAGGGAGAGGAGGAGCAGCAGGAGGAGGGTCCTGCTGGTGAGCAGGAGCAGCAGCAGCCGCAGCAGCAGGAGGAGGAGCAGGAGGAGGAGGAGGAAGAGGAGCAGATTCCTCTTCAGCAAGAGGAGAACGAGGGCGCCGACGCCGACGCCGACGACGAAGACGACGAGGACGAGGACGAGCTGCGCAACATGCGCAGATCCAAGCGCAGGATGCTGGCCTCTGGCGCCAGCCAAGCCGTTGCCTCTGCTGCCGCCGTCGCCCCTGCTGCCGCTGCCCCTGCCGTCGCCACCACCGCCGCCGTCAACTTCCCGCGCCAGGTGCGCACCGCCTTCGCGGCGGTCCAGCACCAGCTGGGCCAGGCGGCTGGCCCGTTCCGCCTCGAGAGCGCCAACACCCTCCGCGAGTTCGACGCGAAGCTCTGCGAGACCGTCGAAGAGAACGACACCGACGCGGACGAGGCCGACGAGCTCGCCGCCGCTGGCTCCCGTCCCCCCTCCCCAGTCGTCGCTGGCCCTTCTTCCGCCGCGGCCGGTCCTTCCACCACCGCTGGTCCTTCTCTCACCACCGCCGGTCCTTCTCACACCACCGCCGCCGCCGCCACAGGCCCATCCACCGCCGCCGGCCCATCTTCCACCACCGCCGCGTCCGCATCCGCAACCACCACCGACCAACACCTCCAAACCGCGCGCTCCTTCCTCCTCGCGCGCATGCAACTCCGCACCACGCCTACCCCCACCTACGTCGACCTCCTCCCGTCCACCACCCCCGCCGTCGCCGCCATCGACGCCTCCCTCGCCGCGCTGCTCCACGACCGCGACCGCGCCGACAAGGGCACGCGCTGGGCCGACGCGGGCGCCTTCTTCCCGGACTACTGCTTCCGCGGCGCGGTGGTGGCGCGGCGGCGCCCGCGCTTCGACGCCGGGCCCGGGCGCGCGTGCACCGAGTGCATGGGCTGCGGGAAGCCGTGCATGGTGCGCGGAGATCACGCGGGAGAGTTGGTCGTCTTGCCGAGGAGGGATCCGGGAGAGGGCGATTGGAGGGAGGCGAGTATGTGGGTGGGTGAGGGGTCGGCGTCGTCGTCTGCGCAGCAGAATAGGGGAGGTGGAGCGGGAGGACAGAAGAGGAAGAGGAGGAGGAGGTACTGAGGGATTGAGCCGCCACCGCCACCGCCGACGAAGCACTATTTCGGAGTTGTTCAGCATGTGCGTTGCAGGACCAGGAGAGCATATCGGATTGGAGGGGGGTTTTCCAGGACTTGAAAGAGGATTGAGAGAGGATTGATCAGTCGGCAGCGAGTGGGATTTGTTTGGCTATAAAGAGCGTCCCGGATTTTCGGGCGCCGGCAGTAGGCTGCCTTGACGAGTTGGTGAATATTTCTGGGTAGGAAAGGCGGAAAAGCGTTGCATTTTTCTATTATTGTTTTTGGTCATCCAGGTTTCTGCCGTATGGCATATGGCGCTCAGAGTTTTGCTGTCGACCCTTCAGTCTTCTTGCAGCAATCCCACAGCGCAGAGTTACTGCTATGATTGGGCGACGGAGGCTTTGTTCAGGGAGTCGAAGTCTCGCCCTTGAGTACGAGAGAGGTTGCTGTACATTGTGCAGCGGGTTTTGGAAAACACCAACGAAACCATTTTTCAGAGGCAAGGATATAGTATCTCAAGCCGTTACAAATTCTCCATAGATCGGTCTGTTCCTTAGATCTAGAGACCGTTGCTCGATTCTACCAATCCAGATGTAGACCAGCAGACATGACAGCGACTACCTTCAAGTGAGTCTTCTTGACCGTCGACAGTGTTTTCCAAGTATATTTTCCTTGTCTCTGCGGATACATTCAAATACTCGACATGCCTGCCATACCAACTATCCGATCAGCTCACCCAACCCATAGATACACGTGCGTTGCAATTGAAGTCAATCAGTGTCGCGGGCTGCTTCCTTTGCCACGTCTATGCCGCAAATCCATCAGTTCGCGTAATAGCGTACCCTTGATTCTCCACCTCCACGGCGCTAACACCGCAGACCTATCATTCCTCATTCCCGTATGAGCCGTTTCAATGGGCTCGCATACAATAAAAGGGGTACCCAACAAGGGTGTTGTTCATGATAACACGTTGCTGAAGAAGACCCTGTTGGGTTGATGATGACGATTATCATCCACAACGTGTACGTGATGGTGTTGACCAACACTATCCACGGTAGATTATCATCCACAACGTGTACGTATTGGTGTTGACCAACACTATCCACGGTAGATTATCATCCACAACATGTACGTGATGGTGTGGACCAACACTATCCACGGTAGATTATCATCCACAACATGTACGTGATGGTGTGGACCAACACTATCCACGGTACCAACAGCAGATTCTTCGCTCAAACCCGAGCTTGAATCCACGGTTGTGCCTCGTGGAATCCTCAACACGGACGAACCCACCCTCATTCGCCCCGATACGGAAGGCACAACAGCAATTTCGTGGCGGACTTTGAACGATGCGACCACTGATTACTTTCCCCCGTCTGTAGGTGCAGGGTGTGGCGTATGTATGCACGTCCATGCATATGAACCTCAAGTTCAGCAACGGTACCTTCGCCAGCCGACGATCCGCAGCAAGGACATGTCTCTGTCTTCATCTCCTCTTCTTTTTCTTCTGCACGGCCACTTGCTCGCGTCGATCCTGTTTCCCATTGCGGCAAGCGCGTAGAAAAAGTGGCGTCGCGAAAGGGCCGAAAAGCGGCGACTACTTGCCTATCGTCTTGCACACAGTAGTACAGCAAGACTCCCGACATCCGTAGTCGGCATAAGCAGCAGCAGTATCAGCGAGAGAGATAAAAAAAAACAATGCACCGATAGGTGTTGAACAAGTCTTCGATTGTATGATATGTATTTACATGCAGAAAGATGTTTGCCTCTAAAGCCTATGTGCGGTACCTATATACGTAAAGTGTCATGAGCTGTTCCCAAACGAGCGAGCGTCCTTTGCGGTCTTCTAATTTCCCTTGTGCTCCAAACGATGGTGTGCGTCTATATACCTACCTGTATCCCAAGCTCCCTTGTCCCAACAGATGATACCAAACAGAACCAACCACACAGAAACAAGCCTACTAAGTCGGCATGCCGGCCTTCAAGTTGTCGTACTTTGAGTCCGGGTACGCGAGGTTGTTCTCGGTGGTATCGGCCAGACTGCCGTTGGCGGACATGCTCTCGTAAACCTGCGTGCGTGATGAGCAACAAGTCAGAAAGGTCGATTCCAAACTTGCCATCGAAGCTGGCTGGTGACGGGGGAAAGACTGTGAACAAAGACTTACGTTGCCAATGATGCTTCCGTCCGTGGTGTTGCGATCGCCAGACGCTTCCCACCACATGGCGCCGCCCATGGACTTGCCCTGCAGGTAGGTGACCTTCTTCAACGCCATGTCGACCGTGTCGTACGACACCATCTCGCGGGTGGAGTTGTCATAGCTGTACGTCGCACCGGCCTCGCTGTCGTAGTACTCCGTCGCACCGGCACGCGGGAGGACCTGTCCCGCAACGAAAAAAAGTCCAAGGTTAGCCTTGAGCCACGAGAAAAGCTTCTGGAGAGGGCGTAGACGGGAAATCCGGGTTTCACGAACCTTGTAGTCCCAGATCCCATTCTCCCAACTTCCCGATCCGACGCCGTTGTAGGCCGTCCCGGGCCCGTCCGTGCTCTCGAACGCACGACCGTACAGCGGCATGCCGAGCACCAACTTCGCGCTCGGGATGCCGTTGGAGGTGTAGTAAGTGACGGCCTGGTCGGTGTTGAAGGGCGTGGCGACGGGGTTCGAGGTGCTGTTGTAGAGGTTCGCCTGATGGCCGGCCGTGGTGTCCCAGCTGCCGGCATAGTCGTACGCCATGAGGTTCACAAAGTCCAGGTAAGGCTCCATCTCGGCGAGGCGCAGCTTCTGGTAGTTGGTCGGGCCGGCGGGGGCCGCGATGGACAGCAAGAAGTCCGGGCGGGTGTAGTTCGCGGCGGCGAGGCTGTCGGCGTAGGTGTCGAGCGCCTCGCGGGTGGCCTGCAGCAGCGAGACCCAGTTCTGGGCCTCGGTGTCGTCGGCGGGGTACTCCCAGTCGATGTCGAGACCGTCGAAGCCCAGGTCTTTGACCAGCTGCACGGCGGAGGAGGCGAAGGTGGCGCGGTTGGCGGCCGTGGCGGCGGCGCCGGGGAAGTTGGACGAGTAGGTCCAGCCGCCGATGGAGAGGAGCACCTTGAGCTTGCGGTTCGCCTTCTTCAGGAGGTAGAGCTGCTTGACGCAGCCGTACACGTTGGTGCCGACGTCGTTCCACGAGTCGCCGTCGTAGTGCTTGTCGGTGTCGGCCCAGCTGTCCGTCATGTACACCTCGCCAGTCTCCGGGCGGACATTGGCAAATGAGTATAGGACGTGGGTCAACTGGTCCGCCGGAAGATCCTGAGGGTTGTAGGCGCGGCCGTAGATGGCCTGGCAAGATGTTAGCTTGGACCGCCACGTTTTTGAGGAGTACGGACCCAGTTGACGAAGTAGGCAACAGTTCTGTATCCGTTTCCGCCGCCCATTGTTGCTGCAGTGGTGCTGTTGATGGTAGGGACAGGAGAAGCATGGGCAGGGACCAGATATATAGACACGGCGACGAGTGCGGCGGCAGCGGCCGCAGAGATGGAAGTCGACCAACGCATTGTCACAGGTGTCACGCAGGATTGCCTGAGCTCAGCGCATCTCCAACATGACCTCGACGGCCGGCGGCCTGAAGTTGATATACGCACCCCATCCGGAGCGTCGTGCCGGGACAGAGGGTGCTGGCCTCGAGCTGCGACAAGGCATGGCGTCGTGTGGACAGAGCAACCGGGTCAGTTGTCGCTTCCATCTGGTTACGACGCCACCTAATACCGCTTGTGGAAGTAACGTGTCTTCCATTCTGCGCTGCTGAGCGCGACAGCTGGCGGCCTGGCGACGCGTCCCGGCAAGGCGAGTTGAGACCTCAGTCATTTGGGCGACGGAGGCTGATAAGGAGAGGCGACTGTGGTGGTGGTGGATGTGGAGGCGGGCCATGGTCGGGCGGCGGGCCGTTGAAAGGTCAGATGGGATGTGGCACCCTGAGGCGCAGGGCGTTGGAGCTGCCCTTCTGGGCGACGAGCCTGGCGGTCATGCTCTTCGACGTTACATTCCTTGCTCGTCGAGCCAGGGGAGCAGAGAGAGGCCCCACAGCACCAATCACGACGCCGCGCCCGCACACCCCGAAGCAATGTCGCAGCGCGACCACCACCATGGCCGCCGTTGATGGAGCAAATTGCCTGCATCACCCGACACGGGCCAAGACGCTCGCCTCGGCCGTCGGGCCATGCTCCGCTCTCGTCGATATAGGCCCAAGTCGCATGCCGAACTGACTTGCTCGCGTGGACCGCACGCATCCTTGCATGGCCGTCGCGATAAGGCCCGGGACGCCCCACATTGACGCTGATGGAGCCTGCATTGTCTCTGTTGTGCACGAGCAGCGTCGCGTGCGTGGTAGCGTTGCCTCGTGAAAGCAGCGACGACCGAGGATAGCGGAGGAACGTCCGTGTCGGGCTTTTGAAGGAGAAGTCTCGAGGGCGCGCAAGAGGGTTGCATTGCGGGGTGCGTCATATCGATAAGGCACCGGCCCCTGCTGAAGATGTGTCCCACTCGCACCTGAAGATGTGACGGTCTCCGCTTGGAAAAATAAAATCTGTACATCTCGGGGGGAGTGTGATCAATGTGTCGCTCCGTCTCGTGCGGACTGGCTGTGACATGACCGCAGGCCCCATCGCGATCAACACATGCAGATGCAGATGATGCGCAAAACAACTATCCACAAGCAATGGCGGTTAGAGACCGATCCAGACGACATGGAAATCTTGACATGAGATTCAAGTGATGGCTTCTTGGCAATGCGGCATCTGAGGTGGGAAATACATGACGATCAAGCCGAGTAACCTTTGGGCATGTTGTTCCCTTGTGCAGGAACAAAACCAAACCGTACCCACCGCGAGAACTAAGCGAATCGTGAACATAGGCAGACATGGCAGACATCGTCTTTTACGAGTGCGGCCTCGCTGTACATACATTGCAACAATAATAAGAATGGATATCAATGCAATATACGCGCGCGAGCATAGACATCCGGCCAAGAGCCTCAACTACTCGACATCATTGCAATACCAAGCAATCCGATCTTGCAATATTAAGAAGAGCGATCTAATAAGATTGCGCAATGAGACTCCCGGTCTCACTGGACCCTCTATTGGAAGACTCCCGTCAGACATCGGGAAACCTTCCCTCGTATCACCACAGCCCCAGATCTTCGAAATCTTTCCCCCATTATCATCGCCCCGCAAGTATTATCATTCCAATCAGTCCGCCCGCATCCCCACGAAAACGAATCCCCGCCCTTTTCGCCAGCCAGCCAGCCAGCCAAGAAGCAGCCGCCCGCTCAATTGCAGCACGAATCTCGCATCTCGGGACCCCTGGCACGTTTGAGGACACGGTCAGCGCATCCCATCGATTGGGTCGGAAAGCTTCAAAGAAGAAGCTCCATCGGAGGGAAAACTTACTCAGCACCGCTGTAGTACGTGTCCCACTGGAACATGGCCGCCCCGAGGAACGCGCCAATGAAGATGCAAATGATGATGTAGCCTGCAGGGGGCGCGACGCAAAACAGCGTGTCAGCACGTCGCAAGTCGTGTCGCGACGACACAAACAAACAAAACAATTGGCAGACCGTTGATCATCCCAACGACGACAACGGGGGGCGCCCCGAAACCGCATCTTCCTCCCCTCCCCCCGGGGGCTGCAGAAAAGACATACAGCAGCGCGCCCCGCATCCCCGAACGTACATACAGCAAGCGCTCGCGCTCGCGCACGCGCGGCGTGCAACCACACAGGAAGCGCGTGGAAACGTCCGGACGTACGCAAGGGGGGGACCGGGGAAGCATGCATGCATGCATGCATGTACATTCGGAGTTCGGAGGGGGGGAGGGGGGTGGTAGCACAAGGAACGAGGTGTAAAAAAAGAAAACGACAGAAAAAAAAAAGGGCCAACCACTCACCATTGTAGTACATGGCCAGCAGCATGACAAAGTACCCGACAGCGAACTGCACCATGAACAGCGCGCTCCGCACGAGCTGCTGCCACCACCTCAGCGGACCAATGCCGCCTCCGCCACCGCCTCCCCCAGCACCAGCACCACCAGCACCACCGCTCCTCGAAGCGCCAGCACCAACAAACCCCTTCCCGCTACTCGCCCCGCTCGACGCACTACTACTAGCCACTCCTCCTCCTCCCCCTCCTCCTGCTCTCACTCCCTCCTCGCGGGCGATGGTGTCGGTACCGGTGCCGGACGTGGCGCTGCTGTTGACGCGGCGAAAGTAGCGGTCGAGGTCGCGCTGGGCGCGGCGCAGCAGCTCGAGCGAGACGACGAGCAGGATGACGCCGATGCAGGAGCCGGCGAAGGCGCCGGCGCTGCGGACGTGCCACGAGCGCGCGATGAAGCACGCGTCGACCGTGTACCAGTTCCAGAGCATCTGTGAGCAAGCACGCCGAGTCAGCGGTGGTTTCGTGGTTCTCGGGGGGGGGAGGGATGGCTCGGAAAGCGTTTGTTGTTGTCGCAGGTGAGTGAGGGAGGGATGGATGAATTAAATAACGTACGGAGATCTTGCATGAGCTGCCGCCGCCCATGCCTCCCATGCTCATTTTGGCGGTGCTGGTCGCGGCGGCGGCGGCGGAGGTGGTGGCCGTGGAGGCCATGGCCATGGCCATGGAGCTGGCTGTTGAGGACGTTCCGGACATGTCCATGGTTTGCGGGCGTTGAGGGAAACGGAGTGACGTGCTGCGCAGAGACGGCTGACGGCGAGAGACAGAAACTCCGGTGAGGCTGAAGCTGGGGTGAAGATGAGCTGGCAGGTTTCGTGCGAGGCGCAGATGCGAAGAGTGGTCGCTAGGCGCGGCGGAAGGCAGGAGACGGACTCAGTGCGCGCGAAGGGAAGGCGGGCGTCGCGTAATTAAGGAAAGGTTTGTATTTGGAGGTAAAGGTGGAAACGCGATCAATGATATAGGCGCGGACAGGCTGTGGGTTTTTATGGGCCAAAGCTCAAGCGGCCTTGTCACAGCTCTATGCTGTCGTCTGGAAGTGGATAGGCTTCCATCCAAGGGCTCGCCACAAATGACATGCTCACCGCTGCACGAGGGAAGCGCCGCGGAAAGCGAAAGAGAGTGAGCTGTGCCACGGCAGGCGCTATCCTGTCGCTTGCTGACGATGCTACACCACCCTTGATCCCGGGGCAGGGCGGCGCTTGCCCAATAGGATAATGTGCTCAAACCCGAGCATTGGCGGAAAGCTTGGCGCGGAGCGGGTCAAAGAGCGGGGGAGGCCCGTTGCCATTGAGCAACTTCATTGTTTGCATGAACAACTTTCGCCTGCCGTTTCTTCGTAGGGAATTCCCTCCAGAAACTTCATGGCACCACCGGGCGGACGGAGATTTATTCGAAAATATGTGGTGTTTTCGTCCTGCGTTCCTGCTTTCCGCCCCCGGCCAACCGCATTCGCGTAAGCGCTAACCGCCGGCACTGCGACTGATCAACACCACGCATGACGTCTGGTACGCGACCAAGCATAAACCTCCGGTGTACCAGTGCCTTTCGCACCGCAAAGTAAACATGATTCGAAGATATCAGCTCAGTGGAACTATCACATGGTCGCCAGTCGAGAAGTGAAGAACATCGACTTCATGATATCAACTACCCGCTTCTAAGGAATATCAATTATTGGACGTGCTTGCTACGCTAAAGGACAATGCAAAAATGGAAACAAAAAACCATAGGCACGGAAAGAAACTCGAGGATTGAATCATGCAGAAGTCCAAGTCCACCAAGCACCGCCCATCTGCAGAATGTACTCGGTCGTCCACCTCAACGGCACATACACAACCGGCAGCATCCTTCCCAACACCGGATACTCCTGCACGAGCAACGGCTGGCGCTTCTCGACCGCGCTGACGACAACCTCGTCCTGCGCCGCCATGGCCACCGGCGACTGCGGGATGACGACGGCCAAGGGCGGAGCGACGTGTGTCGACGTCGTCGCCGTCGGCGGCTTCAAGGCGAAGTAGCTGCCATTCTCCGAGCCCGTCCACGCGCCCTGGAGGTAGCCCTTCGCGATGGCGTCGTGCGCCGCGCGCGCTTTGACGAGGTACGGGGTGGGCTCGCCCTCGACGTACGCGAGGCAGTTGTGCCACGGGGTCGGCGTGTGGTAGTTGTCCAGCGACGCCTGCGCGCTGCGGGACTCGAGGTCGTCGACGGCGATGGCGGCGAGCAGGCGGATGGCGAACTTGGGGCCCGAGTTGTCGTGCGCGTGGATGGAGAGGCGCACGTGCGAGGGGAAGAGCAGCTCGACGAGGTTCGAGTACGCGCAGTTGCGCACCATCATCTCGGCCGCCACGGCCGACGCCATCTTCTTCCGCTTCGACACGCTGAGCCCGCCGGCGAACGCGCGGCTCTGGGACAGGTCGTCGAGCATGAAGCGCGACAGGCCGCGGTACAGGCCGAGGGTCGAGCGGTCTTGGCTGCTGATCAGGCTGCGCAGCATGGTCTTGTCGTTCTGGCCGAGGGCCATCATCAGCTTGCGGCAGAGCTCCGCATTCTCGGAGCGCTCCGAGTCGATCGGGTGCGTCAGCTCGACTTGCTCGACCCACTGCTTCTGCAAGAGGCCTGTGACTTCCCTGTTGCCGAAGAAGATGTCGGTCAAGGAGGTGAACTGAATGTTGCCGTTGCACTGCTTTCTGGACTCCATGCGATGATACATCTGCTTCAAGGACTCGCCATAAATGTCGACTTGGTCATCCTTGACCTCCACTGCCGTTTGTCAGGAAACGTATGCCAGGATGGTCATGTTGTACTTACGCAGGTCGGAGAAGACGTGTCCGTCACTGACGATGAGAACGATGGCGCCCGGGCTGTAGATATCGCCCACGCGACGTGCGAACTCGTCAAGCGTCTTCAGAGCAAGATGCTCAGCACCGTCTGGATCAGTGCCGCACGTCTTCTCTGCGCTGGGCGATTTGCAGGGAAACGCAGGGAGACAGAATTGAATAGGCTGGCGACGAGTGACAAAATTCAGCACGCAGGACTCGAAGTGGCTGCGTCCAATGCTCCATTTGTCGTTCCGAGTAACGTTGCGGAGGTACTGGTCAAATATGTCGGCGACGCGAGAAGCAAGCTGTGCATCCTTCTCATCCAGGTTCCCAGAAGTGCGTTCTGTCGGTGGTAGGAGACGAGTCTCGCAAAGCACGAACAACTCCGCCCAAGAGACCAGATCGGCGGACGAATCGTCGGACGTGGAAGCAGCGTTCTTGTTGCAAACCAAGCCAAGAATGCTGTCCGGCCGTGCCGGATCGTAAAGTTCTCGGACACAGTATGTGCTGTGTTCGGATGAGAGGTTCAAAGAGATGTCGGTTGCCTTGATGTGTTTCCCTGAGCTAAGGTCAACACCATGGCGCGGTTTGGTGGCCAGAAGCTGCTCGCGCAATTGGGGCCAGGCAGCTTCCAGGTAAGCGCCGTTGGTGCCGTGTGTGGAGACCAAGGTGAAGTCGGCTTGGCGCCAGTAGAAGCCCTTGACGCCGTGATAGACCGACGAACCGCTGTTGAGAGAAGACATTATAGGAGTATGGTAAGCGCCGGGGTATGGGCTAAACTTGAAAAGGTAAAGTGAGGAAAATCAAACTTGATCTTTGCTTGACGGAGGAAAAATTGGTAAGCCTAGTAAAGGGAAAAGGAGCTCGTTGCTTTGAGGAGATGATCAGTGTAAAGTGATGTTGACTGAATTGGGGTTTCGAGTGTTGATCTTTTATGGGGCTACCGTGGGGCCTCTCCGCTGTCCACTGTCACCGTGAAGGAACACTTGGCGAGGGAGCTCTGCGGCTGTGCTTCGAAGACCTGTGGAGGCCCTGGATGACGCAGCTGGCGAAGGTGAGAAGCTGCAAAGGCTGGGTAAGCCACGATGTCAAAAAAAGAGTGCAAGGGTTGCAACTTGCAACAGCCATAGGCCCAGTCCGCGTCTCTCCAGGCGACAGTTGCCAAGCCGTTGCTCACGGCGTCCGATGACAGGGATGCATGCGCTTATGCAGGTCGGGGAATACGTAGCCAGCCCGCAACGAACCGAAGCCGTGGTGGCCAAGCTCATCGGAGCTGGCTCGAGGCGGTCGGCGCCATATGCAGTAGCGGTGCGTCAAACGCCGGGTACGCCTTCTCGTTGGAGACCCAAGAATATCGGAGGCCTAGAAGGAGCAAGGCCTGCATTCTTGGCGCGATTGGCGCAGATGCACATGCATTCGTCTCAGCCAACACCGAGCACGCACGCGACGCCGCGTCCCATTTCGGTGCCCAACAAAGCACAGCCCTGTCAGCCTGCTTGGCAGGTTGGCCGCAATCAGTTAACCGGGGTCACGATAGGGCGGTTACCCGTCAGGCAAGTCCTTGGATGGTGTCGTTACACCCGTCGACGTTGCGCCATCCTTCCATCATCCTTTCAGCCCAGCTGTGGCCGAGTCACTGCGCCTTCCCGGCCGGGAATTCCAGTGCTCATTTACTTGGCACCCCGGACCCGAAATGCTTCGCGAATATCAGGCATTGGATAGGACCTCAACCCGAAGCATACCACCGGCACCATGATTTCCAACTTCCTTCTCGTCTGTTTCATTGCTCCGGTCGGGCTGGCCGTCCTGGCAGCCATCACCTTTCTCCTGCCGCCCAGCAATTTCCCCAAGAATATTCCAACCATCCCGTTTTACTACACTCTTCTTCCGCTTTTCCGCGACTGCGACCAGGAGACTCTCTATCGAGAATACCTCGAGGAGCCACTCAAGAAGTATGGCGCTGTCAAAATCTTCTTCGCTTCGCGCTGGAATGTTTTGGTGCAGCGGCCCGAACTGCTCCAGGAAGTGTTCAAGAACGAGGATTTGTACGCCAAAAGCGGCAACCAAAAAAAGATCCCGTACAGTGTCATCGCAGATTACACGGGCGACAACATCATTTCGGCCCATGGAGCTGACTGGCGGCTGTACCGGTCTGTCATTGCTCCTGGACTGCAGCGAGACTTCGACAGCAAGCCCCTGGTCCGGAATGCGAACCTACTAGCAGATCTCTTCGTCGAGCAACAGAAGAAGTCTCGTACGTCTGGCGTTCTCGTGCTTCCGGTCCTACAAAGGCTTTCACTGGAGAACGTTGCTCAGAGCCTCTTGGGCACCTGTTTCGGAGTAAGCATCACGAAAATGCTGCAACGCTGGCTTACTGATACGATACATTTCACAGACTCTCGAAAACCCTCAGGCGACCATGAATCAGATGCAGGTGGCAGTGAAACGAGAGATATTCAAGCCATTGTTCCTGAACTTTCCATTCCTCGACCGCTTCCCCATCCCGAGCCGGAAACGGGCACGTCAGCTCGTCGATGACTTCGCCAGCCACCTTTGCACCAACGTGTTGGAAAGCCACCAACACGACCACGACGAGAAAATGGTCAACGCCTCCGCCGGATGTCACCTGGTGCGAGCCTACCGGTCCGGGCTCCTCACGGAGCAGCAGTTCCGGCACAACGTCTCCATCATCCTGATCGCCGGCCACGAGAACCCCCAGCTGCTCTTCCAATCCCTGCTCTTCCTCCTCGGCCAACACCAAGACGTGCAGCAGCGGATCCGCGAGGAAGTGGCCGCGGCCAAAGAAGCAGCAGCAGCAGCAGCAGCAGCAGCAGCAGGCGGGGACGGCGCATCAATCCATGAGCTGAACACGCCGTACCTCACAGCCGTCGTGTACGAGACGCTGCGGCTGTACCCGCCCATCTCGCAGCTCATCAACCGGCGCACGACGGCGCCGACGGTGCTGGGCGGCGGCGTCGCGCTGGCGGCCGGCACGTACGTCGGCTACAACGGGTACGCGACGGGGCACGACGCGGCGTTCTGGGGCGCCGACGCGGACGCGTTCAGGCCGGAGCGGTGGGGCGCGACGGCGGACGAGGTCAGGGCGACGTTCCGGACGGCGAGCCGCAAGGGCGGGTTCATCGCGTTCCACGGCGGGCGGCGGGCGTGTCTGGGCCGCAGGTTCGCCATGACGGAGGCGCGGCTGACGGTGGCGGTGCTGGTGGAGAGGCTGGCTTGGCGGATCGATCCCGCTTGGCGGAGGCGCATGACGCCGGTGAGTTGATGCAAGGTTGCGGGCCTGGAGGAGTTGGCTGTTGTGGCTGGAGGAATATATCGCTGACATTGGCATAGGCGGGGCCTCTGAGCCCGATGCTCCTTCGGCTTATCTTTGAGGAGAGATGATTGTTGGGAGGCTTTTGGAGGAATTGGTGGGCTGCAATGGGATCAGGCGTCTCGGTTTCTATTCAAATGATAATTACAAGTGATGCATAGCTCAGCGACCTGCTTGTGCCACATGCCCTGCGAATTCCCTCTGTTGCGTGTAAAGCGCGTCTGTGGATTAGAAACGAGACGGAGCGGAGGTGCGGTGTGAAGATGCCGGCGGCTTTCAAATGTCCACGGAGACCCTGGCAGTGGCTTCCTTCCTCATTCGGCAGTGTTGACCGGGGTGGGCGAGCGGGGTGGGCGAGCGGGGCGGCCGCCGACTCGGGTGCCAAGTAGAGCGGCTGGGCTGTGGCTGCCCTCCCGACGTGCGACCATGGTGGCTGCTCTATTTTCCCGACGCCCAGCTGGCCTTGCAGAAGACCCGCATGCCTTCGATCCTGCGCCTGACTCACTATCCTCTCTCGGAGCTGTGCTGACCCGGGCGCAGCACAACATGTCAGTGCACGTATTTTTGGCTATCCCGCTAACCGCTGCGCCCAGAGCCTGGTTGCACCTGTCATCGTTATACGCTCACTGCGACTACCAAACACGATGATATGAAGAATGGATATCCCGCTCAGTCCTCTCTCATTGCACCACTCGTTCAGGCCTCTCCGTTGCTGCTGGCCAAAATGAATAACGTTGAACCGAAACCAGACGGCACCGCAACGCCCATTTCTACTACATCCACTCTTGCTCCGCCATATTCTGCCTTTTCGCTCGCTACCCGGCGGATGATTCTTGGCCTGGTCACCGCCGCCGGTTTCCTCGGTCCCCTCTGCGGCGCCATCTACCTCCCCTCACTTCCTCTTTTCGAGGACATCTTCCACACCTCAACCACAGGAATCAATGCATCCGTTACTCTTTACATGGTAGTCTTCGCCATTGCCGTGAGTTCCAGCTTTAATGAATACCGCCTTCCAAGCTGACCCCTACAGCCACTTTTCTGGGCCGCTGCCGCTGACCACTGGGGTCGAAGGCCCGTCTACACCGTCTCCTTGGCCATTTTTATCGCCTCCAACATCCTTCTTGCTGCCGTCCCCGCAAACATCGCAGCTCTGTTTATCCTCCGCATCCTCCAGGCCCTAGGTTCCAGTGCAGTAACCTCTGTGGGCGCCGGAACCGTTGCCGACATCACCGAGCCCAAAAGCCGTGCTTCTGCCATGTCCATCTTTTTGCTGGGGCCCCACATGGGTCCTATCCTCGGTCCTCTTATCGGTGGACAGTTTGCTGCTCCCTCCCGATGGAGGTGGGCTTTTGGATTTCTCGGTACGTCACCCGCACTGCCGCATGATGATTCACTGCAGCTAACCGCAATGCTGCCCCCGCAGCCATCGCTTGTTTTCCCATCTACGCCGCCATTCAACTATGGCTACCCGAGACCCTGCGCACTCTCGTCGGCAACGGAGAAAGCCAGCGGCACCACCCCCTCCTGAAGGTGCAGCCCTTCCGACAAAAGCGCGAAGACGGCAAAACCGCCCCTTCCCAGCCCTCGCGCGTGCGCGTCTTCTGGGCCTTGCTCGTCTACCCGCCCAACCTCATCATCATCGCCAGCACCGCCCTGCTCTTCGCCGGCCTGTATGCCATCCTCGTCGACTTCACACGGCTCTGGGTCCACGTCTACGGCTGGTCCGAAGCCCAAGCCGGCTACGCCTACCTCTGTCCCGGTAAGACCCCCTTCCATCCCACCCCCACCACGGAAACCCCCCTCCCTAACACCCACCCCCCCTCCCCTCAGGCCTCTCCCTCTTCCTCGGCTCCCTCGCCGGCGGCAAAGCATCCGACCTCCACCGCGCCCGCGCCATCGCCACCATCACCACCACCACCACCACCACCAACCCCGCCAACCAAGCCGCCGCCGCCACCACCACCAGCCAAGCCACCCCCCCAAACCCAAACCCCATCCCCCCCGAATCCCGCATCCCGCTGCAAGCCCCGGGCTACATCCTCACCGCCCTCGCCCTCCCCCTCTACGGCTGGCTCGCGCGCGCGCACGCGCACCCCGCCGCCACGCTCTTCGCCTCCGCCCTCGCCGGCCTCGGCACCGCCTGGGTCCTCGTCACCAGCACCGCCTACCTGACCGAGTCGTCGCCGCCGCACGCGGCGCGCATGGTGGCGCTGGCGGGGACGGCGCGCAACGGCGCGGCGGCGGCCGCGGCCGCGGCGGTGCATCCGCTTGTGGGCGCGGTGGGGTACGGGTGGTGTTATTCGGCGTTGGGGGTCGGGGTGGGGGCGTGCGTCGGGGGCGTGTGGTTTTTGTGGAGGAGGGGGGAGGGGTATCGGGGGGGTTTGGGGGAGAGGATGGCGAGGGCGGGGGCGGTGGGGCCAGTGGCGGCGGCGGCGAAGAGGTGAGTGTATGGTGGTGGTGGTGGTTATTCTGGTTCGCGCCGCGGGGGGAGGGTCCGGTAAGGTCGAATTTTTGTGGGACGACGTGCGTTCCGCTCGAGAGGTGGTGATGCTGTGCAAAGGAAGGCGTCGACTTCTTGTGTTGATATTCTTTTGCATTGCAACTGGCGTAACGGGGCATTTCTGCGCTGGGTGATGGGATGTTTGTGCGGTCAGTGTCTGCATGTAGATGTCTGATGCTAGAGTCGTCATATTATAGAGCCTACTTGTTCTTCTGATTTCACCATTTCGTTTGATTTCCAACTTTTTGTTGATATGATCGCATAGAGATTGTATTCATGCTATATACTAGTCTTTTATAGACATGGATGCTGATTGCTGGCTTATTTGCCTGCAGTCCACTGGAAGTTTGCCTGTGTTCGGCTCGATTTTCAACTCTTTTCCGTGGCTGGCTTAGGAAACTGGAGAGAGGGAGAGAAGAGTCATCTCAGTGAGAGTCCGCGCAAGTGTGATTCATGGCTGCAGCTGCAGCATTGCAACCCTGCCGGTCATTCGCCGTATAATACCCTCAGGTTCGCCGTACATTGTGCCTTTAGTAGTAAAGTGATCAAGAGCCGACTTGCGCCGAAGAAGCGCCAACCTGCGCCAGAAAGATTCCCACAAGAATTCAATCTCATCTCTCCATAATTCACAACGCCAGGAAGAAAAGGCCGCACATATCCACTTATCCCCGTTCAGAGATCTGTATGGTGGATCAAATATACGTCTCCCTCCTCCGAGAACCTCTGTCTGCGCTTAGACATGCTCGCTCATGGACACCACCAATGAAATCGTCCGTTCATCAATGACTGCGTCCCTCAACCACCACGGATCGAGTATCTCGAGGTCGCTCGAGTTGAATAGATGATTGAAAAGGCCGATCCGTGTCACCAGATAGACTGTCAGGTCCGCGTTGATCAGTTTTTTATGGTGCTCGCTCGTCAGTTCCTCTTCAGGCGTGTTCATGATCCTATCATTGATCCGTTCTCGCAGGAGTTTCTTGGTGAGCTCCTGTGCCGTCCACTCGATCCGGGCCTGGACTTTTATTGCGAAGTTGAGCGGCCGCGAATGGTCGTATATCGTGATGAGATCCTTGAATTTAATGGATAGTTTTACAATACCTGACTCCATTGCGGTGTCAGCGCTTCCACCTTGTCGCAACTTTTGCTGTTGCTAGCGCCGCTGTTGCCCCTGTGTTTCGACACTTGGCAGATTTGGCAGCGGATGAGTGCAGGAAGGTGTGATTCCATGAAATTTGTGATCTTCGTCCCCTCCGTCAGAGCTTTGATGGTGTCCAGAAGGTCTTTGCTGTAAGGGGGTTTCGTGGATTGCTTTCCCCGCATCTGAGCCTTCAATTTCTGTAATAAGGTTATTGGCTGCTGCTGCTACGGGCCTACTTCCATGTTCCTTCCCGGTACCGCTGTTCGCCCTGGTTGAGGCTGCTCTTTCTCGCATCCGGCTATTGTCGCCATGTAGTACTGCCTGATCAACAAGGCTATCCGTGAGACCAGCTAACCTGCCAGGTGGGATGCGGAGTACAACAACCTTTGATGCGCCATTGCTTGTGGTGTTGTTGTCATGATTGTCGAGATTTTCAGCGATGGGCTGGGCCTCTTCGAAAGGCACGCCACTCATCAACGGCTCATTGTACCTGGTGAAGAAGTCTTTGAGGCGTGTTATGTCGTGCATCATCTGGATCTCGGGCCAGTAGCTCACTTTGTCGAGACCAACTCTATTTAGAGTAGGCGGCGTTAAGGGACCGTCGTTGGTGTCCTCTTTCATGCAGAAATGTGAGACTTTCTTGCCTTTACCGAACTGTACCGAGACTTTGTTCGTTCTTCCCCCCTGGTCGAGCTTCCACCTATCGAGCGACTTCTGTCGATTTAGGTGGCCTACTTCGAATCGGTTTCGGTAAGGGTCAGGCAACTGATGGGCGACGAAGAATTTGTAGGCTCGCTCAACAGTCTCTGCATCCAAGGACTCCGGTTCAAGCACAATCGGATTATCCGTAGAACCAGAGGATCCGTTGGATGGGGGGATGATGCTGAACTCGGGGAGCTTCTTCCGGGTGTGATGGCCTTGGCTGATCGAATGTGATGTTCGAGGGGCCGCGGGCTCTGGTCCGCGAGGCAGGTCTGTTGCGATCGTTTTTGCCCGTTTCCTTTGTTCCGGTATGCCCGATTCGCCTGTGAGCGGCCGCTTCGATATCGGGTATTTTGAAAGTGTGCGACAGCTGGTCTGCTGGGATTGGTCATTTGAAGACGTGTTTGCAGCGAAGACAGGAAGTGGACGTTCTCCTTCAGGATAATGTGTCGGGTTGGCGTTCGTGTTGGCTCCAGGTGGGATGGACGCAGTCATCGCACGTCTCAGAGAAGAGCTTGCTTCTGTTTCTATAGACGTCTCCAGATTATGATACGGATTCTGCCCGACAGACTGTGATGGAGGAAGGGGAGGTGAACGTTCTTGCTCACTGATAGGCGTTCTTGGTATTTGCGGAGGCGGGTTGTCGCTTTTCGGAATAAAGCATACATAATACGCCGTCGACTCTGAGGACACCATATTCAACCTCATAAATGTGTTGAAGCTGATGGGAAGGACATCGTTTGACTTCGTGCACTTCTTCGCCCAATGGATGTGAAGATCGAAATGCTTGGAGGGCTTTGCGTAAGCCCCTCTAATGAAGTTTTCAAGGTTCTGACGTGACGCAAATGAAGTCAGTACGTTGGCGATGAATGAGGCCAGGGCTAGCTTACCTCGAAGCTGTTCTTAAGCAAAGAATCGTGGACCTTGTGTACTTGTCCGCCTGAGGCAACAGTGTCGATGACGAAAAGGCCCATTGGTGAGGTGGTTATTTGGTATAGAACAGGTGAGCCAGGTTGAGAAAGCCGTTGATGAGGGTGAAAAGTATGGACGAGGGCGAGAGAGCCTCGTGGAAGGCTAGCGTTGGGTGCACGATGCGGCGAGGAAGGTGCGGCGAGAACGGGAAGGCGCAGACAAACGATGGTGGGCGAGCATCGCTGCCAGGTACGGCTGACGGTCTCGGTGCAAGAGGTATTGGACGTAGACAGCTGGCTTTAGCGGCACCGTGTACGTCATATACAGGCTGCTTGCGATCCAACATGTTCACGGTGTGATGGATGAAGAAGTCAAGGTTGGACGCGGGTGATATGGGCATTTTCACTGCCATGGCGCACCGAGTATGAGTAGGATTTCTGGACGCTCATGCATAGACTGAATACAAGTACCTGCTTCCAGGCTCTTGCTTTGATTACCTACGTAGAAAGGCCTGTGGAAACAACATCCATCTACGCTTGGAGGGGTTCTCCCATTGCTTGCGTAGGTGGGTTGAGATTTTCTGCAACCCACTGTGCAGTGGCGGGTGAGCCTAAAGAACTGAGGCGTGAAGGAGGAGCCGTCATTATGCGTGTCACACGCCACGGGGAGCGGCGTGTCAAGAGGGCGGAGGTCATGTGCAGCTACCATTCGTCCAGTGCATAGACAGATACGTACCTTGGCCGTAGCTCTTTAGCGGACAGCACCGGCGCATTGCTCCAGAAACACCACGGACCAATGCAGAGCTACATGTCTACCAGCATCAGAGCCCATGCGACGAACGCTGCCTTTCTGTGCGCACAGTAAAAGACGTGACAGGCGGGGTTTGCGCTGATACGTGAACTTCATGTCGGTTGGCTGTCCGCTCACCGGCACTACGGCAGGCAGCAGCGCCCGAAGCTGAGACAGACAGCTGCAGCCCGCCGCGCTCACTGCGTTGGCACGAGCCCAAGCGGTACCTTGCCGGTCTCTTGCTGGCCATCCGAAAAATCATGCTGCCCTAAGTTCGGGTACCGACGGATTGCTGAGTATAAGGCTCGCTGTGAGACCGTTTATCCGACGATTGGAAGACAGAGGAACCATTTGAAACGCCTTTCGTGGAGACGCCTGAAGAAACAGCAAGAACCGAACACTGTGTACAGTTCTCGTTGGTCCTGTATGACCCAGCGACGCCTGGTTCCGACACGCCGGTCTGTACAGAATTCGCCAACTCGTCGACTTTGTTGCAACCTTTAGCAAACCAACACTGGGCTTTGTATTTCGCTCACGTTGAATCGGATGCGATCGGCGGGCGGGCGAATCAGCGGGCAGCGCATGCGAGTCAACGGGCAGGGCTCGTGGGGATCAGCGCTGGTATCTGGGCCGGCGAGACACAGGACGCGAAAGGGTCGGGCAGAGCAGCAGCGGGCGGCTTCCATGATCTCGTGCAACTCCCTGGACGGGGCCGATTCGCGAAACAGGGACGAGGCCTGGACCGGCAACCCTATAAGAGGCGGTCGCAGCAGCCGGGCAGCGTGGCATGATGCGGAGATGAAGACGGCTAGCCGGCGAGAGGCTGGTTTGCCTGCATGACGTCGTCATCGCGCAGATGGGCCCTCACCGCAGACTGCGCCTGTTCTGCCTCCCTCACCGGCCTGGTGCCCGGGCACAGTCACATGCGGGGGGGAATGCTGCAACTTATCTCTGGCAGCGGCTCGCTTCGCAGGAAGCCATTGAAACAATGGACGGGTCGCGCGCGGGCGGGCGGCGGGCCCTGCGACGGCTACCTGGAAATCCCAGCTGCAACCAGGCGCGAAACGGCAACGGTGCGTTGGGCACACAGCGGGAGTGCTAGGCTGATCCAAGGGCACACGACGCAGGGCTGTCGCTGCCCGTCGCAGGCAAGCCGGCGGCGAGCAGACGCCCAAGACGGCAGCGCAGTGCACCCTGTCGAAGCTCCGGCGGCCTCGTCTGGACGTGTGGATGCAGCGTCGGGCAAGCGAGGGGCCAGCCGGCCAGGCGGGGCGAGGCGATGCGATGCCATTGATGGCGGAGCAGGAGGCTGCAGGCTGCTGGCCTGGAGAGGCCGGGCGCGTGCAGGTGTGAAGCCTGAAGCTGGCAGCAAGCCCGTGCCAGCCACGAGCGCAGAAAACGTCATCTTTAAGCCCTCGCCCACCTCCTCCGAACCTGCACCTCTTCCTACTCCGGGACCCGCCTTTAAGCTACGGGCTGCGTTCATCGCCCGCCAGCTCACACTGCCCATCTCCGCATCCTCAACCTCCTTGACGCCTTGTGCCTTCTCCACACTCTTGCAGCTCGACGCCCAGCCGCCTGGCCCCGCGGCCGACCATCGCTTGATCCGCCCGCCCGCCGATCCCCCTCACCGAATCCACCGTCATGGGGTCCCGCCGCGCATATCCCACCGCCGAGCTCTACGACGACCGCGAACGCGATTTCTACGCCGGCGGCGGCCGACGCAGCCAAAGAGACTACGACGAGCTGGATGCTGAGATCCGCCGCCCACGCTCCGAGTACGGCGTACGTCGCCCCGGTCCGCAGCCTGAGTTCCTCCGCGAGGACTATGGCCGCACCTCCGCCGGCCCGCTGGTCGTCTCCGATCGTCGCAGCGTGAGAGAAGACGACTGGAGCCCGCCTCCCCCGAAACCGCGCAAGGACATCGAGCGCGACGAGATCATCATACGCGACAGGAAGTCGGAGCGCCCTCCGCCCAGTCGTTCCAGCCAGGCCGACCGTGATGACTTCATGTACCGCCGCGGCGACCCTTCTCCCCCGAAGCCCCGTCCCGTCGAGCGTGAAGAGATTGTGTTCAGACATGAGGAGCGCTCGCCTCCAGGCCGGCCCAAGCCGCGTGATCGCGAGCGTGAGCGTGAGGAAATCATCTTCAGACACGAGGAGCGCTCGCCCCCGCCCGCGAGGCCGCGGCCGCGTGAGGTAGAGCGCGAGGAAATCGTCTTTCGTCGCGGCGAGGGTGCACGCTCCAGGCCTCCGCCCAGCGAGGTGGATCGTGAGGAGATCAGGATAAGGCGCAACGAGGGCCCTCCGTCGCATCGGCCTCGTGAAATGGAGAGAGAGGAGATCAGCATCCGCAGGTCCGAATCTGAAGGACCATCTCGTCACAGGTCACACTCCCGCCCCGGCGACCTGATCGCACGCGAGAAGGAAGAGTTCGTGATCAGGAGACGTCCGCCCCCTCCTCCTTCCCCACCGCAAGAGAAGCAGCAGGAGATCATCATCAGGCGGACGGAGAGGTCGCCCAGTCCCGAGTCGCTCCCTTCACCTCCTCCTCCGCCCCCGCCTCCGGAACCAATCATGAGGCCGCCGATCGTTCAAGAGATCATAACACATCATCGTCACATCGATCATGGTAAGCCATCTAAAAATATGCTCATCGCCGAAATTGGCTAAAATAGTGCAGGCGTCGAACGTGCACGCTCACCCAGTCCTCCCCCTCCTCCGCCGTCCCCGCCCAAGGACGAGACTCTTGAAATCTCCATTCGCAACCGACGGTAAGACTTCACGCTCCCTTTGCACCGTCAGTGCTAACTTACGCTCAGTGGAGAGAATGGGAGGTATGAAGAAGATATCACTTTTGAGCGTGATGTTCGAGAACGTAAGGCACCAGCCGATGACTTCCAAATCAGTCGACGCCGCTCCGTCAGCGTGCCTCGCAGGAAGCATGCAGATGACTGGGACGTTGATGGTGAAGCCGATTTCTACAACCGCAAAGCCATGGAACGGGCTCACATGGGAGAAGCCCACAACGGTGCAACCAAGGATTGGGCCATCGTCGATGTCCCTCCGGGGACGAATCGAGTTCGCATGGAAGGTGCGGGAGGCGGCGCTCAAGAAGTCACTTGGCAACGTTACAACGGCGTCCGTCGGTCCAAGTTTCTCTCCGACGACCGTGAATATGCGTCCGACTGGGGCGCGCCAGCGCAGGCGCCACCACCACTACCGGCACCATCAAAGTCCAGGCCTCCGGACATGTGGACAGAGATCACTAAAGACCTGGTGTTGAAGGAAGCGATCGACTCGATGGGTTACGATTACGAAGAAACCGATTACTTCTTCTACGTGATGGATTATCTGCGCTACGTTCGTCATCACCATAAATCTCCCTGCTTTGAGCTTACTGCTAACTGTTTCAACAGGAGGATGTCCTTCATCTGGTCGAAATCTCGGACGACATTCGCCGAGAGCGCAGACATCGCATCCGAGAGATTGAGTATGAGCGCAAGAAACTTGAAGCCCCACCGCCAAAGAAGGAATACGACTACTACGAGCGCGAAGTCATCTACGAGCGAGAACGGGAGCGAGACGACCGCCGCGGTCGGTACCGGTAAACACGCGAACGTTGCCAATACTGCGATCACAGTTCACCTGTACTTGTTCGACACCACTGGCCTTCGGATGGCCAACGCTTGGGAATGTCTCGACATGCACCGACTTCTCTAGACCCAGGGCGTACTGATATTCTCCCACCGATTCTGGCGCGAAAGCCATGACTTTGAACCGGCTCTCGCATCCAGTTCGGCTATCCCATTAGACATGCTTGGCGTGCCGTACCGTGCGGATTCTTTTGCTCTTGTTCTTACCGTGTGGTTCTTCTTGCACCTTAAGCGACAAACCTGAACTGAGAATACAAAAAGCCTGCTGCTCCAGCGGTCAAGACAGCCCAAGATACCACACACCCCACGATAACGACATTAACGACCTTTCATAATGAAACACGGGAAAATCTCTGGCGGGACGAATCTTCTTTGCAAGCGGATCGAAAAGAACGGAATGGGCAAGCTAAACGGCAACACTTTTCGGGAATTCGTGCTGGCAGGCGATGTAACGGGAAGGGGTTTTTTGTTGCTTCTCAACTGCTGGCTTTCTGAAGACCTGTTTTTTTCTTCTTCATTTTTGCTTTCTGTCTGCAACTTCTTCGCATTACCTTTCTGCATCGGGCGGGCAGCAGTGATAAAGAAAGCTAAGGCAAAGTTGAGGTATGATTTTTTTTTCTTCTTCTTTTTCCCGTTTGTGGGATTTAACTTTTTCACTTTTCCTTTTCCTTTACGCTCTATCATAGCCAGCAGGACAGCTTTATACAGCTTGCTTTTTCCTATTGATGGCTAATTTCCCGATATTCGCTGCCGTGCTCTGTGTCCCGAGTGTATGTGTGTCACCAAAGGCTGCAATCCCGACACCTCTTGTGAGTCTTTCCCAGTCAACAGCATGGATAGCTGGGTCAAACAGACTCTCCAACATACCCGTGACCTCCCACTTCATTCATGATTGGAAGAGAGTCAGCTGCCCTCCCCATCATGAGTGGCTTGTCACGCCCGCACACCGCATTTCCACGCCTCTCGGTCCGCCTCTCTCCCATACACACACAGATCCAACATCTCATCTAGAAGAAAAGACGCGAGATACTTGATACACATGAGTCCGGAGAAACACGGCGCCAGCTTTCCACTTTCGTGGCGGATGCGGCAGTCGCTATGAGGAATTCCTCCTCCGACCTATCTGCCTACCTACCTTCGACCATCATCACATCGCCTCCCCCTTCTTCTTTCTCATTGCTCCATAGAACCTCAAGGCAGAGAACTCACCCCCATCCACAAACACAGATACCGCTCCCCGACAGACTTAGAAATAGATTCTATGAGTGAGATTTTCTGTAGACTTTCTTACAGACGAGACACTGGTATCAACATCGGGAGAGCGTTTGGGACAGTCCAGTTGAGTTAAAGGGATAGAGGGGAGGGTGTATGTGTGCGTAGGAGTGCAGTTGTATTTACGTCAATTAGTCAACACGAATGATGGACAGCAGATCTCTATCTCTCAATTTTCCTCTACGGATCGCACTAAAACTAGAGAGAGCAGAGAAGGCTGGAAAGTGCCTGCCTTCTTCCCGGGGAAAGCGCTCTCCATCGCTACACTCCTTTCTTGCTTGCTTTGGACCTACTTACGCCTCCTCTCGCTGATGCTTGAGAAACAATGATGGTGTAGTTATAATGAAAGAAGGGAACGGGGAGAAATATTGCCCTGTTGTGATTCTTTATCATGGACTTGGGGAGAGCGGAAGAGTGAGAGCCTACAATTTGCCCTCCAAAGAAGGCAAGTGTGAAGGGCGAAGGAAGAAAGGAACATCCAACTACCATCCCCCCACCAAAGTGCAAAGATGATAGTAGTTGGTTCCTATATTCCCCTTCACCACGGAGTTGTCTATTCCGGCAATCCACGAGCGGTAAGCCTAGTCCTTGATAATATGTGCAGGTCGTTCGAGCGGCAAGGATCATGCGGCAGTAGACGACACAGAAGCGAGCTCATCCCGCATCTCCGTCACTACCGACTTGACTCTCTCCTCCTTGCTGATCTGCTGTGCACGCACAAGCGCTTTCTCAAAGTCAAAAACTTCTTGGGCTGCCGCGCGGAAGTCTTCTCCAAGAGAGAGCAGTGTACCGGCACCGACGAGAGCGCGGTACATAGCCTCGGGCTCCTCCACCGTGTTGATGATGTTAGTCAAATCATCAAGCAGCGTCAGGGCTCGATCAGCATTGTGGCTGGGTGATGTGAGAAGGACTGCACAATTGATGTACAGAGTAGTTATGGCCACGATCAAGTTGCGGTTACTGAGGTGCGAGTGGATGAATGGTTGGATGAGAGGATGAAGCACCTCGAACGTGCCGTCCATGATGGTCCGGCCTTCCTCCGTGCTGAACAAGTTCGCGAAGACACGGACACCAAGCATTACGTTGTTGGGCGGTGAGTCGGGAGCGAACACGCCGGCATCCCGAAGTAGATGTACGATTGTGGTATCTCCAGAACTGGTATGCGTGGCAGTAGTTGCTGATGCTGCAGCGAGAAGACGGAGAAGATCGAGACCAGGGAGTCGTTTATCGGACGGCCACGTCGTCGCGATCTTCACAGCGACGTCAATGCCAGCTGTAGAGGCAGCCTTCGCAGTCGATGCCTGTTGTAGCTGTCTACAAACAGCGGAAAGAGTTGCCAGGTCGCTCTCGTTGAGAGAGAGATCCTTAGAACCTTGGTCGAGAAGCTGTTGGTTCAGCTCTTTGATTTTCTTCTCGATGATGGCTAGATTGCCCGAGTCAATCTTGAGGTATGTGGTCTGCGGCAGAAGCTTGGGCTTCGAGGCAGCGGAGGTATTGCCAGGCGTAGCTGAGCCTACTTCACCCGGACGGTACCTCGACTCAGTGCCCCACGGATCGGAACCTGGGGGTTGAGTAGCACCCGAAGACTGTCCTAAAGTGGCGCCTTGGGTGTTCGTGACGATGAAGTTCGTAACCTGATCCAGATAAGAAATTGGAAGCTTGTTGTCCTCAATGAACTTTCGCGCCGTTTCATACGGGTTGCTGGACAGGTTGTACGGAAGTTTCAGCGGAGGCTTTCCGTCCTCGATGTCAACATCAAAGACGTAATCGTAGTCCTTGCCGTTGAAGGTGATCTTCTTTCCGCTACTGCCAACAGCGTCGACAACCGTACCAACGTTGATCCATTGCGAGGCAGCCGTGGACCATGTGTATGCTGCAACGTTTCCGTTGTCCTCCCTTATCATTTGAACCTGGCCCTCCTTTGTGCCAGACTTGGAGGTCAAGAACTCAGGGCCCGGAAGCTGCTCCTTGTTGATATTTCCGACCTGTTGTTGGGGAATGGCAGAGCCCTTGACGGCGTCGTCGAATTCCTTGATAGCGCTGGCTTCGGCCTGGCGATCTTGAGCCCGACTGAAGACACGGACAGTGCGGTCGCTGGCTCCGGTGGCGATGTCTCCGTTTTGCTGACAAACAGCCACCGACCACACCGAGATTGCAGGGTGTGTGATGGTCTGCACACATTCGGTGCCCTTCCATATTCTCACGGTCCGGTCCTCCGAGGAGCTGACGAGTTCACCGGTGGGCAGTGTCGCAAGTGCATAAATGAAGTTCTCGTGTCCGAAAAGCTCCGCAACCTGTTGTCCTTCGATGGTCCACAGTCGGATCACACCGTCGTTCCCGGCAGATGCAAACTGTGCGCCGAAGGGGTGACCTTCAGGCAGCCTGCATAAAGCTCGAACGACGTCAGGGCCGCCCTGTATGGATCGGAGAAGCTTGCCATCGATCGTGAAGAATCGGATCTGCTTATCGGCGCAACCTGATGTCAGAGGCGGGGGTCAGTCGGTAGCCGCGTTACACAAATCGCCGTTCCAACACCACTTCCTGGGGAATGGCGTACCGGTGATGACGATCTTGCGGTCGTAGGCAAGGACTGCCCAGACGCTGGCGGTATGGCCGCGTAGCACGGTCGAGGCCTCCCAGTTGCCAACCTGCCATATGCGCGCCTCAGTGTCCCAGCTGCCGCTTACAATTGTACGACCATCCTCGGCCACATCCAATGCGCACACATTGCTCTGGTGGCCCAGCAGAAGAGCTTCGGCGTTGTCTTGCGGCGTCTTCGAAGGCTGCCGGACCTCAATGATGGTGTCCTTGCCTCCGGCTACTATCAGGCCATCGGGGTAGCTGGATGAAGGGGGGACGTAGGCAACGGAGTTGACGAAAGCCGTGCCGTGCGAGGCCAGGGTGCAGTCGTAGGTAGGCGGGGAGTTGGAGAGGAGCTTCCACACCCGCACGGTGGCATCTCTAGACGCGGAGAGAACGAAGCTGGGGTCCGGGAAGGCGACGCTGCGGACCTGGGGGGCTCTGGTTTAGCATTGAAGTGCGACAGCTGCACCGAAGCTGAAGGGGGGTGCTCACGTCGTCCTCGTGGCCCGGCAGCTGGGCGGACAGCTTGAAGTCGCCCATGGGTGCAGCGGAAGCTGGGCCAATGATTTGGGGCGCTGGCGGCGGGCGGGAGAAATGATGAGGCCCGAGAGGGAGACAGCTGCAGCGCAGGATCGGAGGCCAGACGCGGTGTCAGCTGGATGAGAGGGTGCGATTAGGTGTGTGCTCGCGGGCAGCTCTGGCGACGTTCTGACGTCCTTGGCCCGTGTCGTCGAGCCATCACGTGTGGCAGGCACAACCCCGCGGTCGGGTGGCGGCGGCCACGTCTTTTGGCGCGAGACGACACTTGGGGTGCTGGGGGCTCTGACGCGGCGACTGCGCCCGCCCAACCACCCCTCTTGGCCACGCGCTCGCGGCTGGGCTCTCATCACCCTTCGCCCGCACGAGCGCTCGGCTCCGAACAGCGTGCAGCTCTGGGCCCTGGGAGGCGGTGCGGGCTGCTGCCGCTGTCTCTGCCGGGATGCCGCTGCCGCGCCGCTTCTGCAGCGTTCCCGAGCAAGGCTGGCCGTTTCCAAGCAGTGGCGGCGGCAAGGCTCACACAAGCCGCGACCATGTCTCCAGCCGCAGGCGGTACGCGCGGATGCTGCACACGCGCGGAGGTATCCAGACGGTGGCTTGCGCCAGCGACTGGGCCAGCCGCCAGCCCTGCGACCGCCTCCGGCACCTGACAGACGTGCGGCCAAGGGTGAAGGTAGGTGCCGTTCTGTTCCCGCCGTCCCACAGCATGCCCGCCCGCCGGTGATTGTCGCGTTACAGGCTTACTGCCTGTATCGCCTGACCACGCAACCCCAAGCTCGGCCTATGTCACGCCGCCCAGTTCATTGCGCAAGCTAGCTGCGCCCGCCAAGAGGGGCTCGGTGTGTGATGGTGTTTGCAAATAAGAAGCACGAAGCGCTGCTCCGCTGGCCGGTTGGTAGACCGCTTGGATCAGCATCAGCAAGTGAACAGCTATATAGCGTCTTCAGCTCCTGCCCGCATCTTTCCAGCTCTACCAGTTCCAGCCTGCACACCTCCTGTCTTCGGCGTCGCCAAGAGTGCCACTGCGCCGTTATTCGGTCTCCTGTGGTTTTGCCTGATTGAACCGCTCAAGCCACCACTGGTCCTTGGGCATACAGGCGGTGCCACTTAGCTTCCTCCAGCTCCCCCTGCGACCCTGTCGATCCTGCCGCCCAGTCTGGAAGTGCAGCTGTTGGCCACATGGTCGGAATAGATATATCAAGGGCTCCCGCGCAGCGGCCCTTCTGCAATTCAAACTCCCCCCGGGACTCCCAAACACACTTCAACTTCTATACTCCCCCAATGCCTTCCATTCAGCAACCCCCCGCGCTCAAACTCGACACCAAGATGGATGCGCCCAACGCAGAGCTCCTCACCGCATTCGCCTCGTATGCTGCCCCCATTGCCAATTACCGTTGACGAGCACGACGACTGACTACTTGGCTCCAGACTTTTCTCCTCGGGGAAATACTCAGACCTCACTGTGCAATGCGGCGAGAGAAGCTGGGCGGTCCACAAGGCGGTCATCTGCTCGCGGTCAGAATTCTTTGACGGAGCATGCAGCCTTCCGTTCAAGGAGTCGTCGACAGGGGTCATCGACCTCAGTGAAGACGACCCTGAGGCGGTGGAGCACATGATTAACTGTATGCATGAAGATGGTGTAGGCACAAGCGAGGCGGGCAGCTAACGTGGACGCTAGACTTCTACCACCTCGACTACCTTTCGAAATCGCCGAAGTCGCGGCGAGCAACACAGCCGTCGTCTCCGGCGTCCGGGCCTCGCGCGCGGGCCCAGCAGCTCAGCGCCAACGCGGCGGTACGAATGCCGGGGAAGCTGGACCTGGCCCTGGTCGAAGATCCGCTGCTAGCGCAGGCGCACGCGCAATCCGTGCCCAGTGCGATCAGCGCGACCGAGATCCCGTCGAACGCTCCCGCGTCACCGCTGCTCACCCCGCCCCACACTAATGACCGCATCGACTACTTTTCCTCCATCGACGCGAAGCTGCCCCTGTCGCCCGTCGATGCCCAGGGTCTTGACGACGATCGCCTGGACTACAGCTCGTACGAGAGTGAGAGCGAAGATGAGGCCGGCTCAGACGACGCGCCCTCGCACCTCATCGCTCACGCCAAAGTCTACGCCATCGCTGAAAAGTAAGCTCATTCTTTGTCTTGTGATGGACTGCCCCCCTCTGCCCAATTGCGCGCGCCCAGGCCCTGCGTCTGACTGCACGCCTGCCATGCCCAGCGTCATGAAACGCTCACCCCCGCTATTCGCGCGCCCGCTGCTAGCTGCAGTCATCTTTTATGCCGGACTCGGAAACTCCTTGCCCCACCGTCAATCACGTCCCAAGCTGCCTCAACCCAACATTCCTTTAAGCCTTTGAGCCAACGAGCGCCCTGCAACCCACAAAAAAAGCAAACGCTGTCGTTCACTCTCTGACGTTCCGTGGCTAACCTGACCCCCGCTCGTCGTAGATACGCCATCACCGGCCTCAAATCCCTCGCCCGCCGCAAGTACGCAGGCCAGCTGTTCGACGACAACCATTGGTCCTCGCGGACCGCCGACTTCGCCGAGTCGATGATCGAGGTCTACGAGAGCACCGTGGACACGGACCGCGGCCTCCGCGACCTCGTCATCCAAGCCTTCCGCGAGCACCCCGAGCTCGCCCGCAGCAAGGACGTCGAGCTAGTCGTGCGAGACACCCCCGGCGCCGCCTGGGAGCTGTTCAGGCTCGGCTGGGGCCTGCCAATCTGCTAGAGTACCACCGCCCACCATTCGCCTCCCTCCCCCACGCCACGCACATACGCATGCCATACCGTTCTTTCGCTCCGGCAGTTCCTCCCCGACCGATCGTTGAGGGAAAATGCCAAGGCGGAGAGCTGCAGATGTGGGGGGGGAGGGTGGTTTGCCAAATCGTCGCAGACCCGAAAACTGCAAACGCGATCGGACCCCTGCAAAAAGACACTCTCGGATGTATCGAAGCGGAAGTCCGCCGCCGACACATGCGACATGCAGGGCAAAGACAAAGCTGCAGGTGGAGGTGAATGATGGCAGTGGTGGCGAGACGCGCGGGTGCGTTGTGCTGCGCACACGTCGCTTGCGCGTTCCGCTTCCATTCGCGTCAATGGGATTGTCAATTTGTTGTCGTGTAAGGCGACACAACGGCGTTGCGCGGCGTTTTACAGGTGTCTTCTCTTTGTTTATGCAGATGTGGCGGCTTCCTCCCCGGACCCCTGATGCTCGTTACGATTTGTAGTAGTAGAGACGCACAGCGAGATTGCTTTGATTATTTTCCTTTTCCTTTTCTTTTCCGCGGAGAGCAAAAGAAACCCGGAGAAACGGCGTTCATGCACAATGCGGGTTTGCGAAGAACTCCTTTTTCGTTGGCGAAACGGCGGGATGAGGCGGCTTTGGTCGACCACCTTAGGTATTATTTGTACAATAAACTAAATTCAGAAACCGATTGAACCACTATCCAGCCAGGTCTGTCAAACGGACCCTTCAGCTCCCTCCTACTTTTTCGTCGTCTTTCCGTTTTCGTCCACCTCTCTGGTCTGGCTTTTACCTAAAATCCTCAGCTATGCTCAGCCTCCCCCTTTCTTCTTCTGCTTTTCCACCCCGGAATCCTAGCGTTCCCCTCTCTCACTACCCACCTTCTGCACAGCCCCTCCGTGTTCGCCAAGCGATAAACCACGACAGCGAAGCAGCCAAGTAGCAGTGACGCAATTTCCCGCCCCAGCAGCACATACTATGTACGGATTAAAAGTGGGACCGGAACGCTTATCAGACAGACGGGGGGCAGCGGGCAGACCCTGGTCGCACAGGGCCATCGCCAATCGTTCAGCCCCACAGTAAGTGACTTTGCTGCACCCCTTGGCTCCGCAGCAGGGCTATCCTGCAACTGCAGGGCACACCCACACACACAGAGAGAGACAAGACATTCCAGGACGGCGGCGAAAACAGAGACAACGTACGACATGTTGACACGGTGGGGGCGGCGGCAGCGCCAGGGGCGCGGTTGCAGACGATGCATCGATCAATTATCGAATCGAATATGATTGCATAGCAGAAAAAAAAAACAACGTCCGGTTTGACACGCGTGTAAAATCGCTCGATTTTCGAACCTTCTGACACATGGTCGTTCGATGAAAAAGCAACCAAGAGAAGAAAAAAAAAAGCGATGGGGGTGGGTCGGTATGTCGGTAGGTAGACGTTATGCATCTGCTGTCGCACCGCATGGCTATACCCGGAATTCACGAAGACGGAGAGAGAATCGGCGCAAGGAACAATAGGCGACGGCGGCAGGAGGCAGATCTAGAGTGGCGAAGGGATGGTGAGGGCGGGGGAATGGACTGGGCCTGGATGGAATCTTCCCCTCCCTCATGTTCTGGCCGTGCTACGTGATACGAGGCGTGGAGTGGCAGAGCATTAGGGGAGGGAGGATTGCGGGATGGATCAAGAAGGCTTGGCCAGAAGGGAAGGCTGGCTGGCTGGCTGGCTGGCTGGCTTTGTCCCGTCTTCGTAGAATAAACACGTGAGGTTCATGGATCTGTTCAAAGCTAAAATAATAATAATAATATCCAAAGCTGAGAAGTATTGCCAACAGCCACCACCAGCTGAAGAGCAGCGTGTCGGTGTGGCAATACCGCAAGCGGCAACGGGACAGGCTGAGAGGTGCGCGCCTGCGCCGAACCTCACATTTGCTTTTTCGGCCCTGCCGAAAAGACTCTCTCTAGCGATTCTCGACCCAATGGGGCACCGGGGGAGCAAGCATTGTAGGGCTCCTCCCATTGGCTGGCGGGTTGTCCAGCTGCAGCTGAACAGGGGGATTTTTCCTCTTTCCCGCAATCTTCCGCACTAACGCTTTGCTCTTTGTCCCCTCCGGCAAGTCTGGTAGGGGGCGTTCGCGCTTTCCTTGGGCGTGACTGGGATCAAGGATGAGGGGAAAGGCCTGGGAAGAGAAAGGTTAACCGGGGATCTCATTGGTTTGGTTGGCTGTGGCGTGACGGAGACTAATAGGCAAGTTACGAAAGTTTGCACACGGCGCATTTTAAGCATGCGCGCGCGAAGCAAAGGGAAGGAAAACGGGGCTTGGGAATCGGTTCGTGGCGTTTTTTTTGGAGGGTAAAATTGATGAAGAACGCGCGGTGCGCTCTTGGAAGGGCCGAACGTGCATTAATTACGTGCAATGTTTGGTTGTCGCTGCCTTGTTTTCTGTCTTTCTTTTTTCCCACTTGTCGTCGCAGATCTGTTCTGCAACGTGCAAGTTGCCGCTGCGGAGCGGTCGGGAGAGATTTACTATGTGGTCCAGGATCAGCCGAGCGACGCAGGAGCAAAGTCGTGAGGGGCAGGAAATCATGGTGAAAGCCGGGGGAGCCCTGAGAGCGGGACAGGGAAGGGAAGGGGAAAGGGGAAGAAACACAAGTAGTGTGTGGTGTGCAAGAGATGGGACCGATGGGAACGGGTGGCCAGCTAGAAGGGTGGTAGAAGTTGGAGGCGTGGGATAGCCGGCTGCCAATTCGCAGGAAGGGCGGGCGGGCGGGCTGCGGGTGCGACAGCGGTGGCACAAGGACACGCAAGTCTCGAACTCTGGCTCTCTAATGGAACAAAAGAGAAACTTGGTGAGTTTTGGACTAGAAGGTCCCTCACCGGCCATTTCCATCACTCTTGCCGCGCGCATCGAAGGGAGGGAGGGGGATCTTCACCTACAGCTCCCCACTTTCCTACCTTCTCCATGGTTCGTCGGCCTGCTTGAAAATCACAAAGACCGCGTGGACGTCAAGAGCGCCACTACGACTGACAGGCCCTCGTTGGTCCTGCTGTCGGTCATCACGAGCTGCCTTAGCTTCCTTTGAGGTTAAAACCTTCTGCAAAACCATATCTCGCGGTGCTGATGATCAAGCCTCCTACGTACCTCCAGCAGCCAACCCCCTCTCTCGTCTGCGATGGAGAGGTGGGCAAATCCCTCCGTCTTACTGACTGCCCCTCGCCTACCCCGCCAGGAGCAAAGCAAACACACCGTCACCGGCCACTGGGCGCTGTTGACGCTTGCGTAACGTTTCTCTGCCCTAATAATCAAAGCCCAGAACAGCGAAACGCCCGCGCTAGCAGTAGCTTTGCAGAGCGCTCACATCGCACGCGCCTACTCACATATCGACAGTTCATGGTGAAGGTAAACGGTGGGCGAGCAGCCGCGCGTAGCGCAGCCTGCTGTTTCCTTGCTTTTGGCTTAGAATGCGCGCGCCTGATGATATGCGCTGGCCGGGTCGCGAAGAAACATGGCGAGATAAAGTTATGGTAGTTTCTCTGCTCTGACGTGGTTGGGGGGGGGAGGGGGGGGGGGGTCAAAGAGCAGGGAGCGGCGCGTGCTTTCTTCGCGCGGGATGTGCATGATCTTCGAACGGGCCGTCCGGCGAGTCGGGCGGCTGCTGGTCCGCGGTCGGCGAGTCGGGCGGCTAAATGGTCGCCGCTTGGCACGTTGGTTGCTGTCGAGACGCGCAAGAAGAGTAAGCCTAGTAAGGTGGGCCAAGGAGTGACTGTGATGAGACCAAGGACCACGACTGGGAGCGAAGAGGACGAGTATGCCAGACGCGCCCGAAGAGGCAATGATGTGGTGGTTGGGAACGTTGCGGCGGGCACCTCGGCCGGGCACACCCTTCGCTAGCCTCGCACAAGGCCTCGGCCGAGGAGGAGGGGTGCTCGTGTGGGGGCTTGCGCCTTGCTGGCGGGTTGTCATGCGTTGCGACGACGGCTGGCGGCGGCCCAACGCTGGCTCTGGTATGGTGGAAGAAGTCAGGGGCATGATGGAGGAGCGATGGGACGACGACGCGCGGTGGAGGGGGTGCGCTTGGCGGCAGTCGGTGGTCGGTGGTCGTGATGAGCTGGAGTGATGGTTTGGGCTAGCTGTGGCGGTGCTGCTCCCGCACCGAAGTGCTTCGAGAAATGTCCTGGCCAGCACGCGCTTTGCCGCTCTGGGCCTAGCCGCCCCGCCGTCTGTGCATCTTCGCTGGCCGCCTCGAAGCTTTCTTTCCGCTCTCCTGCTCTCAAGCATTTTTCGTCGCCACCGGTCAGCACCTTCACACTTGTGCCACCACCCAGACTCGCCTGATTTCGGAAGCGGAAAGGGAAGTCCGCAGCCACCATCGGACCCTTTGACCGCGGCTGTCTTGCGCTTGGGCCCCAATGACTAATGAACGCTACAACCGCCAATTTGCTACCTGGTACTGCCGCAAACGGTGCAAAGTAGACCCTGGACAAGTAGACCCTGGTTAATTCGGACCCTGTGTATTCATCTGGACCGGGGTCCCAGAACTCCAGCAGTCGACCGGCACCACGACCCTGAAGCCCTCTCGACTGGCTCCGATCTGGCCCGGTTTAGTCGGCTTTTCACTACTGGACTCCATGACCATAGCATCTAATAAGGGCCTCCGGAGCAGGGCCTGAGCTATCCCGAGCGACTAACGCAAAATGGCAGAAAATAGTTCGGGCTTCCTAGCAAATGAGAACCCCCATTTTGTCTGAACCTTGGCATCCAGATGGTTTTTGTCGTATCATCATCTTTCTGCTTTAGCTCCGCAGACGTCGGTGTAAAGACTCACGAATTACAGATTATGTTTCCCATTCGAGAGGCTAATGCTTTACTTACCATCCTTTAGCGTCTCAATACTCAGGTTGTTATCTCCGAAACTCCATCGGTATTTGCTATCCCATCATCCCAAAGTCAACTTGCACAAACGGAACAAACACCCGACTATCCGGCACCTTCCCTCAAATCGCTTTCTATACATATTTTTTTTCTTTAGGCTCTCGATCATCTTTCACCGAAATCGCTCAACAAGCCCTAAATTCTGCATCGATATACCGATATAGCGACGGTCGCTGGGTTGGGAGATGACTTCACATTTCCACCTGAATATCCAATACATGCAACTCCACTTTTCCTCTTGAAGATCATTACACATCATTACACATCACTTCAATTCGGGATTCGAAGATTCAGCGCATACTAACAATGCGGGGATTCAATGAAGACCTGACGTTTTCAGTGACCCACACCACCCACATTCAGCACCACGGCACTCGACAACGGCGTACCCCTCCTTGCCAACTGCCGGACCTGCGTACAGCAAATATACAAATCGGGAAACCGCGCCGCTCATCCGACGCACGGTAATCAACCCAAGTGCCAGTTCCGTTAATGACTATAGGGTCTCGTAGCGCTTGTGTGGGGCAAGGCAGGGATGTCGCGAGCGCCTGATTGCCCCGCATTCCATGATACAAAGGATGCGCATCGTGAATAAGAAGTGCTGCGCGGCATGCGAGGAGAACATTCAGAATCGAGGAAGGATTGTTTCATCTTTGACCGACTTTGTATCTTACCCACCTTGCTTCCTTTGGCTGCCAATGTCTCTCTCGCGCCCTCTCGCTCTGCCTCCGGGTGTCTCCGAGTCCACTTTTCACCAATTCATCGAGAGAATCACCAAGACCACCCCAGATGTCACCATAGTAGAGTCAAAAGACCAATTCCCGGACGGCGGATACCACGAACCGCCTTCCAGCCATGATCCGTTCTACGTGCAGGACAAGGATCACTTCATTGCTTCTGCATTCGTCTGCCCGAGGTCAGTCGATGAGGTTCAGGATATCGTGCGCGCAGCGGGAGACTTTGTGATCCCTTTATGGCCAACATCCCTCGGACGGAATCTCGGATACGGAGGCGCTGCTCCGCGTGTCAGGGGCAGCGTGGTACTCAATCTCGGGAAGCACATGAACAGGATCCTCGAGGTCAATGTCGAAGGCGCATACGCACTCGTCGAGCCGGGTGTCACTTTTGAAGCCCTGCACAACTACTTGGTGGAGCACAATCTCAGGGACAAGCTCTGGCTGGACGTTCCAGATCTGGGTGGTGGATCTGTTCTGGGGAATACTCTTGAACGGGGTGTGGGTTACACTCCCTATGGAGGTATGGTTGCGTCTCTACACATGACAACAATTCATCTTGACAAGCTTGCAGACCACTTCATGATGCACAGCGGTATGGAGGTCGTTCTAGCCAACGGAGAACTTCTCCGTACAGGCATGGGCGCGTTGCCTGCGCCCAAGTCGGAGACGGAGGGCGTCACGAAATTACATGAAGAACCTGGGAACAAGTGTTGGCAGCTGTTCCCCTACGGTTTCGGCCCGTATAATGACGGACTGTTTTCGCAAAGCAACCTTGGTATCGTCACCAAGCTTGGGCTGGGAGTGAGTGACCTGTTGTCCACTACTTCGACCCGGCACAAATGCTAATGACTTCTTCCAAGCTCATGCCCAATCCTGGGGGCTATCAATCATATCTCATCACCATTCCAGGCGAAGAAGACCTACACAAGGCCGTCGAGATCATCCGACCGCTTCGTCTGGTAAGCGCAGAAGTCGCCCACCACCATCTCAGAATCACCACGTCCCTAACCCTCGCACCCAGAACAACGTGATCCAAAACGTCCCTACCTTGCGCTACGTCCTCCTCGACGCCGGCATGATGGGCCACAAATCCGACTACACCTCCTCCACCTCCCCCATCGACGAAGCCACCACCGACGCCATCGCTAAGAAACTCAACCTCGGCCGCTGGAACTTCTACGGCGCCTTATACGTACGCACCTACCCCCCCTCTTCCGTCCCCACCGCCGCGCTAACAAAAGACCCCTCCCCCTCCCTCCCTCCAGGGCCCCCCCGAAATCCGCACCGCCATGTGGAAGCTCATCCACGCCGCCTTCTCCGCCATCCCCGGCGCGCGCTTCTTCTTCCCCGACGACGTCGCGGACCCGCGCGCGGTCCTGCACAACCGGCACAACGTCCTCCAGGGGATCCCGTCGTACGAGGAGCTGCGCTGGGTCGACTGGGTGCCCAACGGCGCGCACGTCGCCTTCTCGCCCATCTCGCGCATCTCGGGCGCCGACGCGGCGCGCCAGGTCGACCTCGCCAAGCGCCGCTGCCGCGACGCGGGCTTCGACTACATGGGCACCTTCACCGTCGGCATGCGCGAGATGCATCATATTGTTGAGATCGTGTTCGATCGCACGGACGCGGGGCAGAGGAAGAGGGCGGAGGCGTTGGTGCGTGGGTTGGTGGACGAGTGTGCGGCGTTGGGGTGGGGCGAGTATCGGACGCATTTGGCTTTCATGGATCAGATTGCGGGGACGTATGGGTGGGGTGGAGGCGCGCTGGGGAGGTTCAATGAGAGGGTCAAGGAGGCGTTGGATCCGAAGGGGATTTTGGCGCCCGGGAAGAGTGGCGTGTGGGGGAGTCGGTTTGGGGAGTTGAAGGGGAAGCTTTGATGGGAGTGGGTTGGCTTGCGGATGGGGGATGTTTGGGAGATTTCTTTTGCGGTTTTTCTTTCTTTTTTTGTCGCCGTGCTTTCTGGTTCTGATTGGTATCAAAATTGAACAGATATAAGCTGGGATTGATAGTACAGATCTGAAAGTCACCATATGGTCGAATGCTCGTTCAGATGGCGTAAATTGTGCAACCCAGGGAATAGAGGTTATGAGCCAAAGAAAATGATAAACATACGGTATGCAGATGTGATTGGCATGAGCGACAGGTATGCTTTGTTTCCAGCGATGGCATCCTCATGTCTTTTGCTCGTATTTAGTCAGCTAGACGGCAGCGGCATATATCCAGTCTTGAAACTCATTCTGTGGGCCAATCCGCTGCATTCTCCAGAATGGGATTGAAGACCTACCAAATCCATGCGATATTGAGCTCGAGGATATTGCGGACAAGGCCGATAAGGCGGAAACAGAGCTTGTCTCTCTGCTGGAAAGGTTAAGCGTACCGAAAGATGCAGAATAAAGGAAGCGGAAGACGGCCCGAGTGGTGGTCAGGAGCCTGCGAAAGCAAGAGAAAGTACGGAGCTTGGATGATCGGCCACAGATCTTACAAGCAATGCTGAATTTATGGAAGCTACAAGCAATGAGGTCAGGATGCTCCAAATAGGATCTGTATACATGTTGAAACATCGCCACAGGAATGAGACATCCACTGTTCAGAGAAGCATTGAAGAACTTGACAGACACCACGAAAGCCCTTGGCTCAGAGACGGCTCAATCACTTGGACAAATGGAACAGACTCTCAGTAAGATCGAAGGATTGATCGAGCAAGATTGGAACAACGAGGAGGCCAATTCTTCCACTTTGACGCCGGATCTCCCGCAGGTAGTAGGCCCAACCGCATATTCTGGAGAGATTCCAGGCACAATCAAACGCTATTCAATACCTGGATCCGTGCAAGGCCTCACACCAACTGAGAAGATGGGATCCAGAGAAAACGAGAAACAGAGATGGAATAAGCAATTCGACAGTGACCTGAAGTTCATAAACAATTGATGTTGGTCTCATATGAGGCAAAACACCTCTCGGGAGTCCACGAGTTCCTGCTCACGCTCCACAACCTTAATCTGGATCGACGCTTCAGTGATGTAGAGGACGAGTACTCCGATATCTTTGGATGGATGTTTGACAATCCAGATCATAGATTCCGATAATGAACAATCACTTCAGTAAAACATATTTACGGCTCAAGGGTCGGTGCATGGACTTTTTCCATTCTCCAACAATTGAAATGCGAATGGACAGTGAGCTGCCGTTACGCGGAACCGAACAGGTCGAGTTCTTCCACCGTGCCCCGAATGACTTTCTATTGTATTGTAAAGGAAGCAATGGTTGGAGGACAATGCGGGGATAAGGTTTAAAGCCTACCATACATACTACACGCAAAGCAGCTCTCGGATCACTCAAGAGCTTCCAAACTATCCCGGAAAACCCCGAAAATCATGGCCTTCACAGTTTTTCGGTGGACCTCACGTACTTAGTTCCTGTGGCATAAGAGTCTGAATCATTACACAACAGGCCTCTGCTTACGGAACTTGATAAGCCAAAGAGATGCTTCGCACGAATTTGTCAGTCATTTTTCCTTGGAAATCTGTCAGACGGTGATCGCAGACGGTCACAGGGTGAAGCTGGTGGATCTGGATGATTCATTGTACGCTGATGCTATCTGGTGTTCATATACAAGAACGAATAAAGGGGCAGCGATCGTAGCAAGGGGCATCAAGGGAGGTGACTAAGACATCATGATGTTGAATACCCTTCTGGGTTGATGACGACGTTCATCCTCACGATGAGCATGCGCTTCATCGTCATTGAATACGTGTGATCTTCATCTTTCCTTGGAGATCACACCATATATATGCTTTGAAACAGCCAGAAAATGGTATTCGAACAGGCTTGGCATTGCAAGCGATTCCATCTTTTGGATTACGGGGCCGATTTATTTGTGGCAATTCCATGGGATATCTCAAACGACGAACGTTGCTCAGGCCGTAGCATTGAGACTATGCTCCAGCAGTTGTCGGTTCCTTCAGATGATCCGCTCTGCGAGAAGCTAGCGCAGAAACGAAAGCAGAGTAAGAATTAAGGGCAAGGTCCGGGGCAGACTCCGACGGAGACTTCATTGAGGTGGTGTGGATGTCAATACGACAGCTCCAGTGTGAAACCGTTCTGGCTGAACGCGCAAGGGGTTACGGCGATCCTGCGCGCGATTGACGTTTTTGGTCTCGGCATTTCAGGCAGCAATGATTGACAAGCAAGAGAGATGAAGAGGTTGAAGGCGAAAGGCAAGCGACGAGGTTCACCAGCCTTCATGGCGGTTAAGGCAGCAGGATTAGTTGTGAGTGCCCCATCAGGTGATTCCCCGCGTCAAGTAAGTGAGTGGCACTAGAGGCGGAACGCGCAATTGGCACTTACTCGGCTACCTGCTGCATGCAGATATGGGTAGTTGAAGGATTCATCTTGATGTGGATGTGAGTTTACAAATTCCACAAAGACACCCAGACAATGTCTTCGACTACCAGGCCAGCGTTAGCCAAAATCCGCCAGCCTGTCTTAATGCCAAGGCCGCCGATAAATCGGCTAGTCCCAATTAAGAAATTCCGCAGGTAGCAAACAGCACAAAGGAGCAGCCAGCAAATAGACCGTATACGTTCATAAGCTCATTATATTGGTATCATTACTGCGGTGCTCCGTCCACCCTTCACTCGCGTAGCGGGTATCGCAGGCGAGACTCGAGAAAAGAAAAGAAAATAGGTATCATATCGACCCCCCCTCTTTACATGCACCACCCATCTACTGGGAATCGCCAATGTTCTCCCTCTGCTTCTCGAAGGTAAAGACCTTCTTGATCCTGAAAGCGAGCAGGTCGGACGTCGTTTCCTTGACCTGAGCCCAATTCTCGGCGACGATCTCGCGGGTGGGCCTCTGGAAGATGAGATCAATCTCCTCAAGGGTCTTGTCCTTGGTCTCAGGCATGAAGAACAGCTGGTAGAACCAGCCGAGAATGGCAATGCCGCCGTAGAAGCCGAGAGTAAGACCGATACGTGTCATGGCCTTCTTCATGCGGTCGAAGTTATAGGTGACGATGAAGGATGACAGGAACAGCCAACCATCGGATGTAGTCATGCCATAGGACCTCAAATACGTCGGATAAACTTCTGCAGGAACCACTAAAATTTCACTCCGTTAGCTGTCTACGTTCAAAATGATATCAAAAAGTTGTTACTTACCCCATGTGAGGGTGGCGTAGGAGCCGAAGAAGCCCTGGTAGACGATGATACCAGTAAGGTACAGACCCTGCTGGGCGACGTTACTGCCGCCGTACTCAGACACACCGCAGAGGATGAGACCGATGAAGAAGCCGGGAAGCATAGCAATGGCCCAGAAGCGGCGACCGCAGCGCTCCATGTACAGGACAGCAGGGATGGTGCCGAGCAGGAGCGAACCACCGCCAACGAGAGACATGTAGTTGGCCTGGATCTTGTCGAAGCCAATGTCGCTCATGAGCACCGACATGTAGTACATGATGGCATTGATTCCGGTAAACTGGCCGAGGAAGATCATGATGTTGGCGTAGATGATGGCGCGGCGGGCACGGGGCACGGTGATGAAGTCGAGCCAGGGGAAGCGCCTGTTGCTGGCACCGGCCGCCACCTCGGCGTCCTCCTGCTCCTGCGAGGCCTTCATGACGAAGAACTCCTCGCGCGAGTCGGCCGTCTCGACGCCGCGGATGCGCTTCCAGACCTTGAATGCCTTGAGCGTCTCGCCCTTGTGCATGTAGAAACGGGGAGACTCGGGCATGAAGAGCATTCTGCCGCAGTGTTAGATGACAGTTACGGGTAGAGTAAGCGGGGTTGGCTTACCCAATAAGCATAATAGTGGAGAAGACCAGGGAGGAGCCAAGGATGTAGCGCCAGTTGCCGGGAACCTTCAAGAAGATGGCCGCAACGACGTAACCCAAGACCTCGCCCAGAGCAATGTTGAACTGATACAGAGAGACCATGTTTCCACGGAGTCTCCTCTCAACCGTCTCGGCGACGTAGACGGGGACGGTGCCGCCCTCCAAACCAACACCAACGCCGAGCAAGAGACGGGCGACGACGATCATGGCGAAGTTGATGGAGCCGGCGCAGAGCGCGCCACCAATGGTGTAGAAGACGCAAGAGATGATGATGGACCAGCGACGACCGAACCATTCGTTGGCGGGCGACAGCAGCAGGGCACCGGCGACGGCACCGAGCGGCATGCCGGCATTGACCAAACTGTTCTGGGAGTCGGTGAGACCGAGATCCTCAGGCAGGAAAAGGTTCGCGCCGGAGATCAGGGACTGGTCGAGACCCGAGAGCAGACCGCCCATGGAGGCGAAGGTGACCAGCAGCCACGTGAAATGCTTGGGGTTCTTGAACTCGAGGTCAAAGACACCCTTGGTGTAGCCCTCGGCCTTGTGGTCGTCCTCCAATTGGCGAATCAGAGCGTCGACCTCCCAGCTGCCGTTCTTGGCCTTGGCAATGGCATCGGCCTCGCTCTTGACCACGGGGACGCTGCCGGTGCGGACAGCCTCCTCGACCAGCTCCTTGTTGTCGGGCGCGTGCTTCTCCACGTGGGAGGCATCGGCGATTTTGTCCTCGGATTTGATCTCGGACATGGTGGGAAGAGTTGCCGGATCAAGCAGGGCGGGGGGTGGAAAGAAACAAAACCTGCCGGGTAAATGAGGAATTGAGGCGGAGGAGTGAATGGGGAAAGAAGAAGCGCCTTGACTGCGGGCCGGCAAGGCTTTATGGGCGCGGGGACTGGGGACTGGCGACTGGGGCGGGAGGGCGTGGAGACTCTCGAGGGCAAAAAGCTGGTCACCCCGGGCCCCGCTGGGCGGACTGCGGAGGACTGGAGCGCCCCGTCGTTCGCTGGACGCCGGGCCGATTTGCAGAGGGAGCGGCGGCGCATGGGAGCGCGGTGCTGGGGGCTAGCACCGGAGCTGACAGGCGTGTTGGAGGGGTGCTCCGTTGCTGGAGGTCACTTGTGCGGCTCCGGACGGCCAGTGAGCCAACCATAGCGTGATGTCGGCGGCTGATGGGCGCGCGACGCCTCTTCACACAGGCCAGCCCGCCGGTGCCCGCCTAGTCGTGGTGGCCGCCGGCCGTGCCGCGTCGGCGCCTGCCACCCGCAACGGTGCCTGCTCGGCTACTCTGCCGTTGCCGACACCACGCCTGCCGACGCTGGATAATCGCGCGCCGCGCCTGTTTTGTTGAGATGTGCGCCTGCGACGCCATCAGCCAAGGGCGGGAGGCGGCTGCTTGACGGGCTCTTGCGCGCGTCTGGGCACGCTTGCGCACGCTTGTCCGCTGCTTGTCGTTTGCTGGGCGCGCCCGAGCCTGGGCGGCGGCACAGCGACCGCGGTCGGGTCGTATGCAGCATGCGTCGTTGCGGCCCACATGGCGGGCTGGACGGCCGGGCTGGACGGGCGCGCGCAATAATCGTCGTGGCGTGAAGGGCGCTCTGGTGGTCGTATGTGGCAAGTGCCGGCGCTGCAGGCATTTCGGGAGTGCAGGACCCACTTGCGCTCTCCAGGTGGAGCGCGGTGTGCTCCCCGTGGCACGTCGTCGGAGAAAGTGCGGGCGCGGAGAGAAAGGGGGGCTCCGCGCTTCGCCTGCCCCTCCCCACGGGAATCAGCCTGCGACGGCGGAGATCATGAGCCTCCAACACTTACCCGGACGAACAACATCGCGACTTTCACCACAACCGCTGGCTAAAACCCACGATGCTCAGCCTTACCCGAACAGATCTCCCGCACGCGTCAAGCCAAGCAGCCTTTCCCGCAGCCACCCCTTGGCCGCTGCGATTTCCGGAACCTTAATCGCACCAACGACGCTCGGGGCCATTTAAAGCCCCCAAAATGCCCCAGGCCTGTCCTCCTGACCCTTCCTCTGCCTCAAAACCCTCCAAGTCCCCTCGCCCTCTTCCGACTTCAACACCACTGCGAACTGTTGTTCGTGTCGCCGTGCACGTGACCCCTGCCCCATTGGGGAATCCGGAGAAAAAATCCTGGGGAAGCACCACCCCAGGTGCGCTATCGTATGACGTCGTGAGACATTTTCTGCGCGAAATTCTCGCTCGCTGGCCTTCTCTCGCCTTGCCCAAAGAAAATTGACTCGCCTCGCTTGAAATGAAGGGAAGGCCGTTGGTGTTGCCGCCGTCGCGCCGCATGGAAACGCAATCCCGACATTTGCCGGCCTCATATCCATAAGCGGTGAAGTTGTACGAAAGCTCAGGCCCACCCCTTACCAAAAGGATGCAACCCGTCCATGGAACCCTGCTTTTTTCTCTTTCTTTTTCCCCGTCCACCACTCCTCTGACAAGTGATGCTTTCTGCACCGGCCGTCTTCGCGTTTCGCTCGCGGGCGATCCTACGTCAGTCTCTCTTCGGCTTCCCGCCTGAAAAAAGCCATCGGCACTTTTCGGTCGGCCGCCAGCCTTGGTCATGGCAGCAGCTCGGGTCCTGCCTTGGCTGCCGCACACTGCGGAGCCCCCGTACTGTGAAAAACTTTCAAGATGGATGATGAGCAGGCACGCGCCGACTGGAGATCCGGAGCGATATCTCGCAAGTCTCCAGAGTTCTCCAGTCTTCCTGTTTGACCATGGGGTCGCGCCAAGTGCGCGGCCTCGGAGGCACCTTGACAAGGATGCTTCCTGCACTGACGCCCAACAACCCGGTTCCCACTCTTGCTGAATCTGTGCCGCCTCCCGCTGGGAATGATGATGATTGTTCACTGCCGGCGCGGGGCGGACGACGACGACGACGACGATGACGGAGAAAATGGCCCTGGCAGCAACGATCTCACAGCGATGTTTCGCCGTGCTTGACTCGCACGCCCGAACACGCTAGAACGCACTCAGTGCGAGAAGATGTTCATCGCAGGCGTCTTTCCTGGCTCTTCGGCACTTGTGCGGGTGAATGCGCCATGACCCTAGAAATCCCGGGCGTTCGTTCCTGTCGTCGTGAAGGGGGGTGATCCCTGCCCGCTGCATCTGCTCACCGGAGCCGACGACCGCCCTCGAACGTTCCCATGGCTAGGGCCTCGAACAAACACTTTTTGGCCGGTGAGGCTCTCGCACCCAGGTCACAGCGGTTTTCTGCGTAGTCGCATGGCTGGCGCCACCCGAGGTGGCCGGTGAAGACATCTCGGAAAATACGCTCGACCACTAACGCATTGAGGTGCGGGAAAGCGAGGAAGCGACGACCGCGACCGGGTGACAACCGCGAGAGAAGAGACAGATGCCACGGCCTGGAGTGAGGGCAACAAGGGCGTGATCCTCCCAAGTCTCCCGGCAATGGCCTGATGGGGTTGTTCTGGAATCTGTGGGGTGACTGACAGCCATTGGTGGATCATTCAAGCGACGCGTTGGACGAGTAAGCCCGTGACTCCCCTCAAAGCACGACCATTCGAAAGAGGCGCTTACAATAATAACGTTGTACGCTTTCTACGGTTGGCATTTATATCCCCACGCACGAACCGAACGTCGGTAGCGTTTTCCAACGACCGCCATCAGTCTTCCACCCTCAGTCTCCAGATGTCGCGACAGAAATAGTCTCTTGGCCCCGGAACACATGGACCTGACACCATGCCACCCGAGTGCAGTGGAATTCTGCAACAGATTTTGCATCATACCGTGAACATGATGCCCTGGTGGTTGGGTTTGCGGCTGGAGTGCCGTATGATTTCAACGAGATGTAGTTGCTGTCATTACTTACTGGCTTGACTAGACGCGCATCCAAGTAGGGGTTTGCTGATGACGAGCAGCGGATGGTCCAGCTTGAAGCGTTTGCGAACCCATATTTGTATGTGGGATTTTCCCAGATCCAGAAAAACTACAGCTGAGTAGTCGGATGCTTAGACCAAACGCTCTGCTTTGAAAACGTGAAATTCCAGCTGCGGTTTTTCATTGAGTTGTGGCTTCTGCGAGCTTCGGAGTGCCAAGTGCGGCGAATGTACATGCCATTAGAAGAGCGACCCTGTTTGTCACGGACGATGGAGAGTTCGCACACCAGTCCATTAGCATTTACACTCATCACCACATGTGATGTAGCACTGCCAATGAGCGAGTTGAATGGAGATTCCGGGCAGATCGCAATTGCGATGCATCCAGCCAACGGTGTTATCGTTTGCAGAGTGCATTTAAATATTTCCAGCAAGTTACGACGATTCTGTTTGATTAACAGTACGGCAGCGAGTATGAGAGCATAAGGTTCTCTCATCAAGTATAAACGAGAATAGAGTTGCAGGGATCGATTGTCTAGACTGTACAGGCGCGGATGCTCAAGGTTACCACCCGGCGACTCCCGGCCGCGGTTTGGCGCTGATTTAGTACCAAGTCTTCTTGCCCTGTATTTTTATCAGAATTGGTCCGCGGACTACAGAAGAACCAACGTACCAAAACTTGGCGGCCCATCATGTACATGCTAGCGGCGAAGCCACCCCAGAGCATGGCGTAGTAGGGCATGAGGATAGCCCTGCTGCGGGGGGTCTGGCGAAAAGCATCAGCCCAGATCCAAAATGCGGTCCCAACCCCTCTTCATAATGTGATTTAAGGTATGCGGGATGACGTAGAATTCGGCATGGTGTGCGGCTCGGCGGTGTTCAGCGGAGACAGCCGGTGGAGCTCACCTTGTTCCACTGCCTGATGCCGTCGTGCTTCTGGAAGAGGCGCTGGTAGTGGGGAACGCGGTTCTCGCGGTTGACGAAGCTGCGACGGAATCAGCAAGCTGCGGGGATACGGAAGGGATAGCCAGGCTCGGTCGGGTCCCGCAGGCGCGGGGGGGCGGTGGGCGCGCGCGGGTCGGGACCATTGCAGAGCGGCGAGGCGACTTACCCGGCCATGGTGATCGAGTTGGTGGAGGCGGAAGAGCGGAGATGATGCAATTGGATGGGCTGTGAGCTTGGGGATGGCAGAGTCGTTGTATCGACTGATCGCGAAGCGCGCCAAGCCCGGGGCCCGGATTAACTGCCGGCCCGTCGCCGCAGCAGCAAAGCTTGCCTTGGCGCGGATTTGTCCATGAGCAAGAAGATTCGTCTCTCCCGCCGTCACCCGTTTGCGCCCTTGACGACCGTTCCGATGTCATGTCGGAGGGCGCCTTGCTAAATCTCGACCACACCAGGCAATGCGCATTGCATTGGACCGGCTGCTCGCGCGATCGTCGATCTTGCGAGTTCACCGACTGCTCAAAACCGAAGAAGAGCTCCCGTCCGCCTCCGTCTCCCGCGCGCATTGCCGATTGCATCCTACAAAAGCCTCGATTGGACAGCAAAGGGTCGCAGGGCGCGCCTTTACATCTTCCAGAGTGCGCACAGAGGAAGAGCCGCATGGATCTGGCGCAGTTTCTGGAACCAATGCCATTAGCCACACCTCGTCCTCAGCCATCAGTGGCGAAGGCACCAAGGATGCCGTCAATATTTCTCCGGACAAATGGATCGAGTCTCTACAATTCAGACAAAGACTGTATGGAAGTGACGGAGTTCAGGCCGTCTGGAAAGAGCTGAGGCAGAGCGATGTGGATCTGCCAACTACCGGTCGTTCTGCACGATCCCTCTGGGGGACTTTCCTCGCTGACAAACAACTGCTTCCCGAGGTGGTCGCCTATGCCGAGGATCTAAGGGAGAGGACAAACGCTTTCTACAGGCCGCTATACGAGACTGTCATCGGCCGTTGCTTTCACGAAAACAGGTCCCAAGACGTTCAGCGGTGGCATCACAAGCTGTACCAGGCATTCCCTCCCCGAGAAGGTTCCATGCGCCTTTTTGCCTCCAAGGCCGACAGTAATGCCTATGTGGAGGCCTTCTGTTACATCTACGCTCGACATCACGAACGTAATGTCTACGACGTCCTCATCCCTCGTCTTTGCAGCAGGAATCTGTGGCGCAGGGCGCTCCGGTGTCACAAATGGCTGATCAAAATGAAAGACTTCCCGGCTGGAACATCCACGGCCTCCTCTGTAGAGCTGACATTCCAGGAGCTCTTGCTGGCCAATGGGCAAAGGCACAACGCCAAGCACAACACTGTGGCTGACACCCGCGACCACAACATGTCGTTTTCCAGAGAAACTATGAACATGGTCCTTGGAGAAGTACATGGGATACCACCAAAGCAAATGGACGACCACTTTTGCGCTCGAATTTTTGCCACCAAGGCTTTCTCAATAGACGTCATCATCCGCGGTTTGGGCATGTTTGGAATTGACGAGGTGGGCCCACTGGCATTGCGTGAAATGGCTTCGAGAACGGTAGATCCTGAGCAGATATCCCATCACATTCAAACGTTGAATGAAGCAGGAATTTCTATTGGCCGCTCTGTCTACTCTCAGGCTCTTCAGAAATTTGCTCATAGTAACCGGCAAGATCTCATCATGTCCTTGATTACGACAGATCAGCATCCAGACGCTTTTGAGGACCATGGCCTGCAGCGCAAGTTGCTCAGTACTTTTGTTGAAAGAGGAAGCTGGGACGAGGTGCACCGGACCCTGGCCATTTTGACCATCTTCCATCGCGATCCAGTCAGGGAGCAATGGAATGTTTTGGTGCAGAAGCTTGCCTCTTTGCGGCTTCTACAGATGCTTTGCAAAGTCCTTGAAGACATGCTGGCACAGGGCGTCTCTCTTACAGAAGCGTCTCTAAGTGCACTTCAAGTTTACCAGCTTCGTCCGAGAACTTCATCCAAGGCGCCTGTCCCGGGTGCGCTGGACTACGACGACACTACATTAATCGGAAACATTTTGCGCAGCACACTTGTAGCCGGTGGCGCCGTGGGCCCTCGGCGCTGGATCGAGATCTTCAAGCGCTACGGGATGACAGAACGGTTCGATGACGTTGTCAAACTCGCGTTATGGCTCGCCGACTGGTACTCTCTGGACAAGATCCACGCCAGCCCAGGAACCCTTCAAAGCATATTGCAACGCAAGCAACAAGCGTTGCAACCCATCATCGACCGTGCCCTCCCACCAACCAACCCGCTGCATCCTCTCCGCCAGATCTTCACGAACCAACAACTTCGCGCGTTCGTCGCTTGGGGCATTCGTCGCGCCCTGATCCTCCCCAGCCCGGTCGACCCGGAAAAGAGTAAGAAACCACCGCATTACTGGGCACAAGGACTCCGACTTTGCATGGCCCTTCGTAAACGCGGCGTACACGTCAGCTCAAGGGTCGTGACAGCCGAGCTTCGTTTGCAATTAAGTCATCTATTTGGTCATTACGAGAGCGTCCGTGGCCACAACCGCCGCTCTGCTGCCAATGTCCCATACTCCCTCCTGGAGATGGTCGAATTTGCAAATCAGATGTGGGCCGAGGGGGCTGGCAAGCCTTTGATGGATCCGAGGGAGTTGACCAAAGGACCGTCACATCATTTTGGATTTTGGTGGGCGAAACGGTTGAGGTGGGATGTGCTACGGCAGGCTCAGGCAGCACTCCGTGAAGAGGAGTCATCGAACTCGACAGGTTATGACAAGATTGATATGGCCGCGATGCAGGGGAGTGAGAAAGATTTTGTGAGCAGTGGTATTTGGGAAGATATGGAGGCGACCGATTTCCGTCAGACGCAGGACGCCAGCCACGAGATTATGTCAACACCGGACCAAGATCGTCTTCGATCGACTTCGACTTTCGAAGGTCCTTCGGAAACATCCCTTTCTGAACCTGTACACAAGAAAAAAACCTAGAAGCGATAGGTAAAAGTGGTAGTTGTGTCACAGTACAAAGAGCGGGACCATGTCGCAGAAGCATCAGAGGCATGGACGGCGAATATGCTATTTCGACGTCGGAAGGGAGTACAACGATGCTTAAAAACAGGTTCAACAGCGCTCCAAAAAAAAAAAACCATGAAGTAAATAAATGTAAAAAATCGTCTACAACCTCCACGCTCACTTCCGTAGCAACGGCCACACCCGTCCATCCTCCCTCCAACCACTCTCAAACCCTCGACAAAAACTTGCACCACCCATCCACAAACCTCAACCCAGACAAGCCTTCCGGCCTGCCCGCCGCCTCACCCCAACCAACCCCGTCTCGCTCCTCCTCATCAAGCCTCTCTCCCTCCCATTCCCAATCACCATCCTCCCACCCACCACCACCACCTCTGCCATCTGTCCCCGCCTCCCCCGCCGCCAGCTCATCAGCACCCCGGCCCTCCTCCTCCTCATCCTCCTCTCCCTCCTCCTCTCCGACATCCACCCACCCCCCACTCACCTCGCGCTCCGACCTCGCACTCACCCGGCGCGAGAATGTCGTTTGAGCGCTGTCGTCGGTTTCTGCGTCCTTGTCGTTGCCACCGCCACCGGTGCTGATGGCGGCGCGGAGGTGCGATGGAGAGCTGGGGAGGCGGTGGCGGCGGCTTTCGTGGTGCCTGGGGGGAGGGCGTGGTGCTGGTGTTGTTGGGTGGTGAATGTGGCTGTCGTGGGTGCGGCTGTCGTGGTGTGCGTTGGGCGAAGGTTTGGCGGCGGCGACGGCGGCGGCGGCGGCGGTTGTGGTGGTGGGTGTAGCGGGCGATGATTCGGTGGGGGGTTTGGCGGGATCCATCCAGCGGGGGCGGCGGCGTGGCTTGGTTGCTGGCGCTGGTGGTGGTGGTGCTGGTTCTGCCGATGGCTTTGGCGGACGTGGTGGTGTGGACGTGGTCGACTGTGATGGACCTGTTGGATGCTTGTGGATTTTTGGCTCTTTCACTGAACTGCTGGGGATGGGAGCAGCGGTTTTGGAAGCGCTTGGCTGTTTTGCTATTGTCGCGGGCACTGCTGATGATGGTGTTTTGGTGAGGTTTGGCTCGGGCTTGCCGTCGTCAGATTGCAGCGGTGGGAACCATCGCGGGCGTCTGTGAGCTGCTTCTGACTTCTGTGTCTTTGAGATTTCGCTTGCTGACTCGGGAGGTTGTGTGTGCCTGTCCTGACTCTTCTGGGGTGAGTCTAGCGGAGGAAACCACCTTGGGCGACGGAGACGACCTCCCGGCGCGGGGCTCTGGGGCGTTTGAGACATCTTCGGTTTGTGCAGGTTACGAGCTAGAGAGGTGCCAAGGCGCGTATGAATAGCAAAGGAAGTAGGGTGTATGGGCTCTGTGTCTTCCACAGACCTTGGTGTGTGAGCGCGGTTGAATCTGTTACGTGGCTACTACCAGGTGTAGTGACATATACTGTTTTTCTGTCCTTCACTGCCCGCCGCAGGTCGTCTTGTGTGATCTATATTATGTAGTTGAGCTAAAGTCGAGGGTTTTACTTGTCACGATGCTCAAGTACGCGTTGTGAATGTTGAATCAGGGTTTTCTCATGGTTCCATTACCATGGTTAGAAGTGACAGCTCTAGATTCAGCGTCGCCTATAATTCACCGCTATCAGACAAAGGGCTAGTCTAAAACAGAACGCTCCCAACAGGGTCGTTCTAATGACAAACTGAGGATGAAACTTCTTCAAGGTATTGTGGTAAGTGAGGTATGACAGAGACATGATCCTTAAAAGGCATTCTCGGGACCATTGTCTTGCTCATTGGTCTAAGATGTGCAACTGCCCCAAGTAAAGAAGAGAAAATTACTTATGCGACGTTCTCCGGCGATAGAATGCGTGAGCGGAAATTAGATAATTAGATGATGCGTCTATTCCAGCGAAGTGGAAACGTGAGGTTTTGTTAATGCGCAGAACCAATGACCGGCATCCAATCGGAAAGTCGCAATATGAACATTACCTGCCCGCGCATAGGATTAGTGAGCTTCATCTCTCTTTACAAGGTCGTTATTGTAGAAATGAAAATGCACGTTGTAGCAAGTCCACGGGTAATCCAAGTATTTTATTGAGCTGAATCTGGGCGGGACCGTTGTAGCACATGACGGACAGGCCAGTTCCTAGAGGATCGCAAATACATAGCCCGAGATATTGACCTGTCAACCCTAAACATGATCACAGGAGATTTGGAGGAGACTGGATAGCTCTGAATTAGTTTTGATGCATTTGTAAGGGACTATTCAGTTGCTGAAATGGATTAGCTCTTGAGATGTAGTGCCGCGGCACGTGGACAAGCGTAAGTGTCGATTGCTTGCGACGGTGTCCTAGCGGTCGGAGCGCCTCGGGCAGAGAAAAAGTGGCAACCTTTAAAGACCGCCGGTAGCGCGCAAGTGTGGAATGAAGGTAGAGTAAGCCGCAGACTGATCTAGAAGGCTTGTCACATGGGCAGCAAGAAGCGGAGAGGGTTGAAGATGCAGCGGGGTGAGAATTTAAAGTGGGACACTGTTTCGGGTAGAAGCTGCGACCTCTGAAACGGGGTTCCGGATCACTGGGTGCCCCTGCAGCAGGATTGGGGAGATTCTAGAACAGCCATAAAACGGAACGCACGCCGAGTACCACGTGGAGGCCACTTTGCGGCGAAGCATGCCATGGAAGCTTCGTAGAAGGCGAGATGAGTGAGCGTGCGCCCGCACGCATCCCCATTTACTCAGTGAATTGTTAGGGAGCGAGGCAACCCCCCGTGCAGTTACCAAGCGCTGTTCTATGCGGCGTGACATCCGAACCCCCTTGGCTACACGTGTGCAACGTCGCGTGGGCGGGCTGTTTGCGTCAGCAACGGAGGCCTGCTCCTTTCCATGCTAGCAAAACGACTTCATGCAGCGACGTGCTCCAATCCTTTCGGACTAGAAGCGGCTACAGGCATTTTTACCTGACACACACGCAAGACCAGGGCGAATGAGGGCCATCAGGCCATCTGGAATAGGGGATAATGTGTCTCGTCAGCAGGCCAAGAGCTGCATGCCTTGAAGTGGAAGCTTGCCCCAACCTGCATGCAGCCGTCCAAGCGGCATATGCCAGTCACAATTAGCGTCCCCTTTAGCCTGTCGGAATGCTCGCAGTGAGGCGTCGTGCTGGGGTGTGTCCAGAGCTAGGCATGGCCGACATTCAGTCCGTTTAATCTCCCTCTGACTTGAGCATTTGAGCCCCGACGGGTTGCCTGTCTGCACGCTGATTTCGATTAGTCTGCATGGGGCGGGGGCCATTTCGCAGCCACGCGATTTGAGCCGCAGCGCCGGACGGAGGCTTGGACGAGCTGCGCTTGCGAACGACCCAGGCTGTTGGAAACGAAGTACGGGAAGATGCGGGAATCACCCCACATGGACAGAAGCACGGCGCATGGAGGAGCTGGTTCAGCGGCATTTCCGAATCGTATTCGTCGATCTGCTTAGCCACCCACACGTGACGGCCAGCCGCCTCGTGGCCTCCCTATGCGGCGTGGCTGGCTTCTCCACAGCGCGCTGGGAGATTGGCCTCCTGATTCAGAGGCCGCCAAGGTCAGCCCCAGGCGGCAGTGCGGGCTCCTGCGCGGAAGTCGGCAGCAGCCTGGTGTCCCTTTGTCCGTCGCGACGCGACGCTACTCGGCCGTCTCCTGGGCGGCGTGGTCGGCCTGGAGCAGCTTTTCGACGGCGGCGACCTTGTCCTCGAACGACTGCTTCTTGTCGGTGCGCGAGCCGACGCGGATGTCGCTCTGGATGCGCACGACGCCGTTCTGGTGCAGCAGCGCGTGCGCCTGACCGATGACGCGCATGACGTCGTCCCACGAGCCCTCTGCGCGATACGTGGTGAGCGTCACAGCCTCACGCACAGCGCCGCCGGCGACTCACGTACCCAAGGTAGTTCCTGCACTGTGCATGCTGTAGTGGAGCCCGGAGCGCTGCAGCAGGCGCTGGACCGCGGCTACCTCGCGCGACACGGAGGCGGTCGGGGTGCCGAGCGGGATGAGGCAGAAGTCGGCCGTGCAGGCGGGCGGCGTGGACAGCGCGGAGAGGTCAGGAGAAGGCATGGCGCTGGACGGGCGGTTATATAGGCAGGGCGGTTGATGAGGGGCGCTTGACGTGCATTGGAGTGCGCAATGCGCGCAGCCGCCTATTATTAGGAGAATGGCCGCGGGGCTGCGGACCCTGGTCGTCTGACGCAAGAGCTGATCCCCATGTAGGGCTTACCCATGGAAGGCGCCCGCACAGATCAGAACACGCCGTGCCAATTCTCTGCCTCTTCAACCACATTCCTTGCTGCTCCGGCCGCCGACACCATCGCGCCTGCTCCCGCGCCCAAAATCCGTCACACCACCCGTCCCTCCTCCCAGACCCAGCACCATGTGCAGCTCTGCAAGGCCGCCCACAGCACAACATCACTACCACAACCCCACCGCTCCACCCCGGCCACGCAGACCATGGTGATCCGCGCCAAACTCGCGCGGCAGCCGCCTTGTATGTCTTCAGCTCTATCAGCTTCTCTCAACCCGATGGACGTCGAACTCAGGTTCCGCACGGAAGTAAGGCCGGTGCAGACAGGCACGCTTCTCCCGACCCCGCTGACCGGCCCAGGGCAACGCGAACGTCATCTTTAGGATCGCGGCGCTGCATCCCCCCCGCGACGCCTGTCTCGACGAGCTCCAGCTCAACGCGCGCGACGCCGACGTCCACGGCGTGCTCGAGCCCGATTGGCGCCACAGCGACCGCCCCTTCGAGCAGCGCAGGTTCAACCGCGAGATGCGCAAGAAGCGCCGCGAGCTGCTCGGCGCCTACGCCGACACCGGCCTGCAGCGCGCCCACGACTTCATCCGCGCCGTCAACCAGCACAACCTGACCGGCCAGGGCGACACCCTGCTGCGCCTGAAGAAGGAGATGCCCTTCTACCAGGACGACGAGACCACCTACAACTTCTACATCAACACCGTCGCCGACTGGATCCCCCCGCGCCATCTCGTCGAGCAGGACCTCATTGACATTGGCAACGACATCATCGACCAGTGCAACACCGAACTGCGTCACCAGGAGAGAAAAGGCAAGCGCGACGCGAACCGCCACGGCACTTCGTTGCACGCAACCAACAAGGCTCTGGTGCTGCGCGACATGGAGAGCGACGACCCGCAGATGAGCGTGACGCTTGAATTCAAGCCCAAGTGGCTTTGGCAGTCGCCCCACGCCCCGGAAGGCGCCACTCGCTGTCGCACCTGCGCTCTGCGCGCCAAGCGCAACAGTGAGGGCAAGAAGGAGTCCAAGACCCACGGCGTCCAATGTCCGCTGTCGCTCGCTACCGGAGAACCCACGCTTGTCAAGGATGCCATTGAGATGCTCATCAACAACCACGAAAACTACGTTGGCTGCAGGCCCGGCTGGCTGCAGCCTCAGAGGACCCGCCGCAGCTCGACCTTTCCCCTCCAAAGACCCGCGCCGAAATCACGCGAGGATCTCATTGCCATTCTGCACGATCATTTCCAGAAAAAGCCCGATGGCACAAAGGGAGAAGGCTACCGCGTCCTCGAAGGCCTGCGCAATTTGCAAAGAATGTTGGACCCACGTGGCATCCTAAGCTATGAGGGGGACCCACCCGACGACTTCCTCCTAGCAATGACGCTACGCGACTGCTCACTCTACGTCCAGGTCCACTGGGACAGTCGGCGGGTCGAATCCCGGTTAGGCGACCTCGATCCCAAAGTTGCCAGGGGTGGAAAACTCGAGCAATGGCGGGAGACGGAACGGGGGTTGCTGAACGGAGGCTGGTACTTTGCGAGACCAGGGGATGAGACATGTCTTCTCAGCAGGAGAGACCGACCGTCTCCCACTCGCCGCCCTTCACGCGCCCCAACCTGACCCATTGGCTCATCTTACGCACACCCACTCATCATTGCCTTCCCGTTCCGGTCGCGTATATTGTACGTCCGTGCGCATAGCGATTTCTGCTTTTTCGCCGATGTTGCGCCACACAGAGCTCGAGCTCCTACGCCTCGCTCTGCACTTCCCCGGATATTACTCCTGATCATCTCCAAATCAAACTCGCACCGCATCAATTCTCCGGCATTACACCGCCACGCTAATCTCGTCAAATACAGCGCGACTTTTCGGTCGACGTGGCTTGACGAGCATTGGCCTTTTACGATGGACGGATTCGACCTGATTCCTGCCCTCGTTCCCGGCTGCCCCGGCCAATCCCACGGCCGCTTATGTCCAACAATTTAGCAAAGCACGACGTTGCAAACCAAGTGTACGCGATGCGATTCGGTCCTCCTGACAAATCCTCGCGACGATCTTTCGGAACACGGCCCTCGACTTTCACATGCGCCGCTTTACAGGTGTTTTGATGGCCAATATTCCGCATGTGCTCCTTGGGTCATGGATGCTGCGGCTAGGGGCATTGAGGCTGGTCGATTAAGAAAAGGGATGCATCAATATCGTTTTATTGGGAACCGAGGGAGTGCTTTAGGAGGTGACCATGCATCAAGGATGTTACGAATATCTGCGAATCTTACCGGAACGAGTCGCAAAGTCCCGGGAAGGGAGACCAACGCCCGGAGCGACAACGCCACGATGGAGTTTCCTGGGACCAATTTTGTGGTGCTTTTGATGACACGGGACGGCTCACATCAAACCGTGAAACATGGTCTCACGGTGGGTTGCATAAGACTTTGTCTTCTCGTTTTCTACGAAGAACACTGCGCTCTTCTTCACGGTCAGTTGAAGGGAATGTCTGGACGTTGATGTCGGTTTGAAACCGCACAAATACTCTCAGAGACATCGGATTCAACCATCCTTGTAAGTAGGGTGCAACATCTCTAGTGAGACAGCTTTGGGAGACCAGATTCCTCTGGTGTCTACTGCTCTTACGCTTGACTTGAAAGGATGATTGAACACAAGTAAAAACGGAACAGGAGTTGGGGATTGGATGAACAACAGGTGATAGGGCACCTTCGAATTCTTGATGTTAACAAACACACTTCTGGCTAGAAGCGGACGTGTTGCACAGCAGATCACGGGCTAATGTTTCGGCTGTCTATATCATGGCATTATGGGATATCCTCTAAGTGGAACTTTTATGATAGCATACATACATTTGAGCATGTACAAAAGAAATGCTAAGAACGGACAATGATACAAAAAAGTTCAAATAATATCATTGTACTATCAACGTCACCATCTTCACCGAACCAAACTTTGATCTTTCTCTCTCTCTCTTTCTCGTCAACCCATGCCACTACTTCGGCAGACGAGAACCTTTTCCGGTATTCTCCGCAGCCTGGAAGTTAAAAGCTTTTTCGTTATTGTGACGAACACGCCACTACCGCTTCGTTACCGCGTCGCTGGTAAAGTGGGCGGATTCCCTCGCTACTCCCTATCCTACATTCGCCGAATTCGCTCACTTTTTGTTTCCAAGTCGGCGGGAAGTTGGCTGCGGTGTTTATTGTGCGTGTGTGTGTGTGTGGGAGTTAGTGTGTGGCGATTATCGCCACATCCCTATTTCGGAACCGGAACAGCTTCCTCCTTCTCCGTCTCTCCTCGCCTTGCTTCTCCGCGGACCTAGTCTCGGATCGGAGAGAGAGAGAGAGAGCGCGGAAACACCACCGAGGACAGGATGGAGACGATGACAGAGTTTGCTTGACGCCGCCTTCCCGCAAACGCGCTTCTCGAATCAGATTCCCGATCACTCAGGTTTTTTTTTTTTTTTTTTGGATATGTGGATAACAGCGTTTTTCTTTTGGCCTAACTCGTTTACTATTCAACTAGTAAAGGTCGATCCCCGATGAGCAGCAGTACGCGAGAAACTTCGCTTCCGGCACATCTCAAATAGTCGCGCGAGCATCCAAGCACGGGAAAACGCAAGGCTTTGACTATTCTGCGCCTCTGTCCTCCCTGAACGAGTGGAAGAAGGACTGAGTTGGCCAGATAACCGCTGAGGCGCCGCTCGATAACACCTAGGTGGTATAGAACAAGATACGACGACGACGACAAGGTAGCTCGAACCCTCGAGATAGTACTGTTGTTGCTTGGTCGTCCACCACCACCCCCCTTAGCAAGGTTCAATTTTGGTAGGGGAGAGGGCTCATCATCTCTTTGCCCCATCCCTTTTTTTCTTTTGGCCCCCCGTCTTCTCGCCTCACGAAAATCCGATTTCATCATCATCATCGTCATCGTCATCTTCATCGGCGAAGAGAGGGGGGGAGGAGGAGGGGAGGGACGAACGACAGTTATTGGCCCCCACTCTGCTGCGCTCGCCCCCCTCCCTCAAAAGGCAGTCACGACTCGAAGTGATGACATGTCGCGCGCTAGATATGCCGAGCGATCTCCGGTTGGGTAAAGATTATCGGGGTATGGAGCGTTTAGCGCGGTTAAAGTTTGGTGTTTGTTTTTGTATGATGATGTTGTAGTTGCTGGGGCCCCTACTAATCTCTTTCTTCCCGCCTTTTCTTTCCCATTCTGAATGTTCCAATCGGCGATTCATTGCCGAAAACAAAGTATCCTCCCTATCGTGTTGTCGAAGCAGGTCTTCCCCCTGAGCCTCGGATCGAGTCGGTTGGTTTGCCTGATTCTTCTCCCCGCCCACCCACAACCTCACTCACTCTCCCCGTCCATGTTTTTGTGCGCCCCTTTACCCCGAGCAACAAAGGCTTTTTGTCTTCTCCTTTGCGACCTCAGTCCCTCCTCAGCATGTCCGCGACATCGGCGTCAATGCCATCATAGGCATCACCCGTCGCGAAGTCGGCAAAATCCTGCTCCGCAACCCCGCTCCCGACCCTTCTCTTTTTAGCAGCGCCGGGGTAGTAGCCTTCGTTGTTGTAGCTGTTGGCCTGGTCGTCGTCGTCGCCGCTGTTATCGCGCTGGGTCTTCTGCGGCAAGATATTTGCGGCGGCGAGAGCCTCCAGGGCGGCGGGGCCGGGGGCCGGCTCGTCGTGGCTGGGAGGCTGCTCCGGGACGAAGCCGGCCGTCGCGCCGGTCATGGTGGGCGCCGCGAAGGCGGGTGGTGGTGTGCCGACGGGAGTGATGGACTCGATGGGTGGGGGCGTAAGGCCCTCGACGTCTGGGCGCTGGGGCTCGTCCAGCAAGCCGCCGTTGTTGTCAGCCGTCGCGACGGCGGTGGGGAGGCGGCGGCGGGGGTCGTTAGCGGCCGGGCCGGCGGAAAGAGATTGTTGCGGCTGTTCGGTCGACAGCCCGCGCATGATGGCGTCCTCGACCTCGCGCTTCTTGGTCTCAATGCCGGTCCGGCGCGTGCCGAGCTCCTGGTGCGCGGCTTCGTCTTTGGAGAGCGTCGTTTTGTGGCCCTCGACCATCTTTTCCATTGCTGTGATCAGCTCCCGGCGCGACTTTATGCTTTCGGCGACGGCGCTTTCGGCGCTTGCGAGGTTCTTGAGGACTTGTGACAAGCGGGCGGCGTGGACGGGCGGTGTCGGGACGGGGTTGGCCGGATCGATCAGCTTGTCATATTCACTGTAGGCGTGCGTGACGTTGGACTTGGAGGCATTGTCGGCCTTGGTGAGGGCGCTTTGAAGGGGCACGAGGGGCTGGAGCTCTTGCGGGACGGAGGAGCCGCTCGAGAAGAGGGAACCGCCGAGGGTGGCCTTCTTGCCAGGTGCGCGGGTTTTGTCCAGCTCTGAAAGACGCACGTCAGTTTGCGTCCTGGTATAGTTCTCGGGGAGGGGTGACTGAACCGTCTAAGTTCCTTTCTATCTGGTCCTGGACCGGAGGATCGAAGATGACCCTCTGACGCCAGACCTCAATGACCCGTCGCAGCTTCTGCTGGATGTCGTACGGAGCTCCCTTGTACGCGGCGGAGGTCGACTCGGCGATGATCTGCGGGCTGTCAGCTGTGGTCGCGTGCACTGCGGACACGAATACTGACGGGCGAGAAAGCGGCGACAAACTCGGTCTTCTTGCGCGCCTTGGATTGCTGGACGACCTCTGCAGATGGATTTAGTCACCGGTCGGGTCAGGTTACTGTGTGGGCTCGAAGCATACCGTTGGCTAGGTAGATCAAGCTGAGGCGCTTGTTCGGAGTGGAGTCTTTCAGGCGCTGCATCCAGAGCTGTGCAGTGCGGTCGGCATGGCGCCTGTGAGCTTCAGTGAGCGGGGAGTCGACGGGAGGAACCATGCGTGCATGCGGTACCTATGGAACATGATCCATTGGGCGACAGTGACGATGCCCTCCTGCGTCTCATTGAGGGCTGACAGCTTGGCCTGGACGGCGTCGTCGGTGTATGCCATCTTGGTTTGTGCAGCAGCGACAGCAGCAGCAGCAGCAGCGCGCGGTGTAGGCGGCACGGGTTCACTCAAACGTTCTACAGCTCGTGCAGTATCACGGGCGTGGCGGGCAGGAGAGCACTGCGTCGAGGTCTGGTTCTGGCCTGGGTTGCGGCTTAGAAGCTAGGTAGGCATGGACTGCAGCTTGCGGCGTCACAACTGGCCGGGGCAATTGTTCCGCTCCGTGCTGGCGCCAAGCCTGCGCGTCACGGGCGTGCCGGCCAACGTTGCCAGTGCGCTCTCCTGTGCGGCCAGGCCAGCTTGGAGCTCCGCTGCATGTCCAGCCCGACACCTGAACACACAACCGCTAATCGCCCAACCGCGATCCCGCACACTCCGCCGCACTCTTCCATCACCGCGACCCCTCCCGCTCCCCACACATCGCCGCCATGGCCGACAGGTTCCCGTCGCTGGATGAGATCGATGCCGGTAAATACCACTTCCATGTCCCTGAACCGCCTGCCGTTGGCTGCGCGAATTGGCCGTCCCGGGAATGCGCTGACATGCAATCCTGGCAGGCCAGACCGAGGCCCGCGGTGAGGCTGATTTCGACCTCGTTGGCGGCGCCGCGGACGAGGGCGACTTTCTGAGCCGCGAGCGCGCACTACTAGGCGAGGACGCCGACCAGTTTGCGGCACCCGCCGACAACGCTGCTACTGTCGAAGACGCTGGCGATGACGACCTTTTGGGCGGCGGCGGCGGCGGCGACTTCCCCGCCATCGGCGACCAAGAAGAGATGTCTGGCTTTGAGAGCTCTTTCCCGGCGATAGACACGTCCAACGAGGTTAGTCTTCTGCACCATGGCAGCGACGGTTGCCAGCCTGCGCGCGGGCTGTGACGATAGGGCATATACTGACGGGCACGCACAGCACATGGCTCCTGGTGGTACCATTACCGGCAGCACTGCTCCTTTCCTTCCCGGCGCGCCCCAGTCCTCGTCGTTCGCGCCGGCCGCCGACGAACCCGAGCCTGAGGTCATCCGCGAATGGCGTGAGCGCCGCGATCTTGCCATCCAGCACCGCGACCAGATCTCGGACGAGAAGAAGCAGGGGACGGTCAAGGCGGCGCACGAGGCCATTGACGACTTCTACGACAACTACAACAACAAGAAGGAGAAGGGCATTGCTCAGACCCGCAAGGAAGAGGAGGAGTTCCTGAACAGCAGGGACGACACGACGGCGGGCGGCACCAGCTGGGAACGCATTGCGAAGCTCGTGGACCTGAGCGGCAAGGGCGCGCGTGGCGGTGGCAGCGGCAGCGAGAAGCAGAAGTTCAGGGAATTGCTGCTCAGCCTGCGGAAGGATGAGAAGGCGCCTGGCGCAACCGGCTACTAGATACCCCTGGAATGTCGGCGCTCCGGCTACGGCTAGGTATGCAGATCTCCCGGGTCATGTGTATCTTCTCTCTGCGTTTTGTATCATACACGACCATTCTGATGACGGGGTCCTAGGGCGTGGGAAAAGTAACTGGTGCTTGCGTCTTCTCCCGGTGCGGTTGATCAGCGAAACGAATTGGATGGTTTATGGGGATAGAGGTAATAAGCAAAATCCGTTTTACCGCTTTACCGCCTCTGATCGCTATGATACTCTATGATCTATGTCCAGGCTTATTCTCTTCAAATACGACACACTTTAATGCCAATTGAACAACCCGGGTCACGACGGATACAGCTTGGAAGGAACGAGACCAGAGCTGGTGACGATGATTTATCAATGTCAGTGTCTGGACCCATGGATTCGTGAACGATGGTGAATTGGCAGCGATCTTTTTCAGTGCTGCGTGAGTGGGCGATGGAGTCGACATGCAGGGCAAGATAGTTGGTGCGGGTACCTGGCGATGAGGCCCAAATTTATTTACCTGTCAGTCCGCTCCGATTGTCACGGTGGAGCGGAGGGTTCCGCTCGGGATGGAGAGCGTCCAGCCGGCGGGGTGGCGCCAACGGAGCTCCGACGGCTGGCCACCCGCCATGACTCAGGCACTAAGGCCGAAGCGGTTTTCGTTCCTTCCTATATTTTTTTGCGGACAAGCGGTGACTCTTCTACTCTTGCCCTTCACTATGGTTGTTTCCAGCTTCTGAGACGAAGGCCACTCGCTACGTGCAGATTCGTTCTTTTCAACTCGGCTGCTTACTTGCCACTCGCTTTTTTCTGTGCGAGCAGAAAAATATTTCAGCTCGTGCCCACGGTCCTTCTCTACGCCTTCCCCACAACTTAGTCTTTGCCGCTTTAAGCAAAATGAGGGAGGATCTGGAGCCCCGGACGGTGAACAAGCCGGAGACGGCAATGGGACAGGATGTGGAAAACGACGCCGCTGTCCACGACACCAGTCCGCTTCCCAAGGCCGCCGATGCCCCCACCACGAACCTGCTGCGGCGGCTGACTTCCTGGGGCGTCGAGGTGCGTGGAATTGCGCCGGTGCCGGAGAAGGACCAGACCAAGACTCAGTACCACAATGTCTTCTTCCTCTGGTTGAGCATGCTCGTCAACCTGCTGCCGTAAGTCGACTCTGATCGCAGAAGTAGACTTGCTCTGATCGGATTCATGCAGCATCATCACAGGAATGCTCGGTACCCTGGGCTATGGCCTCAGTTTACGAGACACGTCTCTCACCATCATATTCTTCAGCCTTCTGTGCTACCTGCCCACCGCCTACTTGAACGTCCTGGGCCCGCAAACCGGAATGCGCCAGATGATCCAAGCACGTTACTCTTTCGGCTACTTTCCAGTCACTATCGTCGTCATCCTGAACATGATGACCGTCGTCGGTTTCACCGTCATCGCGGGAATAGTTGCCGGACAGTAAGTCAAACATATACACTACCTACCCAGCCTTGTCCCTCTGACCTCTGTCTATCAGGACCCTTTCTGCCGTTTCAGACGGAAGAATCTCAGTCGCCCTCGGCATCGTCCTGACCTTCGTCGTGGGCTTGTTCATGTCCTTCTGCGGATACAAGGTCATCCACGTCTACAACCGATGGTCATGGCTGGGCGTTCTGATCTGCTTCATCATCATGACCGGCTGTGGCGGAAAGCATCTGTCTGAGCAGGCCGAGGCGGCGCCTGCAGATGCCCCGATGATTCTGAGCTTCGGATGCTTGATCGCCGGTTTCTCCATCGCCTTTGCCGGACTGATGTCTGATTACTCCGTCTACTACCGAACCACCGCTCCCGCGTAAGTCACGTCAGATGATAAAATCGGACACATGCGGTTCTCTAACACACCGAAACAGCACCCGGATGTTTCTGTACCCTTACCTAGCGCAGAACCTGTCCACGATCCTGCTCATGGTACGTATAATACAAACCCAAACCCCACCCACCCTCCTTTCCCCTTCCCCTTCGACGACACTCCGGCTAAACAACGCCCGCACCACAGATCCTCGGCGCCGCAATCGGCGGCGCAGTCCCCAACGTGCCCGCCTGGGCCTCGGGCCACGCGCGCTTCTCGACGGGCGGCGTGCTGGAAGCGATGCTGCGGCCGGCGGGCGGGTTCGGCAAGTTCGTCGCCGTGCTGCTGGCCTTTTCGCTGACGGGCAACGTCAGCGCGTCCATGTACACGGTCACGCTCAACTGGCAGATCCTGATCCCGTGGTTCGCCCACATCTCGCGCGTCGTCTTCTCCGTCGTCACCACCGCCGTCATGATTCCGGTCGCCATCGCGGCGGCGAATGACTTTTTCGATTCGTTGGAGAATTTTCTGGGCATCGTGTCGTATTGGTATGTGTGCTCTCTCTCTCTTTAACTCTGTGGGGTGTCTTTTGGTTTTTTTTTGGGGGGGGGTTTTTTTTTCCTGCTCTTTGCTAATGGTTGGAAATAGGCCTGCCGCTTTCGCTGCCATCGTCATCGTCGAGCACCTCTACTTCCGCAAGGGCGACTCGACTACGTACGATAGGGACATCTGGAAGGATGCCGCGAGGCTGCCGAGCGGCATCGCGGCCATCACTGCCGGCATCGCGTCCTTTGGGTTGGTCATTCCCTGCATGGCCGCGACCTGGTACACGGGGCCGATTGCGGAGCATACAGGGGATATTGGGTTCGAGGTTGCGTTCGCGTTGGCCGGGTTGCTGTACGTACCGTTGAGGACGTTGGAGATTAGGATTCAAGGGAGGTTGTAAGCGAGTGAGGAGGGTTTGGGTGGAATGGGGTAGATGGGTTGTATCGCATCATGATGGATGCGTCTCCTTGCTCAAGTGGTCGAAGAACCGGCCAATGGACTGAGATCAAGCTCCATGTCAGTAAGGCTATATTTCGTGTGTAACTGGGGCGAGTGCATCGCCGAATCCAGCAAGGGACCTTTCCATTTATGCTGCAATGTCTGTCCTACAGTGGTGCTTTTCAGGAAGCTATGTTGCGAGTATACGGTGAAAGATGGATTCGCAGAAGTGGAGGAGCGCAGTGATGTTTGGTACTCTTTTATGATGCTCGAGTATGGCGGATAGCTGCATAAAACAAACGCAATACACACGAGACATGTCTCGAGGCGTCGGACTGGACTGAGAAACAATGCTCCAACCTATGCAAAGTCATGTGTCTTTTTTGTCTGACTGAAATAATCAAGTCGATTTTCCCCGAAGAGATGGGATTGTGCCTGACGTCTGCACTTTCTGCAACGTCATCAAACCCGTCTCTTGACTTTCACTTTGTGCCTTTGATCCCGTTTGGTTTACTGTCCCGCACCCTCCTCTTCAAACTCTACTAGTGCTGTGCCGGCTTTACAGAGATCCTACGTCAAATTAGCATGGTTGCGACTACCAAAAAAGCAGGAGAGGATAGCACTTACACCTTGTCCGTGCACAATTTTTTTCACAACGCCTTTCTGGGGACTCCGGATCACTGTCTCCATCTTCATGCTCTCAATCACTACCAACGCCTGCCCCTCGCTCACCTCGTCACCTTCATTTACCTCTACTCGTAACACCTTACATGGCATTGGGGCGACGACGCTGTTCTTCGCCTCCTTAATGCCCAGCGCTTTCTCCGCCCACTTTGGTGTCGCTAGACGCAGCCGATACTGTTTACCCTGCTGGAAGAGTGTAATTGCGTCGTCAGCCCGGATGACACGCGTTTCTACACGTGTATGCGGGTAGAAAGACGTAATTGTGGAGGAGGCAGCATCCAGCTCCGCCTTCACTGCCGGGTAGATTGTGTCGCCGATTTTTACCTCAAACAAATGTGGCTCAATCTGGCGGACCTTGACTGGTGTTGCATCCTCAGGAGCAGCAGGCCCGGTGGCAGAGGCGGCAGCGCTGGGATCTATCTCAACGAGGTTGATTTCACGTGCTTGGAAGCCGTCGCCGAAGCCAATCACCGTCAGTGGACTTGAGGATTTACGGGCTTCCGACTCTTTGAGCACAAGGCCGATGGCTGCCTGAGCAAAAGCTTCAGGAGGAATTGGTTGCTTGGCAAAGAGCTCGGTGTGGTGCTTTTGGATGTATCCGGTCTCGACTTCGCCTGCAATGAAGGCGGGACTGACGCAGCAGCGCTTGAGGAACTCGATATTTGTCACAGGCCCGGCAACCTCGTACTCACCAAGGGCTATGCGAAGCTTTTGGAGAGCGGCGGTGCGGGTAGGGGCTTGAACAATGAGCTTTGCGATCATGGGGTCGTAATGGCTAGAAACCTCGTCGCCCTCGACGAACCCGGCATCCACGCGGACTGTGGCTGACTCCTTGGGGATGCGGAGATGAATGAGCTTTCCAGAGTCAGGAATGAAGTTCATGTCTGGGTTTTCGGCGTAGATGCGAGCCTCGATGGCGTGGCCGCGCTGAGCAATCTGCTCCTCAATCTCGGCTTGAGTGAGAGGGAGCTTGCCGCCTTCAGCGACGATGAGCTGCCACCTGACAAGGTCTTGGCCTGTCACCATTTCAGTCACAGGGTGCTCGACCTGCAGACGGGTGTTCATCTCCATGAAGAAGAACTCGTTCGTTTCGTTGTCGAAGATGAACTCGACGGTGCCTGCGCCTTCGTACTTGACAGCCAGCGCCGCTGCCCGAGCCTTCTCCCACAGATCCTGCCTGATGGCCTCATCTAGATGCGGGGCTGGGGATTCTTCCAAAATCTTCTGGTGCCGGCGTTGGATACTGCAGTCGCGTTCGCCCAGCGCAACGCTATTTCCATGCTTGTCTGCAAACACCTGGACTTCGATGTGACGGGGAGTGGTGATGTACTTTTCAACAAGCATGACCTCGTCGCCGAAGGAGTTCCTTGCTTCTGATTTTGCCGATTCCAGTTGGTCCATGAACTCATCCGGGGTCTTAACTATGCGCATGCCCTTCCCACCCCCGCCCTTTACGGCCTTCAGCAAGACGGGGTAGCCAATCTTCTCAGCCTCCTGCTTCAGAAAGGCCGGGTCCTGGTTTGAGCCGTGGTAGCCGGGAATGCACGGGACGCCGGCGGCGGTCATGATTTCCTTGCTCCTGCTTTTACTGCCCATGGCCTCAATAGCTTCCCAAGGCGGGCCGATGAAGGTCAGGCCGGCATCCTTGCATTTCCTGGCAAAGACGGGGTTTTCGCTCAAGAAGCCGTAGCCCGGGTGGATGCCTTGACAGCCCTCCCTCTTGGCGACCTCGATGATGCGATCGCCGTCCAGGTAGGCGCTGGGGTCTCCCAGGTTGACGGCGAAAGGGGAGCTGAGGGCATGTTGGGAATGGGCATCAGGGTCTGTGTACAGGGTGGTGACTCGCACGCCGCACTCGGAGGCTGTACGCCCGACACGCAGGGCAATTTCGCCTCGGTTTGCAATGAGTACAGAGGTTAACGGCTTTGCTATGGGGTTGCTTGTGGCCGCGGCCGAGGCTTGGGACCGTCGGGTAGTGGCGACGTGGCGGTTCAGCACGCGAGCGGTGTTGCGCGCACCGCGCAGTCTGGGGAGGGTGTGCATTGTGCGGGTTCTGCGAGAGAAATGCTGGGGTTGCGGAGAAGGAGGAGCCTGGGGGGAGGAATGGACAGCTTCCCCAGGCGGGCTCGAGGTAGCAGCTACCCCGGACTACGCAGGCTATGCCGCGGCTACCCGAGCGGGGAAGACATGAGGGCACGGCGGCGGCGCGTGCTCCATCGCGGCGGCTTGCCGGACTGTGCGATGGATGGCAGCTGTCCCTCCAAGCATCGTGGCTTTCGCGAGGTAACGTCCGGAGAAATGACTGAGTGGCCGGCCTGGGGTGCTCGTCCTCGCACGCCCTCCTCCGGCGCCTTCCTGGCCTGACTTCCGCACCCGTCAGCCAATGACCGCCGCTCCGACACCAGCACTTCCCTCGCTCCAAGAGAGCCTTGCGCCAGCAAGCTTTCCGCATCTCCCTGAGCGCCCCGTCAACTCCATCGCCGCCGCGACCCCAGACCGCGAGGGTCCGCGAACTACCCCGCCCGGCCCCGGCCCCATTCCGTCGCTCCCGTCGCTCCTGTCGAGCTGTCGCGCGTTGCGCTCCGAGGAATGACCATCACCGCGTCATAAGCTAGCTCCGCTCGCATTCAACCACGACGCGTCCCACGACCATCCTACCGTCCCATTGCGGCGCCCTCGCTTTCGCTTCGCCAACATGTCGGACTGCGAGTACGACTCCGACGAGTACGATCTCTACGATGACAACTGGCTTTACATCGCCGAGGACGACAATCTTGCTGTACTCCCGGCATCTATGCCCCCCGACCCCCCCGTCTGCAACGCCTCTAACTCTGCTCCCACAGGACGATCTTGCCGAGCGCGCCGTCGCATCCCCTCCTGCCCGCGACTACGACCTCGACGGCTCCGGCTACAACTCCGACTACTTCGAGTACTGGGTGGACATTGAGTACAACTCGGACGGCTGGAACGATGCCAAGGGCCCTCCCAAGACCAGCCTCTCCAACAAGACCGCGCCCGGTACGAAGAAAAGGAAGCGAGTCGCCCAGACTGGCCCGTCACAGAAAAAGCGCAAAGGTGCCCGAGGCCGCCAGATTACCGATGCCGCGCCCGACTCTGCGAACCAAGTGCCGCCCGTTCTCTGGCAATCCAGCAAGGAGCGCATCAAGCAGCACTTCGACGGCCCCAGAGCCTTGACCAAGGACCCAAAGCCCTTCTCTTTGCTGGGGGACTGGAGGACCCGCTTTGGCCTTGACGGAGAGCAGCCAAAAGGGAAAGAAGCCGACGTTGCTGGAGCTGTTCCAAATGCCGCAGACGAGATATTGAAGGCTGTGGAAATGGCTTCGGCTGCTCCAGAAGAAGAAGACTGGGAAGACGAGGGGGAGTCTGTCCAAGAAGAAGGAGATGGCCTCGGCGACCTAATCGCCGGGAGTGGTCTCGATCCTCAGGCGCTCATGCGTGCGCTCCAAGAGAATCTTGCCGCCACTGGTGCTGCTCCGGCCGGCCTTGATCAGTCCACGCTTCTAAAGTACGCTTTGCGTATGCTCAGCGGCGAGGGAGAGGCTGACGATATTGCTGGCGAGCTTGCTGAAGACCTCTTCGAGCAAGCCGAGGAGGATGACCCAGAGGGCAAAAACATTGCGGAATGGGCAGCGAAGCAGAAGGACAGACCAGATAACGGTGATGAGGAGGAGTCTGGCGCAAGTCTCGATGGGGTCTCTGGGCCTGTGCGCAAGAGCAAAACCACACTTCCTCCTACCCCTCCGACGAACGAGGCGTCCGGTACTGAGGGGAAGGGCAAGAAGAAAGCTGTTGAAGTCCCGGCACCAACGTCTGTCGCAAGCGGACTCCGGTCCCGCAAGCGTAAAGCGGCGGAGGCCGTGCCGGATGATGAGCCTCCCCCGCGACCGAAGCGTGCTACGCGCTCTTATGCCGCACCAACAGCCAGCAGCAAGTCGAAGACCGCCGAGGTTAAGGGCGGTAAGGGCAAACGTGGCTAGAGCGTCCAGCGTTCTGGTACACGCTCATAGAGCATACAAGCATACCCTTTTTTTCTTGTCTCATTATTGGACCGTTAAAATAAGCGGCAGATCGTTGCACTCTTTTCTTGCCGATACTTTCTGGCACAGCAGGAAAACGTGCACATGGGGAAATGGGAAAGTTAACATCGGCGCCACATGGAGGGATTGGAGATACCAGGTCACGGATAGGACATCTACACTCCACGGCGAATACCTTTCCGAGTCCCCGTTTCTGTTATGGGCATACAAAATGGATAACCGTTTTCATTCCTCTTCCTGGATCTGCGTGGAGATTTTACTTTGCGCTAATACCATTGCAATCGGCCATCCCCGCTTGCTGCAGATGCTGAAAACGTGTGATTGACAACCACCTTTACAGGTCGTACACACCTGTGGACCACATCTCTAACAGTACGGCCTTGCACAGAAGTGCGAATAGTGCAGATAGAAAACCGCGCGCACGTCATGGCCGAGATTGGAGAGGTGGTTCAAGGAAAGCCTGGTCACCATGAGCCATGGGTGTGAATTTATGGCACCACCACCATCACGACGCCGTACAGCTCTACAGGCCAACTCACATGTGTGAGGGGGCGGCTCATAAATACTCCACAAGTCAGAGGATTCCTGTTGAACCTCTACACACAACACAAGATTCGACTCTCTGCCCTCCGTTCAGTTGATAATCGGTGTCTTATGTTCAGTCACTTTCCAAGATCACCCCGAAAAGGCCGTTGCCGCCCCTCCAAAGCGTTAGCACCAAAGAATCAGGAAGTCTAAAGAAAGGTATGGCCCCGTGCGATACACCAATAAACGTTTTGATTGAAAGTTAGAGTTACGAGCTTCTCGAGTCCAATAGGCATAAGCCAGGCCGTAGATGGCAAACAGCATTGCCTAGTCTACGTTAGAGGAACGCCAATATTTCCAGTTGGGAAGTCGAACTACCCTCTTTCGATGGGAAGCTTCTCTGAACCTCCATCGATTTACCATATTGTCGCTCGATCCAGCTAGGAATAGTTACGTCCAACGACACTCTCCAACGTTGACACGCCGGTCCGTTCAAGACACCACCCCGTTCATCACGACCAATCTACACACATACTCCCAGTCACCCAAAAAGGCAAGCCAAAAAAAACCAACAAACAAAAACAAAATCAACAACAAACCCCCCACCCACCCAACCAACCAACCAACCAACCATGAAACTCCTCCCTCTCCCCCCTTTCCTCCCCCTCCTCACCACCACCCTCCCCCTCCTCCCCCTCATCCTCTTCACCCCCACCCCCACAACCGCCACCCTCACCGGCACCCTCATCAACAACTGCCCCTACCCCATCTACGCCAAAACCACGCGCGGCAACGGCTACGACTCGCACGAGCTGGCCCGCATCTCCCCCGCCGGCGGCCGCTACCGCGCCGCCGTCGCCGCCCATCCGGACGGGCCCGGCGTCACCATCAAGGCCCAGCGCGCGCCCGACCCGGCCTGGCGCGTCGTGTATCAGGTCGAGTATGCGCAGAGTGGGAGGCCGGATGCGCGGTGGGGAGGGGGTTCTGCTGGTGGGACTGGTGGGACTGGTGGGGGGACTGGGGATTGGGTGTGGTTTGACTTGTCGACGGTGGACGGGAGTCCGTTTGGGGGGGAGTGGAGGCGGGCGGAGGTGTGGGGGTGGGGTGGCGGCGGGGCGGGAGGGAAAGGGGGTGGGGGCGGGTGGGAGAGGCGCGAGGCGTGTGGCGTTTTGGAGTGTGCGCCGGGGGAGGGGGCGTGCGAGTGGCCGGTGCCGGAGAGGGGGACGATGGGGGATTGCAGGGCGGGGAGGAGGGCCGAGGTCGTGGTCGAGTTGTGTGGGGGCGGGAACGGCACTGTTGCTGGGGCGGAGGGGTCGGCGACGACGTCTACCGCGTCTGCTGCTGCTGCTGGTTCTGCGTCTGCTGCTGCTGCTGCTACGCCCCACGGCGGTCAGCGGCATGGCGGGTCGTCGTCCGCTCGCAAAAAGGTTGCCTCTTCTTTCGCTGTCGGCACGCCGCTGGTCGATGGCGGTGCTCGGCGCACTGGTAGCGCTGCTGCTGCTGCTGCTGCTGCTGCTACTCACCCCGGCGATCAGCGGCATGGCGGGTCGTCGTCTGCCCGCAAAAAGGTTCCCTCTACTTTCACTGTCGGCACGCACATGGCCGTTGGCGGTGCTCGGCGCACTGGTGGCACTGCTGCCCCGTTTGGCACTCCCCCGGCTGGTGGATGATGATTGGTTGTGGTGTGGCGGTTTAGGGCTCGGTGGATGGTTTGGTCACACGAACAGGGTGCGCTATCTAAGAGTGCCCTCTGGGTCCCTCTGGTCTGCAGCTACACGGGATTGGAAGCTTGCGGTGTGGCTCATCATGTATGGCATTTGAGCTTTGTTGGTTGCGTAGGGATTGAAGTTAGGGCTAAGCCTGTTTCTTGTTATACTGTCTCCGCAGATAGGTGCAAGGGTATGGTATAATCAAGGTAGATGGGAAGAATACATGATGGTGCTCGAAAGGAACCTTTTGGGAGTCGGTTTCCTCTAAAAATAGCAAGTTCTATTCCACGGGGACATGAACCGCGGCGACGCATTCGAGTGTCCAAGTCGAGGTACTTGGTTGAGAGTGATGCTGTGCTGCAGTGTATGAATTTGTTTTCTGAGATGCTTACGTACCCATTGGGGCGCGTTGGAATTGCTGGACGGTCAGTGAGTCTGACCACGGTAATAGATGTAGCTGAATAAAGTGAGTACAAGAGAAAGGCCACACGAGAACGGTATCTCTCAAAAAGAAGTGTGTTTGAACTCAAGTTTGATATTGTTTGGAAGCGAGCCAGAGAGACATTAATGATGAATCCCGAAAACCCATCCATCCCCGTCTACATGATGCAGACCAAATGACTAAGCATCTCCTCAAAAACTCCACCGCCGTATCCGTCATTGTATCGAATCAAAAGTAATCGCGTCGTTCCGTAGCTAGCGCGTATGGAGAATTGGCCTGTTTGTTTTTACATGACCACGCACCAGCAGGATTCGTCGCAGCCGCAGCAGTCGCACGACTCGCCGCAGCCCATGGTGGTGGGCTTGGGCTTAACGATGGACTTGATGGAAGAAGTGGTGGATCCAGGCATTTTGTAGGGTGTGGAGGTTGAAGAGTTCTGCAACACCATGGTGTCAGTGAAAGCCTATGGACGGGAGGTACAAGGTAGGACACATACTGGGGTTGGAAGAGGACGGGGGTAAGTGAGTTATCTCGTGTGGCACAAAGTGAAGGTTGGGTTTGGGATGAGGAGCGATGGACAGCGACCCAGCAAGGGTATTTATGCACGCAGCCTACAATGCCTAGCCGGGAAACTGACTCCAACCCGGCTCGTCACTGGCGGCCCGGACAGCCAATGTGCGAAGGGCGAGGCTGCACGGTCAGCACCGCAGATGTGACCAAGTGCTGGGATTGGACGGGACAGGCCGGCGCCTGAAACGTTACGTCGAGGCGCAGCGCGAGAGGCGCGAGATGCGCGAGATACTGGTTTTAGGGCGGTTGCTGGCAAAAAGGGTCCAGAATCCGCCGCCGTCGCCGCCACCAACCACGAAACCGCCCTGTCTGTACTTGATCTTCAATTATTGCCTGGCCATTTGGCAGTGGGAGTTGGCTGCCGATACGGTGCTGGCTGGGTCCGGCGAGCGACAGCAAAATCAGCTCATGCCGTGAATCGGTTAATGACGAGGCAGGGCTCGGGAATACCGGCACTAGCAGCAGCGGGCATTTGATTGTGAAATACGAGCTTACAGGCTATTGACTGGAACCGGATTGAGAGCTGAGTCGGGCCCGCGGGAGACGATGGGGTCTCGGGCTATGGCAGCGACCAATGGGGCTAAGCCTCCGCAGAAGAAATGACAAGCTTTCAGCCGAAAGCTTGCAGGACTTGGCAGACGATCAGGAGCACCACGTCACCCATCAGGCCGGTCAAGCCGTCGCCGCGAGCGCTGACTCGCTGTGAAGCCGTCGACATCTCACCGGCGCAAGCGGGGGATCGCGTCGCCACAGGGCGCGCGCATAGCGAAGCTGCCAATGGGAGCCGGAAGGTCGACAAGCAGGCCGGGTCGAGAGTGGCTGGTTGACGCCGTTGGATGACCCCAGTGCCCCATTTCTCCAGCGCTTGGACAGCTGGCCAATACGAGTGTCGAGCCTTGTGGCGCAGGTGGCGAACGCCGGTCTAGGCTCGGAAATGGGTCGATGTGACGCTGCGCCCCAGGGCTCGTGGGGTCCAAAATTGGGCATTATCGCGCATCCCTGGCGGAACTATGGGCCGAGGCTTCAGGAGAAAACAAAGCGTTGGTTGACGGCGGATGCTGCAGCAAGTGTCGCGGTTGTGATGGCACAAAGGCGAGAGAGTGGGGATGGTGGTGCGGGGCCCGACGAAGGATGCGGTGCCGTGAGCCGACCCGAGCTTGCCGCTCCTCAATATTGACCACTTCGACTCTACATTCCGTCGCCTGGTGCTGAAAGTAACTATCCGCTCGTCTCAGTTCCTTTACAGAGCGACATGACAGATACAAATTGTCCGCTCCTAGCGTAATTCAGGCGCTACGCTCGCTCCTACCCAAGTCAGTGCCGCCGGGTACGTGACTTCCTCTTTTGACAACCACGCGGCGCCTGGCGAACGCGAAAAAGAAAAATAACAAAAGGCGCAAAAGCTTGGGCACATAATCAAGAAATGAGCTTCCGATTTCGCGCAACATTAAACCCCAAGAAACCCTTCACCATGCGGCCGGCTCCTACATCCTTTCCCCTTTCGGGACCCTAACTATATTTCTGGGCGAGGGAAAAAAAAAGAAAATCGCGCTGTCTGACTTCATATATATACCGCAAATAAACCATCAAAAGAAATACCTACGTCACCCCCTCACAGCCCCCCACACCCCCTCGTCGTCCACCGCCCCCGCCGCTTCGTTCTTCAGATAGCAGTCCCCCCCGCCCGCGCCGCCCACGTACGCAACCGCCTCGCACGGCCCGTCCGCGGCGACCGCCACGCACGCCGCCAGGCACGCCTCGAAGCCGCTCGCGTAGACGACTCCGATCTGCCCCGCCTGGTAGTCCTTGCCGCAGTGGATGGTGAAGGTCGTGTCGGAGACGGTCCACTGGGCGGCGTCGGCCGAGGGGCAGCTGAGGGTCGTGGGGGTGGGGGTGGTAGGCGCGGTGGTTGAGGTGGTTGTTGTTGTTTGTGGTGGTACTGTTGTGGATGAGGAGCTGGACACCGGTGCTGATGATGATGATGACGAGGCGGGGGGTGCGGCGGTGCTGGTGGTGGTGCTGCTGGTGCTGGAAGGCGCCCCGGTCGTCGAAGGCGGGTCCGGGCTGAGGTCGGCGCAGGTGTCGGATAGATCGGCGGAGCGCTTGAAGCTGTCGGCCGTGCTGTCGTCGAGCTGGACGTCGAAGCGGGCCGTGTCGAGTTGGGTCGAGGTTAGGGTGTAGCTGGCGGTGTAGAGATCGTAAGGGCCGACGGATGATGAAGAGGCTTTGGTCATGGCGACGGTGGAGGCTGTGAGGACGGGCAATACGGAGCGGGAGTCGGGAACGCCGTAGGTGACGTTGAGCGTCGGTGCGGCGGATGAGGAGGACCCGGTATTGCGGACGGCGGCGGTGATGGACAGGGTGGTGCCGCTGAGGCAGCTTTGCGGGCTTTGGAAGATGATGCTGTCTTGGACGGGGAAGCCGCTGCCGTCGTTGTCGTAGAGCTGGGTTTCGCCGGATGTGAGGGTGATGAGGACGTTGAAGGACGATATCGACGAGTCCGAAGGGATGTTCGCCGAGACGCCGTAAAACTTGTTGCAGGTCAGTGACGAGTTTGGAGATGCAGATTGTACCGAAAGCATACCTCGAAAGTGTCGTCGAAGCCGGCTGCAGACCCTGACGACTCGATTTCCAGAGTCCCGCCGTCCCCTCCCTCCCGATCCTTACACACCAGCTGCACTTTGCTGATCTGGCTAGCAGCCCGCTCCGTAGTCCTGACACGGATGTCGCCCGTCAACTTGATAGACTCGCCTCCATCCAAGACGGTCAACTGCATCCCACTCGGCTTCACCTCATACACAGCAATAGGCTCCCCAAGCGTCACCCCACTCGGCACCACCTCAATCATCTGCTGCAACACCGTCGCGCACACACTGCTAAACGTCTCCGGATCCGCCATCGCCCTGACCGTCACATTCCCATCCGCCGCAAACACCCTCGCATCCGAATTCCGCCCATTCGTCGTCGACCTCCCCACCACCAGCGCATTCTGCGTCGCATTCGCCAAATACTCCGTCACGACCCTATTATCAAACCCCCCCGCCGTCCCATCAAACCTCACCACATCATCCGCCACGCTCCCCGCCGGCACAATCTCCGGATTCGCATCCGCATGCACGCCCCCCAACGTATGCCCGCACGCCACCAGCGCCACCATCCCCGCGTCGTCAAACCCCACCCGATCGAACTGATTCCTAAACGTCCCCACCGAATTCTGCGGCAACGGCACCGCCCCCACCGCCCCCGCCCCCCGCGCGTCCACCCTCCCCGTCCGCACCCCCACCGCCGGGCCCCCGCACGCCCGCACCGCCGCGTACACCCCCAGCGCGATCAGGTCCGCCATCGACGCCCGCGCGCTCAGGTACGCCGCGTACGCGCCCAGCGTCGTGTTGAACGCCGGTCCCGCGTTATCGCCGCTCCGCGTCTCGTACGCGATGGACGCGTCGAGCCCGCCGACCCCTGTGTACCGGTTCCCTGAGGCCATGTCGTGGAAGGCGGTGCGGAGCCATTCCGCGGCTTGCACGCGCCCGGGGTCGCCCGTCGAGGAGGTGCCGCAGGGCGTTATGGGGGTGGCGAAGCCGCGCGAGAGGTGCCCGGTCGTGAGGAACATGATGTCTTCGAGCTCGTCTTGGGGGGAGGGCCAGGTTGGGGCGGAGGCGGCGGGGGGGATGAGGAGGGCGGTGGTGGCGGTGAGGAGGAGGGCGGTGGCCCAGGCGGGTAGGGAGGGGTGGCGGGGCATGGTTTGTTTCTTTTGGAGGGGGGTTTTTTTTCTCTCTCTCTCTTTTGTTGCTGAGGGAGCAATTGGGGAAGGAAACGAGAGGATGGGGTTCACGGCCAGCGGGCGGCGCACCGCAGAGGGAGAAGGACAGCGAGGGACGAGAGAAGAGGTGGAGAAGGCTCGACGCGGCTTGGGTCAAGTCTTAATGGACGCAACACATGCATATTAAAAAAAATACTACCTCGTATGTCTGTTCCTTCGTGGCGAATCTGGATACGCATTGCCGGGCAAAGCGACTTTTTGCGTGCGGTGGTGGATTTGAATGCGCAGGGTGCGGCAAGCCACACCGGCTCCATTTCTGCTCATGGCCGGCGTGAGGGAGCGGGCGACACGGCTGGACGTCTCCTATTTAGGAAGGACGGCCTAAGAATAATGTCTTGGCTTGCATTAGAATCGATAAAGTGGGCGACGAGACGAGCCAAGCATCTCGTATACGCCTCTTGGCCAGAAAATCAGACGCTCCGGCAGTGCAATTGTAGAGAAGGTGTGAAGTAGAAATAAAACGAAGAACAAGATGCAGAGGATAAAAAGTCTACATTCAGCGTTTGAGAGAATGCATCCTTGAACTAAGCTTGACCGTGGAAGGATGGAAATCCTGACTGGGTTCCATCGTCAATTTATTTGAGGGTCTAGGCCACGATCCTGCAGAAATGTCGATAGATAAGCCATGCGGCGTGGCGGCCTCGTAAAAAAAAAAAAAAAAGCACTCGGAAAGGTTCGCCCGAGGCCACCACACTTGCTGAACCAATCAATTCTAATCGTTTACCAAGCTGCTGACCTCCGGGATGTGCTGTCAGCTATTAACGACAGGGTTTACATGGAAATGCCGATAAGCCCGCCGCATAAGGCTGAAGCTTAGGCGTGATGTCGGCCTTTCGCCCAAGGAAAATAAGGAAATACCGAGACCAAGCAGCAGAGCTCTCGGTCCTGAGTCCTCGGTCTTTGCCCGTGTGTACTCGCATCTCCGCCGTTTCCGCAATACTCAGACAGCGCTCAACCGCTGCGGCTCAATGCTACGTGGGGACCTGCAAATCACTCCAGCAGCGTCGTCCACCGATGCAACGCGTCGTTTGCCGTCTTTGGCATGCTGCGGATGCATTCGGGCAGCGCCCAAGGCATCTGCGCGGCTGAAGGCAGTGCGCCTTTTCCGAGCGCGGGGCTTTGCCCCTTTGAAGACCCCTCGCCGACCACGCAGAAGCTCGATGCAGACTCGTTGGAGGAGCACGAGTGGCAGGACGACGAGTCGTCATCTTCCGTGTAGATGGTCGTGAATGAAAGGGTGGCGGGCCGATCAGGTGCAGGACTGAGCAGTCTGGACGACGGAGTGCCATCTTCTCCGGGCGCTGTGGCCGTGTCGTTTGTCATGTATCCTGGGATTTTGAAAACCCGTTTCTCGTTGCACTGCTCCAGCTCCTCCTTCGCGTCCGACGGTGCGGCTTCATTCGAGGGCGTAAGATGAGCGCCGCAGCTGGGGAAAGGGCATTGGTCCCCTTCATGCAACTCGGCGATCGTGAGGCTTTCCTTCTTTGGCTTCATGATGGGCCCGAGTAGAAGCCAATCTTTCCATGAGTACTTTGCGCGACGGAGGTAAGCCTTCACCGGGGTCATCTGGAACGACTGTCTTCTTGACGGAGGAGGTTTCGGCTGCCTTTCGCCCAGAATCAAGTTGTCGAGCGCTTTTCTCGTCTGCGTGTACTCGGCGGCGAAGTCATGCGGCGAATCGAGGTCCCCGGACTTCTGCACCACCTTCAGCTGCTGCAATAGCTCCTCAAGGTAAATGATGCACTTGTCGAGTTCTGATGAAGGGAGCGAAGCCACATCGTCGTCTTCGGCTGGGACTGGAGACATCGGTCTTTCTTCCTTCGGAGTCTCCAGTCCAGGGCTCTGGTTCACCGTTTCTGAGGGGTGTTCGGTCTGAGGAAGACAAATCTCGACGGTTTCCATGGTCATACGGGCTTCTCGAGGGGATCTGACCATGTGATCAAAGTACAGGCAGCAGGAGCTTCGTCTGCACACCAAAATGTCAAATCAGCGTGACCCTACTCATCGGCTCCGGGTCTGTTCACTTACTGCTCCACCGGCGAGTAGCTCGATAGGTCGCCAACCAGAACCTTTTCGTATTCTGCAATGCCTGCGGCGACGTCATCCAGGCGATGCTGGACTGCTCTGAGTTCCTGCGCATCCAGCGTTCCTTTACCCCTCTGCGATGCCTTCTCAAGCAGGAAGCGAAGCAGCACCAGCGCACTGTGCAAGCAATCCACCTTTGCGCAAATCTCTTCAACGCTCATGTGGCGGAATGGCCAAGGCGGCTTCTCGTCTTTCGCTCTCTCCAGGCAAGTGTTCAACTCTGAATACAATCTCCAGCAAGCCTCAACCAGCTCCTTCGTCGTGGTAAAAGCCTCGTCCTTCCACAGTTCCGCCGTGGCCGGATTCGAGAAGAAGTCGTTCAGAAAGTTGATTGCAAAGGAGATGACGGTAGTCTTCTCCCAGATGGCCATGACGAGTTTATCCTTGAGGCTGTTGTCGTCGTCGCTGCAGTAGCCATACCAGCCACTGACGACCTTGGCTCCCATGTCCGCCACCTGCTTTGCGGACACGCCATTGTCGAGTTGAAGAGCCATGTTCGGGTGTTTTGGATCGAAACAAACGTTGGCGGCTGCGGTGATGAGCTTGAAGGGGCTCCAAGTCGTGGTGCTCTGCACAAATTAAATCTCACCCGCATTCAGGGGAGCTGAAAGATGACGCCGACGACTGCAAGGGTGGCTCAATCCCCTACGCGCAGCTTTTCCCGTCTCAGCCCGCAAGTCTCACGCATCATGCGAGGTTGACTGAAGGTGGAGTCCTTTGTGCGACGAACCCCGGTTGCTGGAAATTCCGTGCGACCGGCGGGCGAGGGCCCTTCATTTCTTTCCTTGCTGACTGACCGTCCATCAAATTAGGCATTGCCTCATCTACATCTTCAGCGGAGACACAACGACAAAAAAAAGAAAAAAAGAAAAGAAAAAGGCTGATAAGAAAAAGCAAACAGAAAACAATAAACAGACAAGGAACCTCGTGCGAGCGAGCAAGCGACCCGGCCCGCCCGTTTCATGAACCCCCAAGTCCCCACGAATTTCCCATCTCCACATCCGTCCGCTCGCCCTTCTTCCTACGCTCGCTCTTGATCTCGACCTCCACCTCCACCACGACTCCCCCATGCTCCTTCGGCAAGTTCTTCATGATGTACTCCTCGCTCCCCGCATCATTCATGCTCGCACCAACACTCCTTCCATCCCCCATCATCCGGCCAAACGCACCACCACCACCACCACTAGCCCCAGCCCCGCCCACCCCAGCACGAACCTTCCCAAGCCTACTCCTCTCCCCATACGTCGTCGTCGTCGCCGTCGTCGTCATCGTCCCCCCTCCACCCCCACTGCTCCCATCCCCCTCCCCCTCCCCCTTCCCCACCCACCTCTCCCCCGACCAAAACCTCCCCAAAAACAACGGCCTCAACATCGGCGCATTCACACAAACCAACGCGACAATCGTCTCGCGCACGCCCCACAGATTCACCGTCGTGGTGCTCGGATCGCTCCCGAGCGTGACAACCACCCTCACGACCGCCGCCGCGATGACGAAGACGCCCGTCAGCAGCCACGCCGCGACGACGGCCTTCTGCCGCACGGGGACCTGCAGGCGCCACAGCAGCGGGAGCGGGACCGACAGCAGCGCGAGGTCCGTGGCGACGTTGGAGGCGGCCACGACGCCGACGTTTTGCGGGCGGAAGGTGCAGGCGAGGCCGGGCGCGGGGAGGACGCGCCAGTTGTGCGAGAAGGGCCGGCAGCCGAGCGTGATGGTGAGGAGGACGCAGAGGTAGGTGAGGGCGCAGGCGAGGGTGAGGTGCCGGACGAGGCGGCGTTGCCAGAGGCCGAAGGTGAGGCGGCGGCTGTGAAAGGAGGGGGATGTGAGTGGGGGGGTTGATGGGAGAAGTGGGGGGGACGTACTAGAAGAAGAGCATGGTGGCTTTCATGGACCAGATGAGGGCGGAGTAGGAGAACCAGGCTGCGAGCTCATATTTGGAGCCTTTGGAGATTTTGTGCAGTCGCGCGGGGGTCATGGCTTCGAGTTCGGCTACCTTGAAGTCGACGTTGGTGCCGTAGTGGTCTGCGCGGACGTTGTGAGTTGGTGTGGCACGGTGGGGGTGTGTGATGGGTACGGACAGGCTCGGTCGACTACGACCGCGTCGACGGTGAAGAAGACCCATGCGCACATTGCGAAGTAGTCGTCGCCTGAAAGGTTTGTGATGCCGACAGTACGCAGGCGGACGATGAAGCGAAGAGTGAAGATGATGCATCCGAAGATGAACAAGCCCCATATCTCAGGGAGGAACTGACAGCATTCAGCAGGCATCTTATAGCAGAAGTTCTGGAGAAGTGACTGACGTGTGGAATGTTCTCAGCTGCACCCATTCTGAGCTCTCATCGGGATTGAGTCGAGACAACTGTTTGATGACAATGAAGCTTTCGAAGAGACCCACAGGTGAGGGACAAGACTATTGTGTAGTAAGTAGGAACCTACGGACGGGATCTGCGGCCAGGTACATTGCTCAAGTACCTAGGGACAAAAGCTCGTACATTGCACGCGCAACGGGCGGCAGCTCTGCCGCATCAGTCCGATTGGCTTTCAGCTACTTCATCACGACTCGGATCTATCCGTGAGGCGTTTTCTTCACACACGCCTAGCAACGCTGCGATAGACCACCCAAGCCCACTGTCTCACTGGATGCGTTGGCCATCAAATTTCCATGTAGGTTCGTCACTTCTTGGCCCTGCGGGTATCAGCCAATGGGGGAAGTGCGCGTGGAGTCTGGTCTGCGCGGGATGGCTGCGTTGGTGGGCAGCGCTAAATCGACATGAGTTATCCGGATTCCCTTCCGTCAGAGATGAAACCTTGCATGGCAGGGTTGTGCCGGACGCCACTCGTCTGATGTTGCCGCCGTAGTCTGAAGACAGCATAGGTCCCGTTTAGCCATGGTGCCAGCCTGCGGCTTGGAAACTCAGTCGAACAATTCAGCACATTGGCATTTGTCTAGGTGGCCTAATTTTCATGCTTGTCTTTAGGCTTCCCGTGCGGAGATGCGGAACCCGGCTGTCTAGCTTTGGCCCAATCCAGGGACGGATGCTAGATTGCATGCAGGGGGGAAGTCTAAAGATGCTTCACTGCGGCTGCAGATGTTGTCGTAGTGGATCTTTGATGTGGACGGCTCGGTGGACACACGGCGGACGGTAGTCGAACAAGTTGTATAAAGGCGCCACGTAACTAGGTGGATATCAGGACCGAAGGTGCCCCAACAAGACATGGCCCGAAATCTTGATTTCCTGAGAACCGTGTCCAGCCATGCTTCAGCGCTGGAGGGAGTAGGTTGATCTGTGCATAGAATCTGCCAGTCATCTCACTGCTTAGCTTCCTGGAAGAGCGGCAGGAGCAAGAAAACCTTGTATATATTCATGGTCCCGTTTCTGGGGCTGGCCAAGAGGCGCACTATTGGCCCGGTCCATCTTTCCGCGCCAACGGTGATGATCGATCGCAATAATGTTATCGGATCGCGGTCCGGCGTTGTCGCTCTTTCGGGGGCATAGAGTTTCTGGAGCTTCTCTGAAGGTGTGATGTTAATGAAGCGAAGCGACGGTTGATGGAGCGGAGAATGTGTTGTTCAGCGAGGCGAGCAATGATGCAATCGCGGAATGGGTTCCGCGGAAGCTCTAGTGGGGCAGGCGCGATGCGTTCGTTCCCCGCAGCTTGTGCGCTGCTTATCGTTGCACAATCAATAAGCAGTTGGGGCAGGTGCTGCTGCCTAGATACTGATAGCCTGTCTCCTTGCCATTGATGCTCTTCCGCACTCATCTCATCAAGGCTCTCCGCCGAAACAACACCCCGGCTGCTACACGTACCTTTATCGGAGCTACCACCATGAGCGACAACGCCATTCACAAGCCAGGAACAGATGATGGCTGGCATGGAGTCATCGCGCCAGACAGCCAGTTCCCGCCCGAGAAAGGACGGTACCACCTCTACATTGGTGAGCCCGCAGTGCGGATAACATCCTCCGCTGATTTGCGCCGCGCCTCCACTGACTGTACTCTGTAAAGGCCTTTTCTGCCCCTTCGCCCACCGCGCGAACCTTGTCCGCCACCTGAAAGGCCTGACAGACGTGATTGATATCTCCATCGTGAAGCCGTACCCGAAGGGTGACGAGAAGGGCTGGCCGGGCTGGAGGTTCCCCAAAACGGACAACGAGTACCCGAACGCGACTGTCGACAAACTCTTCGGGAGTGAATACCTGCACGAGGTGTATTTCCGCACGGACAAGGAATACAAGGGGAGATACAGTGTGCCGCTGCTCTGGGATACCAAGACGCAGACGGCTGTCAACAATGTAGGGCTTCGGTGGTCGCGGCTCGAGTAGAGCGGGGCTGACAGCAGCATCCTGCAGGAGAGCGCAGAGCTTCTTCGATGGCTTCCTACAGCTTTCAACCATCTGATCTCGCCCGACCTTGCCGAGATTGACCTCTACCCTTCACATCTTCGCTCCGAGATTGACACCATATCCGAGTGGATGCAGAGAGATCTGAACACGGGCGTGTACAAAGCCGGCTTCGCTCTGGAACAGGACGTGTACGAGAAGAATCTTCCTGCCGTTTTCGCCGCTCTGAATAAGCTCGAGGGGATTGTGCACAAGAACGGCGGACCATACATCCTTGGCAAAGAGCTGACGGAGCTGGACCTGCGGGCGTATGCGACCGTCGTCCGATTCGACACGGTCTACGTGCAGCACTTCAAGTGCAACTTGGGCACCATCCGCCACGACTATCCCGTCTTGAACAACTGGCTGAAGAATCTGTATTGGAACGTCAAAGGCTTCAAGGAATCGACAGACTTCAAGCACATCAAGGAGAACGTAAGCTGCTCCCTCGGAGACTTGCGAAGATGAACAAGCACTTCTTTCGTGACAGGATTTCTCCACTGCATTTACTAATCAAGACTTTGTCCGCAGTACACCAAGAGCCACTACAACATCAATCCGAAGGCCATCACTCCTATGGGACCTTACCCGAATGTCGAGGAGGACGTGCAGGACTTCAGCAAGCTAAAGCCAGGAAGCGTCCGTCACCCGGCCGCGATCGAGTATCAGTCGAAGCTCTAGAGTTTTGGCATAACTGGCTATGGCGTCCAGGACAGGTGAATAATATTCAGGGCATTGGAGCACATCCATTGCCTGTATGGAGAAGACAAGAGGTGATTAATCCCGTTGACTAGATTCACGACAATGGCCCGAGAGTGGCTCAGTCGGTGGATGCAGGTCATCAGTCCACCGGTAATGTGATAAAAATAACTGAGGGGGTAATCAACACCGATTCAAATTCAAACTCATTCGAATACGATTCCAATTAGATTCTCAAGGCTAACTCGGACCCTCCTAACCCTAACCCGAGCTAACCAACCCTGATTGGTTTATATCGATGTTGAATCGATGTTCAATAAACTCCATCGGTTATCTTATCAGATTATCCAAATCTCGGGAAAAGAGTTTGATGGGCCGACCTGTAGCTTCGCTCAGTCACGCTTAGCTCTGTGTGGACTAGCGTGAGAGACTTTCTAAAGCGAAACTTTGTCGTGAATATCAAGCCATGATCAAGGGGATAACTTGCTCACACAACGAAAAGCATCTAAACGACGGAAAAGCCCCGGCAAAGACGGAAGCCGCAAATTTGCGACGCCGTGCCTTGACGCCAAGAATGCCATGCAAGTATTCCGCTACGAGCAGCACTATGGCCGAGAATCAGACCAATCACTGAAGCCGGAGTCATGCGGCGAAGCGGACACCGAAGAGAACTCCACTCTCGCTCGTGTATAGCCATCATGGTACACAGTTCTATTTAAACTAAACTCAATGGATAGACCCTCGAGGGGTGACTATGAACAGAGGATATCATATGCGCGGCACTCCCAGTATGTACGCGCTAAACCCCTTTTGGATTAACTCGGGCTGCTTCATCTACTTACCGTCGCTGTCGACTTTCAACAGGTTTAAAAGCTAAAAGGCCGACCTCTGCTTCCGCTATTGCTGTGCCCACTCCAATTTTGCGTTCGTACGGATTACTCGAGTCTTTGGATTAATAGCCCGTAGTAGCACCAATGGCAGAAAAATCGTGGAGTTACAAGGTGAAAGGTAGTGATTTGAAAGAATTTTTACCTGGTTTAGAGACTGATTGATTGGCAGTGATGTGCCTCGGAGACGTTGCGAAGTCCAAAGAGGAAAGACGATTGGTTCGGAAACTTGGTTGGTCACGGTCAAACTTGCGCATAGAATGTCATTGGCTGACAACGCTGGACAGATTTGTTTGTTCTTGTAGGGTCCAACAGTCGATGATCGGGAAGAGTATAGACTGACGTGCGGACAAGGCCTACTGTTGCTTGAGCTACTTCTTCAATTATCTCGGTACGGCAAGATCAGCTGTCCAAATGACCGAAAAGGAGCTAATACGGGAATGCAAGATCGCGCTGCCTTTGCAAATGCCTACGTACGTCTACCGGTTTTTTTTTTTTTTGGAGCATCACCCATCAGTACTCACTGGTCAAACAGGTCGCGGGTCTTAAAGAGGACATCGGTCTCCATGGAGCGCAATACAACGTCCTTCTCTCGGTGATGACAGCCGGGTACGTCTCTTATAACGCACGCATTGGAAATTTAGCATGCTTATAGTTATCACCAGCTATGTCATCGCTCAGATCCCACATGGCATTGTCATCCAGAAGATTCAGCCACAGATTTGGCTGCCGTCGATGATGGCACTCTGGGCAGGCCTGACGATGTGTACCGCTGCCTGCAAGACGTATGAGCAGATGTGCGTTGTTCGGTTCTTCCAGGGCATGGCCGAGGCGAGCACGTACTGCGGGACCATGTACGTTATGGGGTCTTGGTAGTGAGTACTTCCTCCGCGGCTCCGATCCCCTGATGGAAGCCTATCTATCACTGCCGTGAAAGAACTGACGCTGTGACTGGCAATACAGTAAACCGCTTGAAATTGCCAAACGAACTGCCATCTTCACTTCTGTAGGACAGGCTGGAAGTATGTTTGCCGGTGCGATGATGACTGCAGTTCATAAGACCATGGATGGCTATGCCGGGCTACCTGGGTGGAAGTGGGTTTTCCTCATTGGTAGGTGAAGGTCCTGAGAACCATTCCCCCCATTCGTCTCTGCATAGATGCTGATACCGCCCAAAGACGGAATCATCACTCTCCCCGTCGCCATCGCAGGTCTCCTCTGTTTCCCCGATATACCAGAGAACACCAAAGCGCGTCTCTTCGGCTTCAAAGACTCCGAACTCCAGCTGGCCATATCGCGCCTCCCACCCAAGCGCAAAGACGCGCACGACATCTCCCCGCTCTCGCTCCTCAAACGCGTCCTCGGCCAACCCCACTTGTGCGTCTTCCCTCCCTCTCAAAGAAAAAAAGGAGAGAAAAAAAAAACCCCCCCTCCACCAAAACCATCCCGCAGCTAACAGCCACCACCACCCCCACACACAGCTACATCCTCGGCACCTTCTCCCTCCTCGCCGGCGCCCTCGAAGCCTACACGGTCCAATCCCTCTTCCTCCTCTACCTCAAAGCCTCCCCAGCGCACTACACCACCTCCCAACGCACCCTCTACCCGCTCGGCATCCAAGCCGTCGCCATCGTCTCCCCCATCCTCTCCGCCGCCTACACCGACGCCACGAACCGGCGCGTCCCCGTCGGCCTCGCCGCCTGCGCCCTGCAGCTCCTCGCCACGGCGCTGCTGCTCGCGCGCTCCCTACCCGCCGCCGCGGCGTTCGCGGGGTTTTACATAGCCGGCACGAGCTACATGGTCAACCCGCTCGTGTTCGGGTGGGCCAACGTCATCATGAAGCGGACGGGGGATGAGGCCGCGAGGGGGGTGATGCTGTTTTGGATGAATGCCGTGCAGAGCGCGTTGTATACGTGGTGGGGCGTCGTCATGTATCCGGCGGATGAGGCGCCGTATTGGCGGAGGGGCGGGTGGGCCATGGTTGCGGTGGCGGTGGGGGTCGCGGCGTGGTTGGCGTGTGTGGGGTGGGTGAGTTTTTTCTTCTTTTTTTTTTGTTTCTTTCTTTCTTTCTTTCTGTCCCCCCCCCTTTTTCATGCCGTCGCTCGTGAGGAGGACTCGATGCTAATGCGTGAACTTGCGCGGGGGAAAAGCTTGATAGGAAATCGATCGCTGAGCAGCTTGTGGTGGAGTCCGAAGAAGAGGAAGACGGAGGTTCATCGGTTGTTCAAATTGAGACTGGTGAGGGAAAGAGCTGTTGAGACTAAGGTCTGTTTGCAGAAGCGGATTTTAGAGAACAAAAGGCTTGGCCAACAGCTGGGTGGGGTGGCCTATTCGTCACACGTGCTTTCTCTAGCGATTAAGGCAACTTCCTTGTTATTGGCCGCCTCGGGAAGACGGTTTCGAGTGTCTATTCAGGGAGTTTGCATTAGCCATACTTGCAGAAAGTACCAATCCAAATATAGACAAATGCTCCTCTCTCCAAGAACATCAACATTGCTCGCTTTCCAATCTCTTATTCTTAAACTCGAGAGATTCTTCATATTGCAAGAGGAAGTAACAACAGAAGCAGGTACAACAGGGCAAACTCTTACGTTCAGGACCAGGTGACGCCAAACAGAAACTGGTATATGGTGTCATGTAGACAAAGATGATGGTACAGAACAAGGAGACAGCCCCATCGGGGGAAAAATGATATAACAGTGCTAGAACCGCCCAAAGCCATCCACATCTCTCGCTCTCATCGCTCATGCAATAATTCATGACATGACAGCAGTAACCAAAAGCCGAACCAGCAGCCCAAACCGTCATCATCATCGTCATCATCATCATCATCATCGTCGTCCTCCCCTCCAACTCCCCTCTAAACCTCACTCTTACCCAACACCCTCACCCCACCCCTATTAATCCACCACATAACAGTCCCATACACCGCCGTCACAAACCACAACACCATACACGCCAAATCCACCCAAACCGCATGCTTCATCCGCCTGACACCGCCATCATACTCGACCTCCTCCCCGATGTACATCCTTCCAAAAACGCCAAACAGCGCCACCCACAAGACAAACAGCACCCAGTCCCACGCGAAGAAGAACAAGCTCTTCACCATGGGCAGCAGGTAGGCGAGGGTGGTCAATGCGGCCAGCCCGGCCACCACCTCGGCGTAGACCCATTTGGAGTCGGCGTAGGCGTGGGCCTGGCGCGCGGCGTCGAGGTCGACGCCGTAGAGACCGCACACGGTGAGGGCGAGGACGAATTGGAGGAAGCGGAGGAGGACGCGGGCGAGGAGGCCGGGCAGGCCGCCGTGGTGGGAGTAGGTGGAGAGTTGGTTGAGGGTGAGCATGGTGGCGCGGTTGTTGTTTTTGTTGTTGATGTGGTTGGAGAAGCCGCCGGTGGGGGAGATGGGGGTGGGTGCGTTGTGGTGGTGTTGGTGGGGCCGGTGGGTGTGTTTGTGGGCTTGGTGGGTTTTGTGGTTGGTGTAGATGGTGGGGGCTTCGCGGGCGAGCTTGAGGGCTGTTAGCATGGCGAATGGGTGGGCTTCTGGTGTGCTTGGGTGTGTCTTTTTGGGTCTGCTCGAGTGTGCGCGCGTCTGATGACGGCTTTTTTTTTTGTTCGATCCTGCGAACTGGGGACTGTGCTGGGGATGGGGGGGTTCTTTATGCGCTTGCGTGTGGAACTTGGTGACTTACACGAATGTGTGTGTGGTGTTGGGTTGTGTCGTGTCCCAAAATGCTGTGTCAGACGGCCAAGAGTTGGCGGGTGGGTGGTGGTGGCCTTATAGTTGTCGCAGTCGGACAAAGATCAGGCACAAAGGGTTTGTGGTCTTGACTCGAGACAAAGACCAAGCAAGCTCCTCGGTTTAGAAATTATTGGTGGATAAAGAAGGCGGGTGGCGGAAACAAGGAAACAACCCAGTCAATGGGATTGAAGCAACAGCGATCACGGATCGGAGCTGCGGCTACGTTTGGGTGGAATCTGGAGCGAAGGAGAGTTGGGCGGCGGGACTGGAGAGGCAGAGGGTGGGCGGGCAAAGAGGCCAGCTCTTATAGTATGTACACAGCTAGCACATGCCAGGCGGCGCTCGCATTCCTGAGACTGGCGGGCGTGGAATCGTGAGGTGGATGTGGGCGAGACGCTGGCAGCGCCCACACGTCATGGCCTAGCGCCGCGTCCCTGCAGCTTCAGTCAAGATCGCCCGTCGCAAACCATTGGCCACCAGCCCTCGCCCAGCGACCCGCGCCCTTGTCTCCCGCACGCCCCTCCCTCCGCGCACTTTGTTTCATCGCCTTCGAGCGGCCACTCGTTGCGGGTCCATCGCGTTTCGCCTGCACCATTGGCTCTGAGCCCCTCTGCCATCGCGCGGGGGAGCATCTGCGGCTCAACGCGCGTAGGTACCCTGAGCACGTAAGCGCCCGACTCCCTTTCCCAGCGCCTCGCCGTACCACCACCGCGCGCGCGCAACTGATGGCCAGCACTCGGGCGAAAAAGACCACACTCCGCTGCCGACTTCCGAAGTGGACATGTATTCGAGACATGCATGCATTGCTATTCATAGCCCGCACCTAGGCGCGCCCGCGCGCTTCATCGCTCGCTCACTCACGGAGAGCTGTATTTGTACCCGTACTGCTCCTTCGCCTTCCTGCCCAGCTCCGCGAACTCGTCCGCCTTCTGCCTGAACTCGGCGTCCGTCTCCAGCTTCTTCGCGTACCCCCTGTTGGTCATGGAGCTCTCGGCCGGCACGTCGACGCCCCTGCGCACCGCCGGGCGCGCGTCGATGCGCTCCCACCACCGGTGCAGGTTGGGGAACTGCGCCGCGAGGTCGATGCCGAGCAGCGCGCTGAAGTTGACCCAGCTGAAGTTGGCGATGTCGGCGATGCTGTACCTGCCGCGCCCGGGGCCGACGAGGTAGTCGCGGTCGGCGAGGCGCGCGTCGAGGATGCCGTAGAGGCGCTCCGTCTCGCCCACGTAGCGCTGCGTCGCGTACGGGATGCGTTCTTTGGCCAGCCGGTAGAAGTGGTTGGCCTGGCCCTGCATGGGGCCGAGTCCGCCGTGCTGCATGCGTGTTAGATGGGCCGTTTGAGACGCGTTGCATTTGCTGGGTAGGTGGGGGGGAGACTGGAGAAGAGAGTGGCTGCTTACCTGCCATGCCACCCATTGCTCGGCGCGTGATAGATCCTTGGGATCCGCAAACGAGAACTCATGTTCGGGGTCGTAGTGGCGTGTCAGATATGCCAGGATCGCTGTGGGATTCGCGATCGATCAGCAATGCTCTTCCCTGAAACATCACGATGCCCCGCAGCAAAGCAACGCGGAGCCAATTGCTGGTGACCTACCAGCGCCTTCTTGCACAGGGAAGCTGTCGTTGTCGTGATCCACAATCACGGGGATACGTCCGTTGGGACCGAGCTTGGTGAACCACGGCTCCTTCTGGATGTTCTCCATGATATTGATGCTCTGCACCGTGTACTCCAGCCCATACTTCTCCTTCAGCTCCTCCAGGATTATGCTCGCTTTGTGGCCGTTGGGCGTTCCGAACGTGAGCAGTTCGATGCCCTTGTTGGCGATGAGACCGGATGGACGAGACATGATTATCGGCGGTATGATTGCTGGATGGAGGACAGGCCGAGATGCGTGGAGAAGGCGGGGAATTGTGCGAGAAAACATCTTCGGCGATGTGAGAGGAGAATGCAAGCTTTATGGGTGGGAAAAGCGTGAGGGTGTCAGCTGTAGCTGCTTGATTGGAGCGCCATAAAGGACATCCGTGACGTCGGCGGGATCAAAGGCTTCTGATTGCTTAGGCAGGAGCTCAGTCGCCATGTGTCGGCTCACCCCGCATCAGACTATCCAGTGGATTGAGTGGGTCGACGGCCGATTTCAAAGCAGTCGGTCGTGTAAGCGTCGTTCGCGTTCCCTGTCTTGCCGGAGCTCAAGCTATCGCCGAGAGCGCTGCGCTCCGCTTAGTAATCAACAGACGGCAAACATCCTCTCTCCATCAAAAGAATATCTCACTACTCTAAAGAAGCTTTCTAGAGAAAAGAAGGAGTGACGCGATACCTTGTAGTAAGATGACAGTTCAAATGTAAGCCGGCGACGGCCGTTTCTTTGTACCGTGGTTGTCCATGTCCTGGTTATGCCGCGAGAATTATTTGTTGCTTGAATATATTACAATGAACGTATAGCAAAAGATGCATAGATGTAGCCAGACATGTTCAGGCAGCCTTCATTGCACAATTGAAGGCTGCAGGTCAACACACGCAAATAACCAGTACTCAAATCCAAAAGCTCTCGACTCCTTGAGCGACGCCTTTTCCCTTCGTCTCTTCTTCTAGCTCGTGAGGAAGTTCTCTTCCGGAATCCCGCATGTCCGTGGTTCGATTATCGGAGGCCTGGTCTGTCACGTTCTCCTCCGCTGTTTTTTCATCTTGCGATCGGGGCCCCTTCTCTACTTTTGCTTCTTGCTTCCCTTCTTCTTTGCCTTTGGCTCTCCTCCGGTGATGCCGACTGTCCCTGTCCCGCTCCCGCTGACCAGACCTCCTACCGCTTTTCCCGCACCGAGCGTAATTCCTTTCGAGCCAAACTTCGTCTCGGTTTTCCCTTGGCTTATCAGGCTGCTGAAACTCGCACGGCCTGGGCTATGCGCGGGGGGTGGCGGACTGGAATCTGTCCCACCGACCTCATCGGAACTCCACCACCCTTCCGGACGCGACGCGTTGGACTTTTGCGAAAGATGCGACTCGCGGTATGAGCCTTCTTCAGAGGGTGCCCTGCGTTCGAGTGAGCCGCCGATGGGAGCCGACGCGACGCGCTGCGGTCGGAACGAGCTTCCAGAGTTTCGGAGATGGACGGGGGAACCGAGCGTCGAAGGCTGATGCTTGCGAGATTCGAGGTACGGTGATGTTTTGGTGCCGCCAGCTGGGGTTGGCGAGTGCGCAGGCGGCACGTTTTCGGAGATTTTGCGTGTGGACCGGGGGCTCTCGTCATCATCGGAGAAGGAGGCCGTTGGAAGCATCTGGACGGTGTTAGACGGCGTGAGGGGTTTGAAGGGACCGTTGTTCGGACTGCTACCAGGGCCGGCGTATTTATCGAGAGCGGCGTAGACGTGCGGGAAGACAAGTTCCTCTACGTTGTTAGCCCACAGAAAGTCGAGATGCTCGTAATGAGGAATTTCCTCGGCCACCGTGTGCTTCGGCAGTTCCTTGAGCATGATGTTGACATCGACCAAGCTGTCGCTACCGCCATAGACGAGAACAATAGGCGTCTTGATATTCCGAGTGGGGAACTTGGCCACCTTGTAGTATTTTGCGTCGTTTGAGATCCTCATCGGGGCCTGCATTTCATCATCGTACATCTGGAAAGTGCCGTTCCGAATGATCTGGAACCAGTGCACAACCGTCTTGACGCTGGAGAACGAGTAGAGATGCGGATACGCGGCGAGCTTCTGGTGGGGCGAGATGTTCTTCGCCGACCAGCCGAACAGAAACGAGAGCGACCCGTCGATCAGGCGTACGAAAATGGGCGGGTACAGAATGCTCTGCCACATGGTGGTGCTGGTGAGGATAGCCCGCCTTCCGAAGGCTAGGAAGAGAACGTCGGGGGACGACTTGACAAGCGTGTCGACAATGCCACTGCTCATGCCCTTGGGAGACATGGCGGGCGCAAGAGCGACAAAGACGTTGACCTTTTCGTTCAGCATCGGGTGAATGGACAGAGCAGCGAAGGCTTGGGCAGTTCCCTGCGAGAAACCGACGTAGGAGAGCGATTGCTGGTCAGTGGTGGACAGGATGTAATCGATAGAATCGGGGATGTCGTGGAAAGCGAATTGGTCCATGGAGAAGTTCCAGAAGCGATTGTCGGTGGGAGCATCTCGGGTCGATTTCTTCGAGTATTTGTTGCCTCTGTTGTTTCCAAGCCAGACGTCGTAGCCGCGCTCAACAAGCATGAAGGGGAGACACCTCTCCTTCTCGGTAAGGCACAGCCAGACCTCGCTGTTCATCATCAAGCCATGATGCAGGTAGACGACGCGCTTCTGGATGCTGTCCGGGCCGTGGTTCACCCTCTGGTCCTCCTCGCCCCGCCTGTAGGCCAGCCTGTGCAGACCCAGCAGATATCCATCTCCGGTCTGGACAATGTGTTCCTCGGCGTAGTACCCAAAGAGTTCGGCGAGCTCGACGAAATCGGCGGCCTGGGCGATGGAGGTGACCAGACCCTTCTTCTTGTTGCGCGAGCGGCGTCCTTGCGGGGACGACAGGTAGTTGAAGGACTTGCGCGAGGCGCGGTAGCAGAGGTGGATGATGGGGCCGGGAAGGGCGAGGGTGATGATCCGGATGAAAGCCTCGAGGGCGATAAGGACGAAGCTGCCGAGCAGATAGACGTACTGCAGCGGGTGCAGTCGGCCAATGAAGGGAACCTGAGGCATGGCTGCGGGGAGGGTATCGGAGGGCGCACGAGTCGCGGCCGATGGGGTGCTGCAGGTGTGGGTGGCACAGGAGATGCGTGGTGGACGTGGGCTTGCGGAAATGAGATCAGGAGGCACCGGCCATCGTCGCGTACTTGCGATGGCGTAACCCGATAGCGCGGCGCGCTTGGAGATGAGGGCTGGCTAGGTATCGCTGACGACGATGAGAGTCGAGAGTCGACGGACGCGGCATATTGTTGAACGAGGAGGGCGGGAGCGCGTTGGGAAACGTCATTTGTTGCGCCGCTGGGCATGTGAAAGGCGGAGCTCAGAGCTGGCGAAGCTCCTTCCCTGCGCTGCGCTGCCCGTCCGTGGCCCCGGCACCCGCCCCGACTCAGACCTCACACCTCACCTCTGTGTCCCCGCCGCCCAAGCCGTGCAACACCATCGCAGTCGTCTCCGGGTGTTGACTGCTGGCTGCCAGGACCAAGAGCGCACCATGGCCGCTCGCTCGGCCCCGACGGTTGCATCTTCGGCAGCCCTGCTTCAGTCGTGACCCCGTGCTCACTCTGGCCGCAAGCCGCACGACACAAGGAGACGCAAGGAGACGCCGGTCGTCGCGCACAAGGCTGCTCTTGCTGCTCTTGAGACGCACGCCACTATCGAAAGGCTGCAGTCTGGGCTGCTTTGGGAATGCCGTGGGCGTGAGGCCTGGCGCGGTGCTCTCGGCTGGAGGGTGGGGAAGCAGTGTGCCATGATGGGTGGGGGTGCCCCAGGCCACGTCAATGATTCTCAGCCGCATCTCTGTAAGCTGCCGCTGCCTCTGCTTCGACTTCTCATTACCACGCCGGCTCCCCGTGCTCGTGCCCTGCTGCCTGTTCTCTCGTCCTTGGCCGCTGCTGCCTCATTCGTGCCCCAAGGCCTTGTTGACCGGCCCCCACCGGTGGTCTTCTCGTTCTAGCTCTGCTCCAAGAGCCTCAGCCTTCCCACCCCTCCTGACTCTCTGTTCTTACTCGCCGCACTCAATTGGCCAGCAATTCTGCGATTCAAACCGCCCAAGCGATCCAGACGCCCTGTCCGCTGTCCCGGCTGGGGACTGGGATCCAATGTTTCACGCCCATCTTCTTTCTCCCCCGATCGTGGAGAGATATGGTGTGAAGCCGGTTGAGACTCCTAGAAGGCTGAACCTCTGCAGTTATAAAGAGCTCGAGGACACCGAACCTCCTCATCGACCAGGAGGTGTAGACCTTCGATGTTGACATCCACCACCCAATCACAGAGACCCCATCCGTGCTCTCGTGCGATTACGCATTAGCGCATTTCTGCCTACGCGCATGAACCGCATGATTACCCTCTCGTTCTTCCTCCGATCTTCTGAGCCCTTTGAGAGGCCCACATCTTTCCAGCCCGCCATTGGCGCTCGCTCTTTCGACCCTCGGTCTCTATGCCTGCCGCCCGTCACACCGTCATACCAGGCAGCAGGGGGTGGCGGCTTTCGTCGAGGCCTCCCTGATCTTCGTCTCTCGGCCAACGACCGCTTCACTGTACGATGCTCAAGCCAGGCAGTGCACCTCTTCACTGGCTGGTGCTTAAAAAGCAGGAGTGGCTGTGCGAAACATAGCTCTTCATGAGGTGTCAAGGCTTTGGTGCGCTTGCCTCAGTCACGGATGAGGCTCTTCGCGAGGCCGCCCCGAAGCGGCTCAAGGGTCGCTGGATCCCACCCACAAACGGCAAGGCTAAGCCGCGTCTATCACAAGTTGACGCAAGGCTCCTGCAGCGCTTCTGCCGGTGAGGACCTTCTGAAACGCACCCTGCTCTGCCTCCCTTGTTGCGTTGATCTGTATCGTCCGGGGTCGTTGTTCTTCTCCCTTCTGATGTGTAGTGTCTTCTTAGATCCAAGTGTACCGTATGATGTGTCATTGTTCTATAGAGGGCTAGTTCCATCACAGTCACACTTCTGTTCAATACGATGATGCACTTCATTCCCGCTGTCCAATCTTTTACTACCTGATCGATCTCACTGGTCAGCCTTTGCGGCTCTTTCTCTAGCTTAGGCTGCAAAGAAGCACCTAACAACTCTCGGAGCTTGCATCCGTTTCAGATTAACGAAGTGCCTAGTGTCGGCTTTGCACGCAATTCACGCGATTCACCCCGTCCGTAAACGGTTATAGTAGAAGAGTTCAACGTCGAGACATTCCCAGCTATCATTCTGTGTGCGGCGGAGCTTTCCTGGCCTGTCTGCCCCAGCCTCCGCCCGGGCCATTTGTTTCGTCTCTGTATAGCTCGTCAATCTTTGAAGCTGCCTACCAAGAGGTAATCCACTCCGCCACTTGGTGTGGCCTCATGCACGTCAGCCAGTCCCGCCTTTTCTTTGCACCTTCCACCGTCTTTGATACAAAGACCCCACTGGCTATTTCTCTTCTGATGCCACCCAACCACATGGCCCCTTCCATGGGCCCCTTGCTACCACCATGGGTTGCCCAGACGGCCTCGGCCCCCCGTTCTTTTCTTCCGCCTTGTCTTGACTGCCCAGCCACTCCGAGGATATTCTTTGTCGCCTAAAATGTTCCTCAGGACTTCTGGTGTACGCCCTTGGTGCCCGACGGGGGTTGCTGCCTTCCCTGGCCGCCGGTGAATAGATTACCCACCGCCTCTCTCGCATACCCCTTTCGGAAGGCTCCTGTGTTCTTCACACCTGCGGATGATGGGAGTGGCTCGGACGTCGCCGATGCTAGCATTGAGGGGGCACTCATCGTCTCCCGGGGCGGTCTGGGATGCCCCCAAACGACTCACAACGGCGGTATGGGGCGAGGGCGTTCTTGCGCTCTCGGCCCACCCGACCGCAGCACGGCAGAGTTGAATGTTCTGTGTTCAGTCACAGCCCCAAAGTAATGGTGCATCTATATATGCCTTCTGGCTTCGTTCATCACAGCTCCCTCCACCACATCCTCACCATCAAACCCCCACAGAAAGACAAAATCGGACTTCTCAAAGTCACTATCTTGACCAAATCACTCACAATACTCCCTGAATATCACTGGACACTCCCACAGTATGAGTGGCACCAAGTTCACTTCACTGTCTCTCACTGACTGGAGCCCTTCAGGGCACACACTTCAAGATGTGCAACGATCACTCCGTTTCCGCTCCCGCCTTTGAGCCGTCTACGCCTTCGATTCCAGGTAACATAAATTTCCTTACGCCTAATGCTTACTATTGTTGCCAATGCGGATTCGAACCAATGACATGTCGGCTCTACGCGGCCTGCATCCAATGTGGACACCAATTCGGCTCTGATCATTGCAGACCGGCTTTCATTGACGGCCAATTTTCTTCTACTACTTCTTCGACTTTCTCTTTGTCACAATCTACGGGACAAGTGCTGACAAGCTCCACACCAAAAGCCTCCACCAACACACCGTCGTCGTTCTATGGCGTCAGCGGTGTCAGTCCGAACTCATCCACGACCGATCTCACTTCTCCCAATTCCCGTATCCCGCCTCCAGTCAGCCAGCAGGTTTTCGATTTCCATACTTTGAACGACCGTGCCCCGTTCACAGCTCCTGCTGCTGATGGTGAAGCGACTTGGTTTTGCTGCGGTTGTGGCTCTGGCCCCTACAACAAGGAAATTTACGCCGCGTGCATCCATTGCCACCACGTACAATGCTACTACTGCAATAAAGAGTAAAGCTCCACCAACTCTCTGTGCCACCATTGCGGCCCAGATGTTGTAGGTAAGCCGGACTAAATATGCTGGTACTTTGCTGGGCTGACGCTGAGTAGCAAGATAAAGATATGGGCACTGTCCATATCGTTTTGACCATTCCTTTGTCCCCAGTCTTGTTTAGCTTCTGCATTGCACTTGGACTTGTTGGTTCTGCTTTTGTTTGCTTTGATTTTCCCAGCACCCAGCATATAAATATCCCCGTCGTGTACCTCGGATGAGTTTTTCCATTTGTAGCCATCTTGGAAGATGTTCGAGGTTTTTGTTTGTTTCTGTATCATGGCATAGATAAGGCGTTTCTCGCAGTCTACAAATCTCTCTAGAATCATGCTTCCAAACACTTCAACTTTGACCATTCTTCTTACGTGAGGCACCGTTCCATAGTGTGGAAGCAGCTGCTTGCATGCCGCGGGTCTCGGAATGTGACCCTTTGTGCAACCAGCAGACAGCCACAGCTCAGGTTGACTCAATAATAGCGCGCAAGACTCCAGTCTGTGATCATTTCTCCAAATCCTTCGAAGGATGCGGGTGGCTGTGTCTAACTAGATGAGATCTGAGACAATTGCAGACGGCCGTGAACCACGTTTCCCACCTCTTGTTTCGCCAAGTCCACAATCAGCCTCATATTTTTAGGCAGTCTTCTAGAAAACAAATGTCTCAGAGCGCAGCGCAAGGCTGAGCGAAGGTGGCGGTCATCTTGCCCGTAGCCGCGCGCTTTGACCGCGTGCTGGTAGGCTTACCTTGCGCCTGTGACGAAATATATCTCGCGTCTCACCGGTTCGTTATCCGATTAAACGGTTACAGAGGGAAAAAGAAAGGAAAATCCTCACAGCTGGAAAATGATACTGAGCGGGGAACTGCCCACGTGTGTCCACCACCAGCGCCATCCGGATCAAGGCAGACTTTCGACGATCATACCCCATGTAGAAGGTCAGGTCCTCAAGGATCTTTCAAAGCCGCATAACTCGTCTTCCATATAAGTCTCATGAAGAGAAGGGCGGCCAATGAAGGCCTGGCACGCCGGCTTCTCCCGGCCTTGGGCGCTGCAACTGTCAGACCATCACCCGCACCAGCCACTCCTGCCCTTCTGCCACCATCAGCCCGCCAACGGGGCCGCGAGTGGCGGCATGCTTCAGGCATGATCCGCTCTTGGCAATGTTTGGGCCAAATGAGGCAGAGCGGGCGCTCAGCAGATGCGAAAATACACCATACGAGGGTTCTGAGTAGAGCTACAGCTATATACAGCCAGCTGAACTTTCTCGCCCCGAATACCGGGGCGCTGCCAGCCACGAAGAATTCCCAGTGCCGTTTTCAATGCCCGTTCACAGGCAGAAATATCTATCACAAGTCCCCTTTTTACACTCATCCGTCCGACGGGGCGAAAATGAGGAGGTGTTGCCCGTTCTTCCTGTCCAAACGCCAATCCCCCATGTCTTCGTCAACAGTGCAGCCTCGTGCAACACCAACATGCCAAAAATTGCCAAATCCGCACCACGACGCGTGGCCGCGCGGCCGCAATGCTCGAACAAGCCTTTTCTTGGCCTGCGTCCCCAAGGCCGAGTTGTCGGATCTGCCCGCGGCCCAGCGGCTTGCCGTACGTACGCAGCTGCCTCGGCCCTCGATCCCAAGCCCTCCTTCTCCCACAGCCCGACTGTCCCGCCACATCCCTCATTATTTCTCGTCGCCGCCACCCTTCCTATCCTCGTCCCCGTCCGTGCCCTTCAAGACGTCGTACAGCGGCTTGCCGGCGTAGAGCTGGCCGCCCTTCTTCTCGCCGCCCGCCTTGCCGCCGGAGCCGGTGTCGGGCAGGTCGAGCTCGGCGCTGGACATGACGCCGACGGGCTTGTTGCCGCGGAAGCGCTTGCGCATGTCGACCATGCCGCGCTTGCACTCGCCGTAGCCCTTTTTGAGCTGCTGGCAGCGCGTCGGCAGCGCGTCCGAGAGCGGCGGCCGCAGGCAGTCCGACGGCGAGTGGCGTTGCACCATGATGCAGTCGCTGTTCTGGAGGCATTCGGCCAGCGCAGCGCCTGTGTGGTGGAGCGGCCAATGGTCAGCCGTCTGTTTTCTGGAAACCTGGGGCGCCACGGCGGCTGGATGGTCGAAAAGGCGGTCCGTGGCGGGGGGGAGGAGGCTGTGGGGAGGGAAGCTGGGAGGAGACGTACGGATGTCTTTACATGACGACGGCATGGCTGCGGATGGGTGCGCGGGGCAATGGCGCGTCGCGGGAGGTTTGCTCAGCGGTTGAAATTCACGATAGCTTTCACTGGCGGAGGCGCGCGGGCGGCGATCGTCAGTCGGACCACCGACCACCGCCAAGGCGCCGGGTCAATTGCGCGCGGCGAGCCAGGGTCCACCCTGTCCCTCTTCCCTCTCGGCCCATCGAGGCCAGCACCCGCCTCCCCGAGTCCGAAGCAGGAACAGCCAGGCGTGCGGCCGTCGCGCCAACCTCCGACTTGCTGTCATCATCACCTACCTCCTGCCTCCTCTCCTCCCCGCAGCTGCTCTTCCCCCCCCCAACCCCCCGGCCCGGGCCTCCAGCCTTTCTCACGTCGCCGTCTCCCATCTCGAGCCTGTTGTGCAGCGCGCACGTACCCGCCGTGCCGCCGCCCGAGAGCCCATCACTCGCTTCAGCGGGTGGACTATCGACACGCTAAGCCCAACTTCCACCACCGCTTCTTCTTATTATGTCCAACAATTAGGGAGCCTTCCCACGGTCCGTGCCGCCCTCCGCACGAAATCCTGCCGTTCTCTCTCTCTCTCGACACCGCCGCCCGCCCTCTCCCTCAACCAAACCGCCCAACCTCGCCCGGCCATTCTTACCCTCTCACACGCCACAACGGCGGCGGCGACGCGCTCAATTCTCGAACCAACACCCTATCCTTCCACCCCGGCCCGCCAGGAGAGAACAGTACCCGCAGCAACAACAACAACATCACCATCATCACCGACATCCGCATCCACCGCCTCTCCCAAACCACCCCCCCACAAAAAAACCACCATGCCGTCCCACCCACCCCCCTCCGACGACCACGACACCGCCCCCACCGCCGCCGCCGCCTCATCCCTCCCCCCCAGCCGGCCCACCCAACAATCCATCGCGCGCTGGTCGGCAACGACCGTCCCGCTGATGATCGTCGCGGTCGTCAGCTGGGCGACGTACGTGCTGGTGGCGAAGCTGGCGGTCGATCGGCTGATGCTGCGGCGGGGGGAACGCGGCGCCGGCGTCGCCGTCGTGGTGCTGCATTGCGTCTTGTTGGCGGCGACGGCGGTGGCGTACGTGCGCATCATCGCGACGCTGAAGGTCGATCCGGGGTTGGTGCCGTTGGGGAGGGGGAGCGCGGATGAGGGGGGGAGGAGGAGGAAAGGCAGGGGGAGGAAAGGTAGGAGGGATGGTGGTGGACAACGGCAGCGGCGGGGGGAGTGGGGAGGTGGGGATGGGGTTGGGGACGGCGGCGGCGTGTTTGAGGATGAGGAGGGGAGGACGTGGGCGGAGAGGCAGTATGAGGAGAAGCTGAAGCGGTTGGAGAAGTTTGTGCCGAGGGAGGTGTTTGTGTGCGATTATGATGGGTTGCCGCTGTGGTGTGACAAGTGCAGCAATTGGAAGCCGGATCGCACGCATCATTGCAGCGATTTGGGGAGGTGTGTGCGGAGGATGGACCACTTTTGTCCCTGGTGAGTGTCTCCTTTGCACGAGTTTATGCTTGAGGACGTTGGTTTGGGAATCTGACGTTTGAACAGGGTTGGCGGTATTGTCTCGGAGACGTCGATGAAGTTCTTCATCCAGTTTACTTTTTACGCCTCCCTCCTCGGATCTTTCCTTCTCATCACAAACGGCATCCTTGTGGCTCGGGACAAGCATGAGGGTCGAGACCTCGACAATCACATGATAGCGCTGCTCGCATTCACTGGCCTCTTCACACTCTTCGCCGTTGGCATCTTCGGCAACACGCTCTTCATGACGCTTCACAATTTTACCACCGTGGAAGCCCTCAACCGCGCGAACGCAACGTACCACCTCTCCATCCTCATCACGCCCTCGTGGTGCAACCGCAGAAATGATGAGCAGTACCCCTTCCGGACGACTACGTATCCCGGCGCACCGGGTGCTCTCTACGCGATCCTGATGACTCGGCCTGGCGACAACCCGTGGGATGTCGGCAAGCTCAAGAATCTGAAGAGCGTCATGGGCGAGAGCGTTATCGATTGGTTTTTGCCGCTCAAGTTCAGTCCGTGCACGAACCACGACAGACAGGACTCGGAGTTTGAGTTTGGCCCCTCGGTCGAAAACGCGAAGAGAGAAGCGACCGGGTATTAATACTTTTGTTTCTCCCCATGTGAGCTTCGTAATTATTGTTTTTTTTTCGGGTGAGAAGAGGTCGTCGCTTCTTCAGCCTGCATTCTTGGTGTTGGTTTGGCAGGGAGGGTCACTTGGTCTTCGGATTATGACTTCATGACTTTTGGATACCCACCCCTTTTCTTCCTGTTTACTTCATTTTGGGCTGTGGGGAGACGACTATTTCTTGTATACGCTTTTTATTGTTAACCCGCTCGTAATATCCGATTCTGTTCATGACCCCTGGCCAGGCTACAGCTGCTGTGTGTTCGCCTACGTGCGCATTTTGATACCTTGTCCTACTTCAACATGAAAGAAAATACTCAGAGGCCTTCTTCTGGTACCAGTGATCTCTTTCCTTTCTTCGAATCCCCAGCTCTGACTTACCGGAAAGGCAACACCACGCACGGGTTACTCTCAACCAAAGGGACGATGGGCTCCGTCGCCACCGCACCTCCTCCTCGTCCGACTTTAGCCAGCATCGAGAGCGTCAGGGCTCCTCCATTCCTCGGGTCTTCGGATTGCCGCCAAGGATGTACAATGCAAATGACTGAGAGGGCTGACAAAATAGTGGAAAGTAATGATTCAGACGGCATGATATCGCATCTTCTAAGTTTGGGCCTGACTCGTCTCGGAACTCGCCTCGGGGAGAAGATGTGCTGCGCCGCAAACGCGTCAAGCGACATCGGTTCCGTCATGTAGCACCCCGGCCACGGCGGAGATTGCCAGAATGCAGGCACATGTGCGGTGATAGGACGCACGTTGGAGGGGAAGAGGCTGAACGGCAGCGATAAGATGGGGCCAACGGAACCTGATGTGTCGCTAGGGCCGGGACCGTATGCAGGCACGGGCGATCTGTTGGAGCGAAGCAAACGAGCTAGGCCGCGATAAGCAGGTCAAATTCCGCCGGACCCGCCCGCTGACCGCACGTGGGGTAAGGCTATCGCTGCGGATGCCGGCCTGCCTGTCTGCAACCCTGACGGGCAGACCAAATAAAATCATGGACGGCGCCGATCCCAGTTCCTCAGCCCCTCCCCTCCTCTCCCCCAGCCTCTCGCCGCTGCCATGCGTTTCGCCGCGACCCTCGCCGTCGCGTCGCTCGCCGGCACTGCGCTGGCCTGCGCCGACGACGGCCACAGCTGCTACGGGCCGCAGGACGACGTCGTCCTCACCCGCAAGGTCAAGCGCATGCAGCCCGAGTCCAGCAATGCCACCAGCGGCCCGCGCGCCCCGCTCGAATGGGGCCAGCTCAACTTCCTGCACACCACCGACACCCACGGCTGGCTGGAGGGCCACCTGAAGGAGCAGAACTACGGCGCCGACTGGGGCGACTACGTCTCCTTCACCACCGCCATGAAGGCCCAGGCCCGGGAGCTCGGCGTCGATCTGCTGCTCATCGACACCGGCGTAAGCTCACACGCCGCCCCGCTGTGCTTCGATGGTTAACCAGCCCAGGACTTGCACGACGGCGCTGGCCTCTCGGATGCCACGGATCCGAACGGGCTGATCTCGAACCCCATCTGGGAGAACATCGACTACGACCTGCTGGCCATCGGCAACCACGAGCTCTACGTCACCGAGATTGCCTATGAGCACTTCAACCAGTTCGCCAAGGTCTACGGCGACCGCTATGTCACCTCCAACGTCCAGATCATCAACCCGTCGACCGGCGCCTACGAGTACATCGGCAGCCAGTACCGCTACTTCACCACCGAGCAAGGCCTCCGCATCATGGCCTTTGGCGTCCTGTTCGACTTCACCGGCAACTCCAACGTCTCCAAAGTCATCAAGGCTGCCGACCTTGTCCAGGAGGCCTGGTTCCAAGACGCCGTGAACCACGAGGGTGTCGACATGTTCATCCTGCTTGGCCACAACGCCGCTCGCCCCACCGACTCCACCAGCACCATGGGCACCGTCTACAGTGCCATCCGCACCGCCCGCCCCGACCTGCCCATCCAGATCTTCGGCGGCCACACCCACATCCGCGACTTCGCCGTCTACGACAACAAGGCCACCGGCCTCGAGTCCGGCCGCTACTGCGAGACGCTGGGCTGGCTGTCCATCACCGGCATCGAGGGACAGGGAAACAGCACCTACGCCGCCAAGCAGCCCGAGGGCCTCCCCGCGCCCACGAGGCCCGCCGTGTCGGTGAACGGGACTGCCGCCAACAGCACGCTCCCGACGTCCGACACCCCCTCGGCCCTGCGCTACTCGCGGCGCTACCTGGACTGGAACCGCTGGACCTTTGGCTACCACGCCGTCGGCAGCCAGAGCAAGCCGTTCGACACGCAGCACGGCAAGGCCGTCACCGCCACCATCACGGGCGCGCGCGAGCAGCTCAACCTGAGCAGCGTCATCGGCTGCGCGCCGCAGACCTGGTGCATCGACTGCAAGCCCTTCGGCGACCCCGGCAACATCTACACCCTCCTCAAAGAAGCCATCGCCACCGTCCTCGTCAACCAGTCGCGCGCAGACGTGCCGCGCATCATCTTCATCAACACGGGCAGCGTGCGCTTCGACCTCGTCCAGGGCCCCTTCACCTACGACGACTCCTTCATCGTCTCCCCCTTCACCAACACCATCCGCTTCATCCCCGACGTGCCGTGGGAATCCGCCTCGCAGGTCCTCGACATCATGAACGCCGGACCCTACCAGAAGAAGAAGCTGCGCCGCTCCCTCACCCACGCCGACCTCGCCTTCACCCCGCTCGCGCCCTCCCTCCCCGACGCCGACGCCTGCATCGACCCGCCGCTGTCGCATTCCCCGCTCCACGCCCGCGCCTTCCGCGGCGGCCGCCTGCTGCGCCGCCAGGAAGTCACCACCACCACCCCGGGCTACGCCACCTCGGACGACTTCGGCACCGACGGCGACGACACGCTTCACTCGCCCATCCCCGCCTACGACCTGCCCATCGACGTGCAGGCCAACGCCTCCTTCCCCGCCGACGGCTCCGCCCCCGACACGGTCGACGTCGTCTACCTCGACTTCATCGAGGACTACGTCATCGCCGCGTTGAATGAGGCTGGTGGCGGTTATGATGCCGGCGATGCGGCGGCGTATATGGATGAGAGTTTTACGAGTAATATGTATTTGCCCGAGTATGCGCGGGTGGCGTGGCAGGATAATGTGGGGGATTGTCCGGTGGGGAAGGGCGTCGGGTTCGATAAGAGGAGGTGAGCGAGCTTTGCTTGGGGGGGTTTGGAGGAGTGCCAGGGTGTCCGTGGAGCGTTGGCATGAAGTCTGTTTGTAAGAGTGAGTGGTAGCATGTCATTGTCAGTTAAAGTTCAAACGGTTTGAAGCGAGCTGAGATTCGTCAATAACTCCCCCTGCTGAGTCCCATGATTCGCCGAGCGACTGTTTTAGCGACCTCCGTGCAACCTATCTCTCGATCATCGGGCAGCGCTTAGTCAGGGCTGTCGAGTAAGTGTCAATCTGGAGAAACGGCAACACCACGAGGCATCAAAGCGATGATTCAAATGTCGATATTTAAGCGCATGTGCTCTTACGCATAGTGCATGCTGTGGTATTATTTTCAACTTCTTGCTTCTTCACCCTTTCGCGTGGCAAGAGCAGTCCACCAGGCTGTGTCTACCAAGTGGTGCGAAGCGGATCCTACCCTAAAAGAACATGCTTGTACGCCCTTTGTACGCCCTTGCCTACGTGTCCACGAAAATCAGCCCCGTCAATATCTGCCTGTTATGCTATCTTGTCGCCTTGTTACACCAAATGCAGGCGTGTGAGGCTGTGCTGAGCCATTTGCCATAAGCGGACGCGTTATCGGCATTTCCATAGGTAAGGGGTTTGGGCGACACGGGGAGGCAAAAGTCTGCCTTGTTTTACTTAAAACCCTGACTTGCTGCCACCAGAGCCAAGGACGACCTACCTACTGTTTTGTCTACGCCATGGATGATGCAGCAACCTCCTCTCGCCAGCAATTCTTCCTTCGTCAAGATGGAAGACTGGCTCCGTTGTTAGTGCAAAGTTTTGAGCCTCATGAGGATGCGACAAACTTGGAATGGGGTCGAATTGGTAGGCCTCAGCCCCAAGTGTCATCCTTCACCGGCCTGATTTACTGGATTTGGTCGCCGATGCTTGTCGAGGGGAGTGAAATCCACAAGCTTGGTGTGCGGCCCAGAATCGTGCTATTGTTAAGATGGCTCGCCGCATGGCCTTTGATTGTTCTTACGGTTTGTGGACGCCTCGGAACACTGTTCTCGCAGCATTTGCTGACTTTTGCAGGCGTGGACAAGTCTTCGCGACGTGGGCGCAATGAAAATCGAGACCAATCATGGGGCCTTTTACGACCCCATTCCATACAAGTATCCGGCCGACGAACTGGAGAGCAATAGGCTGCGACATCGAACCCAACAGTCTCGGCAAGCTACGCAAGATGAAGCAGGTCCTCTACCACATTTGGGGCCATCCCGGGGCTCAAGATCATCTACAGATATTGCGCTAAGGCCTCGGCGTCAGCGACAATCTCTCAGTGCTGGCGCTCCCTCGAGGCTCATTCGCCCACGATACCTTTGTTTCCTGTACAGCCCAGATATAACCAAAGGTGAAAAAGAGCTCCCCTACAAGACAATGAAAGTTTCCGAGTGGATAGAGGAGCATGGGGATGTCGGTACGGAATTCGTTTTCGTGTCGTATACTCGAATGCAGTTCCGCGTCAACACGGAGAAGGAAATCTCTGAATGGGGTTACGAAACCGATGAAGAGAGGGAGAAGAATCGCCAAATAGCCGAAAGAGACAGGGCAACACTGCTTGGCTGGGGAATCGAAGCTGCACGGGCAGCCAACATCTCTGCTTTCTGGCTCGACTTCGAATGCTTGAGAGACGACGACGGAGAAGCCAGATCGTCGAGCAGCACTGACGATGTGTATCTGATATGTGACGTCGTGCGCGCGGCCCACTCCATGATCATCGCTGTCGGCCCTCCGGTTTGGGACAGGCTCGAGAACAAAGAAGAGCCGTACAGTCCTCAAAATGAGACTCGCTGGCTCCGCCAGTGGGGCTCTCGCCTCTGGACGCTTCCTGAGCTTCTTCTTTGTCCGGGCGAGTTCCGAGTCAAACTATACTCAAACGCTCTCGGCGGCCCGAGTCAGCCAAAGAGTATGGCCAAACGCAACTTTGCGGAAAGAGCCTGGGATGATGCTCAAGCTGTAGTGCAGCTGCTTGACCATTTTGAAGGCTCCGCAATCCTGGGTTCTCTACAATTCATCAGCATTGCTCTCGACTGTTTCTCCAGACGCAAGACAGACCAGTTCGTTAAAGCGGATATTGTCTACGCGTTGATGGGCCTGCTCAACAAGCGGCTTCAGGCCAATAAAGAGGACACCGGATTCCAGGCTTTCGCAAGGCTTTCCCTCGCCAACGACAGCGACCAACTTCTCGAACGCGTTCTGTGCATGCTACCCCCGAGTCCACAGGCCCCTTGGTACATCATCCGCGATGCCTACGGAGCCAATCTCTGGGACCTCAAGCCTAACTGTGAGATCACCGAAGTGATACACGACCACGAAAACGACCAAGTTCTGTCATTGTATGGGGCATATGGAGCAACCATTCGTTGGGATGCCTTGGATCCCGTCCATTTCTTGACAGATCGCCCTCTGCACAAATCAGCATGGGGCATTCTTCTGTTCTACCTACCAGTTCAGTTGATTTGTGTGACTACTATGGGTTTTCTCCTCATGGCGCTGATTAACATCATTCTCTTACTCTCACTCTCCCTATCCTCTGCAGCGCTCACTATGCCCATGAGAGTATTCACCTCCACCATGCCCATGAGAGTACTCATCTCCATCTCAGTACTTGCCCTTCTCGCCGCTCCTGCGATAGTGAAGAGATCACGGTCCGGACCATTAAGATCCACCCAGGCATGCTTCATGGGGGTTGAAGGCCACGTCAATGTTGGGACCATCGAGCGCTACCTATTTGGATTCAATCATGGCAGACTTAAGGAAAACAGCGCCGATCCCTTTGGTTTTAGGTACGACGACCATCCGGCCAATGCACAACCTGGGGACGTGTATGCTCACAGGGACACTCCGAGAATGCGGTTGTTCACGCTCGTTGACACCTACACCATGACCGTTACACCATTCCTTGCGGAAAGACCTCCAGTGGCTCTCCTTGTATGTGGTAACGAGAAAGGCATGCAGCGCGCAGTCCTCTGCTCCTATGAGCATCGGACAGGGACTTTCTGCCGCCAGACAGTCTTGCAAATGAAGGGCACCATTCTGGAGCGGATGATCCGCCTGGACAAGGTTCGGTTTACACTACAGCGGTATTTACTGGATCCGAAACCCGAGGATCACGGATCGTCTCAGGAAAATTTGCAGCAAAGCCAAGCACATGGGCCAGTGGAAACTGCTCTTGATCGGAGGAACGATGCAGAGCAAGGGCTCAGTGACAGTTCTCGAACAGATTGTCAAGCGGACTCAGAGCTACAAAGTATGCCGCAGCCCATGAAAGAAAGAAGGCTAATTGTGATGCTTGATCTGGCTTTCATTCCTGTGATGTGGGTGAGTCACGAAAGTAACCGTCGTTCTTCCCTCACACTGGTCTCACGGCCCTACAGTTTATCTGCGGAACGCCCCTGGTCCCTAAAATCCCCGCTCCCTGGTACATGAACTGTGTACTACTGTACCATGCTTCCTTCTTAGCTGTGCAAGTCCCAGCATTCTTCTTACTCAGCCACATCCAGCTCTGGCGGATCATCTCACTGTCGATTATGCTCAAAGGTCGGTCCCATCCCATTCACAGGAAATAAGCTCTGACTGAAGTCTGACCAGGAATTGCACACGTCAGCTTCTGGGTACAACCCGACTCAAACAGCTCCATCATCTTCGTCCTCCAGGGCGCAACAACTGGAGTCATGGTTCCCGGCTTCGTCATACTCACCTGGTCTTGGTACCGGCCCCGAGAAGTACCGCTCCGTCTACTCATCTGGACAACCGGGAGTGGAGTAATCTCACTTTTCGCCTCACTATCTATGCAATTTACGTATCGAGCAATAATCTTCAATGCTGTAGCGGCACCGACAGCAGGCCTCACATGTATTGTGGTATTCAGCCTGTGGACTTACAACCTCTTTGGGACTCCAGAGCAAGTGCGTTGGATGTCAACAGTTAAGCGGATGCAATACGCATCGGGTGCGACCGCTTCCACCATGGGACCGACGCTGGAAAGTGGCCGGTGGATGACGCCGAAGGTTGGCCAAATCCAAGATTCCGTCGGTGATTCGAAAGGCTAACGCCCTCGTGCCCAGTTGACATGCATCTTGGAGGATCCCCAGACTTGGTGTTTCTTTCTCACTTCCATGCTGACGTCCCTGTCAGGAGCGACAATGCTCCCAGCGCCGAGATCGGGTATTCTCCCATTCCCTTTTTCGATTTCCCTCCTCTATGTACTCTCGCCCGTAGCAGTCGCCGTAAGCATCGGAAGCCTCCTGCACATACGTGACATTTCCAAGAGTAAGTCCTACACCACTCCTTTGCCTTTTTCCGATTTCTCTACGCAATATAAACCACATGCGGACTTGGCATAGTGCTCACTCAGCATGTAGTCGCCGTCATGGCGTTTTCCACAGTCATGTACCTGGCGGCCGATGTTGCATCACGACTCCTCGCCTGGACCCATTTCGGCTGGGCCTCGTTGGCTCTGCACGTGCCCACCTGCATGCAGGGCACCATCTTACCCCGTGAGTCTTCCTTCTGCTCACGCATTCCCGTTTCCACTGACCACGCATCCAAAAGTTCTTTGGGCTCTGCTCGTGCTCAATGTCCCGCACGGAAGCGGCAGGGGCGCGATGCTCTCAGTCTCTCTGATGGGCTCCAGTCTGGGGGAGATGCTCGCTTTGATCCCCCTGCGTTTGATGTCGTCCCTCTCGCCCGTGTGGTCCGCCGCACAGCTTGTTGTTCTCGGGGTATTGTTCTCCCTTTACAGAAGGCAAGACGAGAAGTTCGCAAGGAGAATGTCTGGTAGAAATGGGCAGAGCGAGGGGCGTGAAGATGGGAGAGTTGATACGAGTCTACCCTCGTTTCGACACTCCTACTGAAACCAGTAACAAGGTGCTCTCAGACATGGCCCACGGCAAGTGACAGAAGATTTGATTTTGAGCCCTCCGAGCCCGAGCAAAGATGCTACACTCTTCCTTTGTGGGTAGCGCAGAAGGATTGAGTGCCGATAAGGCAACTAGCTGTTGCCGTTTGTTTAAGATTGAAAAGTACGATACGGTTCTATCTGTCCCTCTTGATAATTTTTTTTCCAGTGTTCGTGGAAATCTCGGAATGCAATAGGGTAACCAAAGACGTTCAGTCAACTAACGACGGAAGTTCCTGTAAGTTTTCTGTCTATACCGAACTATGTATCGCTTTTTTTTTCGCTCATCCTACTGTGGCCCTCATCTATGTGGCTTCTTTCAATTAGAGATCAGAGTATTTTAAAAGTATCCATGCCGTCTGTAAATTATCTTGAATTTAACTATATAATACAACTTTGCCAAACGATACTTCATCGAGGCAGTAGATTGCCTACAACAGCGTTGGTGGTTTAGTGGTAAAATTCATCGTTGCCATCCGTTGCTTTGACTTTAAGAGAACATAAATTCTCCGAAGGCTTCAACAACCAAGTATCGATGAGCCCCGGGTTCGATTCCCGGCCGACGCATCCTTTTTGTCTCTATCGAGGACGCTCGAACGTTTTATACGTTGTTGGAATGAATGGATCAGAAGTATGTGGCTAGTCCGGAGGAAAGGGGGCACGGCGGTTGAGGAGCAGCAGCAACCAGCCAGTACCAAAAGGAGTTTCATGTGAGTTCTACACAGTGAACAACGTAGAAAGCTTTATTTTAAACTAAGGTCTTTGCTTTTGCGGGCTTTGCAACCATTGCGTGGGGCCGTTCAGCCGAGAAAAAGAAAACTTCTCCGAGGACCGGGCTGGCGGTGTTTATCGGGCCGAAGCGGGAACGTCCGCTAGTGACCGACCCGGCGATCTGGGTACGACATACCGGAGCATCGTACCAAGCCTGTGTTATGATAGCTCTGATGTTTCCTTCCAGCTAAACACTGTGCGGAACTCGCTATTGATACTGGCCCAATTCGGTAAAGAGATTGGCAGTCCGGCCAGCTGTTTCTTGAGACTCTGCAGGCAATGATTGATGAGATTAGAATTCAACCGAAACTTGATTCCAAGAATACCGAATGACTACATAAAGAACATGCCAAATTTTCAAGGGAAGGAACGGCTCCAGATAGACACCGAATGACTACATAAAGAACATGCCAAATTTCTAAAGGAAGAACGGCTCCGAATACGACAGATCCGAAATGTCTGGCTGGGTCCATAAAAGAAAACTGTCAACCCTCGTCCTCTCTGGTGTGCTGCCGGTGCGAATCAATTTGCGACACGATCCAGCTCTTAAGATCAATGCCATCAAGCGCGGCCAAAAACCGGTCTCTTATCCTAGGCTCGAACCGATCATCCATCAACGATTCTTCCGTGAAGAAATAAACAGCACTGATGTTTGTCGGGATTTCTCCACCAGTGAACCACTGCTCCCATGCGTCAGCAGTAGAACTGTTGATATCGTTGATCTTGAATTCAGCATAGATGCTCCGCACAAGAGTTTGATTGGGGACTGGTCGCCCTTCACGTCTCTTTGGACGGAGTACGATACTGCTTGTTCCACAAATCTGTTGATAGTACGGTACTGCAGTGTTGTTCTTCCTCTTCGCATGACCAAGCTTATAGTCGCTTTTCTCTCGACGTAGTGCTTCTTTGTGTGTTCTGTCGTGTAAGTCCCTCAGCGAAAATGGTTTGTCTTCGTCTACCAATTTTCGCAGTTGGACGTTGACCATGTCGAGAAACGACGGAGCGGCGGGAGCAACTGCCGCCCACGAGGAAGCGGCAAGGAGCTCTTTTCTTCCCGATGGGGCTTTGAGAGTGGCTGCTCCAGCGTAACAGCAATTCATGATGATGGCTACATCGCAGATCGCAGCCTCCAATGTTTGTTGAATGCCGCTCCATTCTATTGAATGATCTCCTCTAAAAAAGAATTGTAAGCACTTGAATTGCACAGTAAAGATCCTACAAACTTACGCTAGCTCAAGAGATCCGGTGCCCTGGTCAGACCTTCTTCCATGTCCAGAGTACGCGAGGATGAATAGCTCGCGTCGAGTCTTGCACTCTCCCAGGACCGAAATGATACGCCCAAAAAGCTCCACTTGAGGATTTTGCGGTGGAATTTTATAGATCGGTTCGACCCGGAATTGGAAGTACGTGTCAAAGATGTAGCTCAAACGGTCCAACTCCTTTCTCAGCCCGCGATGCCCGCGATGTTGTTCTTTCTCCCACATGAAAGGCAGCACGCGTACGACATCGTACTGGCCATTGTTAGCACCGTCGGCCTTGAGCAAATTCTGATTGGCGTTCAAGCCATCGACCAGGGATCTCAGAGGGTCACTATGGCCAGCAACTTCATCAGAGGGTCCAGCTTCGTCGGCCGTATCCGGATCAGCAATGTCTTCATGTACGCGCCGACTTAGGTGTTCACCAGGCGGCAACAGATCTTCTCCGTCTTCATCTGGATTGTCGAGGGCTGCTTCCTTCCTGTCGGTCGGCATTCCTTCAAAATGCCGGACAACACGGCTTCGCGAACGCTGAAAGAGAATATGATTGAGTAATAGAACTCCGGGGATTGGTAAGTGTTGAGGCTTGTTTCTCAGACCTCCTATCGTTTAGGTATTGAGTGCGTAAATAGTTCTTGACCACCTTCCCCTCATCTGCAAGGCCTGCCGCCTTCCCGAAAATGTTACACAAGGTCTGACTTGTCCTGCACCACCTGCTGCATGTAATCAATGCAGGTTGCAACACGAGCCAATCGTCTATAATGCTCCAATGTCTCGGTCGCTGATGAATGATTATAAAGAAAATCTACAGCCTGACGACGGAGGAGGGGTTGAGATAAGGCATGCGACTCTGCATGTGAGGCGGGGCGAGGTAGTTCTGGCATGACTATAGTGGATGGAGATCGCAGGGGGAGAAGAGCCCGGCAGTGAATTGACCAAGCCTATCCGGCATCCTGCAGCGCGGCAAACCTTAGGGATAATTTTTTACCCATTTTCGAAGAAACGGACAAAAGGAACTTCATCTGAGATCGCTGGATGATATCTGGGTCTGCCGAGAGCGCCTCTAAGAAGTGCGTTGCGAAAGAGGTCATCGAGCGCTAGCTGAAGGGGCGATGGCGGTGAATGTAATGACGCAATGGGAAGACCGGTGTGGCCTCGCGAAAAGAAGAGGCTTGCTCTTGGGCTATTCTCAACGGCATTACTCAACGGATCCCGACTGAGTAGCCAATACATTTTTCGGTCCGGCTCTTCCGCGTGGGATGTCAAATTCAGATCCACCATTCAGCGTTTCGATGGTTTTTTGTTTCTCTATGGTCTTCATATTGGAAAGTGTTCTCAAATATGTGTCCTCGGTTGTCGCGATCTTCCTTTTCACTACATGTGGTGTTTCGTGAAGAGCATGCATTGGCGTTTTCCTAAGATGCTGAACTATCCGCTGTCCCTTTTCAAGGTTCTAAAGCATCATTGGTGTACGGGCTCCCCGAGAGCGACGTCCAGACCCGACCCGCGTCGCTCCGCCACACTCTGCCCCTACCCCACAACCAAATCAGGTGGCAAATGTGGGGTTAGCACGAGCCGAGTTATCGATATACATGGCTAGCCAAAGACAGCATGCTCAAAGTTCCAGCCCTGCCGCAAACGGCAACCAAATCGGCACTAGGTGCCCAGACTTGCCTATTCCGGACCAAGGCAACGAATGAGATCACAAGGCGTAGGAGACCCTTTCACCCTTCTTTCCTTTCCAGAATATTCTCGAAAAAGTCTAGACATTGATCTGGAACGTGGCTGGACGACGCCAAGAGAGACTGCGGTGCGATGTGGGGAACCCGATGGCGTCGTGTGCTTGGTACAGTGCTTCCACGCCCCGAAGAAATTAATTCCAGATTTGCAAAGACACGGTAGAGCCTGATGGCTGTGCACTCGTAGAAATGACAGCCAGGTTCGTCAGAGTACAGCGGTTGGAGGTACATAAACGGTCGACAACATGCACCGAATCCAGTCTCCATCAACCCAACCGTCCTCACCTCACTCAAGACCAGCTCTCCAATCCTCCTCCTCCATCAACCTTTTCCCCACACATCCACTCGACTGCCTCAGCCGAGCCCCCATCTCCCACAATACACCCTCCCCACCTCACAAACCAACGACAACGACGACAACAACAACCACAATGCGCACCACCCACCCCATCCTCACCCTCACCACCCTCCTCGCCCTCTCCACCACCGGCGCCCTCTCCGCCCCCCTCACCTCCGCCAGCTACGGCACCACCGCCAAATCCGCCACGCACCTCAGCCACCGCCCTCCCCGCGCCGTCGACTCCGCCTCGACCCTCTACAGCATCGAGCTCGCATCCACGCAGCAACACCACAGCAACGAGCACATCTACGCCGACGACCTCGTCGTCGTCGAGCGGCGGAAAGAATCGAAACCATCCGGCAGCGACGACAAGGGGGGGAGACTCGCGCAAAACGGCAGCAGCAGCAGCAAGAACGGTACGATGGCTGCTAGTACCGCGAAGCCGGAGGACGCGGGGAAGAAGGGGAGCGGGAACGGGAACGGGAAGGGCGGCGGCGCCACTGATGATGGTGCGCAGAAGAAGAATAATGCTGCTGCGACGGCCACTGGTGCGGGGGATAAGAAGGGGGGCGGTCGCCAGAGCACAGCTGGTCCAGCTGGCCACACCGACGACAACAACAACAACGACGACGGCCACAAAAATGGCCGCGGTAAGCGCGAGGCGAAGTCAGATGGCGCTGGCGACAAGAAAGGATCTGAGAAGACGGCGGTGGCCGAGAAGGTGAAGAGCGGGAAGGGCGATGCGGATAAGAAGGGGGGAGTGGCCGACGGCAAGGCTGAGGCGAAGGAGGTGAAGAAGGCTGGTGGGGAAAAGACTGGCAAGGAAAGCCACTTGATGGAGTGAATGGGGATGAAGGCGAAGCTTTTCTTTCGGCGTTTTGGTATGGGTGGGAAGAATGTGGAGTTTTTTTGAGGACTTGGTTTACTTTAGCATTATATCTCCCAATGTCGCATTGCTATCACTACAAATTCGAGCTGAATCAATCGGTACAAGTATTCATTAATCCCTTCTTGGACAGATCGAGATTCTAGTCCAAGGAATGATTAACCCAAGAACCTACAAACTTGGAGCATCGTGTACGCTGGACTTTATGCGTTGGCGCCTTTGATCATCTCCCACAACCGACTCCCGGTCACACCAACATCCACTCTACTTCGCTAATGGCTAATGGCGCACCGCTCGCAAAAAACAGTTTCAATAAAACTTGAATTTAAATCAATCGACGTATTTCTACTCTACATCCTTCTCCCACCGAATTACGGTACGTACATATGATACTAGCCAACGTCTCGCAATTAGATAAAGTAAACGCCTCCTCGGAACATTAGGCTGGCTCTGAAAACACGTGTAGCAAGGGAAAGAAAATAAAAACTGTCTTCCGGCGGGCCACACTCCTTCCTTGCATGCAACTTTCCCGTGGACAAAGGAGGACCACCCCACACACTCTGACAAAAAGAAGCAACAGCCGAAACACCTACTATCCGTATCATCCTATTCCCAAAACAACCCCGAATATCGAACTCGCAGTCCTCAGCCACCAAGAAGAATCAACGGAGAACTAGTCGTCGGCAAACTGGAGATACGCGTTCCGAGTGATGAACTTGATAGCTGCTTCCAGCGGCTTAAGTACAGACAGAAGAAGCTGATGGTAATAAAATCTGTCTCAAAATCGGCATCCCAAGCGCCACGCTTTGCCACGAGAATATAAAAACCCTCAACATGATAATGTACTCCTCGCGCCCAGTATGTTTTTCCCCGATGATGCTTATAACACTCCCCAAAGAGACAAGGAAAAAGAAGCGGACCTGAAAAATTACAATCGTCTCCAATGGGAAAAGGAAAGATCTTGACCCTCTGAAATAAGATGGGTCAGATTGGTAGTCGCCTCTTGATACAGTGAAAATAAGGAAAGCTTGGTAGAACACACAACAAATCTGCGTTCTATCTTTTAGACTTGATGGAAATGTCCTCTGAACAAATGAAACGTCGCATTCCTTCCTGTAGGGCGTCGACAGACGGTCATGGAAGGATGATTCGGCTCGGTTATAGTCCATACGCACCAGAGCCACGACCACAGGACTTTTGCAAGATGTATACCTGCCAAAGTACCAGACGTCTGCCCTAAGCCTTGAAGGGTCCGGAGATGATCTTAAACAACAGCCCAATTTCTAATAGCCGGTCATCTTCAAGCACGTATTGTCGCATCAGCCGCATCAGCTTGTGTTATTCATATCAGGTGCAGGTGGAATGGCCTCGATCTCCACGGCACCATCCACGACTGCATCGGTAGCGGGAGCTTGCACAGCTTGTGATAGCGCTTGTTGTTCAGGACTTGTGATAACAGCCGCAGCAAGAGCACCCGGGGCTTTGGACATGGAGGCGCGGTTGGTCTTCTTTTTGCCCGTCTTAGGTTTGTCCTTGGACTCAGCAGGCAGTTCGCTCGTAAAAGTCTTCCACTTCCGCCAGCCGTCGTAGTCAATGAGAGCCTGCATGCATCCCCATTCTTTCACTTTACGCTCCAGCCAAACAAAGTTGACGGGCTTGAAACAGTTAGCGGACGTTCAATGAAGACAAGAGTGCAACGGCCCGCGTTGCTGTTAGTCGGGGTCGTTTTCAATCTTACCTTGGTCAAGAAATCGTTGCAACCTGCGGCAAGGGCCTCGTGTCTGTCGCTCTGAAGAGAACTGGCAGTGAGGGCAACGATGATGACCGGGCTCTTGAAGATGATGCCATCGCCGAGCTTGTCATTCTCCTGTGGCTCTCCATTGGATTCGGGCTTCTCCCTTGGCAGTATCGGCGCTGTGCTGCTGGCGCTGCTGTTGCTGAAAACACCAATGTTGTTCACTCTCTCAAGACGCCTGATCTCTTTTGTTGCCTCCAAGCCGCTCATGATGGGAAGTTGGATATCCATGAGAACCAAGTGAAATCCTCCTGCACGCCATTTGACGACAGCATCTCTACCGTTCATGGCCGTCTGCCAACGGACCTTTAGACGTTTCATGAACGCTTCCAACAGCTTCAGGTTAATGATGTTATCCTCGACAATCAGAACATTGATGGGAGGGACGGAGCCATCGAGCAGGCCCGAAGGCAAGCTCGGCGTTTCCCCGGTCTCCTTGTTCTTCTTCCTCTTCGGCTTCCGAGGATCAGGTGACTGGATCCTTGGTGTCGGTGGTGTCGACGTCTTTTGTGGAGGAGGTGCGACTTCAGGCGCGGGGGGTGTGGGTAGAGGGGGCGCGGCCGGCGCGGCGGGGTGTTTCGTCTCCGACGCGCCCGAGTCGAGGCGCCCACGATTGGGCCGGGAAAGGTGTTGCGACGTCGATGTGGAAGAAACTGGATGTGAGCCCTGGGTCGGAGAGGAGGTGAGGTTCCGGTGAGGTCTCGGACGATGTAACGGACGCTGACGAGTGGCGCCGGGTGAAGGGAGCGGAGGTACGTGACCTGTGGTAAGGACTGCAATTGACCGGACGTCTTGATGAGAGTGCGATTGGCGACTGTCGTGCGACAACGAAGTCAAGGACGCGGGAGAGGGTGCGCCGAGAGCGGGCATGGGCGGGAAGTAGTCGGCGTCTGTTTCAGCAGGGCGACTCTCGCCGTAGAACTGGGCGACATGGGGCGGCAGGGGGCCACGGGGTGAGGGCTTTGGGGTGCGCCGTTGAGGCACATCAATTACCAGAGCCTCATCGACCGTCTGGCCACCGGGATAGTATTCGTCCAGGGTGCGACACATCTCCTCCTCGGGACCAAGTGTCCTCTCGAGCGGGCGGGCAGCGGGGTCGCGCGAGACGATGCGCAGGACCATGTCGGGCGAGTCGTAGCTGCGGCCCAGGGAGTTGGCATACTTCTTCAAAATCATGTCGCGCACGTCGTCGACGAGGTCGTCTTCCCTGATCTGGACCAGCGTGGGCGAGGCGCCCGGGCGCTTGACCCAGATCTTGCGGTGAAGCATGCCGGCGTTGATGGAGAAGTAGTCCTCCTGGAGGCTGTTGGCGGTCGAGGGGCGGGTCCGCTGCGAGTCGAGCAGGGTCTTGATGACTCGGGCATTCGAGTTGTGGACCAGCGACTGGCGGCGGACGGCGAGCGGGCGTTGCTGCCGGGGCGACAGGGCCTCGGGCGTGGGCAGCGGGTGCAGGGCCTCGTCGGACTCGTCGCGCAGGTCGGGGACGGAGAGGGCGGTGGGCAGCTCGAGGCCCAGCTGCTTGGGCGGCTCGTCGGGGACGGGCGAGGGCTCCTCGAGCTCGAGGGTGGGCAGCGGCGGTGGTGCAGGTGGTTGCTGGGCCTGCTGCCGCAGATCCTTTGAGGTTAAGCTCTCGGACCGGTCGGCGATCGTTTCAGACGGCCGGTCCCGCGATTGGTGTTGATCAGCGCGCAGCTGAGACGGTTTCTCCGGCTCCAGCGGCGACGGCAGCGACTCTTTGCTCAGCGCGGAGAGCGGCGGCGGGGTCCGGATGCTGTGCGTGCCCGAGGAGCGGGTTCGGGGGGGCTGGGGCAGCGGCGACGAGAGGGGCGAGGGCTGCGAGACGATGCTGCGCGCCTTTTCAGAGCCCGCGCCCACGGCTGCCGAGGATGCGGCGTCGCTGGCCGCGACGGACGCCGTCGAGCTCCGGCGGCTGCCCAGCAGCTTGGAGCGCGCGCTCTCGAGCCGCAGTCGGAAAGGCATCCTCCACCGCGCGCCGGAATCGTCGTCGTCGGCGCAGAGCATCCACGATGCGCAGAGAACGGGGGTTGAGCGCGCTGCGGCGAAGCAAGCTGCGGCGGCTCGTGCAGGGGCCTGGGGTCAACCGCTAGCAGCGGATCGGCATGTCGCGTGGCAGGCGCGTGATAAGAGCTGCGGCGGCGGGCGTGCGAGGACGGGGGGACGGGGGAGACGGGTGGCGGCGAGAGGACTTGAGACTTGGGACTTGGGGGAGCTGCTGCGCGCGCACTTCGAGGTTGCGCCCTGGGTGTTGACGGAGACGAGGAGAATGCGCAGGCGAAATGGCATCCGGCAGCCGCTCTCGAATGCTCCTCATCTCTCGATCCAATCACCCGCGCCAGCGCATCCGCCGCCTCACGCCTGGAGAAGGCCCGGTGCTTCGTACCCGCTCTCTAGCAAGGCCTGCCCTGTCTGCGGCAGCTGATGCGACGTCGAACTCTTCACCTGCCCGCTCATGCTCTGGAGGCTTCCACCTTCCTCGGCCGTTGGCACGCGCTTGCCCGCAGCGAGCCCGCCGCCAGCGCCTCTCCCGGTATTCTCCATCCGGCCGCGTGGTGGGCGTGCCTGTGCCCCCTACTACTACGCACTACGCACTACGCACTACGTACTCTGCCCTCTGCCCTCTGCCTGTGCTTGTGTTTCGGACCTTGGAGGTTGGCGCGCTAGCCGGCCGAACCACCCTCAGCGCCGCCATGCATGTCTCGAAAGGGAAATCGCCATTGGACACCGCACTTCTCGACAACGCACCCCTCACCGACTCGGTTTGCGCAGCGGTGCAGCGCAGTTCTAGAGCGCGACTCCATGCCTCTGCTTCGCGGCCGCCGTTTTGCCCGCCCTGCGCCTGCAAAAGCCCCCTTTCTTTGCCACCGTCGCGGGGATCCTTCCGGATGCGGCTGTCTTTTCTTATTGCTTGATTGCGGCCGAGCTGCCTACGCCACCTCTTCACAGGAGGCTGGAAAGAAACGCCTAGCTGCCGTTTTGCTCAGGCGGGCTGCCGCTGGTACGGGAACGCACGAAATTGCAAGCCGATCCCACTCCTGCAGCTGGCTGTGCGCGTACGGACGTGGTACCGGCCCACGCCCGCGTGAACCTGCACAGGCGGCACCGCAACAACATGGTATGATGGATGCTAGGCACCTATAACACAGCCTGCGCGAGACTAGGCTGTATAGTGGAGCTGCACGTCCGCGTGCTGCCCAACGATCGAGATTCCGCGCCAAGATCCTCGATCTGCTCGTGTTCCAACCACCAACACCTGGTGGATCATGGGTCCAGCGAGAAGAGGTGGCCGCCAGCGCCGGTTCCAGACTCGGGCCCTCGGCGCAGCGCCCATGACAGCTGTCTGGCCTCGTGCTGCTCGACTGATGCACGTTTGACCACCACGCGTGCCCCGCATCCCCAATGGTGCGCGTCGTGAAGAATGTGGCGCAGAACCCGATCTGCGCGTTCTTTGATAGCGCCATGCAGCCGCGCCCACATCGAGCCATGCACGCGGATCATGCAGGATTTAGAGGCTGCAGCCAGGGGTGAGTAAGCCACAAGGCTTTCGCTGTACGGAGACCTTCGTCCCTATTGAGCCCAATCTGTTTACTGTGTAGAGTCGCAACGGAGCGGTTGGCTAGACCACCCGCCGCATGCCTGGGGGACCCAGCATGGTCGTCGATGGCGCAAACGCTAGTGCCATGTTCGAGCAAGAAAGCAATTGGGAAAGGGAAAAGGGAACGGGAAAGGAAGAAAACCATTGCACAACAGCTGCGACGCTGCCCCGATCCCGCTCCAGCCTTGCCCTCGGCAGTCGACGGACAGAGCCGGACGGAGAAGACTGTCGTCGGTGTGAATAAGCTCAGAAGCGGCTTGGTGGCCCACTCTCCAATCAGAATGAATCATTGATGATGGATGGCGGGGCGAGAATCTGACGACCTGATAGGACGAGGTGTTCGTATGGGCCTCGGCCTGAGGCCGAAAGCACGCCGATGACTCAGAGACAGGCAGCACTCGTCGCCATGCTGATGGGAATGACACATGGCTCGGTCGAAGAATCCGGGCGCAGCGGACGCGAAAGTCACAGTTGAGGCTCCGACGCGATGGGCAGCGGACCCTGTCCTCGCTTAGATAATAAGTCAGATCAGGCAGGCGTCATGGCCGCAGCGCCCGCCGACACCGAGGACCGCCATCCCCGCCACCATCCACCATGTAAACATTTATCCAATCTATCTTCCGTCCACTTTTCTCTCAGCTTCGGTCGAGCAGGTTCGTCGCAGCTCCGCTTGACCCACTCACCGTCCCGTAGCAGAACGCCTGCCGCCCCGCGTTCCCCATGCCAAAGAAGCACCAGCCGAGCTACAACAAGCCGTCCAGCAACTACGTGCATCCGTCTCTGTCTTCGTCGCGAGAGTCGTCCAGCAGCAATGCAGCTCCGTCGGCTTCGCAGTCCGTCAACGACCGCCTGAGCCAGCTGCGCCGCGAGCAAGCTCCCCGCTCCGCCATCGACCGCCGAAATGAGCTCGCCGAGTCTCTCACCGCGCGACCAGTCCATCCCGCCTTGAGGCAAATCCTCAACCTGCCCGAGGTTTCTGCCCCTAGACCGCGCCTTGCCGCCCGAACAACCACCGGCCGACGGGTTCCGGGCCCCTCGGCGCCACAGAGTTGGCTGGAAAGCAGCAGGCATGCGCCGGACCCCACACCGCAGGCCCCCAGGCTCTGGAAGATCATGAGACCGCGCTTCACGGAGCGTTTGCCGCCACAGCGGAGCCTTGTCCACTACACCTGCAAAACCTTGGCCAAGAACTGGGAATACCTGTTGGAGTACGAACAGCACTACCTGGCTACGCTACCTGTGCAACTCAAGGATATTCTTCTCAGTTACATAGCTGCGTACGGCCCGGAAGACGGCATCACCTTGGAGTCTTTGCGGGTCCTGTTCCTGAACGAACACGAACTCGATGATGCCACGGGAAGCGATGAGCTAGTGCACCTCGATCTCACCGGCATGATATCCAAACACTTCACTCTTGGAGAAATCACAAAATATGTGACGCATTCACCAGCTCTCAAGAAAGATGCCCTGACCGAATCGATGAACAACCTTTCAGTAGGCGAGGATGTTGCAGATTCTTGGGAGGACGCAGAGGAAGCCCAGTTGCCCGTACTGCCGAAATCGTCCCTCAATCCTCGGTTCCCTAACCTGACCCACCTGTCACTTGCATATCCTCAGAAGACGTCATGGAGCCAACTCTTGACTCTATCGTCCCATCTCCCGACTCTCACTCATCTGTCTCTAGCATTTTGGCCCAAGCCGACCATGACCCCCCACGCCACCACAGCATCAATGATCAGCCAGCATGGAAGGGTAGAGTTTGGCGGCACTCACTTTTACTCCGAAATGGACAACGACTGGCAGGAAGCCGCGAATATTTTGCGCCGTCTAGCGAATAATACCTACTGTCTCAAGTGGCTTGACCTTTGTGGCTGCGACTGGACTCCTGCGCTGGTATGGGGAGTCAACGACCGGCAAGTTTCGTTCCCCCGTGCACGCCGTGGCGTTGACGGAGATGATGCTGGAGACTGGGACATCAAAGACGCCAGGCCCTGTCCCGATTGGAATGGCAGTTGGCGGCAGGTCACACACATCAATCTTTCCCAGGGCTGGATACCGCACAGTGTTCAAGCCATCCGAGCGTTGCCTGCCGGCATGTTGAGTTGTGAACTGCTCAGTTTCCTCCGGAGCGACAGAGGAAGGAAGATGGTGGAGAAGGTGCCGGCCGGCGAGGCCCAGACGCCCCACCAAACGCGGCGATGGATTGAGAAGGAAGGAGAAAATAGGAACATCGCACATGCAATCAACGGTCTGAGAAAGTCGTCCAAGGGGCCGTATTGCGAAGTCGATTATGGCTGGTCGAGCAACATCCTTTCGGGCTCGAGCAACTATGACGAGGTTTTCGAGGTATGAACGGTGCAGGATGGAGCTGGAGGTTTGGGATGAAGATGGAGTCGGATCGATGTGCCAAACTTCTTCCGAATCACTGGATTCGTCATCCTTGGATCCCATAACGAATGACTCGGCTGTGGCTTGAGGATTCCCCAATAGACGTTCATTATGAGGAAGAAAAAAACTTTTTAATGTATTCTCCGAACCCAGACCCTTTTCCAGTCGTTCTCACTGTCGCTTAATTGGGATTCCCCGCCCTTTGCTTTGCCTTTACATTTTAATGTTCACATATGGGTATGACATGGGAGGTCCCAGACTCTGCGATTCGCTCACGTATGTAACGTATATGCCTAACGACAGCTGTAGAGATCGACTGTGGTTTCCACGTGGCGCGTTTCCGTGAGGTTTGTGCAACGAAAACTACGAAGACGCACTATGTTAGCTACGCCTTAAGAATTCGACCAAATGTCTATGGATCGACGCCATCTATATCAACCAGAGTAGTCTCCCACGGCTCTTTCTCGCCACGTCAAAAGGACGAGCGTCGGATTCACGAGACAAATCCTTCGCGCTGCTGGGGAGATTGAAAAGTCACGTTCACGCAAATATGGTCCCTGGTTATGGGAAATCCTACACCGAAGTCTTCAGAGACCTAGCAACTTATTTCACTGGACTCGGACTCATTTTCTCTGAACGCACCCACTCGACATTTTCCAGACCCTCAGGGATTTCCATCGGTCACAGAATAAAACCCCAGCGACACCCATATACATCGACTATGACGCCACAGCCTAGGACTCTGAGGACAAACGGCTCAATTTCATAAAACATTACTCTGCGTCTAGCCTATATGTTACAAGCGGCGACTTGGCGCAGGGGCCTGGGACCTTACACACTCTGTACTACCACGGAGTGTATTTCTAAAAGGTTCTTTCCCAGCAAATCGTAAGTAGAAAACATAATTGACTGTACCGTACCTAGTGCTCTAGACAACAACTTAGTAGTAACAAAAAGCCTGCCGGTCGTCAGCCCCGATCTACAGGCAGCCAATGGGAAGTAATTCCTGGTCTTTACTGGACAGCCGCCAGATTCCTGTGACCCTCTTGATGATGTTTCGAGAGAGCTCATCAGAATCTGGCGGCTGTCCAATAAAGACCAGGAATGACTTCCCATTGGCTGCCCTCCCTTCCCCCTCAAAAAGCGGCAGCAGCGGTCGTGGTGAAGAGGTTCGCAATATTAGATTCGAGCGTGGCGTCGTTGTCGCCGCTGAGGTCGCAGACGATGCCGTTGGGGGTGCGGGATTCGGAGGCGGCGGTGGTGGGGTAGGCGGCGCGGAGGCGGGCGACGGCGGAGGAGAGGCGGGCGGGGTTGGAGGATTAGGAGATGGTGACGGTGCAGGCGCCGTGCTCGAGGGAGGCTTCGGCGACGGCGTGGCCGATGCCGGCGCTGCCGCCGATGATGAGGACGTGGGCACCTGCGAGTTTGGAGATGTATTTGCGTTGGTCGGTCATGGCTGCTGGTGTTGGTGGTGGTTGGAGTGTAGTGTTATCGGATCTGTAGGGTGATTTGGGTCTTGATCATGCGCAGTGAGAAGGAGCATGCGGCCAATTGAGTTATTCAGCAGAAACCATCTATCACGGATTCAAATGGGATATATATAAATGTGCTAGATTCGAGGCAGTTTGGTGTTTGCGTTCGTGAGGGAAAGCTGAGATGCATCATGGATGGGAGTGTTGTCGGAGTTTGCACGGAGTTACGTTGACGTGTGTCTTTGACGTCAGCACTGCATACATGGACAGGGAGAAAAGAGAAAGTGTTTTCACAGATTCAAGCGCCCAGCTGACAAGAACGCGCCTCAGTCGAGAGAATATACTGAGCACTTCGAGCCCGTCCAGGATCTACGGTTAAACCCGTGTCAGCACAGTCGATTGCCACTTCGAGCTGCCGCTGTCTGCAGGATAAGCTGCACTTATGCGAGCCCGGCACTTCTTCAGCCGCCAAGGAAAGCCGCGTTGCACAAGGCGACTGAGTGTGGCTCAACGTGGTTCAAATGAAGCAGTAAGCATTTGTAAGGCGCATACGTGAGGCGCACAATTAAGATCATGTCCAAGCTCGGACTGTAGCATCCCTGATGCTTGGGAAACTTGGCATCAGGTTACGCGCACGGTACATGTGCGAAGAAGGGTCTTCCGAGTTGCGCCTCACTCCTAGCACCGCATGGGCTATGGCCTAGCATGCCGCGTAGAGCCGGTCGTGCTTCCGTCAGACTCACTACTCGAGCTGCGCCACAACTTGGGACTTAGCAAGGTTCACCGACTTTGATGCCATGCGAAGGATGAGCCACGTCAGAACAAGAGGCTTCGGCGCCTAAATCCGCATCTTGATCGACGCGGGTGGAACCGGGTGCACGCCGTCACAAGACGAGGGATCCTGGTGTTTTTCAAAGTACCATGAACGTAGCAGCACATCTTGCATCTCATTTTTCGCCTCACCGAAAATACCAGGGTAAATAAGGTCGTCAAATCTATCATACTTTTAAGCCTCGTCATCCTAACCGTCACATCGTCGATGTTTTACGTTATCTGCCACCTGGCGTTGATCTGTTTCCGGCGCACCTGCAAGAGTCGTTAGTCATGCATGCATCGTCGACCAGACTGTCGACAAGGAAGATGCATGGGAAAATCCGGGGAGAAAGGGAAATGGGTTAAAACTCACCAGAGGCGCCACGAAAAGCACGCCCACAAAGAGCGCCGCAACCGTCGTCAGTAGCTGCACGCGATTGAACCCCTTGCCCAGAATATCAAATGCAAAACTAGGCGACACCCTCGTCCCGAACACGTCTAGTCCATATCCGAAAACCAAGCTGGTGCTCTCCAAAACCGCAGGGCTGGTGATGACTTCCTTCACCCCAAGAACCTCCCTCTTGTGGTTCAGGTATTGGATTGGGTTGAACTCTATGGTGGGCGAATAGCGAATCAGACCCTCGGCTGCCTCTTCGGGAGTTGGATCGCGGCCAACGGGGCGGCGTGGATCCAGGATTTGACGGGGGATTCCAACGATCGAATTCGATTCTGGAAGGGTGACTAGGAGCCATTTAGACGTAATTCCCTGCGCCGTCTGTGTCACTGCCATGTGGGAGATGGACTCCGGAATGTGATAGGTCTGCGAGAGGACGTGCGGCTTGGCGGATTCGCCGACCACCCCGGCGAAGGGCCGAATTGCGGAATAGTTCGCGGCGGCGCCAAAAGGACCGCGGTCGTTAGGCAGCGTGGACTCGAAGAACTCAGCAACAACCAATTGGTGGCCCTTTGAAGGTGTCTCCAGGGACCCGAGAGTGAACGAGTACGTCAGCCAGTTCTCGGACAACGCGCTGGCAATAGTCTGGCTGATGTCGACGCCGTCGTGAGACGCCTGCCACAGGATAGCGCCGGATACGCCGTCCAGCAGGTAGACGGACAAGACACCGGCAGGCTCAGCTACTGCAGTCACTAAGGCCAAGTTCGGGTTAAGGTACTTGTAAAGGACACGGCGATCTCCAAGAACCTTGCCAATGGAAGCAACCGGATCATTCGCAGGCCTGGGAGTGACGTTGATGATGCGCTCTCCAGCTGTAGGCGCAAACCTCCACGCCAAATCAGAGCCCGACCAGAAGCCCTTGATCTCGCCTTCCGAAATCTTGTATGAGACCTCGGACTTTTCCGCGGTGTCAACCGTATCGTCAGCGTCCAGCTCAAGCGCCAAGTGCAACGGGACACTGCGAATGAGATGGCCCGAGGTTGCGTTGAGGAGCACGTGTCGACTGAGCTGCGGGAAAACGGCGGCAATCTGTCCCTTGGCGTTGACGCTGAGCTCCACTTCCTCGACCTTGCCTCCAGACGGGAGCTCCAAAATATCGTGATTCCAGGCGATTGCACCTCCGCTGACAGCCACAAAACGGCCGCTTTCGGTTGCGACAACGACAGGCTTGTTTAGTCCAAAAACGTCTCGCCTCGCCTTCTCGAAGACATCAGATTCCGCACTTTCGGCCAGGAACCGATTTGGGAGCGTTTGCAGGAAAGCCGGGAGATGCTCCAAATCCTTGAGATGTCTTTTTACCCTGTGCACGTAGGCAGCTAGCACATTCTGGTGTGTTTCAATTTCCAGTTCCTGGGCCAGGGATTCCTCACTCGGGAGGTCGACCCAAACTGCCCCAAGAGCACCTGCTAGGACCTCCGGCCTTGACCACGTCGAATCTCCATTGCGGAAAAGATCCCAGCTTCCATTGGATAGGTACACAGCGGACCTCACGGCCGATGCGCCGCCATCGCGAACGGCCACCTCGGAAACGGCATGGATAGGGTAGACGGCGTCATCAATAATGGGGGTCTTGACAGGCCAGCGCCCAAGAATTCCATGGGAGGCGGACGACAATACGAACACTTCCTCGGGCGTAATCCTGGTGAAGTAAACATTTGCATCTGTGGTGCTTGTCGCGAACGCTCCCTTGCCAGCCAGTTTCGGTAGGTCGTAAGCCTTGGAAATGGAGCCAGCTTTGTAATCCGCATGATATACTTCCGCCCAATGGCTGGCCGCAGTCTGATAATGAACCAGGAAATGCGGCAGGGAATTGATGCTGTGGGGTGCGTGGAGGACAACCTTCTGGATATCCTCCCCACTGCTGTTCTCAACGTTGAATGTAGAGATGCTCTTGCTTCCGATGATGTTCACCTTCAGCGACTTGAATGTCTTATCTGTCCAAGCGAGCAGCGGCGAGGCGGTGTTGGCGCCAACGAACAGGATGTCGTCCGTGGTCGCGATATCGCTCTCAGACGAGAGTGTGTACTGGTCAAGCTTCTGGCCGGTCAGGGGGTTGATGGAGGTGACCTTGAGTTTCAGGCCACCGAGCATGGTCGAGTGCAACGAGATGGAGTAGATTGCCGTGGCAGAAGTCGAAATCTGGAACGGGACGTCGCCGCTGCGCATCGTGTCAGCGTCGTACTTGACCCTGCGGGGATGCAGTCTACCTGTTGTCGTCCAGCTCCCACTTGACTGCACCGGTCTGGCCGTCTAATCTCCTGACAGTCGAGCTGCTGCCGCCGAACAGGACAATGACGTCCTTCACGCCGCTCGCGGCCGCCGAAGCATCGGCGAGCTCTAGGACCTCGAGATCCTTCACGGGGGAATCATTGAAGACGCTGCTCCAGACGAGCTTTCCGTCTGCGGCGTCCCAAGCGGAAACCTGGCCTTCCACGGCGCTGACGACGATGTCCTGGTTCTCGCCCGCTCTCAGGAAGCCATCAACGGAGCTCGAGCTGGACGACAGCGGCTGTCGCCACACGGCGGAGCCATCTTTCGGGTTCACGGCGCCAAGGACGAGCTTGTCTGACAGGGTGTAGAGCAGCGAGGCTTTCGTGTCGGCGCGCGGCTGATGGAAGAAGGTGGCCTGTTGCTGGGGCTGGCCGAGCAGGGCGAAGTGGTAGTCGACATGGTATGCGTCGTCGGCGAAGACGGCAAGGGTCGCAGGGACCAGGGAGGCGGCCAATGCCAGCAGCCGGGGGAGCAGCATCGTTCGTCGGTGGCAGGGCTGGAGGGCTGGATCGCGAGCTGAGGGCGGTGTTGCGGTCGTGGCGGAGCTTGCCGCGGGGCAGCACGTGAGCGGCAGGGATGTGCCGGGCGCGCGCGGCGGCCGGGTTCTGCTCTGGGCCTCGGTGCCACAGGCCACTCCAGGCCAGCCGTTGCAGCTGCAGCACACGACATGCGCCGTTGCGTCCCTGATTTTCCTGCACGCACTCGCGCATTGTCCTGGAGGGCCTGCAAATCAATTACGCTGGCACCACGCCCCATAATTACCCTCCGAAGCGCGCTCCTGACCTGACTCTGCGCGCTCTCCGTCGGACCTGCTCGAACGCTGGTCCGAGAGATTGCTGAGCTGTCGCAGCGCAGCGCTGGCCGGCAGCCACGCGCTCATCGGCGAGCCATGCCGCGCCAGGCCGGGCCAGCAGCCGGGGCGCGCGCCGTGGCAGCAGGACAGGAGCGTGGCTCAAGCGCGGGGGGGGTGGGGGGACACGGCTGGAGCTTCGTGCTTGGGTGCTTGGGTGCCTTGGTGCCTGGGTGCCTGGCCGGTGTCTGCCTTGGCGCGGAGGCGCGTCGAAGCTCGCGCTGGACCACAGGGCCGCGCTGGAGCGTCTCCGTCGCGCCTTTCGGGCTCGGCTCCTGCCTCGCCGCGCTTGCGGCAGACGACGATCGCCTCGCCAATTGTGCATGCATTTTGATCTGGTTGTGCAGCCGGCGAGTAGGGGCACGCAACGTCCCGGGCGATTGGTGCCTGGCGAGTCCCAGCAGCAGAGCCGCCGCGCTGGCGCCCCCTCGAGGCGGCCTCCTCGCTCAGTGGCTGCTGCATGCTCGGGGCTAGCTGTGCCTGCCGGGGCGGCTTGCCATCATGCTGTCATCCGCTTGACCCGGCACCGTGCAATGCCTGTGCCGTAAGCCCAAGGCTCGAGGGAAGGCTTCGAGCGCGCACTGATGCGGTTACGTCGACGCTCGCCTATCACTTTCAAGCTCCGCGAAATTATGTCAACCGCCAACGCCTAAACAATCCAGCGCGCAGCACGAGCTGCGCAGCGCCGTCTATTAATCATGCCCGCGCCCTCCTCGCGCGCACCGTCGCAGACCTCACCACCTTGATACCCTTCCCCCACGCCGCCGCCCTCGCTGCTGCCAACCCCCCCCTCCTCCAGGCCGCCGTCTCGCCGTCCTCGCCGTCTCTTGCGCCAGCCTGTCCTCACGCCTCCGTCCCGCTGCCGAGCTCTCCCCGGTCTGCGCCCGTCTCCGCGTGTGCATCCTTGCTCCCGCGCACAACCCAGCGCGCCCTCGCTGCTGCCGGTGCGTAAATGCTCCGCCAGCGTCGCCCGCGAGCCGCCGCGCCCCGGCCGCCACGCTGAGCCTCCCAATTGCGTGCACATGGCTGACAGGCACCCTAGCGACCCCGGTTGAGTCGTTCCCACGGTACGCGCCGCGCACGGCTTCTCGTCCGAGCCGCACATCTCGAGAGCTAGACCCGAGCATCCAGCACACCACCTCCGCCTGCGCCCTGGCCGAGCCACCTCGCAGGCAGCTCCGACACTCACTCTCTGTGTGGCGTGCTCCTCCTGCGCCAGCTGCTGGCGCGAGGGCTCCGACTCCCACGCCCCAGCTCGTGCGAGCGCGCACCCTCCTCCGCCCCGTAATCGCCGTCGACTCCTCCAGCTTTCCCCGCCAGATATCGTCGTGGAGGCATGTCCCAACGAGAGTACCACATCGTCGTCCTCGGGTCGGGTATGCTGAGACCTCCGCGCTCCCCCGCGCCGATCGCGATCTACTACGCTAGTTGCTGATGTCGTTTGTGAACAGGTGGAGTGGGCAAAAGCTGTCTTACAGGTAAGAGTCGCAGCAGCAGCCCCCCCAGCGCGCGTGCGCGCGCGCGCGCGCAGAACATGCCAGTTGACATCGGTACAGCGCAGTTTGTCCAGAATGTCTGGATCGAATCCTACGACCCCACCATCGAGGACTCGTACCGAAAGGCCATCGACGTCGATGTGAGTTTGCGCCGCCCCAGGCCCCGTCTGTTGAGAGAAAAGGATTGAAGCCTGATTCCATGCGCTCCAGGGACGGTCGGTAGTACTCGAGATCCTGGACACTGCAGGGACAGAGCAGTTTAGTAAGCCACCGCATCTCCCCCTGCGCACACGGGGCGCATCCAGCTAACGAGTTCTGCAGCTGCCATGAGGTAACCCAGCCCTACGTCGTTTCAGCTGCGCCCGCGTCCCCCACGGCTAACCAAGGACCAAGAGAACTGTACATGAAAACGGGCCAAGGCTTCCTCCTCGTCTTCAGCATCACGTCGATGACGTCCCTCCACGAGCTCGCCGAGCTGCGCGACCAGATCATCCGAATAAAAGACGACGAGCGCGTCCCCATCGTGCTCGTGGGCAACAAGTCGGACCTCGAGGAAGACCGGGCCGTGACGCGCGCCCGCGCCTTCGCCGTCAGCCAGGCGTGGGGCAACTGCCCCTACTACGAGACCAGCGCCCGCCGCCGCGCAAACGTCGACGAAGTCTTTGTGGATCTCTGCAGGCAGATCATCCGCAGGGACATGGAGCGCTCCCGCTCCCACACCGACTACGGCCGCCCCAGCGCCAGCACCCGCCGTCACCACCCCTCCAGCCGCCACAGCACCGGCGGCGGTCCCCCGCCCGGCCCCGGCAGCGGCGGCAGCGTCAAGGGCTCGCGGCGGAACCGCCGCGAACACCGCTGTGTGATATTATAACGCGAACGCGATGCGCGTGGGCCTTGCAGGGTGGACGTGCGGCGGGGTTTTTGCACAGCATAGAGGCGGGTTATAGCCGTGTGTGTGTGCGTGTGCGTGTGTGTGTGCAAATAGATCTGAAGTGTACGGAGATGTGTTTTGATGCGCCGGTGTTATTATTACTTTCTTGACAGTATCTTGGGGCCCTGGGGGCTGGACTCGCGGGATTTGGTTGTTGGTGGTGGGAATCATGGGAAGGGGGGGTGAAGGAAGGGCGGATTGGTGTCTTCATTCGCATTCATCATGAGCGAGGCCGCGGAAACTCATCGCCATCATCACATTCGGATTAGACGTACGATATAGAACGAAGCAGACAAACAGCTCACGGCTGAAAAAATTAATGTCCACGAGAAGACTTAATTTCTCCTCCCCAATTTTTCTTTTTTTTTTTTGCTTTCTTCACGGCTTCGGTAATCTCTGGGCGGGCGATTTCGTCTGTTTTTGCTTTATTTGTTTTTTTTTTTGGTTGCTTGTGCACCTCATGCGATATAAAATAGCTTAGTATAGTTGGTTAATAATGCCACTTTTCTCAAACTCCCCGGGCGCGGGTTGTTATGATCTGCACCTATTTCCCCCTCGCATATCTCTTTTTTGGTCGCACCTGCACCCGACCCGAGTTTCCGGCGAAGCGGCAGCGCCCATCACGAGAGAACGACAGAGAGAGAGAGAGAGCGAGCGAGAAAGAGCAAGTAAACGCTCGTCCCACCATCTGGACGGAGATGGAGGGGAGGGGGGCTGGGACCTCTCCGATCAAACCCTCTTCGGATGTAGCTCCCGAAACCCGTAACTTCGGGTAGCTAGGAAGGGGGGAGGGAGGGAAGGAGGGAAGGAGGGAAGGAGGAACGGAGAGGGGGGGGGGGGGCGAAGAGGAGAGAGGGAGGCTATGCCGGAATTCGTGACTCGTCAAGCAGCAAGCAGCAGCAAGCAGCAGCAGCAAGCAGCAAGCAGCAGCAGCAGCAACGAACAAAAAAAGGAAAAAGGTCTCATCACGCAAACGTCGCCGCGCCAAGCCGGAATTCAGTTTTCTTTTTACTTTTTTTGGTCTGCTTACCTACCACAGAAGGGGGGTGTGGGTGGGAGTCGGGTTTGTTAATTAGCATCCCGTCCAATCAGGGCGAGTGTAATTGGATGCGCCTTCCTTGCGAAGGGCCCCAAGCTGTTTCGGGAAACGCCTTGGAGATGACTTGTTGGCTCGCGGGGCTGAGAGGGGGATGCGCGCCCGCTAAAGTGCGTGTGCGCCACAGCTTCGTATTATTGCACTCTTGGTTTTTGGGTTGGGGAAGGAGGTTTGTGTTGTTGATGGCGAACGCGACCGACGGACGGATGGACGACGGACGGGCGAACGCGTGGCGGAGGTGGTGGCGGATGGGGGGGCGGCGGAAAGCATGAAGGTGGTGATGATGCAAGAAAAAGGGTCAAAGGGAAAGAATAGGAAAATGAATTCCATGATGGGTAGTGGTCGATAGTGATGCCGTGTGTCTTGCATCGGCGCGTCATCCGCGGTTGATCTAAAAAACCCACGCCAGGAGATAGCTACCATGCATGCACGAGCGAGCGGCTAACGGCGGGAGGAGAGAGCGCGAGAGAGGGAAAAAAAAAAAAAGAGAGAAAAAGGGTCTAGGAAGGTGCGTTGTGTCCGCGTCACGGTGCCGCCGCCCGTCGTCGCCGGCCGCGGCCGCGGCGCCCCCAGCCAAACGGAACCCGGCTTGTGGTGCGGAGAGAGGGGAGGTGGGATCTCGACCTGTCGTTTTGGCATGTACCAGATTCTTCCCCTTTCCGAAACTCCGGGTCTGCCGCATGCCGGGGAGGGGATGGGGGGAAGTGCGGATGATGTCCCGGCGGGATGCACGCGATCCTAGTTCTATTATTCCCTACGGATGCTCTCGCGCGATAGCCGTACATGACCGACTCCCGTCTCGACTTGCTCTGTCGCTTCGTCCTACCCCGGGTCGTCTGTGTCTTTGACTCTCCCGTTCCTGCGTGGCGATTGTGTCCTGCATTTCTCGTATAACGACTCTCTCTCGGTGCTGGCTCGTCGCTGCTCTCCTTCCACCTCCTCCATGCAGCTACATGGCTATGTCAGTCCACATGACCTGAAACAAGGCGGTCGCACGTCTTGGGCTCAATGGGGAAAATGTATCGGAGAAACGGGCAAACAGCAAAAAGCTGAGGGCTCGCGGTGCGCCCCCGGCCGAATGTGTGCGGACTATGGATGGGTGTGGCGTGGGGTGGACGAGGCAGGTGGAGGAGGAGGTGGAGGAGGCGGAGGAGGCGGATTCAGGCATGCACGCATGCTTCCCCTCCCCCTTCCTGCGGGTTTTAAGCTTTGTATGGCTGGAGGGTGGGCCTCTGCCACCTGTTGCGCCACAGCCGCCACCGACCAGCTGGCCATCCACTTCCATCATCAGTACCGCCAGACGTGTGCGTGGTGGGTGGGCGACCCACGTGCCGGTTTCGCCCATCAAAAGTGCCGGCGCGTGGGTCGGCGGGTAGCGTCGATCGCCCGGGAGTTGGTGTGTGCACAGGAGCCGGCTAGTTGCTGCGTTATGCACACAAATGGTACATATGCGACCCACCTGTATAACGGACGCGAGCATCTGCATTTCTGTGGGGAAGGGCTTGTGAATGCGGAAGGCAGACATGATTAGTCGTCGGCTAGAGAGGGAAGGTTACACCGGCGGTGGAGAGGCCGCTCGGAGATGGACGTTTTCATCTCCGGCCGAGCGGCGCGAGGAAAAGTAAAAAAAAAAATGTAAAAATAAAAAGAAAAAGGTCGTCCTGCGGGAAGGGCAGGGCAGAGGCGGGCGGCGCGAGGCGAGGGAGGAAAAGAAGGACGTGATGTGATGTGGGGGGAGATGACAGTGTGATGATGGTTTACGACGTGGTGTGAGTCGTCGGCTCGGTGCTGATAACGCGTGCAATTCTTTGCCATTTCGACGCTCGTCACATTCGAGTCAGCCGAGTGGGATGCGCCGACGTTTCACGGTTGTACATGTAGCTTTGTCTTGTTTGGGCAAGTCCACAGGGCTCTGTCCAGTCTGGCCGGGAAGCGACAGCTGCCTGCTCTGCATATGCATGACTTACTGAGCGACGCACGAGTCAGCGCGAGAGCAAAACGAAGCACTGGCCACTAGCGTCGACAAATGCCACGGCTGATCGTTGAAGCGTCGTCGTCGCCACAGCCAACCGGGCGCCATTGGCGCATCGTCGACCACAGGGGCGAGGGGGGAGCGAAAAGGGAAAGGCAATCAGCCAACATAACGGCCCGCCCGCCCAACGTCTGCCCATGTGGTTTCTGCTTGCCCATCCGTGCGAAAAAAAAAAAAAAAACACCCCGCGGGAGATTCACCTTGGCGCTCTCCTGCGCGGATGCCTCCTGCCCTTTCCGCGCCGTCCACCTGGGTCCGATGCGTCTCCGGATGGAGGGTTCGGAGCCGATCAGCAGGGCGAGACGCCTCGCTTGGAAGAGGCAGGGATCGAGCCTCTTTGCGGAAAGCCATGTATCGGATCGTCTTGCACGTACTATCTTTGCTTGGTGTCCGCTGACTTGCGCCTGAGAAGATGCACAGCCCCCCGAACCGGCGGGAGCGCGGCTTCCGGCACCCGCCTATCGTCATACCTCGGGTTGGTGGTCGTTGCGGCCACGCGAGCGGCTGAAGCACGACCCCTGTTTTCCTCGTTTTCCTTGTCCGTTTCCCTTTCCCTTGGTCGCTTCTGCTCGCAGGGCTGCAGTGCACTATGCGTAGGTACTTTGCCGCTTGCGGTATGGTGACCGCTTCCTTCCAGCGGGTGATGGCCTGCGCATATGAGGATGCGCGGCCCGATCTGCTGTCCACCCAATAGCTCGCTCCACCGTGTGCCTACCGAGTGCCGCATTCATCAGTCGATCAGCGGCTGGTGAGGTGACCGAGGGCGGGGAACGAGATTGACACGCGAGAACCTGGGGATGTCAATCGTGATGTGACCACCTCCCAATACTTCTTATGCACGAGTATTGAACAACGCCCGACCCTGGCCTCGGCCCACGGCTCGAAACCCACCCGGAACGGAGACGTTTCCGCGAACACGGTTCCTGACTGCAAGAGCGCGCACAGTCACTGACCTGGCTAGACTGGTCCACATCTAATCGCGTGCTTTCCTGATATGGCAGTAGCTTGTAAGCAAACACTGATGAATGCATAGTGGCCAGAGCAGCTGTGGCATCCACCAGTTGTGCGCCTCTGCAGCTCAGGCATTTACAAGCTCATATATCGCATGAACGGCGCTTCATTACCGTGGTTGACCGCAGCTACCATTTCCGACAAGAGACCTCCAAGTGATTTTTGATTTGTTCTCAGGGAGAGCTGCGTCCCGTGTTGTGGGCATGAAGAGTTACGAGGTATCATAACAGTGCGCTTTGGAATGGTGAGACAAGAGTACATATCTACATCCAAGTCCCGTAAATGTACATACATACATACACAAGACCAAACACACCGCCATCGTTCAACAACCGCAGCCACGCTCCCCAGAGGAAACCAAAACTCAAACAAGCAAGGCCTCTTTGATCTAAATCTTCATATGCTGTCTTTTCATCCACATTTCAACACAGATCCCCTTCCCCGCCGCCCACCACAACCTACATCCTAAACACGCCCCACTTCTCCCCCCTCTCCCTCTCCCTCCTCTCCGCCGCGCGCCCCTGGCTCGCCACCTCCAATCCCAACCCGAGCACCGCGCGTGTGTGCTCGGGGGGGATGATGCCGTCGTCCCACAGCCTGGCGCTGCCGAAGGTAGCCTCGCTCTCGCGCTCGATGCGGGCCTTGAGCGCGGGATCGGCCTGCTTGCCGACGGCCTCCATGACCGAGGACAGCTGCTCGGGCCCCATGACCGACGTGCGAGCGTTGGGCCAGGTCCAAAGGAAGCGGGGGGAGTAGGCGCGGCCGCTGGGCAATGACGAAAGTCAGTCTGGGATGTATATATATATCGGGACTGCAAGGCCGGGGTTGGGGGGGAGCGAGGGAGGGAAGAAAAGAAGAACAAATCGCTTCTAAGAGCACCGAAGGGAGACTTACCACATGCCGTAGTTGCCCGCGCCGGCGCTGCTCCCCACGACGACGGTGAACTTGGGCACGTCGGCGCAGCTGACGGCCGTGACGAGCTTCGCGCCGTTCTTGGCGATGCCGCCCTTTTCCGCGTCGGCGCCGACCATGAAGCCCGAGATGTTTTGGAGGAAGACGAGCGGGATGCCGCGCTTGCTGCACAGCTGGATGAAGTGGGCGCCCTTGAGCGACGCCTCGGAGAAGAGGATGCCGTCGTTGGCGAGGATGCCGACCGGGTGCCCCTGGATGCGCGCGAAGCCCGTGACGAGCGTGGTGCCGTACAGCGGCTTGAACTCGTCGAAGCGCGAGCCGTCGACCAGGCGCGCGATGATGGCCTTTGCCGGCACGGGGAGGCGCGGGTTGGTGCCGACGATGCCGGCGAGCTCTTTGGCGTCGTAGAGCGGCTCGTCGTACGTCGGCGTGCGGTTGGGCGCGTCGAGCGACGAGGGAGACGGGGCCGCGGCCTTGGGGTAGTTGAGGTTCGCGATGCTGCGCCGCGCGAGGACGAGGGCGTGGGCGTCGTCGACGGCGAGGTAATCCGTCACGCCGGAGATTTCGCTGTGCAGAGCACCGCCGCCGAGGTCTTCGGCGCTCACGACTTCACCGGTGGCGGCCTTGACTAGGGGCGGGCCGGCGAGGAAGATGTGGCCCTGCTTGTCGACGATGATGGATTCGTCCGACATGCTGGGCACGTAGGCGCCGCCGGCGGTGCAGGGACCCATGACGACGCTGATTTGAGGGATGCCCATTGACGACACTGCGGGTATGTGAGCCAAGAGGCAGGACTAGCGTTCGGGGCAGGTGGCGCGTACTTCTGGCCTGGTTGAAGAAGATGCGGCCGAAGTGTTCGCGGTCAGGGAAGACATCGGCCTGATGCGGCAAGTTGGCGCCGCCAGAGTCGACCAAGTAAATGCACGGCAATCCTGCAAACATCAGCCGGGCCACCGTCTGCAGCCTCCCGCAGCATTCTTACTATTCTCCTGCGCAATGGCCTGCGCCCTCAAATGCTTCTTCACAGTGATGGGATAGTACGTCCCGCCCTTGACCCTAGACGCCGCAACCAAGACAATCAGCACTCACCCACTCACACCACAGGCAGCGAGACACCGAGAATCTACACACGTGCTGTCATTCGCCACAACCACACACCTCACCCCCTCGACGACGCCGACGCCCGTCACTATGCCGCCCGCAGCCACCTCCTCGCCCTCGTAGCAGCCCAGGCCGGCCAGGGCGCTCAGCTCCAGGAAGCTCGTGCCGGGGTCGACCAGGGCGGCGATGCGGTCCCGCACCAGCATCTTGCCGCGCTCGACGTGGCGCTGCCGCGCCTTGTCGGGCCCGCCGCGCGCGGCGGCCGCGTGCAGCTCCGACACGCGGGCTTGCACGGCGGCGAACGAGGCGGCGTTGTCGCGGAAGGTGGGGTCGGAGGGGTCGGCGGCGCTGACGGAGGCGGGGAGCGTCGAGAGGAGCGTGGCGTGGTGCGTCGAGGTGTGGGTTGCGATTGTGCGGCGGGCAGTCGAGGAAGCTGCGGCGGCGGCGGCGGCGCGGGGCGGTGATGAGGCGGGTCGGCGGAGGAGGAGCGGTTTTGTGCGGGCGGTGGAGAGGAGCGGGGTGCGCCGCAGGGCGGTGCGCGTTCGGAAGGCCATTTTTGCTCGCGGCAATGGGGACGGCAGGCAGGTTGCGGGGAGGAATGGAGAAGGGAGTTGAGTGTTGTTTGGGAGCTTGTCTTGCGGGCGGTACAAGAGAACCGGGGTGCGGAGTAGCCGCGTCTAGCCGCAGGGCGGAACGTCCACTTTTGCGGGGGAGCGATCCTTGCCCGCGGCTCCACACCCTTCCCGTTCCTAGCGCACCGAGAGGTTTATAACAGAAATCCGTTGACATCTCTGCCCATGCAGTCATCATTCATTCCACATCATGCCATGACTCCCTCATCAAGAAACAACCAGCAACAGCTCATGAAAGCCCGGGAGGAAAAAAACACCCCTAACGCCAACCCCAACCCCAGAAAAAAAAAGAAAAAAGAAAAGAAAAAATTAAAAGATACAACAACACAGCACCCTCACAAGTACCTCCTTCCACAAACCCACAACCCCACCCGCTCACACAGCCCCCTCAACCCCCACTCCTCCTCCTCATCCCCGTCGTCCCCATCCCAATCCCCCGCCACACCCGCATCATCCACAACCGTCATATACACCATCTCCCACCCGCATGATTCCTTCCCGCCGCCTCGCTCCCGAGCCACCTCCTCCCGCGCCTCCTCAAACAACCCACCCAACACCCCTCCCTCCTCCTCCTCCCCCCCAGCCACCCCATCAAACACCACCCCCGCCCTCGCCACCCTCTCACACCTCAACGCCCTCCCATGCCTCCTCGCATCAAACAGCACACCGAACCCCGCCCCATCCCCACCCCCAACCTCATCATCACCATCACCATCATCAAAAACTCTCGCAGCAGCAGCAGCGACATCAAGCCGCCGGTGCACGCGCGGATTAAACAGCGCTGCGAGGGACGCCGCGATGTTGTTGTTGTTACTGTCGTCATCATCGTCGTCGCTATCGTCATCCAGCGGTTGCGGTCCGGCCTCTGCGCTTCTCCTCCTTCTTCTTCTTCCTTCTTGCTGTTGTTGTTGTTGTTGTTGTTGTTGTTGCTCGTCGGCGGTGGAGAAGACGTCTGCACGCGCTAGGCGGTCGCGGAGGAGGGGCCGGGCGTGGCGGCGGGGGTCGAAGAGGGTGGAGAGGGGGGTGGTGGGGACGGATGCGGAGGGAGAGGGCGGAGACGCGTCCGTCCAGAGGGTCCAGGCGTGGCGGCGGGGGTTGAAGAAGGATGGTGGGGGAAAGATGCCGTCGCTGTCGTTTTCGTCGTCGTCGTCGTCGTCTGTAGTGGGCGGCGGCGGCGGCGGCGGCGGCGGCGGCGGCGGCGGTGGGGCTGGGACTGTGCTCGTGTCGTGGTGGCAAGAGTTGGGCCAGGGCGTGCGGCTGGGAAAAGGTTAGTATCGGATTGGAAGGGGGCGGTGGTTGGTCGAGGTGAGGGGTCTTTGCGTACCAGATAGCGCAGCGGAGCACGGGGAAGCTCGTCGATGACTGGTGGCTGTTCTCCCACTCCGTCCAGCATTCGCGGTGGAAGTTTGTGCCGCATTCGGACTTGCACCATGCGAGCTCGGTCAGGGGAGTTGATGCCAGGGGTTCTTGGCAGATGGGGCAGTCATCTTCGAGGCTCTTGCGCTGTGTGTGTGATGCGCTGCAGTGTTCTTCTTCCCTGACTGGAACAGTGGTGGGTGTGTTTGAAGCGTTAGAAACGACAGGCACCGGCGTTGGTCGGACTTGTATCATCGGAGGGCGTGAGGTTGGTTCGATGTTCTGGTTTGGAGTAGGAGCAAGTGGACCTCGGGCTGCAGGTGCGGTAGCTGGCGGAGTAGTAGCTGGCGGAGAGCCCGGGGCGAAAGCACGGGGGGAAGCTTGAACAAGCTGAACATCCGATGCTGGGGCAGCTGTCTCTTCTACAGGGACAAGTCTTCTGCCCGCGGTAAAGGTGAAATCTGATCTCGGCAGAGAAGGCAGGTCGGCCAAGGGACTCGTCGTGGACCCAGAAAATCTGGAGGTGGGTTCCGTTCGAGGTACAGGCGGAACGTCCCCAAAAAGGGCTCTCTGCGATGACATAGGGGGCCTCGATGTGGCCTGCGACGGTTGAGTGACGTGAGGTCGAACGCGCTCGCGAGTTGTAGACCGAAGACCAGAACTGCGTTCTACGGTTTCAACCACCACCTCTCTCCGGACAGAATTTTGATGCTGCCGGAAAGCGGTTCGAGCCGGGGCTGGCACAGCGGAAGCTCCACTTATGGTGGTATTCGAGGACGTCGGCAGCGAAGAGGTTCCGTTCGTATGAGTGCGACCTTGAGGGTGCTCTGAGGTTTGTTGGGTTGGGTAGCGAGCCGTCGTTTGCTCCCCCAACCACGAGTTGATGGTGCAGGACCATCTTACAGCAATCTCTGCAGCTTGGGACTGATGGTACCTCACACAAAGACCCAGCTTTGCAAGCCCGTAAAGGTGGACATAGACAGCACGACTGTCTTTGAGGTCGATACGCGCAAGCTCATGGAGGTTTCGATCAAATGCCCCTCGATTGCCCGCGTTTATCGGAATCTGGCACCTTCGGCCCTTGGATGGAGCGTATCCGACACAGGAGACACTGCCTTTCTCCGGGTTTACTGGTTCGAGTATTCTGTGAAGTGCTGAGTACGTCTGAGTTGGCGATGGCCCAAAAGACATCTTGACAGTAATGGGGCCAGTTGGAACCAGAGACCTGGTCAATAATATGAGAAACAAGATAAGTCCCGTGGAAAAGAGAGCAGGAACTCCGAACTCCGTCGTCGTCGTTGTCGCTACTGAGCTAGAAGCTTCGAGGCAGCAATGGGCGGATGCCTATAAATCAAGTTTTTGTGCCCGTCTGGTCGGGACATGGCAAGGCTGGCAGGAAAGCGATGGTAGATACTCAGCCATGTTTCGAGGGCATGCAGGGGATCAGCGGTCCGGGCAAAGCCACTATCAGCGAGCGGTGTGTTTGTGGATGCCTTGGTTAAGCGCTCGCCTGCGCCGCACACATGATCCTGAACTGCCCGATGAGGGTACGATAAGAGGGGCATAAGACATAAGCGGTCAAGCGCATCTTTTGGAATCCGGTGTGCTGTACTACGCTTTGCTGATTTCGTTAGAATTGACCGGGGTTGATCCCGCGCCACATGCAGAGGTGTTTTCGGCGGTAGGTAGTTGGGATCCCAGCAGAGTGGTAAGGACCCGCGCCAGATCCTTCCGACAAAAAATTAGAAACTGCTGCATTGGTCTGGATTTCCTGAAACGTTCAATGAGGTAGCGTGGAGGTCTGGTGATGTGTAAAAGCGCCCCCACTAGAACAGCGACATAGTGATATGCAAGCGCCCGCGGAGAATTCATCACGTTCATGTGGGGGCAATCGGACAGCTCTCCAAAATACACAGCTTTGAGTCTTCTACGCGGCAGCTACTTCCAAAACCAAATGAGGATGTTGCGTGATGGTGAGTAGGTATACTTTACTTTTGGAGAACTCAATTGCTGTGCAAAATCAAGGACGGCATGTACAGCCACGTTTGCAGGTAGAGTGACGGTACGAAGGCTGAGTTCTCTCGACCCCTGCAGCTTGAAACGAGGAGGGGGGTCTACGCCGCACGGCTGAGCGGTTGCGTGCTCTGCAAGCGCCACGCCGTAGGCAGACGAGACAAACTGTGCCCCGGGGTAGATGCGTTCTTGACAGCGCAACCACATCGGATGTTTGGTGGTCACTGCAAACATCAGCATGGTCCTAGAGCATGGTGAGTGCAGAGTAGGTAGATGACTCGTAAAGACGTATAGGGCTTGGCGAAGGAATACGATTAAGCGCCGGGCGGTTGCCAAATCAGGAAATGATTGGAGTTTCCCCAAGGCTGCATAGACGAATATCTGCAGGTGAATAATGCCACGGAACTGTGGCTGGCTGAGCATTACGTCGTGCAACAGTGTCAGTCCTCATGTCTTTCAGAAGCACAGTATAAGTTGCTCAAAGTATCTTGCCAACTCCAGGACGGCAAGCTTTAGTAAAGGTTGATGTGTCGGCCCGAGCGGCCACACCCGCAGAGATGCTCATACAGCGTTCTCCAAAGTCTTGCCTTGGTTGGCAAGGTTCGCCAAATTTGACAGGGTACGGATGCGTGGGGACGCCGCTAGATTGGGGGCCGCTATGAGATTGCGGAAACTCGTACGAATGAATGTGGCTTACCATGAGCATACTATGTTGCTTGTGTCACCTCAAGGCAGTAAGATTGTGACCATCGTTTAGTGTTGCCAAGAGATGTATACTGGACTCAATAGCCAATCCTTTAACGATTCCATGCATGCTACTACACCTTCGTTGTAACGAGAGAGATCTGTTCTGGTATTCATGGAGATGCGCAAAGGCTTAGCAGTTGTATAGCTGCCTCTTTACCATGCTATATGCTCCTCATCACCCTAAGATCAGTACTGTGGGCTTGAACGCTTGAGCCGGCAAGGTAGACACACCTTTGCAGCAGTAATTGCAGGCCATGGCAGCACGTTTGCGCGATGCTTCTTGTTCTGTGAGGGCAGTAAGAGAAGTGGTGGTCATGGGTTGGATGCCCGAGACATCAGGTGGCCGCCCACGACAACATCGCTCGAAGAGCCGCGACTCGGGCGTGCAGCAGCGCCGCCCTGCATCCGCCCGCCTGCCCGCCGCAACTGTCGCGGCAACCATGGCTGCTGTGCTCAGCTCAGTACCTCACAATATCCTTCATCTCCACGATCTATGTCGGTCCAAAGAGTGCAAATGAGTCTGCCATGCGCCGCTAGCGTTTGCATGTAAGTACATGTCTGATATGGCAAGCGGCATGCCTGGCTTGGTGTTGGTGTTGTTCGGTGAGCGCGACGCGTTGGCGTTTTCGCGTTCCGCCGAGGCGGAAGAATCTCGGGCCGGGCGCAGCGGGCCTCGCTGGGGCGGTCACCCGCAGTGCGGAAGGCACGAAACGGCTGCTATCAAGTGCTGGAAAGCTGCCTGCTTTTCCCACGCCTTTCTGGCCTGCGCTCTCGGTGTTCCTGTCGCTGCTGCGCTTGGCCACCGCCCCCAAACCGGTCTAGCGCGCCTCGCTCCAGCAGTCGCAACCTAATCATCCGGCCCTCCTATTTAAAGCTACCGCCCGGCTGCCGCTCGCCCTCCTTTCTCCTCTCTTTCCACCGTTTCCGACCATCCGCAACCCCAACAGCGCGACTTCCACCCCACGCCTTCGTCCACGACTATCTTCAACACCCAACTCTACCAACAACGCTTCCTGTCAACATGACTGGCCGTAAGTACCCTTGCCCCTTCTGCACTGCGCTGCATGTCGCTGCGCGCACCCGCATCCGCTTTGTTGGTGGTCGCGTTGCAGGGTGGCGCCGCCGGTCGCGATACGCGTCGCGACGCCGCTCTTGGTGTTGCATCATCGGCCCACCTCACCTTCGCCCTCGGCCTCCAACCACACACTAGTTCCATGATGCTAACCCTTCTCTACTACAGGTGGCAAGGGAGGCAAGGGTCTCGGCAAGGGTGGCGCCAAGCGTCACCGCAAGATCTTGCGCGACAACATCCAGGGTATCACCAAGCCCGCCATCCGCCGTCTCGCCCGTCGTGGCGGTGTCAAGCGTATCTCGGCCAGTAAGTCAAGTGCTCAACCCCGACGCGTCCCGCAACATGTTGCTGACGTCGCGCGCAGTGATCTACGAGGAGACCCGTGGTGTCCTGAAGTCCTTCCTGGAGGGTGTCATCCGTGACGCCGTCACGTACACGGAGCACGCCAAGCGCAAGACCGTCACCTCGCTGGACGTCGTCTACGCGCTCAAGCGCCAGGGCCGCACCCTGTACGGTTTCGGTGGTTAAACGCCTCGGGCCGCACCATCGACCTTCGACCAGCTCTCGTGCATCGTGTCGGCTCATTCTGGTTTCGGCGCACGTATCAAGTCAATTCATATCAGCGGATGGGTATCGACGGGAGCGATTGCTGGGAACACATGGGAAAGGTTTTCTGCTTTTGATTATGGACTGGGCTGGAGTGGACCGGAGTTTGACGGGTTATGCTGTTTCGAACATGAAGGACATTGTGGCGCGAGCCAGCTATCAATAAAGATCCATTCGGACTGACGACTGTTTGATGCATGAATTGCGACGTGACGCCCCCCAATAATGGTGGAGGGACCCGCGCCTCGGTCATCAAGAGGCTGAGGGGCCGCGATCGGCTAACCCCACCGCTCCCGACGCCCTTCTGCAGCCGAAGGGCGCGCTTTCTACAAAGCACACGCCGATCCACTATCACGTGTGGTATGTCGCAAGATACATAAGCATGGCGTTTGCCTTTAAAGATTCCAACGGTCCCATCTTCGTGAGCTAATCTTCACCCACATCCCCGCAGTAACCATGGCCCCTCCGACTGAAAAGGTGCTCGTCTTCGGCGCGACTGGCGTCATTGGACGCTACATCACCAATGCGCTGGTTAATGCTCAGCCGCCCTTCAAGCGCATCGGCATCTACACTTCGGCAGACACGGTCGAGCGCAAAGCCGCCGAGATCCAAGCGCTCAAGAACAAGGGCGTCGACGTCTTCGTCGGTAGTTTCAACGACGAAGACAAGATCCTAGAGGTCTACAAAGGTCTGTCCGCGCGCGCGACCCCGCAGCCCCAATTGCTCCAGGCACAATAAAAGCCAATACGAAACTGATGCTCCCTTCCATCGCAGGCTTCGACACCGTCGTCAGCGCCGTGGGCCGCAACGTCATCGCCGAGCAAATCGGCCTCATCAAGCTCGCCGAGCAGTCGCCCAGCATCGCCCGCTTCTTCCCCAGCGAATACGGGACCGACATCAAATACGGCCCGCAGTCGGCGACGGAGAAGCCGCACCAGCTGAAGCTCAAGGTGCGCGCCTACCTCGAGTCCGACGCCGTCAACCGGCTCGAGTACACCTACCTCGTCACGGGGCCGTACGCGGACTTGTACATCCAGAAGAGCGCCCACGCGCCCGAAGCCGGCACCTTCGATGTCCGCGCGAAGAAGGCCACGCTGCTGGGCGACGGCGACGGCAGGATCAGTTTGACGACGATGGATGAGTGCGTATATATTTCTTTCTTTCTTTCTTTCTCTCTTCAAATATCTTCATCTTTCGGGGCCCCCTCCCAGGAACAAGCAGAAACCGGTGCTAAAGTACATACAAAACTGACTTACCCACCATCCAGCGTCGGCAAGCTCGTGACGGCCGCGCTGCAGCACCCGGAGCACACGGCCAACCGCGCCCTCATCGTCAACTCGTTCACGACGACGCCCAAGGAGATCCTCGCCGAGTTCGAGCGCCAGACGGGCGGCGACAAGTGGGCCGTCGAGTACACACCGCTGCCCGCGCTAGAGCAGGCCGAGGCGCGCGCGTGGGACCAGGGCGTCCCGTACGCGGCCGTGTTCACGTTGAGGCGCATCTGGACGCAGGGGGGGACGCTGTATGAGGGTCGCGATAACGATCTCGTGAAGGCGCCCGAGAGCGAGACGCTGGGTGAGGCGGTGGCGAAGGCGGTTGAGGCGCAGGGATAAGCGGGCGTTTGGCTGGTGGCCATGTATCTGTGGATGGTGTAGCGCGAGGATGTTTCTCTGAAAAAAAAAAAGAATAAGAGGGTTTGTCCGTACAAAACTTTCCGAGTGGTCTTGCGATATGGATCTTCTCTTCTTCGTTTGTCCCAGCAATGCTACTAACAGCTGGCAGCGAGCAGTGTCAGTGCAGATTCACGCAAGAGCTGGGGTTCAGCGCTCCCTTGTCAGCTGCTGGGGCAGGCAGTGACGCACCGCGTTCCTCGGGAATGTGATATTGGATCATCGCCCTTGATGATAAGCAGAGCATAGCCACGCGTCTGCGGGGGAAGCGATAAGCGGAAGGATGCGGGAGGGTTGCCGATCGTGGTGGGGAGACTGGGGCCGGGCGAGGGTTTGCTACTTTGTCTTCTTTCGTCGTCTCCTCACATTACAAACCTTGCAGGTGGAGACTTCCAGGGCGGGCCGGCGAAAGTGGGCCGCCCAATGTCTTCATGCTTCTCTGCGAATAAGTGGTACCTGCAACGAAGCGTGAATGAGGGAAAATGCTCCGAGACCGGACGTGTCCTGGAGGACCCATCTCGTCGGTAAGCAACATATCCTCATGCATCAGCAAGCACACGGCTTACAACAGGATATACTCTGCTTGACTGGATTACGGGTTTTTGCTCGACAAACCAAGGCTGCTCCGCTAGACTGCCTTGAATAACACTACATGCTACGCAGTCCACTCTGACTTCCCGAACATTCTTGACTAAATGGTTTGCACACAAGGATTATTAGGTTAATGAAGTCTTTCTCCGCGGCATTGCCGATGCCGAGAAAGTCGTGGGCTAAACTGCAGTCCGATGATAACATCTCGCACCCAATGCACCGCAGTTTCATGCATGCAGCTGACGCAGCCCATTTTTCGAGGCCCAGTGTATTACTCCACGAAATGAAGATGCTCTATCGTTGTGCAACTTGGGCTCTGGTGCTGCGCGCGGTCGGTGGCTTGCCGTTCGGCATCTACGGCATCTCCACCGACGACCGTCATAGCGGCATCATCGGCACAGGCGAGCCTCTATTCGCAGGTGTCTTCGGCTTTGACACTCGAAAACCTGCACGTTGCAGGCCCATACCATCTAATCTGAGCCCTAAACAGCCGATCTGGCTCCACTGTTCGTCACCATTGGGTTGATAACGGCAGGTGTCTGAGCTCTCCACAACACTACTGCATACTCCTCACGAAGCCGCCGGCATGCCGCATCATACCACCAAGCCTAAGGTACTGTCAGCTGCATGCATTCACCCTGTATGATGTGACCGCATGCCTTGTCAACCATGCCGCCCCGGACCAGCAAAGATACAGGGCCTTATCGGGACCTATACTTGCGCATCTCCGTCCAACCTCTATATAAAGTCAATCGCAGAGCGCTCTGCTCTCGTCTACACCAAGCAAACAGCTCTCCTCAGATCCAAGACAAGCCACAGTCCTTCCACTCCTGACCGCACAGTCGACTTTTCACCGCCAAGATGCCCATCACCAAGTACAAGGCCGCCGCCGTCACCTCCGAGCCCGCCTGGTTCGACCTGGAGGGCGGTGTCCAGAAGACCATCAGCTTCATCAACGAGGCCGGCCAGGCCGGCTGCAAGCTGGTTGCCTTCCCGGAAGTCTGTAAGCAGCAAACCCCCACACTGGCGCAGAACGATCAGATGCCCTAACACACACCTTTCTCCCAAGGGATCCCCGGCTACCCCTACTGGATGTGGAAAGTCACCTACCAGCAGTCCCTCCCGATGCTCAAGAAATACCGCCAAAACTCCCTCCGCGTCGACTCGGAAGAGATGCGTCGGATCCGGCGCGCAGCGCGCGACAACCAAATCCACGTCTCGATGGGCTTCTCGGAAATCGACGACGCCACCCTCTACCTCGCCCAAGTCCTCATCGCGCCCGACGGCAGCGTCCTCAACCACCGCCGCAAGATCAAGCCCACGCACGTCGAGAAGCTCGTCTACGGCGACGGGCCCGGCGACGCCTTCGAATCCGTCACCCCCACCGAGCTCGGCCGGCTCGGCCAGCTCAACTGCTGGGAGAACATGAACCCCTTCCTCAAAGCCCTCAACGTCTCGGCCGGCGAACAGATCCACGTCGCCGCCTGGCCCGTCTACGCGGGGAAAGAGACGCTCCGCGCGCCCGACCCCGCCACCAACGTCGCCGACCCCGCCTCCGACCTCGTCACCCCCGCCTACGCCATCGAAACCGGCGCCTGGACCCTCGCCCCCTTCCAGCGCCTCTCCGCCGCGGGGCTCCGCGCCAACACCCCGGCCGGCGTCGAGCCCGAGACCGACCCGGCCACGTACAACGGGCACGCCCGCATCTTCAAGCCCGACGGCACGTGCGTCGCGCGCCCGGACAAGGACTTCGACGGCTTGTTGTTCGTCGACGTCGACCTCGACGAGTGCCACCTCACCAAGGCGTTGGCCGACTTCGGCGGCCACTACATGCGGCCGGACCTCATCCGGCTGCTGGTCGATACGCGTCGCAAGGAGTTGGTCACGCACGTCGCGGATCCCGAGGGTGGGGTCCAGACGTATTCGACGAGGGAGAGGCTGGGGCTGCATTTGCCGCTGGATGGGCCCCCGCCGCCGAGGGGGGAGGAGAAGAGGGGGCAGGTTGGTGTGGGCGCGGGGCTGGCGAGGAAGAGGGATGAGAGGGAGGTGGACGGGTTGTGAGGGGGGAACGGCGCGCACGCGGCGTTTGCGGGGGGTGGAGAGAAGAGGACGGGCGGGCTTTGCTGTCTCCCCTTGTATGTACGATGGAGTTTGGGGATCTACGCTCTCTTTTGTGGTTGTCTGTTTGGGAAAGAACGAACTTTTGGAAGCCCAACGAACCTCTCGTTGCTGCTCTTTGACTGTGATCGTGGACACTGAACGTGGAGTTGAGGAGACGCAGTCTACAGTGGATACGTATGGGTCTCGAGTGCTTCGAAAATAGGCTGGTTCAGCTGGGAGTACTGTCATCAAGTCCTCACTCATTAGCATCGAGAGCAATGTGGGTAGAACAAGAAATGTGCATGTTCATCGAAAGTCCAGATCATCAGGTCGTGATCGTCCAGACTCATGAGGGCTATCTATCATCCTGGAATGCGTAGCCGTGAGAGAGAGCCACAGGAAACTATCCGGATGAGAGGAAAAAATAAAAAGCAGTGTCCAGAAAAAGGCAAATGTCCAGCAAAACGCTATGCCCGGCAAAAGTGGTATCCAGCAAGAAAAGTCCAGCAGAAAGCAATGCCCAGCCAAGAATCAACCCTCCACGCCTCCAGAAGATGAGAGTCATTCTTCCAAGCTGTCAGCATGCGCAAATCGTAAAAGAAAAAACCAGAAAACCCCATCCATGCCGCCGTTTTTTTTGAAAATGCAACCGTCCATGCCGTCGTCCTCGACAGCTAAAAGAAAACCCATCCGTTTTGGTATCGTCGGAATCCGGAAAAGAGGTAAAGGAAAAGCAAAGGTGTAAAGTGATTCATCCCGGTCGTCGGTCTCCAGGTCGTCGATCTCAAGATAGGTCGTCGGTCCCAAGACAGATCGTCGGTCTCAAGGCTAGATCTCTCAGCGGAAGCCCAGCAAGTCGCCAACCACGACGATGAAACCCGCAATTATGAAGCCGACGGTTCCGAACACAAACTCCACCAAAGTGACTCCGACCCTCACCAGCGGGTGTTCCCAGGGCTCGGACGAGAAGTAGCCGTCAGTGCCAGGGACGTAGAGGGTGCGCGGGACGAGCGTGGCGAGCCTCCAGCATTGGCGTCCACCGTAGTCGAGGTGGCGCATGGTCGATAGGCGAGCGCCTTCATTGGCGTCGTACCAGAGCTTGCGCTCGGCTTCTGAGAGCCCGGCAAAGTGAAAGAGGACGGCGAGAGTGAGAAGGAAGACCATTAATGGCCAGAGGAAGACGTGTGGACGGCGGCATGGGACTGAGACGCGCTCCACGATGACCCGGGTGGTGGCGACGGGCTGAGAGGAAGGCTCGGGTGAGGAGGGAAGATGGACCTCGATGGGTGAGGTGGTGATGGATGAGCCGCTGGTGGTGATAGCAAGCTGCTTCTCGGATGTGATGGGTGAGGCAGGCAGCGAGACTTCGGCGGGAATTGTGAGCTCCTCCGACGGCAATGGGACCTCGACAGGCGGAATGCCGATAGAAGGTGAGGCAGGAAGCGGGACCTCTGCGGGGGTGGTGAGCTCCTCTGACGGCAGCGGGACCTCGATGGGCGGAATGCCGATGGAGGGCGAGACAGGAAGCGGGACCTCTGCGGGGGTGGTGAGCTCCTCTGACGGCAGCGGGACCTCGATGGGCGGAATGCCGATGGAGGGCGAGACAGGAAGCGGGACGTCGGCGGGGGTGGTGAGGTCCTCCGCTTCCTCAAACACGCGGTAATCCTGCAGCAGCAGGCTCTTGACGACGCCGTGAGGGGATGTGGCGCGCTGCGCCGCCTCGTCGCTGTCGCTGCTGTCGTCGCTGTCGCCGTCGCTGTCGCCGTCGCTGTCGCCGGTGGTGGCGCCGGTAGCTGAAAAGCCGTCATCGGCGCCGCTGAGAGAGGGGACGGGGGAGGGTTCGGGGGAAGGGGGGGAAGAAGGATCGGGAGAGGCGACGGGAGAGGCCGCGGGCGAAACGGGGAGAGAACCAGCGGCAGAGCCAACTGGAGACGCGGCGGGAGAGGCAGCGTCCGGGCTGCAGGGCAGCTCGTCGGCCAGGCTGGGCGCGGCGGCGGCGGTGGCGAGGGCGGAGACCTGCTCCCCCACGGAGTCCACCTGGGCCTGGAGGCCCTCGAGCTCCGCCGACCGGCGCTCCGCCTCGTCGACCCTGACCTGCAGGGCCGAGTTGGCCGAAAGCAACCGGCCGATGGTGTTCGCGTGGGCCTTGTTGCGGCCCCGCAGCTGCTTCAGCTGCCCCTCCACCCTCTCCAGCTTGGCTTGCTGTTCCTCCAGGAACGCGTCGCCCTCGTCGATGGTGCTGTCCATCATTGCAGCCTCCCCCTCCAGCACCATGACCCTCTCTTCGAGGGCCTCCTTCTCCTGGTTGACCGCCCGCAAGCGATCAACCCCGGCCTTGGAGACCAGCTCCAAGGTCTCGTTCTTCCTCCTCTCCTCCCTCAGCTCCTCCTCCTTCTCCTCCCTCAGCTTCTTCTCCTCCTCCGCCAGGATCTTGGCCTGGACCAGCTCCAGGTGCCAGTCGTTGTTGGCCATGGTGGTGGCCGTGTGTGTGTGTGTGTGTGTGTGTGTGTGTGTGTGTGTGAGAGAGAAAAGGCCGAAGGGCTGCTGTCGTGGTGGGAGACGGTCGGGAAACGGTCGGGCTGAAGAAAAAAAGAAAGAAAGAAAGAGTCGGGGCTGCAAGCGGCGAGAGATATTTATGGGTGGGCGGCCATTGTGTGTGCATGTGCGCTTTCACCTGCGCGTGCGCCACCAGAACAATAGATACAATGGGACGCTCACCGTTAACCTGTTTCATCTTTTTCACCTTTTCACATTTCCAGCAGGCAGCAACCAACCTCCTCTCAATCACCCGTGACCCTCTTTCCCGACCTGTCGCTGGTGCGACTGCTTTCACCTTCACTGAGCGTTGACTCACTAACCGAGTCGGGTATTTCCCAACTGGGAGTCTCTGCATGCCCTAGTTTCCCGGGTCTTTTCTCTCACCTCTCAATTGCTGTGCCACGGAGCTGATTGATGAGAAACCGCCTCGCTGTTTGACCATATGAAGTCTCTCAAAAGGCCAAGCAACGGCTGGGAAAAAGATACCCGTTGAAAAGAGAACACGCGGTCAGGAACTGAAGCTATAGTGAAGATGTAAATCTAGACTTATCAAACGCAGTCGCACCAGGAGTAGAAGAAAGTGTCGGCATGGAAACAAAAGAAACCCCCAAGTGACGCTTCACCACTTGGAGTTGGAGAAAGTGGCAAGATGAAAACGAACACTTAGCTCGAGGGTCTCCGCCCGTGGTCGAAGAAAGTAGCCAGACAAGAATCAAAATCCCAAGAACCGCCTCGCCGTCCAGAGTCAGAAAAAATTAGCGAGATGAAAATGACCGCTTACCTACCTCAGTGGCATCCGCCAGGTATGGAAACGCTGCGCAGGCTGAAACCATCATCCGCATTTTCCATCGCCGGCTTCATGTGGGAGGCTCCTGCGTTCCTATCCAACCACGCTCGCAATTCATCACTAACCCAGTCACCTATCTTGCGGAGTGATGAGATGAGCTAACAAGCTCCTTCGAGACTTGCCGTGTCTTCAAGGGCACGATCGTCTCTGAAGACACGGATTCCAGTATCTCCCTGTGTTGGTGCTATAAAGTACAACTCTCATGCGTTGCCCGCCATGACAATGGTAGGGAGCGTTTGGGGAGGCTCTCCGAACCCGAAGCGCCTCGTCCGCTCGAACTAAGCGGCGGCGCAAATGATAATTTAGGCGCATGCTTTGCTGTCACTTTTTGACGGCTTGGTGTCGGTTCTGACGCCAATAGGTCGCAACCTTAGCGGTCCGTATTGAGTCTGGTTCACCGTCCACTATAGTATTGATGATCAGTAGAGAGGCGGAGACTCGTAGAAGGCGCAGGCTTACTTAATCGGACAGAAACCGCCCGGTATCCTCGGTACTAAGTGATTGATTCATACGGCGCTCCATATCGTCGACCGGGTCGAGACAGATGGCACAACAGACCATGGAGCCTTGCAACCGTTATGTGGTGACCCGAATCACAGGGGCCAAGTCCGTCTCTTAGCTAGACAAACCCCGGCACTTACCTCACTTGCCGGCACTCACGCCCGCGCGCACATCGTCGCCCACCCGCCAAGCAAGCGCCGGTTGACGCAGGAACCCATCCGTCAAGGACCGAGGTGACGTCGCGCGAAGCTCCCGCGCCACGAACCCCAATGCGGTGGGGGAAGGAGCTGGGATGGATTGCCCGCACGCACCCGCCCGCACCCGCCCCGTCCCATGCAGGTGCAGCAGCGCAAAGGCCAGCCCGTCCCCCCCATCGCCCCACAACCCGTGATCAAACGAATAGGAATCACTTGCGCTCGGACGCCACCGCGCGTCGTGCATCTCGTCCAAGGCCACCCAGACTGCACCCACTCTCTCCCCCTCCCGCCCTCCCAGCTCCTGCAGACGATCGGCATTGTGAGCTTCGAAATCTTGTCTGTCTCTGTCGGCGCTTCGAAGGGGCCGCGGGGCCGGACTGAGGTTGAAACGTGGGTATATACGGAGAGGGACGGAGGGATCCCCTGCGACCGCACCGATCGGGAAGTCGATCGTTGGTTTGTCCCCTGAGGGAGGAGGCTGCAAGCCCAGCCTTCTTCATGCAATTGCTTGCTTGTTTGCCTGTTTGCCAAGGACGTTGGGAAGTGCGCAACGGAACGCCGAACGAACCCGGCAGAAGAAACAAAGCACATTGTGAAGGCAAGAATGCAACCCGTGTGGTGCACATTGCTGCGCGCAACATGTCGCCTTTGTTTCGACCAACTTTCTGCATGCAATGTTGGTGTGCTGCATCTGGCCTGCGGGCTTGGCTCTGACCAGTGCACCTGTCGGCTTGGCACGTTTGGGAGATCTCTCCGATGTTCATGCGTGGGAATCATTATTCCATGTGCATTGGGCGGTAAACAATGGAGGTGATTGAGATAGACGCGAGGCTGACAGAACACTGACAATCGGAAAGAGGTATTCGTTTGTTGATATCTAAGCAAGAGAAACACCGCCAGCCCATCCTAACGCCATACATTATTGAAACCGTCATCTCGAGCCTGTGGAACCGCCATACCCTTTCATGAATATAATTTTTGCTCCAAAATCATGTTTGCATGAGTGACCGGCTTACAGCTGGCGGTCCTCAAATCCCTCCTCGTCAGCGACGACCTCCTTCTCCGTGTAGACCGGAGGCGCCTCCTTCGGAATGTCCTCCTTGGTCAAGGCTTCCTCCTCATCAACAGCGACGGCGGCGTAGCCCTTTCCGCGCCTCTGCTGGATCTTGACGTAGGCATAAGCAATGATGCAGCCAAGCAGCCAACCGAGAGCATAGGTAAAGGCACCGATGGAGATGCCGATGGCGATGGGGATCATGATGCGGCCAATCGTCGTGAAGAACTGGGCCACAGCGCTGCTACGGTGGTGGCGCATGATGCCGTGAGGGCCGTGGTGCGGACGGCGGTGGGGACGCTCCGCCTGCGCCTCATCAGGTCTGGCCGCGCCGTGAGGACGACCCTTCATGCAACCGCCCTTGACCTTGTTCAGACCACCCTTCATGCCCTGGATGCGGTCCGAGATCATCGCACGCCATTTGCAAAGGACAGGCCAGCTCTCGCATTCCTTATCATCCTGCTGCGGCTTGCTTCCGTGGATGGGAGCCGCAACGGTGATGGGCATGATGGAGATCTCACCCTCGAGGTGCTTGATAAGCTTGACCGAGAGAGCCGGGACGCCGATGCGGTGCGCCTCAAGGGAGGACAGTTGCAGAGTCATGGGAACAAGTTCATCGCCATCAGAGCTGGTGACGGAGGGATCGATTTCCAGGGCATAGGCCGAGATGCGGAGCGGCTTGTCGGTGTATTTGCCAATGTTGGCGCGGATGTCAGTCAACGGGATATCGGCCCGAACCTGGTACACGGGAATCGGCTGAGGAATGGTGTCGAACGAAGGCGGGTAGAGAGGCACGCCATTCAGTTCGACCTTGTGGCTGTCGACGACAGAGAAGTTCAGCAACTGAGGCGGCGGCCATGTTAGCATAACGCACGTTTCAGGCCAGCGACCGGCGGACCACGTACCAGAGAGTTCTCGATGCCCTGCACCCACACGAGATCCTCGTCGGATGAGCCGGCAAACGGGCAGCCGGGGCAGTCGAGCGTCAGCAGCTGCGAGCTTGTGTCGACCAGGTTGAACTCGCGGTTGGGGAGGACGCCGTCGGCGGTCGAGGGAATCAGGAAGGCGGCGGAAGGTGCGGCGAGAGCGAGAGCGGCGCCAAGGCCAAAAGTGTAGGTCTTCATAATGCCAGGGACAGGTCACAGCAGCAGGATGAGAACGGCAGCACGGATCTGAGGCGAGCACAAAGGAAGGCGGGCGGGCAGAGGCGGTTTTGAGGTGTGGAGAGAGCGCGCAGACAAAGGCAGGGCTACGCTGCTTCCTTATGCGCTGGGTAGTGCCTGACGCAGGCTTAGCCCCCGGTCACGTGCAGGAGATACGCGTCATGGATGATCACCGACGAGGGCCGGCAGGCTGTGGACGGCCGCGGCCACCACCCCCGCCACACAAGCCCCGGTGGCCAGACGCACCTCCCAAATCCCCCTATAGCGTTTCACGACGCGTTTCATCGCCGCCTGTTCATTCGCCGTGCTCTGCTGGCTGCAGGCTCGCGGCAGCCGCCCGCCCATCCCAATCGAACCGCTCCCTTTCGCCGCGCTGCGCCGCTACTCTCCACTCTGCCCGCGCCCGCCCCGCCAGGCCGCGCGGTTGTACAACGCGAGGCCTCAAATTGCGATGGGTCTGCATTCGTCAACAGCTACCCTCAGCCTTGCGCTACTCCCTTCGCCTGTCCTGTGCAGGCTAAGCGTACGTGGTCTTATCCTTATCGCCTGACGCCCACGGCACTGCCGAAGGTTAGCCCGCATCAAGCTCAACCACTGCATCTTCCGGCAACAGGCCACGCCGGAAAAAAATTCGTCACGCACGCTTTCAGCCAATGGGCGTTTGTCTAGATGGTCAGCCTGGAAGCTCCTTTCGGCCCCGAAGACGGCATTTACGGACGATAAACTCAACCGCTCTTTTTGCTACCGTGACCGTACTTATTTCGCGCCTTCTGGCATGCTTGTGCTTGCTGCGCTAAACATGTTGGTTTTCCCGACGGCTCGCCTTCTCTGTTTCCAGCAGTGTGCGATCCTACTCGGGATCTCCGACATCAGCTCGGACTTAACAGGAGCAACTCAACCGTCACAGCGTTGGCGCCGTGCGTGCAAACAACAACAATGCCACTGATGCTCAAAACAATCACCTGCGCGTGCCACTGAGCAAACCTTACAAGCTTCATGATGCGCCGTGACCTCACTGTACCGGGCTCTGTTTCAGCTTGGCATCGCGGTTTGACATCACTTCTCCGACCTCAATCGTCTGAACTCGCCTGGCTATCGCCTATTCTTCCGTTCCTGCGAAATCCAGGGGCTGTGCACTGATTCCTTGGGGCGTCGATCTCTTTATAGGCTTGAGTTGCCCCTCTGCCAGACGCTGAAGAGCTTCAACAATGCCTCAAATGATACAACGACAATGCTCAAGATCAAACCATACAAGGGCGAGGGGCACGCGGCATATCCCAACGCGATAAGCCTCGAAGCTGCCACAGGCTCGCACCGGTTCCACGTCACGAACTGACCCCGCTAATATCACACACAGCCATCCAATATTGTGAGAGCTGCAATCAATCTACACACCACATCCCTTCTAGTCTCAGGTTGAAACTATTGGCTAGACAGGGACAAGGCCGGGAAAGCAGATTGCGAAGTTATCCCAAGTCATATCGTTAAAGTCGTCACTCGTTCAGCTCTGCTTTACAGCTTCTGTCCCTCTACCGGTACTTCAACAACCTGATCAATACCCTCGTAGGGGGGAATATCCAAGCTGTATTTCTCCGCCACAGCCTTGCTCAGGAACCTACACAATTGCGTCAGTTGGTACATTCTGGAAGCAAATTTGAAACATAAGTCAAGCCCGTTCGACTTACCTCCCACCAAGGAAATGCCTGCCCTTGAACCACTTCACCAGCGGCTTCGGGGCCGTCAAGCTGATCAATGCCGGCGGGTTGAAGCCCTTTCCCGGGCCGGATTCGGGCGGGCCGGACTCGATGTTCCAGCTCGACGGCGCGTCGACGGCGAGCACGGGCACCTTGGTGTCGCGCAGGGCCTCGATGACGCTGGGGAAGGGCTCGCGCACCTCGCCGCTGAAGCTGAAGCCGAAGATGGCGTCGACGATGAAGTCGGAAGCGCCGAGCGAGGCGTCGAAGTCGTCCGTGAAAGGCACCTTCAGGTCCTCGAGCTGCGTCCGGAGCCGCTGGTACAGCTCGTTCTTGCTCTGTTTGGGGTAGTAGACGGTAGGTTCGTAGCCGTAGTGGTGGAGGTGGCGGGCAGCCACGAGACCGTCGCCGCCTGGGAATTGTTAGTACGAGGGATGCAGTTGAAGCTGGATGTTGGGGCCGTACCGTTGTTGCCCGGCCCGCAAGCCACGAGGATGCGCTTGCCCTTGCTGACTGGATGGAGCTTGAATACTAGACATTGATCAGGCTCTGCTATGCTTCATTAGGAGAGCAGAGAAGATACCGGCTTGGGACACTGAAAGGCCAGCCAACTCCATCAGTTGGTCAATAGAGAAGGCCCCGCTGCTCATGAGCTCCTTGTCGAGCTCGGCGGCGTTCTTTGCGGAAAGAGTCTGAGAAAGAGTCAGAGCTTGCTCATAGACATTTCAGCCACCACTCACTCTTAGTGCCATCATGAGCTTCCTTGTCGTCCGAAACATGAAAGTTGAGGGTTGATGAGAACGAAGCTGTTGCTGTCGTGCGAAGGTATGCTGGCACAAGCATTACATCACATCGCGTTGATCAGGTCAGCGCTCCCAGCGAGGAAACAACGAACACCACCACGTCCAATTCTTGAACACCTTGACGTCCAGGGAAAAAATGGCTCGAACATAAACGACAAATCCAAACCTCTATTCTCATCTACAAAAGTGTACATAATTAAGGAAGGTATTTCCGCCACCAGCGGGCGGGGCGTTGATCCCTGTCCCAATACCCGGCACAACGTTTCCCCGGCAGCTGTCCGAGAAACTTATCGTGGAGGTGCTCGCCATGACCGTGTCGCGCGCGTCGGCCGTACCAGCAGTCGCTTCCCTCGCACCCAACCACCACCCGCCGCAACTATGGTTCTCAAGATACGGCTCGCGCGCTTCGGCAAGCGCCACGCCCCCTTCTACAACATCGTCGTCACCCACGCCCGGTAAGCAATTGGCCCTCTCTCTCTTCCCCGCGGCATCACACAACCGTTCCTCGGATGCATACAGAAGAAACCCCCCAGCGGCTAACATAACATCATGCGCACAGAACGGCACGCGACAGCAAGCCGCTCGAAGTCCTCGGTACGCCAAACCACCAACCAACCACCCTTCCCCATGCTCTCCTCCCACAACACACACATTCCGGTTTTCCCGGGACGAAGCTCCGCAAAGCACGTTTGAGCGAGGCGTAGGACGGGATCACTATTTGCGGGAAGGGAGGGAGGAGATCATTACGAGTCCGGCGACTGACATTGGGGTTCTCTCGTCCCATTTCTCTGAAGGCACATACGACCCGATCCCCAAGCCCGCGAGGCCCGATGACCCGTCCGGCCGCCCGTACAAGGACATCAAGCTGGACCGATCGCGCGCGCAGTACTGGCTCGGTGTCGGCGCCCAGCCGAGCGATACGTGCTGGAGGCTGCTGTCCATGGTACGTCAAACCCTCCAATTGGTGTGTGTGTGTGTGTGTGTGTGTGTGTGTGTGTGTGTGTGAGTGTGTCTGGGCATGAAGATATAGTGGGATGGGTAAGCGTTGGTGGAATGTTGTGCGGGGAATTGAGGAAAGGGGAGGGGACTACGTGGAGGAAGAAGAAGAAAGAATTCACACGACGTTTTTTGGGGCTGACGGAACTTTTTTTGCTGCAAACGTCTAGGCCGGTTTGCTCGAGCCCAAGTATCGCGTTGGACAGATCCTGCAGCAGGTCGCAGAGGCGGACGCGAAGCATCGGAAGAACCCGTACAAGGAACGCACCCCTCCCGCTGAAGGTGCGTGAGGAAGTTCAGTAGCGTGAGGGGTGGATGAACGCTTGATGGAAACGGGGGTTTCAGGCGGGAGGGTTTTGCATTGGGTTTGGCGTTATGGAATATTCGGAGATATGGCCCTGCCAGAGGGTTCACGTTGCTTGCCGCCTCAAGAGAAAGATGCGGCTGTACCAATACCATGTACAGAAAGACGAAATGAGCTGGAATGCGACTGTCTGTGTGGAGGTATTGGAAGTGGATTGTGATGCTTAGTGATTGGTCCTCTAAGAACGATGTATATTGACACTCGTCTCAACTCTGACTTAGTTGTTCGCAAGCACTCTGACAGCTCGCAAAATACATCTTTACTTGCTCAGCGAGTGCGATGAGGTGTGGCGAGAGCAGTCCCTTTCCATGATAGGTCGAAAAAGCAAAGAAGAATAGAGGTGATAGCCAAATTTAGGTTCTCACAGGGGTAAACCTTAATCTTTGCTTCTTTCTGGATGTTTTGTTTGTCACCTGTCACGTTCGGTTTCTCGTCCATCAGATTTAGCACAACCATGGAAAATAGATGTCAATATTGATCAACTGAACGATACCCAAGCAAGTTCTATGCACCAGCCACCAACCCCAACTCCAGCAAAATGAGAAACGATTCGATCCCCCCGTTCACTTCTTGCTTCGAGATCTTCTCCCCATTTTCCTCTAGTGCGCCGCGATCAAGAAAGTATTGGTCCCCAAGCAAACAACCATGACAACCAAACCATAGATCGCCAGGGCCAGGCTCAACTTCCTCAAAAGACCCCTTCTGAAGCTTCTCGTCTTGGTCACCAAATTTCTAATCAGAAGTCCTGACTCCGTCATGTTCTCTTCGTCTCCGGAATTCCACTCTTCCTCGTCGTCCTCGTCCTTGAGAAGACGCTGGTGGTGCGGGCTTTCAGGGGATGAAATCTTATAATAAAAGATGCCCGGGAGAATGAAGCTGATGGCCGTGCTTCCGGTGCTGCCAACGTATGCAAGCACCTTTTCGAGTGAGGAAACGGACATGGCTGTTATATAACTGAGCACGATAATGGTGGTCGTGATGATGGCGAAACGCATCTCGCTCATTGGTTCAGCCTTGGGCTGCAGAGGAGCAGCAATGGGCCCGTTGTTCGGCTTAGGCGGCCCAAGTAGCGGAGCGCTGTGCTCGCTCGAGGGAGAGCCTTCGGTATTGCTCGTGCGAGAAGAGTTGGAAGTTCGCTGCGGTCGCCAACTTACGACCGCATCAATGGAAGCACGGCACGGGTGAACTTGCAGAGGATAGGAGAACATAACCAGAATGACAATTGCCAGACGGCCGATAGTCGAAGCAACGGATGGAGCATCTAAAGACTGGTAAGAAACATGCAACTCGTAGGTCTCGGGTGCACTTACACATGCTGACGATGTTGCCGCCAACTTTATCGCCATATGAAAGATATCCGGTGATGCCAACGAGAATATAAAGGGAGCAGGCCAAACCAATGCTGGCGCTGACAACGGACGTGGTGCGGAAGTGGGAGTTGTCAAAGATTTCGTTGAGAATGGAAAACATCTGGGTGGGGTCAGTCTCTAGCTCGAACAAAGGGGTCTGGTAAGCTTACATTCTGGTGGCATGTATAGGCAAAGACAACGACGGGAAAGACGGAGAGCGCGGCGACCGGTCCCGACCAAGCGATGACGTGAACTTCGCCGCGATCTGCCATGGTGTCTCCCTTGAAGAAATGGGCGAGAACAAGAATAACAAGGTAGGAAATAGACACCAAGGCTATCATGCTGGTGTACTTGAGGGAATCAAGCCGACGGAGGAAAGACAAGGGAATGACAATGAGCCTACACGACACGTTAGCATCTCTATGCAATGGTACTAAACCCGTCCATAAGGCAGAAGGACAAAGTATGCGGGCTCGTTAGGGGCATCAGGGAAGAGACGCACATGAAAGCTGTGACCCAGAACTGACGGTCCACAAGGAATCCAATCTCTCCAGCAGCTTCACTGAATCCTCTAACAACTCCGGGCATGAGGTCTCCGATGATGATCAAGTAACTGACTCCGACACCGAAGCACTTGATGGCGATCGCGGCATCGAAAACGACGGCAGCATTGGGGTATGTTATTTTCGAGAGCGAGGCGAAGGAGGCGGTTCCACGATCGAGGTATTTGGCGCATCGAGTTTGAAGGTAGAGGCCGAAGCCCGCTGTGAGACCTGACCACACGATAACGCAGCATCCTAGTAGAATGCCCATTTGCGACAGGGCGTGCGGCATGGCCAGGAGGCCTGCTCCCAAGACTTTACCACGAATTATCCGTCAGCGTGTGTTCTCGTGACCGCAAGTGAGGTATGCGCACTTGTGTTGACCAGATTAATGACACTGCTTGCCCATGTAGCCTGTCCGGTGAAGCCAACGTCTCGTTTGCCATGGCGCGACCTGGCGCATACGTTAGCAAGACAGCTTGCGCAGCGCAGTTGAAGAGCTGGGACCGACCGTCTGCCTCTGTGTGAGGCCGCGCTTGCCGGCCTGTCCTCGTGCTCGGAGGGTCCAGCGCTTATCGCCGCATAGGAAGACATGGTTGGGATTCGGGGTCCAGCCAGGAGGTATGGCGCGGAGAGGCAGTGGTAGACGGAGGTGCACACCCCACTGACTCCTAAGTCATCAAGAGAAGGATAGAAGGGTTGGAGCGCAGCGTGGCGACAGGATGAGCGGTGCGATAAGTTGCGTTAGTGCTGGAAGCTCTGGCGTGCGAGCGGAGATGTCATCTGGCAGGCCGCCACGGCCGCACAAGGCTGTCGCGGATCATCCCGCCAATCCAGGGTTCTCCTGCCTTATCCGGTCCGCTTACCTCCGCAACATCTACACACGCCATCCGTCCGAACGCATTCCCTGCCCAACATCCAACCATGGCTGAAGACTTGGACGAGGTGCTTCTACAGACACTCGACATGCTCGAGTGGCGCCTTCGCCGCATCGAGTTTGTCCTTGGCGGCAACGTTGAGAGCCAGCAGACCGACACGCCTGTCGCGTCGCGCATACAGAAGCTTGAAAGCCGTCTCTCGAGCGTCGCCGGCAACTCACGCGCCATCAACGACATTCTCCAGCTACGTAAGGCATAAAAATCCCATGGATCGTCGTGGCCCCGTTTTCCTGACACCTTCGGCTAGAATCCAAGCACGCCGATATCTTCGCGCCGCCAGAGCAGCCGGCGCGTCCGCCCCCCAGCAGCATGGGCGATCCGACACCCGAGATTAAGCTCGCTACTATCCTCACTGAAGCCCCGGCGTATCCCGCTACAGCTTCGCAATTGACGTCGTTGCACGACCTCCCTCTACCGCCGACGGAATCCTTCACGTCGTTGGTCGCGCTCTCGCCCCGTATCGCTCAGCTGGACCAAACACAACTGGCTCAGGCACACGAAATATCAGACCTGAGGAAGCGAAGTGGCAAGGCTGTGTTGAGATGGCACGAGGTCATGGTGTTGGGCCAAGGCAGGTGCTGGGCTGAATGGGATTCGCGAGTACGAGAGTCCGAGAGGGAAGTTCGCAGGGAAGAGATCAAGATCGAGCGCGAATCTGGCGGCGCCTGAATGATCTGCATGACAAGGAGAACCGATATTCATGAAGGAATGGAGGAATGCTGGAGAAGCCCGGGCTGTGAAGGCCACATGCCCCAATCCGTGCGAGCATCATCGTTTGGTTCTTCACGGTGGCTGGAGAGACAGCCGACAAGGCTACATCAGGCATGCGTCTTTAGGTCAAAAGCGTGGCAGAGACAGCAGTGCACGGGTTGTGTGGAGGCGTTAGAGCGGCAGTAAGCGGCGGAAGCAAACACTTGGTCCAGCCATTCCTCGCGGCACGGGACCGCGGCACGCAGGCTGGACAGTGCATGTAGCGGGCCTTAATCAAGGGGAAGACAGGGTCTTTCCAGCATGGGCACTTAGCTAGCAAGCTCCCCGTTCGTGGACTGACGAGTTCGGGGTACCGAGCTAATATGTCAAATGTGGAGGTCGTTAACTGAGCATCCTGCCGAACTCAGTGGCTCGTATGCGGTACTGGCTGTTCGGCGCAAATATGCACGCGCCCTGTTCCCTGGGATTTGGCGAAGGCGGGCTGGACCCGGGACCGGAACGTATGACGAAATGCACAGGCCGGAATGCGTGCGCGCGGTTCTTCAGCAGCCGTGTCTGGCGCAGGCTGGACGGGCAGCGCTGCCGGAAGACAAGCTTTTCTGATGCTCGCAGGGAGCCGGAGCTTGACGCAGAAGAGGGCCAGTTACAGGGCTGTCTGGAGCGGTATGGGAGGCGGGCGAGCTGGTGAAAGCGTAGGCGGCGAGCCGGCACGGTGGAGTGGGTTCGCCTGGGCCCGGGCTCTGGGCAGAGGCGAGACGTTGGAGGAGCGTTTCATCGACACGCACTGCTGCCGCATCGGGCCAGTGAGGATCAGCAGCCGTCGCATGGGCCAGCGCCTAACGGCAGCTAGGAAATGGTGAGGCTGGCCCGCGAGATGACCACAGGCGACAAATTTCGGGCTCAGCTCGTGGGCGCGCGTTGGGGTGCGACAGCGGGAGCCAGGCGCAGCGGGCTGCACACGTTGCGCCGGACGGCAGGCATCGTAATCCGAGACAGCCCGGCCGCGCAGGCGAGACGGGCGAGACGGGCGAGACGGGCGAGACAGGCCCCTTTGGGCGGCGCGCGTAGGCGCTCTCGTCCATTGCACGACGTGGCGGCGCAGGAATCCCACACGACGCGCGCGATGGCCGGCAGAACGAGGCAGGCTGCAGGAAAGCAGAGGATAGCGATCGGTGCTGCAATAAAGACGGAGCCAGCGAGGGCTCCCCGCACGCCTGATTGAGCCTGCGCGTCAGGTAAATTAGTGGACAGCAGCGCTTGATCGCTGCAGCTTCGGCGCGTGTGCCCGGCCCGTGCGCCAAACACCGCCGCGCCGCTCTCCTATCGCTGCGTCCTCTCCAAAGACACGCCTCGACCCCGACGATCCGGAGCCTCTCTCACCATCCAACTGAAGCGTCCCTCCCGCGGCTGCGACCTCCAGACCCGCAACAAAACGCGCGCCGCGCACCCGCCGTGAACGCTGCTCGGCCCGCCGCTGAGGCTCCGCTTTCTCCAGTCCCCCGTCGCATCTCGTAGGGCCAGGCGCCTAACAACCCTCATTCGCTACTCTCCTCGCCGCCACTCTCTTGAACCTCTCTTCTCCCACTCCCACAAGTCGTCCGTCGCCGCGCATTCCCTGCTCCCGTCAGTCCACCACGAACCCTCCGCACGCGCTCGCCGTCCACCTCGATCCGTCCCACCCGTGCATAAATGCCCTCGCTCAACTCGCCCAACAGCCTTAAGAAGATGAATTACGGCATGCGCAACCGCTTCGGCTTCGACAACATCCTCGGCGATCCCTTCGCCCTGTCGACCATCTCCATCAGCATTGTGAGTCGTCCGCTGACCGCGCGCCACCTGCGCCCAGATGCTGACTGTCGCACAGCTCGCATGGATCATCGCATTCGTCGGCTCCATCATCGGTAGCCTCCACGGCGAGTTTCCCAACTACACCTGGTGGGCCCTCGTCTACTTCCTCTGCTGCATTGTCGGCGTCATCATTGTCGTTGGCTCCGAGTCTGAGGACACCTACCACGTCGCGGTACGAAGCCCGCGCCTCCACCTTCCCCCCGCCCCGTCGCAAGCCTAACACTTGAGCAGGTCTCTAGCTACCTCGCCGCCGGCCTGGTTTTCACCAGCTCCGCCGTCAATGCCACCGTCTATCAGAATGACAGTGCGAAGGAGGCTGCCGCTGCCGGCTACATCCTCCTCTCGATGGTCGCCGTAAGTTTCTTCACAAATCATGCCACTGGGCCCTCTTGGTTCTAACCAGCGCAGATCGTCTGGATCTTCTACTTCGGCTCGCAGCCCTCGGCGTCGCACCGCACTTTTGTTGATTCGTACGCGATGAACAAGGAGGGCCAGTCCGTGCGCAACTCTCGTCCCATGTCGAACAACTACAGCGCCCGTCCGCAGACCACCGCCACCCAGCCGCAGCCCCAAATGTACACTTCGGCCCAACTCAATGGCTTTGAGACGTCTTCCCCGGTTTCTGGCTTCCATGGCGGCCAAGCTGGTCAAGCCGATCGCAACTCTACGGTCCCGCGCTTCGGTGCTGGCATCAACGGCGCGCCCAACGCGGGCGGACAGCCCGAGCAGCAACAGGATGCGCCCACTGAATACCCGTACCGTGCCAAGGCGATCTACAGCTACGAGGCCAACCCTGATGATCAAAACGAAATCAGCTTCTCCAAGCATGAGATCCTCGAGGTGTCGGACGTCAGTGGACGCTGGTGGCAGGCGAGGAAGCAGACTGGTGAGACGGGTATTGCGCCAAGCAACTACCTCATCTTGCTATAGATGCACAGGTTTCACTCATGCCTGGGACGACTGCTTTTACTTCCTTTCTTGCTACGTGGATACCTGGCTCAAGTTTCATTTTCCGGAACACTCGAGCACTTCTCCCTCTGGAGACAGTCCGCGCATCGGCTTGGACCGGTTTGCGCCGGATTCGACTCGTGGGTTCGTCGTTGGAAAATCACGCGTTGGGCCCTGGGAGACGCTCTTGCGCTGCTAGATACCCGTTCTCTTTTCTGATACCTCCCGCTGGTTTGGGCTTTTCCTAAAAGGGTAACAAAATTCGGTCTAATCACACCGACCACAACCACTCGTTCAATACCGTCCTCTCGGATCCAGCGACGAAATTCCTATACCACGGATGCGCTCCATCCTCTACGACGAATCATGCCACGCGCTACTATCGCCTGCGGACGCGCCGCTCTGGGCAATTCAAGCGTTGCAGACTTCCCTTTCTACTATTCTACTATTCCCGGATTGTAACCTGTCGGCCGGATCGAGATCGGCAACAGTAACATGACCGGCTTTCTAAAACCTTTTTTCTCTTGTTTCTGCTGAAGATGTGCGTTCATGGAATGGGCTATATCCGGTTTTGAGTTTTCTGATGCACTTTGCAGTGCAGGTAGTGGCTTTTTTTTTTTTTTTTTGGTTCCTGCTTTTGGCTTGCAGTTGCACTCGAAACATTTGCATGGCGTTGCTGTGACTGAACGCGTCTCAATTCACTTTAGGATGGGACTACGGAGATTCACACTGTTGCGGCGCTGAAACGGCCTCTGCTGATGGAATTCACACCACCTAGCACCTTGTCCCAGCGATCGAGTCATTCTGCCTTTTCACGTGTAGTCGTTTGAAACTCCACACCCAAAAAAAAATCCGCTACGGTGGAGTGGGAGGAAAAGGAATGATAATTGGAAAAATTGGCATAGGCAAGAAAATTGGATGCCTGATATCCAGCGCGAGAGCAGCAAGCCGCTTCTTCCTGTTGTTGTATATGAAATTAAGCTATGGTTTGCATTGACAGTCGAGAGGTCAGTTGTTGTGCATTGACGGAACTCTTTTAAGCATTATCCAGACTCTCCTTGCATTATGTCCATCCAAACATTTTCTCTTGGCCACTCATGCGCTGTCTTCGCCCTTTATGTCATTTTGAACTTGGCTTAGCCAGAGCATGATCATCACTTTACTTACTGATATGTTATAGGTGTTTAGGGCTCCGTATCTTCCCGAGTCCTGCTGTCACTGGGTTGGGTTTCCACTACTACTACCACCACCCATGATGTATATACAAACTCCGTCAACAAACCGATCTTCCACCTAAAAGTTCCCCAGGCCTTATGACTTATCAGAGTTCTATTACCGTCGAAATCCAAATACGACATGCCTTTCCCCGCCACCACTTTCCCACCACAGCGGCAAATTTCCTCAAAAAAGGGGGTGCTTCCTAGATAGAGTGCTTTCAGCCACGGAGTGCTCGGGTGTATCTCGTCTTTGACAATTCTTTTTTTTTGTGGGTCTCTCCCTCTCTCCCTCTCTCTTCTCCCCCATGTGTCGATAAGCGCGGTATGCAGTTCTTCTTCACATACCAACCAGACATCCTTGCCTCAAGTCCGTTTCAGCCCTACGGCCGGCGCGCCCCTCCCAGCAGCATGCATGCATACGTACCCCGAGTTCAGGTTCAGGTACAGGTCCGAAACGAGCGACTAAGTCTGTCATCCATGCATGGAGGGGCAGGGCAGGCAGATCAGTCTTGATGCGACGTTTGGAAAGCCGTGCGGTAACGGCCGCGCCTGGGTCCCTTTGTATGGAAGCGTGACCTGTGGTTGTGTATGTGCGCGTAATATTGTAGGGAGTTGGGTACGTACGTACTAGGAATCTGGGTGGCGTCGTCGATGACCGCGGAGTAGGTAGGTAGGTACCTATACGGGGGCGGGAGTGCGCGGGTACCGGCAGTGTGGCTAGGTAGTTCGCGCGCGCGCGCTGTGTGCTGACCGGTCTGCGGCGGCGTGTGTCACGATGGAGGGCGGGTACCGGCTCGCGTCTTTGCTTTTTTTTTTTCCTTCGTTTTCGTTTTCTTTCCTTTTTTTCTGCGTTGCGTTCCTGGCGGAAAGTCTTGCCGTCGTTCGTCGATCCTGGATCTGGTTGGTGAGTTGAGGTGGAGACGCTTTGATTGTGTAAGGTCAGTCAGGGCGAGAAGTAATAGGTAGGTGAAACAATTGGTTTAGTCAGATGTTTTGGTTTTCAGGTCTAGAGGCTGCTTTGCTTTTTCTGTTCAGACGAGTTTCATGTTTACTTCATGTGTATGTCCTTTGTGACAGTGGTTTCTGGTAGATCTTGACCAGGCAAAGGTCTGGGTTGGTCGTGGAGATGCTTGTCTGGATGCTACGTGGGAGGTAGCAACTTCTTTTTTGGCGGCTACGTCGCGCAAGGCGAGCGCCAGAGGTGTGATTGAGCATCTGACGTGCATACTCCCACGCCTTGGTTGATATCAGAAGGTCAACATAAGATACGCAAAATAGTATCAGGTGGTCGTCATCATGAATAAGACAGAAATTTGGGAACCAAGTGAACAGTATCCATTACTCGTGACATACAAACTCATCAAAACCCGCAACAGAAAATAAGAAAATCGTATCAGCATACGTGCCGAAAAGTCCCCACGGTCCGTTAGTGGGAAGCTCAATTTGAAGAGAAAAACAAAAAAGAAGGTCGTAGTCGTCCAAGTCCACATCCCATCAACCACGACAAAATCCGAGGAAAAAGCTCGGTCACTTTCCTCAAGCAACGAACGTCAGAGCCGAGCTCAAAACACGCCGCAAGCTGGCGGATCTGCTGCTAGTCGGCAGAACGGCCGGCGGATTCGGGCCAAGCGGGCGGGGCACCGACGTGAAAGCCGGCGGAACGGCGGAGACGACCACGGACGCCGCCAGCGAGCTCGCGCGGGCGGCGCTGCTCACGGCGGTGGCGGCGGCCGCGACCGGGTTGCTGACGCTCACGGAGGGCGCGCCGGCGACGCTGGCGGAGGCGGAGGCGATGGCGGAGACGGAGGCGGAGAGGGCGGCGGAGAGGGCGGCGTCGGCGGCGACGGAGGCGGTGACGCTGATGGAGGGGGTGGAGATGCCGATGGCGGAGGGGAGCTCGGAGGTGAGGTCGAGGGAAACGGTGGCGAGGGAGGCGACGCCGGTGGGGAGGGAGACGGATGAGGTGAGGCCTGAGGCGATGCTGGCGGCGGAGGCGACGGCGACGGAGGCGGCGGAGGCGGCGGAGGTGGCGGTGGCTAGGTCGGAGGCGATGTCGGAGACGGCGGCGGAGGCGGCGGAGGCGAGGGTAGGGAGATCGGAGGTGATGTCAGATACGGTGACGGCGAGGGTGACGGAGGGGATGCCGGTCAGAACAGAGATGTCAGAGGTGACCTCCGAGATGATGTCGTCAACGGAAACGACGGCTGAGGAGGCGATGTCGGTGGCAGTAGCTAGGACAGCAGAGGCGATTCCACTGGCAGTAGCCAGGTCAGAGTCGATGTGAGATGCGACGGCGGAGGCAACACCAGTGGGCGCAGAAAGGCCAGAGGTGATCTCGGACAAATCGGCATCGACGGACGCCGATATGGAAGCGGAAGCGGCACCAGTCACACCAGCAGACGGAAGAAGAGATTCAAGAGCGGCCTCGGCACTGGCAGCAGCGGCAGATGGTGCCTCGACACCATCGGTCGCGGGGATGGCAGTGCTGAGGTCAATAACCGGCGGGTTTGGCAGCATAGGGCGAGGGGTCGCGCTGAATGCGATACCCAGGGCTGAAGCAACAGAGGGAGCTAGGGCGGACGGCGAAACGATGTCCGGGATAGGAGGGGATGGTGCCGAGATCTTGGGAAGCCACCACAGAGTCTCCAAGGGCGCGGAAGGCCAGACAGAGCCAGAAGCGCCGGGGACGGAGACGGAGGACAGTCTGATGAGCGAGGACGGGAGCGACGAGACAAGTGAGGGAGAAGAGGTGAGGGAAAGAGCAGAGGTGAGGGAAATAGAAGAGGGGATGGAAAGAGAAGAGGCGAGAGAAAGAGGCGGGGGGAGTGCAATGGAAGGGCGTGCAGTGAAAGGGCGTGTAGGTAGTGCTTTCAGGGACGAGGATTGCGCGCATGAACCGAAGCCTGCCTGGCAGCCGAAGCCGCAGAAAGCTGTCCCGTTTCCACAGAAGCCGTAAGGAGAGCAGCAGCTTCCCCACTTGGGGTCACCCTGGGGGCATTCTCTGTTCGGGATAGTGGGCCAGAGGGCACCACAGAGTGCGTTGGTGCGCAGTGGCAGGGAGACGGCTGAAGTCAATGAAGCTCCAACGGAAGCAGTGGCCGATGCGAGGACACTGACAATAGACGTTTCCCCTGCGGCATCAATGATGGTGGAGACGACTTCAACAACAGACTCGGCATTGTCCAAGGGCAAGTCAGTAGCCGTAGCCAGATCAGAAAGAGAGAGATCGGTAAGCGTAGCCAGATCCGACAAGGAGAGGTCGGTGACCGAAGTCAGATCGGACAGGGAGAGGTCGGTAGCAGTAGCCAGGTCGATATCGGTGATGTCTGGCAAGGAAATGTTCAAAGACGAAAGAGTTGCAAGAACTTCGGACAAGGGTATCGGGGTGGGAGTCGGGGCAACATCAGCGGAGATTTCAGCCGACGCCGCAATCGACACAGAAGCCGAGGCTTTGGCCTTGGTAGCATAGCAGCGACCAGTGGGAGCAGCAGGGGCGGTTCCGGAAGGAACAGAGGCCAGGAGAGTACACGGGTTGGCCGAAGTGGGATCCCAGAGGGAAATCTCGCATGTGTCGCCGTAGTTGTCGCAGAGGCTCATGCAGGTATCGAAGTCCTTGACATCGGTTGGGAGATAGGTGGTGACATAAGGAGAAATGGCGTTCGCATCGACTTTTTCACACATGATTGTGAAGGTGGAGTTGCCAATAGAGCGGGCATCGGAGGCAAGGCCAGAGGGAAACGGGAAAGGAGGGACTCGCTGGCCATTGCTGGCGCGGATCAAGAGCAGAATGCCCAGTGGAAAGGAGAGACCGGCACGATGCATGATTGTTGGTTTGATGATCAAAAGAAGGCTGAGCGGGGTGCCCTCGTAGATGCAGAGGTGAAGAAGTTTATATAAAGTAGGAACAGCGACAGGAATGGAAAGGCTACAAAGGGCCTTTAGGCGGAGAATGTCACGTACGGTGGAATTCGCCCAGCGTGTACAATAGTGACCACTCTCATTATACATATTGCGGGGGTGGATCCGGAGGAGCAGAGGAGGGAAACAAGGAAGGGGGTGGAAAATGCCAGGAGCTTGCCGATCTGGAATTTCATCAAACGAAATGCCTAATCCGCAACAAGGTGCAGCTATCGAGGGATATTCAGGCACACGCGTTCTAGCGCATCCCGCAGTGGCGGCTACGTTTTTGGGTAAGTTGCGGGCAAACTCCTTGCACAGCTCAGGAAGTGCGTCTTTAGGATATTCCGAGGCGTCGTCTGACCATGCTGACTGAAAAATGACGCTAACGTCAGCTTCGCATTCTGTGGCCAGGCAATTTCAACCTCGACAGTCAGGGAGACGTGTAGTTGGCGACGATACCATCTCGGACCGGCCGGCGTGGCTGAAGTTCGGCCGAGGAGAGTTGAACTTTTTTTCAACCAGGAGGTCCGTGAGCATCCCCATTTGCATCCTCTCTCCCAAAACTGCCGATTCGCTGCCGAAACTGCGCGCATTACCGCAGACATAGGGCTGGCGCGCCAGATCTCTCTCCATCAACAGGAAGCATGGCCGAGTGGTTATGGCGCTAGTTTCAGGTCTTCTGAAAAGAGTCTTGAAGACAAGGTTTACTAGTTGGGCAACCTTCGTGAGTTCGAGTCTCACTGCTTTCATCATCTTTTTCTTTTGCTCTCTGCTGGTCCGTCGGTGTGATGGGCTGTACGTTTTGTCGAAGGTGTGGGTGGACGGCGAGGGACGACTTCTGCCGGGAAAGCTCAACACCAGACGCGGGGTATACATACTTTTCCGGGTTCGTCTATGGTAAAGAGGAAAGCATCGAGTACAAGTGCGCAGCTACTCCAGATACCTACTAGCTAGTTGCGCGTGAGACGGTGGGGTTAGTCTGCGATTTGGAGCTGATGAGACTGTTTTATTGGAGGACGGCGAACCGTTCGGAGCAGAATAATGGGATGATTAATCTGTGGCGCCATCTCGTTCGGGAAGTGTAGACCTCAAGCAGAGCGCAACTGAGCTGTCAGGATGCGGTCTACGGTCGGGCAAGGCGTCAACAAACGTTCTGCTGCCGGATGTTTGCTTAGACTCTCGACGCAGAAAGAGCGCAGCGGCTGACGGTAGCGGTTCGCAGACGTCGACACTGGGCGCCGGCTGCGCGTGGTCGCATGGAAATCGGGGTGCTCAACGATGCTTACACAGTCTCGGCCGAGTGCGAGTGCGAGTGGTTGTACTGCGGTGCTTACGAAGGACGGGGGTGCTCGGGAATGGCAGAGAGCGAGGTGGCTCGGGCTGGTGTTGAGTTTGGGTAAGCAGGCGATTGGTGGCGTACCTGCATTGCTCACGCGCAGGGTCCGCGGGTCCTTCCTGCTTCGCGGCGGGGCTATTCCGCGGGGCGCCAGATCGGATGCGTCGGATTTATCGCTGCCCCTCCATCGCTCCGCGCCCTTCTCTCCGCCACCCAACTCCGATGCTACGACGTCAGCTAAGCTATGGCGAATCCTGACGAGTCGAGGCCATCACTGCTCCGCGCGCAATTGGTTCGTTCGCCGAATCTACAGCTTCCATGCGCTTCACGGCTTTTCTCTCCGGCCTGATGGCTGCCCTGCTCGGCGCATATTTACACGCCATCTTCTGTAACCTCCCACGCCCTCCCCTCCTCAAACATGGCTGCCCCACACCTGCTTAAGAAATCCTTACCAATCCTTGCCCGCCTTTCTCCTTCGCTCTCCTACAAAAGCGCCGCCCCCGCCGCAACCTCGCTGCTCTCCAGAACACTTACTCAACCCTCAGCAACTTCTTCCACCTCCCGCGCCTTCACCACCTCCGCCACCATGTCTGCCAACAAGTCCTTCCTCGACGCCGTCAAGGAGCGCCGCACCTTCTACCAGCTCGACAACACCGCCCCCATCTCCGACGACCGCATCCAGGAGATCGTCAACGACGTCGTCCTGGCCGTCCCCTCGTCCTTCAACAGCCAGAGCACCCGCGTCGTCGTCCTGCTCAAGAAGGAGCACGAGAAGTTCTGGGACATCGCCAAGGACGTCCTCAAGCCCCAGGTCCCCGCCGACGCCTTCCCCTCCACCGAGGCCAAGCTCAACGGCTTCCGCGCCGCCTACGGCACCGTATGTGGAACCTCTCCTCCTCCCTTCCTCTCCAACCCCAAAAACAACTAACACTTCCGTCCCCGCAGATCCTCTTCTTCGAGGACCCCGCGCCCGTCAAGGACCTCCAGAGCAAGTTCGCCATCTACGCCCACCACTTTCCCGTCTGGTCCGAGCACACGTCCGCCATGCACCAGTTCGCCCTGTGGGCCGGCCTCGAGGCCGAGGGCTTCGGCGCCAACCTGCAGCACTACAACCCCGTCGTCGACCGCAAGGTCCAGGACGAGTGGAACATCCCCCAGGAGTGGCAGCTGCGCGCCCAGCTCGTCTTCGGCGGCCGCGCCAACGCCGATGCCGGCCCCAAGGACCAGAAGCCGCTGGAGCAGCGCGTCTTCGTTCACGGCAAATAAAAGTTTAATCATGGGAATGGGCAGATGCTCGTAAAGGCGTTGGGAATTTGCTTTGTTGTTCGCGGTTCTATACCGATAGATCGTTGCTTGCTACGGTAGTTGTAGACAAGAGAGAGAGGGAAAGGAATCGATCATTTTCCCTGCAATTTTCGAACATTTAATGGCCCTCTTCCTGAGTGGCCGGATGAGCAGTTGTCATTGCATATCTGCACGTTACCATGTTTTACCCAGCCGACTGCCACCAGCGATACCAGAAGCGTGCTTCTCCGTACAGCTATATAAGCTGACAGCTGAGCAGGTCCCATGACGAGCACCGGTTACCATCCATGCGCACCAGACATGACAACATGCAATACATGGAGGGGTTTAAGAGACCAAGGTATCTCCCAGCTCTCTACAGTATCATACTATCGGGCAAGCCAGCCAACCGTCACTTTAGCATTTATTCAATACACTGCTCATTTTCTACTCGGTAACTATGAAAAAAGAGTTACTTTCCAGCTGTCTTCCTCCGCTGCGCGACATCTGGTCCATATATCGCGAGGACCCCCACACCTCACCATCACATACACATGATGGAGTCCTTCATAACGTAAAGTTGCTGGCTTCCTCCATATCGCGATCATGAAGACCCCCGCTACCTTCACCATCCAAGACATGAACGGGCTCGTAGACACGCGGAAAACATTGACGGAAGAAGAGCTCAGGTCAAACTTAAACCGAGGGTTGAGACAGTACAGAGTTGGGCAATGCTATTACCTCCCTCACTACACGCCGTCTGAGTACTGGCGCATTCGAGTCGAGTGGCGTCCACCATCGACGTCTTAAGAATCCGGAGCGGCAGCGAGTGGGCACACGCCTCGAAAGCAATTGTGAGCATGGACCGGCGGCTAGTGCTGGCGTCATTTGATCACCCAATGCGTCATTGCGGATGGGGCGTTGGTGCGATACACTAGCCGGATGGCGTCACTTGCGGGGTCACGCTTGGGGAGGCTGGCCCTCTGACGAGTCTTGCATCGACGGCAGGTGACTGGGCGGCGCTGGTTTGATGGGAGGATAAAAATGGTTGGTGGATGGTGAGCTCTTGGGACGTCGGTGCCGTTGCTGGGATCTGGCGCGTGAAAACGCAGGACCTGATCTTGAAGAGGTTGGAACTGTCTGGCTGTGGTCGGTGGGTTCCTACTGCCTGTCCCTACGAATTATTATACCGGTTGCTATGCCAACACGAGAACGTCCGTTTCCCAGTACAATTCTTCTGGTTCTCCAAAGACTCGATGAGCGGTTTCGATTTTCTTGGATGATGAAGGTTTGCAGTATCAAGTTGGAACGCTGGTGAGCAACAACAAACTTGGGCGTTCCCAATTCGTTAAAGTATAATGCGTTTTCCCTTACAGTGTCTAACATAGTCAACCGACTCCGGCCTCAGTACTAGGTCTATAGTAGTTTTATTAAGTGGAGAGATTTCTGTTTCCGTGGCTGGAGAATTGGAGGGCATAGGGGACTAAACAGATATGATATTAAGTACTTCGTTCGGCACAGGCTCATGTCTGGGACAAATGCCATGGCGTGGCTACTAATCATGCTTTTTTTTTCGTGAGCTTTGTGCGATAAAAGGTCATTCAACCCGCCATGGACTCCTAATTTCCTGGGTATGACCGTTGCAAGACAGCTCGTGGCGAAACATGGCTTGCCCCGCGAGGTTATATGAGAGACAAGACTTGGGAGGAAATCTCCAGACTATCTTTGCCCAGTAATTTGAAGCGTAGGCAGAAATTGTGATTCAGGCCATTGCTATCAGATGCTGGACTTCATCATTTCTCTCCATTTTCGCAAAGCCGATTGGAATTTCCTGGACTACTTGTTCAGGCATGGAGCCCAGTCTTGTAATCGGAACACCAAATAGACCACGTAGCCATTAGCACTGTGGCCAGGCTCGAAGTTTCTAAAAACATATCGTCACCGCCACACTCCCTGTGTTTCTTCACCAAAATGATATGATGATGCTCATCGTCTGTGAAAAAAAAAAAGAAAAAAGACCAGTATTATCCCGTGTGATTAGCAAAACATGTACCATTGTACCCATTAGCCTGTATCATTTGTATCGGGGGCGATTTGAATAACATTTGTTATGTGAAGGACACAGTGTTCCTACCATCCTTTTATAAATGGACATTCTGCAGAGTCAATCTTGGAAATGCGAATTGAAGGAATACCAACCTATATAAGGACCAGCCTTTCTCCTCTGCTCAGTAGATTCACATCAGAGCGCACCGTCCTGTAGGCAATGCATCACCATCATTGCGTGATGATGAAGCGCATCGTATCTATGTGATGGCGCTCCGCACAGACGTTGGGACATGGTTGGAGTCAGACTCTGCTCTTAGAGGATTTTCATACTGTCTGCTGTTCCCATCCAGCTCTGATTGCAACCGAAGTGTACCAAGTAGTGTCAGTTTCCAAAGGCGTGTATGGTACGCAAGTGGCCGCCAAGGGTCGAACACGCACAATCCCTCCGCTCAGAGAACCATATATAAACGGGACCATTAGGGGCCATCCCGCAACCCAGAACCCCCCTTCTCACACAATCCCCAAGCCTTCCAAGCCATGCGTTGTTCGTCGTGAGCAGCACACTAGCGAGACCCGTCCTGACCCACAAACCAGCGCCTCTTCCCAGACAGAACCCATGACGTCTTCCCGCCCGTAGCGCCACATGTGGCTGGTAAGTACGCTACCCTGTCGACGCGCGCAGTCCGACCCACGACCGACCCCGAGCAAATTTGACACGGGGATCAGCGCTGCGCGACGACGTAGACACACGTTTCCAATATGTACGTGCGGACCCGCGCCGTGCCGTCAGAAGGGGCGCCGGGGGAAAAAAAAGAAAAAAGTGCGCAGGAAAGGAAAAAAAAAGCAATCAATAAAAATCCAGAACACCATTGCCATGATCGGCGGCGCGAACCGGCCATGCGGGCCGCATGTCGGGAAAGCCGACGTACATGCGTCTGCATTTCCCACAACCCACGCGGCATTGATCCGCAGGCAGCAGCAGCAGCACCGCAGCAGCACCGTAGCACAGCACGCGCGGGGTCGTCTGACTGACTGCCCCGACGACGACGATGACGAGAGGGGGAGACGCGCAAGAACAAGTCACTGCTATCAGCGCACACTGCTTTCTGTAGTAAGCACTTATCGAAACGGTACCTATCTAGCCCTCTTCCCACCCACGCGCCGCAGTAGTAGTAGTACCTAGCAGCAGCAGCAGCAATAGTACTATCAGTAGCGCGGGCTTCTCGCTGCTGCTGTGTGGCCTGCAAACACCAAGACACGGCATCACGCGGCGCGCAGCAGCAGTGGCAGCGGTCCAATGACCGGCCGGTGTACCGGGGGCGCGGGAACGCGCATCTCCTTTCCGCTGCCAGGAACATGGAGGAAGAGCGGAGAGAGAGCGAACGCGCGCTGATCACCCCTCCCCCATCCCCCGGCCTGACCAACCGCATGCCTGGCCGGCCCTGACCTGACCTGACAGAGACGGAGCGAGCGCCGGGATGAAGGGCCGGGGTTGACATACATGGCAGGCAGGCACGCGCATAGCCGACCTCCGGATCAAGAGGCGAGAGACGCGCGGGAATGAGGATCCGGGGGGATGTGTAAGCGCAATGGGCGGACGGAGGGTGTGTGGGAAAAAGCAGTTTGTCGTGACCATGTGGGAGCTAATGCGGCTGCCGTCACGGCGTGGCTACCTACCTACCTAGCTCGTGGGCGGACGCGGCTGCGGGAAGACGAGGAAGAAGAAAGCCGGAGGAGCAAGCGGGTGAGGGAGAGGACGACGACCCCACACCCTGACGGGGAAGACGACGTTCTAGACCGCCGCCGCCGCCAACACTTCATTGCAACTCGCTCAGAGCAAACAGCAGCTCAAACGCGCCCTCGTCCCATTGAGGACAAGACACGGCAAGCCAAGCCGGCGCGCTACGTCAGTCCACAAAAAGCAAAACGGAGCAAGAGCCGCTGGCCAACCAGAAAATGGCCGAGCCGACGGGACGAGACGAGACGAGACGAAGCAAAAACCAAGCGTCAAAGAAAATGGGGGCCAAAAGAATAATAACGATCCCAGAAAGGCAGTCGAGATCCCGATGCCCAAATCGACGGCTCTGTGCTGATCTGGACGGCGGCTCGACCCAGCGCCCGGGGCTTTCCAGTGTCGATCGGTCAGGAAAAGCATCCGAAGCTTGGGCTGACAGAAACCTTCTTCCTTCCCCCCTAGCCGCCCTGCAGAACATGACAGCAGAACCGCATCCAATCGCGCTGCTGATCACCACCACCACCACCTTTAGACCAATTCGTCATACCGCCTAAACCTGTGCCGCCGATCCCCTAACCCGCGCCAACGCCCGCCCATCATCCACCCACCTACCCAAGCCCGCCTTCGTGATGGTTGCCACCCGCACGCTCCTCCTCCCTCCACCCTTTCCTCCGCATCACGCCAAAATGCGCCACCATCCTGCAAGGGCTTCTCCTCCCCGTCTTGGCCCACGAGCCGACTTGAACGCCTGCAGTAGCTAGCTCTCTCACTAACCGCGCGCGCGCGCCGCTGCTGCTGCCTCACCGCAAGCCATCCAGCCCATCATCCAGCCCAGCCCGCCCCGTGTTACCAAAGGAAAAACCGCAAGACGGTCTGTGGTCTCGGAAAACGTGGCCCTCCCCCCTCCCCTTCCCAAATCAGCCACAGTAGGTAGAAGCGTAGCGTAGCGTAGCAGCCTTGGAGCCCAACATCCTCTCGTTCGGGAAGATAAAAGTCGTCACCATTTTTTTGCGGATACAATGCGTGCACGCTCGCTTTCCCAGGGGGGGGAGGGGGCGGAAAATCGGATGATTTGTGCCAATCCCCGCCCCATGAGCCGGGGGAAACAATCATCAGCCAAGGGGGGTGGTTTATGAAATGGGCGCGACGAACGTGCGCCGCCGCCACGAAAGGGCCATTCCAAACCCTTTTTCTTTCTTTTTTTCTTTTTCTCACACGATGCTGCTTCTGCTGCTGCTGTAGCGTCCCGAGCTCTGGGTGGATGGAAGCCCAATTCTCTCTCGTCAAAAAAAGCTGCAGGTACAACCGAGCGTGGTGGAACTGCCGTGGCATGGACCCCCATTATTGCATGCTGAAAAAAAATATGGTTCAGCCACATTCCTCTCATCAACCCTTGCCAAATGCCAGCTTCATCTGCCCCTTCTCCGCTCCCTTGACTGAGCTGCTCCCACCAGACGAGCCGGAACCGGCTGGTCTTCCCCGCCCGCGCGGCTTGGGGGTCGTCGACGCCGGCGGTGCAGGGGGGCGGGCGGCCGAGGCGGCGGCGGCGGCGGCGGCGGCGCGGTCTTCAGCCTGAAGTTGCTTTGCAAGGTCCCTCGCCACATGGTAGTCCGAGTGCTCGGCTTGCTGGCAGGCGGGGAGACGGGTAGAGCAGCGCTCGCAGAGAAACGTATCTGGTGGCATTTGGTGAGGGTTTTGGGCAGCAATGGGTTGAGCGGGAGCTGGTTCGGTGCCTGCAGGGTGATGATCGGTTTCGTGGAAATGACTTTCAGCTTGATGTTGAGCGGAAGGAGGTAGCATGTCGGATGGGTCGACTTCACCCCAGGTCTGTTCGGCATGGTCAAGGGCGGGAGTGGAGTGGCCGTGGCTTCCATCACCCGGGGTCTCCAGTCGCATGTCCTGCTCAGACGTAGCTCTGCTGTTTTCTCGGCTCATGGATGGACTGTGTTCGTTTCCGGATTCATCGCGGCTGTTTTCCCGTGGTCCAAAGAACCTCTGGATACCACCATCGTCGACACGGCGCCTCTTTTGAGGCGGTAGTGGATCAGCCCTGCTGTTCTTGCTCGCCGAGGCCTCTCTTTCGCTGGCGAGCATGGCCTTGGCTTCCTCTCCACGGACAAGGAAAGTTCCAATGCCCTTGTTGCCAGTGATGCCGTCTTCAAAGCCGCCTACGCTCAGTGACAGGTTTGAGCATGGCCAGGCGCGTCCATCCGCCACCGCCTGAGCGAGGAGTTTCCTTGCAAGCTCGAAAAGCAATTCTTCAGAAAAAGTATTAGCCTGTGGAATAGGCGATTGCTTGGATCGAGTCTGCTGCCCCTGCCGGTGATGCAAGTTGACGGTCTTGGGTCGACGCTTGTTCTCGAGAACACCTTCTTCTACACAGCGGGAGAAAATGTCGGCGCAAAAGATACGGAGCCAACGGACTCCCTGCTCAAAGGTGTTGATCGACGGGCGGAAGGATTTGGCCGATAGCATGCTTTTGATTTGCATTCTGGAATTAACCTCGCTGGTGTCGTTTCCACGGATAATGTCATATAGCCAGATACCAGTTCCGTCACCAAGCCTCTGAAGTTGATCCAACGACACGTCCAACAGATCCTTGACCGTTTCCGTGTTGAACATAGCGACCACCTCGTCGCCAAGCTTACCGCCCAGGTTGCGGATCTTCGTGAATTTCAAGTCCTTGAGGAAATTCTGCACGGCGCGGTTGCGAATAACAGTCTGTTGATTGGGCTTCTTGTGGCCAGATCCAAGCTTCGCCAACATCTTGTTTCGCGCGACCCCACCAGAACAAGTGTACTTCAACTCCTCAAAAACCCTGGCCCGAACATCCCGAACAATCTCGGACCCAATCAAGATGGCGATATCATCCCAATCCGGATCGTCATCCTCGGTCTCCGTGGCATCCAAATCGACCAGATGATCCGCCCGCCAATCCAACGCCGTCGTCGGCGGCCGCGGCAAGTTCTCCGTCGGATCATCATACGGCGGCGGGCCCGCCAACTCCGGATACCGTTCCAGCAAGACGCCATGCACCTGCGCCGAGAGATCGACAAACACCTCATCGATGCCCGCCTTCTCGACGCGCTGCAGCTCGCGCGGCAGCGCGTCCTTGATCAGCGCCAGGATCCGGCGCGACTCGGTGCGGTACGGGTCCAGGCTGACCTTGTGCGTCGCCATGTTCCTGAACGCGTCGGCGTGGTAGGCCCAGCGCTCGTCGCCCTCGCGCCACGTCGCCACGTGCTGGCACACGATGTCCGGGCACAGCTTCTGCGCCTCCGCCGCCGTGACGTGCCGGCTCAGCCCGAACGCGCGCGCGGCGTAGTTGATGGCGATGAGCCCTTGCCACTGCTGCACCGCGAGCGGCTGCGACGCCGGCACGCCCAGCCGCACCATCTCGCATTGCGCGTAGAAGGCGTCGAGGTCGATGTGCGCGACCACGCGCAGCGGGCTGGAGGCCGTGAAGGCGCTGAGCTGGGAGAGGTGCCGGTACGTGAAGTGGGACTTGCGGCGCCGGCCGCTGCCGGTGGAGAGCGGCGAGGAATCGATGAACGGTTGCGAAGACGACATGCTGCGGGCCTGGGTGTCGTCGAGGCGGCGGGCCTCAGCGGGGGGAGGGCATGCTGACTGTGTCGCGGTGGTGGTGGTGGTGGTGGTGGTCGTCGTCGTCGTGATGGAAAGTCGCGTGGGAGGGCGGCACGCGTCATTGGTGCACGCGCTGAGGTCCGACCGCTGACATGCACGTCAATGCATGCCATACATGGATGTATGCTCTCAAAATTGGCTACGATTGGTACTGCTTCTTGACTACTTGGCGTCTTTCTGCGATTCTGAAGTTTCGCTCTGAGCGCATTGTTTGCTAGGGAGCCGATCTTGATGCGGGCCAATGTCATCATTGACTCCCAACATGGCACAGCATGAGCGGTCATGTATATCTAGCCTGCCCTGCTTTTCGATACAGGGCGCAGGAAAACTTCTCGTCAGACATGTCTTTTCTGCGTAACACGGCAGCGCTCTTTGGATTCCTCAACCTGTCGGCCATCGGCGGTGCGACGTTGTACTTGCGTTCACATCACGTGTACAACCTGGAGGAGCACGAAGCTCGCATGGACGAATTAGAGGGCACGCTGCGAGGCCACGTTGGGCTGATCGAGGAGGCGTTGGACCGGTTGGAAGACAAAGCGACAGAGGCTGATCGTGGTAAGAAGATGTAGGTGATCGACGAAGATCATCGATCCTAGTGCTAATGCCCGCATAGGAACGAGGACTACTCGGACAGAGGCCGTTACAGAGCAAACTAGCAACAGAGAGCTAGCAGGTCGCATGCTGGACAAGCACCGCGCGGTGAGGTGGTCAGGATGCGAAGTCGGCTGCATGTGCCGTCAACACTATAAACACCGGGTCTCTGCATGCATACGGTGGCAAATAGTACATACATCGTATTTTCGTGCATCACCTGCCCACTTTTTTTCCGAGGGACTTACCCTAAGGCTACATCTATGTACAGGGCCGGATGAAATGGGCGGGCTCGTGTAGACGACAAGCAGTCCGGTCTACGATGACGATGTACATAGCTGGTGTGGGGGAACCGAGGTTAGCGGCCGGGAGTCGCCAATCGACAAGGCCGCTCGGCGGGTAGCCATGACTGCTCTCTGGCACGCACCAACACCCCATTACTTTTAACCAGCAACACTGGCCCGCTGCCCAACTACTCCAAGAGCCGCCCATCGTATCTATTGCCTCCACAATTCGCACGAGTCATGGCATCGGTGCCAAACGAGATCGTCCTTTTCCACTACCCTTTCTCACCCTATGCCCGCCGTATCATCTGGTACTTGCAGCTCCGTGGCATCGCATTTGCGCAATGTGTGCGTCCGCTCCCGCCCTGCCGCCAGTGGGGCCAATTTAGCACACATGCCTGCCTTACCAAGATCCCTGAGCGCTAACTCATCCCACGCGCGAGATAGATGCAACCGGTGACAATGCCTCGTCCTGACCTCGACGAATTGGGCATCGCCTACCGCCGTATCCCACTCATGGCCATCGGCCGCGACGTATACTGTGACACTCGGCTCATCCTCCGTAAGCTCGAGGAGCGCTTCCCCGACGGGAAGCTCGGAGCGTCGGGCAGCGACCAGAAAGCCATTGAGCGCCTACTGGACCGCTGGACCACTGACGCCGGGGTCTTCGCACGCGCAGCCACGCTGATCCCGTCCGATTCGCCTGCCCTGCAGGATCCCAAGTTTGCCAAGGATCGAGAAGACTTCTCGGGGCGCAGCTGGTCGAGGGAGGCCATGGAGCGCGCGCGGCCGGAGAGTATCGTCTACGTTCGCGACGCCTTTGCGCTGTTGGAGCACACGCTACTGGCGGACGGACGGGAGTGGATCCTGAGGACATCCGCCCCCGGTCTAGCAGACATCGAAGGTGCGTGACGACCCGTCCCCATGTGGTGGCGACGGACACCCGTCCGTGGCTGGTCTTGGTCTAACGCTCGGGTTAGCAATCTGGCCGTTCCACTGGCTGGTCGAGATGAAGGGCGCGCTGCCGGCTTCTGTGATATCAGAACAGCACTTCCCCAACGTCTACGCGTGGATCAAGAGGTTTCGCGAAGCGCTACGCGCGGCCAAGTCGTCGGGGCCCAATCCCGTCACGCTGAAGGGGGCGCAAGCCGTCTCGTTCGTTGCCGGCGCGAGCCTGGCGGAATCTGGCGGCCATGTCGATGCGGCTGATCCGTTGGGCCTGGATAAAGGTCAGGAGGTAGAGGTGTGGCCGATCGACAGCGGGTTCAAGCACCACGACCGGGGTAGGCTGGTCAGCCTGACACCAGACGAGATGGTGCTGGCGAGTAGGACAAAGGCCGGCGACAGCGAGGTACACGTTCATTTCCCGCGGTGGGGTTTCAGGATAGCGGCGGCGCGGGGGGCGGCAGCCAAGCTGTGAAGGCGGCGGGCGCGCTGGGCGATTGACATGTTTGGAAAGGCGCTGGTGGCGGGCCTCGCACGCGCTGACGGTTAGATGTTTTGGTGTGCCGACGGTTGTGGGAGCAACCCGGGCCAGGCGATGATATCAGGCGCTTTGGCGACAATCCCGGCGCAGCGGGTAAGCGCAATGTAGGGATACAGCCACCAGCGTAATAATAAGGAACGGCGTGGCAGGCGGGAAGTCCAAGGCGGCGGGAGTTGGAGTAGTGTACCTAGGGTATCGATCGGGGGATTACTGAGCGCAAGCATCCCGCGCGGACCTTAGTCAGGCGTCGGGCAGGCATCCACAGGCATCCACAGGCATCCATGGGCAGGCCGGTGCTGGTGAGACTGTGCGGTGTCGTGTTTGGCGCTCGCCGCCGCTGCTGAGGGTGCGGGTGTGCGACGCGACACAGGCCGTGGCCATGAGACGAAGCTGCGAACACGTGCCTGGCGGCTGTCGATAGGCGCTGCAGCGCTGCAGCGCTGCTTGGGCGCGGGCGACTAATTGCCAGCGGCCACGACGCAGCATGGAGCACCCCAGAGGGCGCGTGCCGGCAGTGCTCTCGCGGAATTTGATGGCTGCAGCCGTGCCCAAACCCAAGGCGTTGCGCCCGATGCAGCGTCAGGCCAGGCAGGGCGGCGCTGGGGACGCGCTGGGGACTCGCTGCGGACTCGGGCTGGAGGTGGGCTCACCGCCACAGGCGCGCAAGCAGCAGCTTGACGCGCGAATTCTAGACGTCCGGGCGGGCTAGCTGCGTTCGTGCAGGGCCGCTGGCGTCAGTGTTTGCGGCCGTCCACCGTGTCGCTGCCCAACGCGCCCGCCCAGGTGCCCGCCAGGTCCACATCGGCCCTCATGTGGACGGGGCCCAGCAGCATCCATGATCCATCGCCCTCAGCAAGATAAAGCAAAAGGCACGCTGCCGGCCGCGCAGAGCGACTCTCTCTCGCATTTCCCGCGCGCCGCACCTCCCACCAGCCCCCAGCCGCCGCGAGCTCCAGTGCATTGGGCACCAGCACCAGCCTAGCTGTCATCTGCCCGCCCGTGTGCTGCTACCGCCCTGTCCAATTGCAGCCGTTGCCGGTCCGCTCAGAGCCGCAAAAGTCCCAGCTGGCCTGTCCGCCCGCGAGCCCTGCCGCCGCCGCCACGCGCCGCTCACCGACAGCCGCGACGATATTACCTGCCCACTCCTCAGCCCCGCACTCGCTGTCCTGCCTCTCTTCCTCTCCCGCTTTCGCTGCCAGCGCTGCCTTAGGTTTTTCTTTGGAGGGACCCCGCCTCACCCCATCTCGAGCCCGAGGTGATCGCCAGAGCCACCGCCGCGAGCCTGTTTTTTTTGGTTAGGACCTGCCGCTGCCGCTGCCTTGCCGCCAGCCCTGGCCCGCCTTGCCGTCGCACTCGTCTCCCCTCGGACGCTGACATCAGTGCGAGCTTTTTCCCTCGTTGCAACGCCGTCTCCATCTCATCTCGCCCTCGACGACTAATGCCATCGACAATGTCGCGCTCAACCCCCACCCGCCAGTGGTTTCAGCCCGGTGAAGGCATCGCTCGCGAGGTCATCACCGCTGACATCCAGCGCTACCTGGGCCCCGACGCTCTCGTCAAGCCGGGCATCGGCACCGGCGAGTACGAGGTCAGTCATCGCGCCGCCGCCCGCTGTGCGCACTGCGGCTAACTGTCTCCCACAGGGCGTCGAAGGATATTGGATCACTGCCTATCGTACCCTGACATCGGTGAGTGCCGCCGTCGCGCTGCCGTCGCGCTGCCCCTCACCATACTGCCGAACATGGCCCGCTGACCCGTCGCCCCCCACAGCAAATGGTGCAGGACTTGAAGCTGGATTCTCAGCGGTGGCGTGCTGAAGTCCAGCAGGGACGAGGTAGCCCACTCGCGAGAGATTCGAAAATCATGGCCAAGCCTCCTGACAAAGCTGCAGTTGCCTATCAAGATTCAAGGACTCACCAGTCCAGGCAGTACTATGGACCTAGTACGCCGGCGCCGGAGCAGCCGTATGCTCCGCCCTCGGCTTCCCAGGTTTACGCGGACCACCCGCCGTCTGCAGGATACCGGGCGCCCGCCCAAAGTGCCTATGGAGGAGGAGACTACACCTATGCCCAGCCCCAGTCAGGATATGCCCAGCAAGGAGCCCACTACGTGCCAGCACCTGGATATGGACAAGGCCAAGTGAGGACAGCCCCGTCCTATGGATCGTACAGCCAGCCGTCTGGCAGGGAACCGGAGCCCCACCCGTCCCATTACCAAGGCCATCAGGACTCGCCCAGATATGGATACCCTCCGTCCACGTCGGCGCCGCCCGAACGCGTGTATGCCCCGCCTCAACCAAGGTATTTCATGGAAGATCACATACCCACGGATGTTTTGGATTTGGCTAAGTTTCCCTGTAGTACAACTCAGCAGTACTACTATGCCGACAGCAGAAGTGGTGAGTCATTGTAGAACGCCTTCTCAGCTGCATGGACTGGGGCGCCGAGAGACGGTACTAACGTGTCCCTCTTAGCAGCGACTCAACCGCCGCCTCAAGCTAACGATCGTCGTCGTCGGCAGTAGCCCTGCAGTCCTGTCCTGCTTGTCTAAAATGATGTTTCTTTTTACCATACCCTGTGGCATTGTAGAGTCCTCCTACCTTCCTTTGTCTGGTCTGGGGATGTTCCACGGATTCAGCAAGAATTATGCTCTCTGTCCTCCTGGATGCTGGCCGTCACTCTGGACGCCTCCCTCGCCGCGCCAGGCCGGAGAGGCGTGTGGTGCGTTCCAATTGCCTGGTGCCCCCGTCCTGAGCCATGGCGGGCTCAAATCTCCTTTGGGTGCCTTTCAGAGCCGGAATTAGACCTGGTCAGCCGTCCTGGATTGTTTGTCCTTCTCCGCTTCGTCCCTCCGTAATGGATTCCGTGGACCACATCTTTTACCGCATGGCGTGCACAGGGATGGAGTGATGGTTACTACATGACTTAATGCGTTTTTCATTTAGGGGCTTCTGCGTTGTTTGCTTTCATGTCTAGTGCTACCATTCATATGGCGATTACTAGCGTCCGGCGTCTCACGAGGGAGGAACACCTTGTTTCTGTCCAGGACATGCTACCGTTTCCGGCTGTTGCTCGTTCTGCTTCTCGCACGCTGCACCATCAGCTTTCGGCGATATCCAGCTCTGCTGCTTGCTCTTCACAGCCCGCTCGGAGGAAGACCACCAAGCCCATGGATTGTAGTCTGGCATTCGCATCGGTTGCGTTGCCGTGCTCTGGGAAGCGTTGCTTTCCTGTCCATGTGTGTTACACACAACCATTCCCCTTGGCCTCGTTCTTTCCTGGGTGGAAAGACGCCGGGTGACTCCGTAGTTTATAAAGCAGCGAAAAACAAATGACTGCGACGTCCACCACGTGTGCTACGACTTCTCTGGCCTCTCTCTGTACATGGCTCTCGCCTGACCGTCTATCGATGCGGCCTTTCGGATACCTGGTACTTGTGCATAGCCGGCGAGTTGTGGATCCTCTCTTGTGCGAGCCCAGCATGATTGCTTTTCGGCTTTCTGTCCATGTGTTTGTCGTACGTACGTAGGCGGTCGAGCGTTAAAGCTAGTAACATGATGCCGCGCCCGTCTGCCGAAGTCTGCCGAAGTCTGCCGAAGTCTGCCGTGCTGTCCAGATTGATATCAACTGACAGATGGGATAAAGTGAAGATGCCCAACTGCTTCGCCTTGATACACATTGACTCGATGATCATAGCGGCTATACGAAGGAGCCAATTTAGGACAGCTGGGCTGGGGGCTTCATCGGGCATCCGAAACGGTTTTACAGCCCATGGTAGCTTTCATGACACGGGCTGGGCTGCTGAATCGTAAGTGTGGCATGGAGTCTTGATTGGGCGGACCCAGGTTGCTGGGCATCACCGTATCGAGCTCCCTGAATTGACCGCCGTCTTGCGTCTCCCTGTAGTGGCGAGTCTGGGGAGCAGGCAGATCTCTCGCCTTTGCTGGCGAGTGCACGAGTGGACATGTCAAGCGGTGACGGCGTCGCTGCAGCAAATCAGGCCACCGCCTCTCCAGGCTCACCAACCCCTGTCCAACGGGCTGGCCTTCTTCACCCTGTGCCCTTAGCATCAGGTCCGGCGCCCAGCGTGTGCCGCGTCCTCGCTTGCTCGAGCCCTACCTCAGGCCAAGCTCGCGCCCGCCAGCCTCGTGTGCCCAATCCATCAGCCAGAGTGGGACGATTCCCGCTTCCCGCCATTCGACACCCCCCCCCCCGTTCGCCCATCCGCGTGCAGCCGTAGTTGGCCACCTGCTTCTGAGCCAACCCAGGCGCCGGACTGCCCTCGACGGACCTTCAGTCCAGACGTGCTGATCGGCTTACTGAGCGGACTTTTCGGCGGATTGACGCGCGCCTCGCCTCGCCTCGCCTCGCCCCGCCCCGCTTCCGCCGTGAGTGGCCGCCCTCTCTCTCTGTCTCGTCCTGGTCACTCTCTTCCCTCGGTACGATCAATGCTCAAAAGGAGGGCAGGCGGCAGGAGGCGGGAAAGCAACGTCAGCCGGACCCTGAGAGGGACTCATCACACTAGACCCAGACCCTGTTTCTTCAAGCCCGCCCAGCTTAACCAAATCCCTATCGTTGCGTCTGCACGACGATCACCAACCTGCGAACCCACTTCCGCTCCGCTCCTCTGCCTCTCTCGTTTCCCCATCCAGCCCCCCGTCCCGGTTCTTGTTTTCGCTCTCCCCCCACCCCCCCTCTCTCTCGCGCGCGCGCGCGGGCGGATCGGGAGTCGTCATATAGCCTGGTCAGTGCGGGCGCGGCCCTTTTTCTTCCCATTGCTCGCCCCGAACTGCGGCTCGCTCTCCTGCCGGGGGCAAGCACACGCACGACTCGGTTTGCCGTCGGCTGTTCCTCGCCTTACGTACCTACCGCTGCTCGCGCGCCGGGCTCCACCGGGAGGGGCGATGTGCATGCGAACCTACGTAGTACGGACGTGAGGTTATACCTGAAAAAGCCAATCAAGGCTTCCGTCTAGTATTGCTTTTCCGCGCCGGGTGCTCTCTCGTCCCGCCGAACGTCACCGCGGGCCTCGGTTACGTCGAGGGGAGGAGAGGATTATCAGGAGCGAGGAGCAGAAAGGAAAGAGGGAAAAAAAGGAGCAACGAGAGCCGAGGAGCGTGTGGGCTGTACGACCCTTCTTTGCTTCGCCCAGCGCCGTGCTGTGCATCTCCTTAGTGCGTGTTGTAGTCTATGTACAAACAGCTACCTTAATAGACGGAATCCTTTCCCCGCCAACCAATGCTGAAGCAGCGCCACTGTCTAAAACCAACACCACCACCACCACCATCACTCGCAGCAGAGCCGCCGCCGCTGCCGCCGCCATCGGTCTGAACAAGCGAGACTTGACATGTCGATCCCGTTCCTTCGTCTCGCTTTTACCTACCACTGTAGGCGAGTCAAACAAGGACGAGGCGGCCAGCACGTAGTCTAGCGGCTCCTACCTATGACGACGAGCGTATAGCGCGGCCGCCGTCCGCCGTCCGCCGTCTGCCGCCGCCCGCCCGCCGCCGAACCCTTGGAGCGAAGTGACGGAGAGAGAGAGAGAGGCTAAAAGGGGAGCTAAACACAACAAAAAGTGGAGATGCCAGTCAAACGAAAGGGGGAAAGAGCGGGCGGCCAAAGAGTAGTGTGCCGGAATAATGGAACGGCTTCGGTCCGTTTTCCGGCTGCAGGAGTAGGTTAGGTAGTGTGGAATAGTAATGAAAGCGGGAAAAAGGAGATCCGCATCCTGAACCCGCCATTTCCCCATCATCGCCGGAGATGGGAGAAAAGGACGGAAAAACGTAAAAGAGAGAGGGCTACGGGAGGCACGGAGGGGGAACAATAATTATCAGCGGCGGCCGTGTCCGCCGTTAGTTTGCCGCTATCGGCGCGTCATCATCAGTCGCCACTAACTACTGCATGCGCGGCCGCGAGCGAGCGAGCGAACAGGTGCCGTTTGTACCGGTACCGTCACTGATGATAAAACCATGTGACCGTGACCAATACACACCCCCGTTCGTGCCGCGCTGCTCTTTTTTTTTTTTATTTTTGTTTTTTTCCTCCCTGCAGCATGCTGGCATGTTCGTCTCGACCACTCGCTCCATCCGTTCTGGTGGGAGACCACCACTTCTTCATAGGCTGGCTGGCTGGCTGGCCGGCTGGCTGGCTGCAGATCGAGAGAGAGAGAGAGAGAGAGAGAGAGGAAGCATGATGCATATGCGGTGGCTTTGCTTCGCATAACCGTTCCCGCCAGTCATCTTCAATGCCGGTTCCGCGGCGCGGACGCAAACGCAAGATCTTCGCCAGGCAGAAGCCGAGTGGCAGGATCGAATGGCGAAGTGGTACATACATAAGAGTGGAGCCCTTGGAGTGGGCGGATGCAGAACGGTTTGTCGCGCTCGTTCTGATTTGTTGATCGCGGCTGGGTGGGGAACACGTAATGATCGGATGGGAGGGATGGTGGTTGGTGGCTGGGTTTGTTTTGTTGGTACCATCGTACTGCGTGGATCAAGACGACGACGGACGTGGTAGCAGCGACGGTAGCAATGAGTAAGCGAAGAGGAGAAAAAAAAAATGGTGGTGTGCAGGCAGGACCTTTGCCTTCTTTCTCTCTGCCCATGATCCTTGTGCATACGTCAAAACTTGGATTCAACCGTCCGTTGAACGAGGCAAACCCTTGTCGGCCGGGATGATGGTTGCGGCGCAATGACCGAGGCTATTGTACCATGCACTGCGCCCTCATCCAAGGTCCTACCTATCACGACCGCCGGCGGCGTCATACGTCTACGTGAAGGTGTGATGGCCCAGCAGCTTGTCCTACCGAAAGATAAAGCAAGGCATCGACCGTGCACTTGCACCCTTCACTTTCGGCATCCAACGGCACTTGCGTCTGGTGGGTCGCTTGCTTACTGGACCGAAGTCCGTCGTTGGTGTTGACCCACTCCATTTGCATTTCTTTTCGTTTTTGCCTCCGCTGCTTTGACGTCCCGTTAGCAGGTCATCATCCTCGTGCACCCGGAGATGAGGCTGATGACGAGTGCTCGCAACCCATCATCGCGAGCTGGCCGTTGGCCACTTGTTCTCCGCCGAAGCGTATGCGCGACTGAAAAGTGAGTGACGTATTGTATTGTGAGAAGAACAATGGACGCATTGATGGCTCATCACCGAAGCTTAATGCTTTCATGTGCCGTCCATGGGCGCTCCGGTCTTTGTAGGTCCGATTGAAGATGATGCGACTTTTGTATGTATGTACCTACCAAGCATCCCAAAGTATACCTCAATAGACAACGCCACTTCACCACCAGACAACCAATCCCGGCCGGACCATTCATCTCCTCTTAGAAACCCATTGTATGCTTGAAAGCACAATCGTTGAAACAATAGACAAGTCCTACATACCCACCGCCACGTGGCAACCTTTACCGAATTAGTGCCTCAATAACGACGGCGCTTCTGGTTATATATCAACGCCGTTGTACTCAGCTCTCTTCATTACCAGACAGACACATCCACACGTTAGCTCAGCTCCACAAGCACATCGCTAAAAACAGAAATGGCCCAGAAAAGACTTATTGCCCCGCTTTCCCGCCCCAGCCCTTTCAGCTGCGCGGTCATGTAAAGCAAAACAACATTCCGCACATCAAAACCCGCCCATTCGCGCCTTCATCCAGCCCTTCAATCATCAGACAACATCAACATCAACAACAACAATCAAGAGACGATGCTTCTAGACGGGGAATTGGGAAAATACCCCCCAAGAAAGACGTCTGGAATACCGCGTGCCGACTGATCGCCCGTGCTCGTTCTTGATCGATCCCCAGCTCATTGACGACTGGTAAGTAGCATTATCAATAAAGACCGACTTGGTACAAACAATGCGTTCCCTAAGTGAACTTCTCAAAATTACATGACTTCCCGTTGACACCCTATTGCTACCTAAGCTCCGCTAAAGCAGTGGTTTGCTGAGAAAAAAAAAGGCATGCTTGTTGCCAACAGAGGTGAAGATCGATCGGAGCATGAACCGAGTCTCCGAAAGTGAAAAATCGACGACGACGACGACGATGTTGACTTTGATGAAAAGGAAAAAAAATAAGACATGCGGAAAAAAAAGGAAAAAGAGAGCAAGCTTCGAAGTCGAAGCATACGGCCAGACCTACAACCAAGTCCAAACGCAAAGAGGAAGAGAGAGAACGAGAGTGAAAAAGGAAAGAAACCCAAGGGAAGCAACACACTTCCCAAACCGATGGAAAAAGACCGCCAGACCACCACACATACCATCCAAAGCACCAATTGAAACACTCCCAAACCCTCCAAGAGAGAACGCCGCCAGCCTGCCCGCCCCTTACCTGCGTAACTCATGATGTAATCCCCATACTCACAAAAACGCGATACTCCCACTCACCCCCCTATCACCCCGACCCGCATCGACTCTACCGCCATTACCACCCTGAGCACCACCACCACCACCACTTTCCATAACCGTCGCCGACGCCGCCGCACCCGCACCCCCACCACCCGACCTCTGCTGCCTAGCAAACAGCCACCTCTCCGCCAACAGCTGACCGGGACTCGGCGTCTCCCTCTCCTGGGCCGCACCAGCACCACCAGCACCACCGCCGCCGCCTCCTCCATCCCTCTCCACACCGGCACCAGCACCACCACCAAAATCCTTCTTCGCCACCGGCGTCGTGCCCGAGAAGGCAGGCGACGCGTTCTCCTTGAACCCGCCGCCACCAATGCCGCCGCCACCACCACCACCACCACCACCACCACCACCTAATCGCATCGAGCTCAACTTCGGTGTGACCCGCAACGCCGGCGTGCTCTGTCTAGTAGTCAAGAGACCGTGCGTGTAACCGCCGTGTTGCAGAGACAACGGCGAGGGACTACTGCCGCGATTGTTGTTGTAGCTGTTGTTGTTATTGTTCCAGTGCTGCCTCGCAGACGGCGGGCCCGACGACGGCGGTGGGACCCACGGCGAGGTGGAGCAGGAAGAAGATATCGTTGTCGGAGTAGGAGTCGTTTGGCCGTACGGACCCTGCAGGATCGAGCGCATCGTGTCGTCGGCCTCCATGTTGTTGTTGTTATTGGTGGGAGGCGGCGACGTCGGGCTGGGGGTCTGCAGGCCGCGGGAGGCGGCGGCGCCGCCGCCGCGGGCGCCGCCGACGGCCATGGGTTTGCGGCGGAGGTGGTGGGGGTGGTGTGGGGGAGGGGGGAGGAAAGTGTTGGGGGGTGCTGCTGCTGCTCCCGGATGCGCCGCGGTGGCGGTGGCGGGGCGGAGCTGATCGCCGCTGCGGTGCTGGCGGAGATCGAAGGCGGAGCGAGGGCGGTAGAAGGGCGCGTTGGCGGCGGCGGTGGGGCAGGGGCGGTAGCGGAAGGATTGTAGATTGGCGGCGGAGGAGGCTGTTTCGGCGGGGTAAGTGGAGACGGGCGCTGGCCTTTGCTGCATGACGGGATCTTCGGCGGAGGTGGTATAATGGGCGAGACTGGAGTGGCTACGGCCTGAACAACGGCGTACGGATTGGAGAGATCGAGAGTTGCGGATGGGTTTGTCGGCGAGGGTGCTGATTGGTATCTTCTCCTCGGGCTCTGAAGATGCTGACCCCGATCCGTGACTATTGTTGCGGCCTGGTTCCCGAATATTGGGTCCGATCTGTTCAGCTGCGGCGTCTTTGTCTGCAGAGAGTTTGTCATTTCGTATGCTACTCTTAGCCTCTCGAAGACTGATTCGCCTTTCGCCTTCACCGGTCGGCACTTTAGTGCTTGTATCTGTGGCACGGTGTCCAGATTCCACTTCGCCTGTTTCTGGTCGATCAGACGATTCCATTGTCCCTTGATTAGGCTCAATCAAAGTGAGCCTCTCAGGGCGAGTGTTTGGGAAGTTGTGCGAAGCTGGCCGTGATTTGAAGACGACGACCTCGTCGTCGCCATCTCCCACTCCGACGATTTCTGCATGCTCCCTTTGGTGACCAGCAGGCTTGAGCAGCCATTCTTCCGTCATGCTCATATCGAAGTCTTGGCTTAAGTCAAGCTCGGAGACCTCCTTGGACAGCCACTTCTTCCAATCTTTGCTTGAACGACCGGTCCTTTGGACACTGTCTTTTGTCGGTGAAGATCCCAACGTGTAGCTTTTTGCAGAGTGGCTGGAAACAATGACAACAGTGCCAGGCGCGCCGTTTGATCCTTCGCTTTCTTTTCTGAGCGGTGACTCTCCAGTAGACTCTCGTGAATAGATACTGGGCGACATGATATCCGCTCTTGAAGGCCAGCCTGGGTTGAGCATATCTACAGGCTGCTGTGGTTTGCGTCTAGAAGTGCGAGGAGGAGCTTCAATGCTCTTCGACGGACTCGGAGAGGAGTCGAGTGGCGCGTGTTCATAAGAATGCGTGCCTGCCATTGCCTTCTTCAAATTCTTGGAAAAGACTGGAGAATGACCCTGAAGCTGCGTCTGCCAGCGGCTCTCTGTTTTCCATTTACGTCTTGACATTTGTTCGGGGGTGGGTATCGTTGCCTTTGCAGTGCGCTGGAGACGGATGCGAGGGATGACAAGCCCGGAGTCGGAGTCGTCAGGTGAATTGTGATCCAAGCGGTTCTGATCATGAAACTGTTGGTGACCGTCGCCCCCCCTTTCCTTTGAACGAGATCTCCCAAAAACATCTGGAGTGACTGAACGAATCGTCGCCTGAGTAGCACGCCTAACCTTGGACGAGGTACCCGAGGTATTGCGAGTTTGGGAGGGTAGTGTGGCTCGCTCTGTCTTTTCATGCAACGTCTCATTCCCTGATCTCAGTAGGTCTGGGTCAAGGTTGCCATCTAGTCCGGCCTTTTCAAGCCTGCTCTTCAACGCCGAGAAAGCATCAAAGGTTTCTGGCCCTCCCGCGGCATCATGAGGCAACGTACCAAGAGCCTTTCCGAATGGACTTCGACCAAAAAGTGAGGCGGTGTTTCGCCTTTTCACAGATGCGGGCTCTGTCTCAGGGATCATTGAGAGCCTTTTCGGGTCACGGCCGTTGACGCTGGCCGTTGCCGAAGAATTGGTCCAGCTGGTGACACGAGATTTACTGATGTCTGTTAAGTCGTGAGTATCGCTCGAGTTTCGAGAGCGGTTCGAGATATCTGAAGACGCCCTTTGACATGATGTCTGTCTTTGGGTATCTCTTGTAGTAAAGTAGTCCACAGGCGTAACTGAAGCAGAGCGAGATGGAGCCTCCCCTGGTGTTGTCGGGATGGAGTTGCCAAAGTATACACGTGACGCATCAACTTGCTGAACTGGCAACGATGTTGTAGGCTTTGACGTCTTGCGAAACACTTTCTTAAACCTGGTCTTCAGAGAGCCTGAGAAAGACCTTTTCTCCTCAGGCATTGCACCTGCAAGCGCAGGTGGTGGAACACTATCTTGCGGAGGACTGCCTTCAGGAGTTGACCTTGTATGATGCTGTGCTTGTTTGTCCTGGCGCTTCTTGAAAGGCGTGAAGACGAAAGATGGCCGGTTTATCAACCGGTTCTTCTGAAAATCTTGCAGCACCTTGTCGCGAGCTGCGGCAATCGCCTCAGAAGCCGATGCAGCTGGAAAATTCCGAGGGATCGTGTCATCCTCACTCACAGATGCTACTGGCACGGCATTTTCTTTGACTGCTTGGCTGCTGGAGCGCCTGGCATCCATGGATGCACCTTGGCGGGCATCGCGTGAGCCTCCGATTCCAATACTCCACGAAGTGTACATTGAGCGAGACTTGCGGACATGCTTTGGGACAAGTGTAGTCGGGGTGACTACAGGGGATACAGGCGGAGCTTTGTCTTTCGAAGTTGGAGGAGCAGAGGCGATAGAAGTAGGTATACTCTCGAATGTGGTGTGCGGAGGAGTGGCAGCCAGTGCCGGTGCTGGGTTAGGGTTGCTGTGTTGTTGCCTGTCGAGGCTGAATCTCTGAGACTGTGTCGACTGTCGCCGCCTGGCAGCGCTGTCGTCTCCAGCCTGTCGAAGGCTTGAGCCGCGCGCCGGGAAGTGTGAGCCCTGGGATGCTCTGCTTGCGTTGCTTCTGCTTCTTGCTATTTCCATGCTTTTTCTGGCGGAGCGCTCCAATGCACTTGCGCGCTCAAAAGCGTGCACAGCAGCAACGGTTGCATGCTCTCGGGCAATGAAGGGGTCGGCGGGCGCAGCTGCAGCACTTTTGCCTCGTGAATGGGCTGAAGAGGTCGACTTGGCGTGTCGCAGCCGTGTGCCGGCGTCGCTAGAGGCGCGCGATAGCATGGACAGGCGTAGTGTGAGCAGCTGACTGCGAGTGCAGCCGTATCGGGGATGCCAACGATATCCAAAACGCCGAATCGAGAAGAAGTATGCAGATCCGACTTCGAGGCAAACCCTGCGGTATCATATGGGGATGAAAGAAGAGGGATCATCGAGGGCTCGTCTGGAGAGAGGGAGCCAACCGGAAGGCTGGGTCGACCGTTTGGGCAGGGGCAGCTCGCCGTCTCGATGGTGAGATTGGAAAGAGCAGCTGGGAAGCTACATGGTTACCGTGAGACGTCTCACGCTCTTGGAAACACCGAAATCCCACATGAAAGTCGGTTTTGTACATTTGCAACGAAGCAATCCAGCGTGTTGCACGCGCGGGCTTCGAAAAGATGTAGCGAGATCATGATCATGCACAACGTATTTCCCGTGTATCCGGGGCATTGCTCAGTAAGTGTCATGCTAGAGATTAAAACAAAAGTAATCGAGATACGAGAACTCGATGAGTCGATCTTGTGAGGAGGTAGTTGGGTTGTTGCTTGGGAAGCAAACTGGGTAGACACTTCCGAGGTATGCCGAGCTGAGTCCTGTTCGACGACGGGCAAGGCGATGCAGGAACCTTCATCGCTGATTCGGATAAACATGCAAGTGCCATGCCTGACACAGTCAGCGAGATTTAGGTCTGTAACGAAAGGCCAGGATTATTCCGCACTCACGCCTGCTTCACTGCACATTCATATCGACGTTTGCCACACGCTTCGTGAGACTACGCGTCCACAACCAGAAGCATAGAAAACCAGAGTCTGTTGCGCTGAATTTGCGAGGCTGTCGGATAGGCGGTTAGTTTTGCGTGACTGTGTTCTTAGTGTCCTTGCGCCAGATGACCTCTTTTGGCGGGGACTTTTGTTGGGTAAGATCGACGGGGGTGGTGGAGTAGACCGGTGATCTGCATGGAGATACGGGCCCAAGCTTTCAGGGTTGCCCCATGACTGTGACAGCCACCACCGGTCCCGTGAATGCACTTCCACATGGACACACGTCGCTTCCCCTTGATTGGTCTTGGGGCAGTGCTTATCATGCCAAGTGCTACGCCTCCGTCTTTGCCACCCTCGACTGATACCTGTCCTTGACGAGCTGCACATTCAATCTCATCATCTTGCGTCTTGTGCTAATTTCAAGCTTGCATTGCGAGAGCCTACAGGCCATGTGCGACCGGAATGCCCAATCTATGCCAGTAAATGCCATAACCCATAAAACGAATTACCATAACCCCCTCCTTGTGATCCTAGATGAACGCATATCTGCTCCGTAACCCGATTCCCAACTATGTCTGTTGGAGTGCCACTCGGCCTACTCCCAGTCCGTGATGTGATTACCTCAAGTGAAAAACACCTCTACCATTTACATAGAGTGGGTCGCGGCGCGGTGGCGCTTGAACTCCTCGAGGAAATCCTCCATCTCGTCAGCGACAAAGTCCTCGAACTTCTCGGCGAGCTTCTCGATCTTGGACTCGAGCTTCTCGGAGCCAGCGGAGAACTTGCGGCCAACGCTCTCGACCTCCTCCTCAACATCCTCCATCGAGGGAAGGGAGATGTCGATGGTCTTGCCAGAGGCAACCTTGTAGCCACCGTCCGCGATGATCTCGCTGTAGTTGGACTTGCCGCCACCGTTCCAGGCGAGGACCTGCATCATTTGTTAGCGACAGGCAACTCAAAACAAACTTGGATCAATGCTACTCACGTTGGTGGTGTCGCTGGGGACGTCGCTCAGAGCACCCTCAGTAGCGACAGAGATGAGCTGCTTCTTGAGCTTGGCCGGGGTGATCTCCGCAACAGAGTAGGCAGAGTCAGACGCAGGCTGGAGCGAGAGGTAGTAGGCCAGAAGACCGGCAATGTGAGGAGAGGCCATCGAGGTACCCGAGATCTTGTTGGTGGCGTACTTGCTGCCAATCCAGGTGGACAGGATGTTGAGACCGGGGGCGAAGATGTCGTTGCACTTGCCGTAGTTGGAGAAGTAAGCGCGCTCGTCAGCAAGAGTCGAGGCACCGACAGTAACCGCCTTCTCGGCACCAGCAGGCGAGTACCTGCAGGAGTCGGCGTTATCGTTACCGGCAGCGACAGCGAAGTGGATACCAGCATCGACAGCAGCGTTGACAGCCAGGTCGAGAGTGGTAGACTTGCCACCACCAAGAGACATGTTGGCAGCGGAACCCTTGAAGCCCTTCTTGCCCTTGCCAGACTTGGCGGCCTCGACGTTGGAAGCGTGCTGCTCAGCAGCGTACTCGACACCCTTGACGACATCCGACATGGTGCCGGAGCCGTTGGAGCGAAGGACCTTGACGGCGTAGACGTTGGCCTTCTTGGCAACGCCGTACTTCTTGCCAGCGACAGTGCCAGAGCAGTGAGTGCCGTGACCGTTGCCATCCTCATCGGCATCGCCCTGAGGGATGGTCTTGCCCCAGTGAGCACGACCCTCGAAGTCGACGTGCTCAGTGTTGGTGCCGGTGTCGATGACATAGACATCAACGCCCTCTCCACCCTCGGCAGTGTACAAGTATTTGCTGAAGGTACCGAAGCTCAGGCTCTCGCGGTGAGAGATACGGGCGAGACCCCAAGGGGCGTTCTTCTCAACCTCGTAGTCATCACCCTTCATGGTGTGGACCTCGGAGTCCCTCTCGACGTATTCGACCTAGGCACCAAGCTCGTCAGTATGGCGTGATGAGACGTAACGAAGCGAGCCACGTGTATATCAAGGGGGAAGTGCGACGACATGGCTGCTTCACTGCAAGCAAAATACAGGGGGATCAGGAAGATAGAAGGGCTGTGGTAGGATGGACTGCGTCGAGACACAGTCCGAGACCGGACATAACGGTCGCGTGTTACAGATGACTTACATCGGGGTGCCTCCGGATGAGCTCGATGACATCCTCATCGAAGTGGCCGGAGTAGCCAAGGAAGCCGCCAGCCACGTTGTAAGTGTGCTTGAGACCTTCGTAGACCTCGTCGACCATGGGGAACTGCGAGCGCTTGCGCAGCTCGGTCCTCTCGCTCTCACTCGAGGCGTGGATCTCCTGGACCCAGGAGTGATGAGCAGAGGCATCGTCGTGCTTGACGTGGCTCTTGAACTTGACGATGTATGCGTTGGGAACCTCTTTGGCGTTGACCGAGGAGATGACGGGAGCAGCGTCGTTGTGGATGGAGCCGGTGTTGAAGACCGGGGAAGCTGCTGCCAGCACGGGCAGCAGCGATAAGCCGAAGGTAGCAGCCCTCATAGTTGCGGAGGTCGCCTGGATCTCGTCAAAGAAAGAGAGAGGAAGTAGACAAGACGATGGGCAGTGAAGAGGGAGAGAGTGGTGGGTGGAGGGAGGTTGATGGGAGGTGGAAGCCGAGGGAGCTGGAGCTGGAGCTCTTATCAATGGGCGAGCAGCGGATGACGAAGAGAGCTGGGCACGGATCGAGGCTGGCTTCCTGCGCTAACGCCGGAACTCTACTAGCGTCGTTTTGCACCAGTCACGCGCAGGCGGCCGGAGTCAAGGCTCCAATCCAGGAACACTGCTGCTGCGGCGAGCAATGCGCGCACTTCGAGGTCAACAGGGAGCTCCCGACCGCATGCTAGCTGCGAGCTTGCTGTGGCGTGCACCATAGCAGCACTGTGTATATAGTGCATCGTGAGCGAGGCCGGCGCGCCAGCGCCCGCAGTTGCCGTGGCAGTCGCGTCTGGGGCTGCTACGCGCCGAGAGTCCCTGAGGCGGAGGTGCAGCGTCATGGCTCGCTAGTGTGTGTGTGGCTCAGTGCCCCAGCAAGCTGTCTCAAGTCGTGGTTGCTGGTTTGGAACGCGTACTGGGGTTCGCCGCGCAGAGCTCCCGTACCTGCTAGCTACCTTCGTTTTTGCGGGCACCCGCGTGAAGCCCACACCTGACCCCCACTGCGCACCGGCAGGCTGGCGGCGACCTCTGAGGGTGTACTGCTGCCCTGCGACCGCCCCGAGCCGAGTCCACCAACGCCGCTCCGCCCCGCCCACTCCAGTGCTGTATCACCCGCAGCAGGCACCATCGCTACCCGCTCACCCACGACCGAAATCGCGCAGCCCCATACTGCCTCGCATGCGTGTCTGCGCCCTCAGATGACGAGTCCGCCCTGCAACATCTTCGCCGACCCGAGACATCCACCGGTGATCGCTCTGCCGGGGTGAGATGCCCGCCGAGTACCACGCTTCCGCCTTCCCTTCGGACCCTAGACCGCGCTGAGCGAGGTACTATCATGGACGACCCCACCAGCCGCTCGTCTGCGGCGGCCGCCGCGGCCTCCCGCACGAACAGCCCGGCCCTCAAGGAGCTCTACACCCTCGTTGACGACCTTATCGCTGCTCTTCCGCAGAGCTCCACCTCGTCCACCGTCGACACCATCCAGACTCAATGCGACTGCCTCCGACGAATACGCCAGCTATTGATAGACTCGCCCGACTTCCGCCAGCTCAAGGACACGTTTCGGCAGGCTAAAGGCCTCACTGCGTTGATTGATACACTACGATCCGTCTCCGGCTTCTACAACCCCTCTACACTCTCAAAAGATGACCAAACCGAGTTTTTCGAGCTTCTTAAGGCTGTGCTTGCGGTACTCTCTGAGGCCTTGAACGACCACCCTGGCAATCGCAGATTCTTCCGGAAGAGAGTGGAGGAAGGTGGTTGGACAGCTTTGGAGCAGGCGCTCATTAGCACTGGTGTTGGCGGCGGCTTTCAGGATACTGGCTCATTTGACGATGCAGGGCAGGAACAGCTCTTTGGCTGTCTTGTGGCATTCGCACTGGCTGAGGAGAACATGGCACGGATTTTCCGTGACGTTAGAAACCTCCAGCCTGATGTCAAGAATGGCGATCACCAGCCAGTCGCTGATGACGCCGCCGTCGCCGGGCCCGGAGATTCTGACAAGGTGACCGGGCGCTTACGGGATCCTACAATTGGCATGCTTGAATCGCATCTGGCTGGCTTCTTCAGTGGGAACGAGGTCCTTCAAAATCCAGAGATACTACCAGTGATCATCAATATGTGGTTGATGCTCTTTCAGGAGGGGACAACCGGTTCAAGATCACCGCGATTGTCTACCTCGGTGCTTCTGATCTTGGAGAGGATCATTGCCATGTCTGCGCATAACAAGTTGGCGGCCCATGGAACCGGCATACTCAAACCGCTGTTGCCATTGATGTTCGAGGCAGAGAAAGAATCATCGGAGCACTTCCTCCTTTCCAGGCTGACGGAAGACCTCATTTCGTACGGTATCAATGACTTAGAAGATGCCCGGTACCTGTATCGGCTCGCGGCCCAGTCCGAGGAGGCTGCCCAGTTCCTTTTGTCGGCCATCAGGTCGTCAAGACAAGCTCCTTTCATTCAGCTTGACATGTCTTTGCACGGCTACACCTCAATCGAGCTTCGGGACCTTGGTAGGACATTTCCTCCGACTTCTTCAAACGGTGGATACACCATAAGCGCTTGGCTCCGAGTGGACAAGTACGATGACAACTTCCATACCACAATTTTCGGGGCCTATGATGCCACACAGACCTGTTTCGTTCTGGTCTACCTGGAAAAGGGGTCTCATTATCTGATCCTGCAAACATCAACAACCTCTTCCAGACCCAGTGTCAGGTTCAAGTCTGCCGTCTTTGAAGAGGGCGTATGGTATCATATTGCCATAGTTCACCGCCGACCGAAAGTGGCTGGCCTGAGTCGGGCTAACTTGTTCATCAACGGAGAGTTCGCTGAACAAGTGAAGTGCAATTTCCCTTCTAACCCACCAAGCTATAGCAGTAGTACCGAGAGTTTCACGGCATTTGCTTCCAACCAACGCACATACTCTCCAATCGAAGCTTTTCTTGGCACTCCCCACACTATCTCTCCACGCTTGGGCAGGAACGTCGTCGCTACGAAGCTTTCTATTGCATCCTTCCACTTGTTTCAGGAGGCTCTATCTGATGAATTGGTTGCTGTATACCACAAACTTGGTCCAAGATACCATGGCAACTTTCAGGATTGTCTAGGGTCCTTCCTCACATATCATGCATCAGCGGACTTGAACCTCTACAATGAACTGCTTCACCCGGCCAAGGAGGAGCGTTCCGAAATCCTATCTGCTATGCGTCACAAGGCTGGCGCAATCCTCCCCGAGTCGCGGATCCTTCTGAGCATCTCTCCAACGGCCGTCATGGACGACGACGATAGGAACCACATCGACGAAACGCAGTTGGTCAAATCATTGTCAAAGGCAGCAGCAAAAAACCTTCGCTACTACACACGAAGCTCTGGCCATCGCATTGCTATCAATGCTGCCGTCCCATCCATCAACGACGCTCTTTGCCAGGTAAATGGAGTTGCGGTTCTTGCCGGCGAACCAGTTGTTGTCGTACCTCAATCATTGGATGATGCAAGCTGGAGAGTTGGAGGCACCGCAGCCATTGGATTGAAGCTGGTCGAGTTGGCTACGACAAGGAATGCTTTGATGACCGCCGTCCAGATTATGTTCGAGTCCGTTCACGATAATTGGAGAAATAGCGAGGCCATGGAGAGAGAACACGGATTCGCCGTCTTGTCTGCACTGCTCCGGGACAAGCTCGGCCTAGGATCAGTCTTCGGCAGATCAACCACGGGCCAAATTGACGACCCAGATCACGAATCATTGTCTTACGAATTATTGCAGCTCATTCTTAGATTTGTTGGATTCGAAGAAAACAGACCGCAGGAATCCAAGATCATCAACCCTCTGGCTTACAGAGCCCTTTTGATTGATTTCGACATCTGGCGGAAATGCTCCGCCGATACACAAAAGCTGTACTATCGGCAATTCGAGTGCTTTGCTAAGGACAGCAAATACCATGTCTTTAATGCAAAGCGCCTTACCCGCATGCGTAAGTCCAATATCCAGGATCCTACAGTGTGCTGGCAAATCTAATATCTGCGTAGGCATCATAAAGAGGCTACTTGATGCGCTCAAGGGAGAAAGTTTTACTGGCGAAGTTTTCCCCCATTTCCTCAACGCATTCAGGGCCCTCCTGAAATGCAGCGTCTCGTCGGATATCCTCAGGTCCCTTGCACTCTTTATCACATTTGCTCTGCAGGAGAGCAAAACACTTGTCAATCGCCCACTACGTTCTAGTAGCAGTGCAAAGCCGTTGCAGCGGGCGCCGACGCAATCACTGTTGCCCAACTCCAACCCTTCCACGAGGCCCATGACACCAAACCTCCAGGCCGAAACAGAGGTGCTGTCAAAGAAGGAGTTGGGTGTCAGGATCCTGGAAGCATATGCGGCGTTTCTTTGTGATGATGCAAGCGCCACGGAAATCCGGCGTTTTGCGAAGACTGTGACCAACAAGGTAGGCAGTTTCTTCGATTTCTCGGACGAGATGGCTGATTTGGGTCAGTGGCTGGTTTACCTCCTTGCCGAAAATGATGCTCGGGTGATCGTTCCCACCATGCAGATACTTGCCCGGCTTCTGGTCATTCAGGGCCCGCACTTTGTCAAGAAATTCACAAGGGACGGAGGCTTCACCAACTTGAAGCACCGCCTTAAAGCTTGGTGGAACACTCCACCGATTTGGACTATCTGCTTTGCCATCCTCTTCGGCGCGGATGTTGGGAAGATTACGTTTGAGAGAGATTTCGATCTCTATAACTTGATGGACGCATTTTCGTCAGCCAATGGCCAAATCAACATAGCTTATCCGGACATTTTCCCGGCAATGACGGCAATGCTTGAGACAGGCATCCGAGTAGTAGTGAAACAGCAAGAGGCGCTCGACAGGCCATCAACAAGCCAGGGAGAGAACGGCGGTAACCCGACTCCACAGCCGCCAAGGGAACCTGGTAGAAAGCGTTCCATGTCCTTGGAAAGCGAGCTTGCAGCACGAGGCGAGTGTGATCTTTCTTGTATTGTCAAGTTCTTATGCTGACGTGATGCAGATGAACCACAGCAGCCATCTTCGAGGCAGAAGCTTGTGGACTATGCAGCGATATTGCATACGATCATTCAGTTCTTGGCAGATGTGCACATGAAGTCCCCCCATTTCCGCGAGTACGCCATTGCCTCGAACTACGTCCAGGACCTTCTTTTTGTCCTCTACCCAGTCATCGTCACATCTGACAGTGTATCCGCGGAAACGGAGCTGCACTCTCGCGGATCTGCTCTGACATTCGAAGGCCAAGATGTTCTCATCAATCCTCAAACAGGACCGGGTGATTCTCAACCTTCGATCGTTCGCACTACTCCAATCGAGGCACCTCGTAGCCCTTCTGCTGCAAAGGCCACACCACTGAGGCGAGGAAACTCATTCATTTTGATCAGCTCCGACAAAGCCAAATACCCCGCCGCTTCAGTGCGGCTTCACACTGTTCTTTCCCCAAAGAGGTCCAGGTCCAGTTCCGTCGACCTCAAAGTTGGCAACGCCGTCGTTCAAGCCCTGCTTGAGCTTGTTATTGGCGTTTTCCTGGATCAACTGCTCCACAAAAAGGACTTTACTGGATTCGGGCTTTTCCTGAAGGTTCCACCTGGCTTCCAAGAACACCAGGCCTATTTTGAATCCTACGTGCTCCTTCATACCATGCAAACGATCGCCAACGAAGTGCAACTCCGCCAGGATCTACTCTCGGAACCAAGAGTCCTTACCAATCTTGCTCGCTACACGCTTCATATGGCCGAGGCCGTCTTTGAGGGCTGGTTCTTGAACGGTGCTGAAGCGTTGCTCGATTTCATCGGGACAATATTGGACTACTTGCATCGCCCAGATGTGGCGCAGCTCAAGGGGGTACGTCTATGTACGCAAGCAATCTCGACCGTTCGTACCGTCTTCTTCCGCGTGGCGTTACTCCGCCTCTCGGAGCTGGATGAGCCCGACAACGAGACTGAGGCCATTGCATTCCTGCACAAGATGACGTATTGGCAAACCATCGTTCTGCACCCAGACAACCTGGAAGGGAACTACCTCAGGCTCCTGTGCTACCTGCTTTATACGAAGTTTGTTTCCGGGGACCCTCGCGTCAGGGCAGCTGCTGCGGATTTCTGGAGGCTCATGCTTGTGCAAAAGCCTGCTGAAACGTCTCAGATGCTGAACCAGACAACGTCGAGCAACGACCGCAAACTCTTCACAGAGTTCATGAGACTGACAGAACTTGACAATGACGCGTTCTTAGCTTGGGTCGACGACCGCCGTGGCGAATTGGACAACTTGTTCTTTGGCGCAATGTCAAAGTCTTGGGAAGAGTTCGTTACGGATGAGAACCGCAAAACCGAAGAGAGCGCAAAGAACAGGGTCAACAAACGACGTGAGCGTCTAAGGCAGTGGCAGTCCGAAGAGGCAGGAGCGGACAACACTTGGCACCGTCACGAGGTCTCGACAACACATTGGCGTGCCAACATCTTCGCTGCTGAGCGCTTGAAGCACCAACGAGCACAACAAGACCAGCAGGACAACTTGGCCTTCCTGGCGTCAGCATTAGGGAAGCTTGATCGATCACTGCGCGAACCCTGTGCCTTACTCGAATCTGAAGAGGTCTCGAAGTGGCAGCTTGATGAAACTGAGGGCCGAAACAGGATGAGACTTCGGATCCTTCCGGATAGGACCACGGCTCGCAACGACGACTATCAGCCAAAGAGAAGGGATTCCGAAGGCTATGCCAAGAGGAAACTCAGCCTCATGACCAACATCCCACAGATCGCAACTCCTGATGCTGCCAGTGCCACGCCAAACAGCGCTCACCCCAACAGCGCTCATCCCGATGGACAAAATGGCAGAGATCGTTCGGTCAGCCAATCCTCTGTCAACTCCAATGCCGATGACGATTTCGAGTTTGTTGCAGATCCGAACGAGGGTGAAGATGGTTTCGAGGACAAGAATCGCAAAGTCATGCGCACGCTTCAGTCGGGCGATCAGGTCCAGCATGTCTTCAACGTGTCGCGTATCGTTGGTTTGGAAGCCTGTGAAGGACTTCTTATCCTTGGCAAAGACTCGCTGTACCTTTTGGACAATTTCTTCCAACGGTCTGACGGAGAAATCATCCGTGTGTGGCAAGCACCACCCGAGGAGCGCGACAGTTACGTCCAAATGATCTCCGGAAAGAAGGCGACAGAGAGAAAGCCTCAGATGGTCGACGGCGAACAATCGACACGCAACTGGAAGTGGCCAGAGGTGATCAGTATCTCCAAGAGACGCTTCCTATTCCGCGACGTTGCCATCGAGATTTTCTTCACCGACGGACGAAGTTACCTGCTGACGGCAATCGTACCCAAGGTCCGGGACGAGCTTCATGCCAAACTCCTTTCCAGGGCTCCTCAGGTAACAAGCCCATCTGCACTACAGTCTGAGGATGCTTGGCGACTGGAATCCCTGCGTACTCCGGAAGAGGCGCCGCCGTCAATGGCCTCAAAATGGGTCAGCGCACTGAATCCCATGGCTCAGAACCCTGCCACGAAGAAGTGGCTGAAGGGCGAAATCTCCAATTTCCACTATCTCATGCTCGTGAACACCATGGCCGGGAGGACGTTCAACGATTTGACCCAATATCCCGTCTTCCCGTGGATTCTGGCGGACTATACCAGCGAGGAACTGGATCTGAATGATCCAAAGACGTTTAGAGACTTGTCAAAGCCTATGGGTGCCCAGACTAAGCAGAGAGAAGCCGAGTTCAAGGAGCGTTATCAAACCTTCGCCGAGATGAGCGATGGGACGAGCCCGGTCTTCCATTACGGCACACACTACTCGTCAGCCATGATCGTTACGTCCTATCTCATCCGTCTGCAGCCGTTCGTGCAGTCCTATCTCCTACTTCAGGGTGGCAGTTTCGATCACGCAGATCGCTTGTTTGATTCCATCGAGAAGGCGTGGAAATCCGCGTCCAGGGACAACATGACGGACGTTCGTGAGCTCATTCCCGAGTTCTTCTACCTGCCCGAGTTCCTCACGAACATGAACGGTTATAACTTCGGCACGAAGCAGGTGACTGGCGAGAAGATCAATGATGTCGCTCTACCACCTTGGGCGAAGGGAGACCCTGAGATTTTCATCGCCAAGCACAGGGAGGCCCTGGAGAGTCCGTACGTGACCAGAAATCTCCAGAAGTGGATCGACCTGGTCTTCGGGTTCAAGCAGCAAGGCGACGCTGCGATGGAGGCTACAAATGTGTTCCACTACCTATCGTATCATGGTGCCAAGGACCTGGACAACATCGACGATCCGGTTGAACGTCTGGCCACCATCGGCATCATTCACAACTTTGGCCAGACTCCGCACCAAGTTTTCCAGAAACCCCATCCTCCGCGAGGTGAGCCGCAAAAGCCCAAGCGGCTTGACAGTGGGGCCGATTCCCTGACTCGCCTTCCATTCACGCTTCTCGATGCACGCGAGTCCGTGGCAAGCTTGACCTACCACCCGAAGCAGGAGCGTATTCTTTGCTCTGCAGCGTTCAGGATCAACATCCCACCAAGCTATGATCGCTACATGGAATGGGGCTTTGCTGATGGCAGCGTCCGGTTCTACGCGACCGACAGCAAGAAACTGATCGGGTTGTGGGAGCACCTGCACCAGGGCCAGATATCCTGTGCCACCTTCGTCGACGGCAAGACGCTCATCACGGCGGGCACCGACTGCACCGTCGCCGTCTGGAACGTCGTCCTCCACTCCAAGACGGTCGACCTCGTCCCAAAGGTCTGCTTCTTCGGCCACCGCAACCCCGTCACCGTGCTCGCGACGTCGCGCGCCTTCAGCACCTTCCTCTCGGCCAACCCCAACGGCGAAGTCTTCCTGTGGGACCTCAACCGACTCGAGTTCGTCCGGCGCATCGGCAAGGCGGCGGTGGACGCGCCCATCAGCTGCGCGCGCATCAACAACGTCAACGGGCACGTCATGCTCTGCACGGGCCCGCGGCTGCTGCTGTACACGCTCAACGGCCGGCTGCTGCTCGACCAGGACGTGTGCGACACGGCCGACGCCGACGACGTCGTGTACTCGTGCGCGTTTTACGAAGGGGTCGGCAACGAGTGGCTGGAGCGGGAGCTGATCGTCACGGGCCACCGCCGCGGCATCGTCAACGTGTGGCAGAAGACGCTCGAGCCGGGCACGGGCGAGTGGTGCCTCGAGGTCGTCAAGCGGCTCAACCACGTCGACCCGGCGCGCGAGGACGGCGGCAACTACCCTGGCGCCATCACGTGCATCTTGCCCATGGCGCAGACGGTGTATACGGGCGATGATGACGGCAAGGTTGTGAGTGGCCCCTGTTCTTTTTTTCCGGATTTTTGTGAGGGCCGTTGATGTGTTAACAGAGTAAATACAGTTCGAGTGGGATTGCGTACAGCGACATGGTGGAGCTTAGACGCACGAGGAAGAAGCGTGGAGGAAACTGTGTGGTGAAGGAGGAAGAGGCGGCTGGTAAAGAAGAGGAGGAGGATAAGGCGTGGTGGAAGAAGAGGGTTAAGAACGTCAAGCGTAGTTGGACGTGGGACGTGCATCTGGCGGGGACTGATGGCGCAAGGGAACCTGAGCCTGTCTCGAGGATGGAGAGGAAGGACAAGGCGAAGACGAGGAGATCGTCTGGTAGTTGGATGCACTTGGGTGGCACTCGTCCCGTGCCCTCTTCCTTGGATGATGATGAGGATGAGGAGGATGGTGAACAGCGGGAAGGGGGTCTTGTTCATGAGCGTTGGAGGAGGGAGAGGGGATATGCTCCACCGATGGGGCGGTAAACAAGAGAGAGAGTGTGTGTGTGGCCTTTGGTTACGTGTAGGTATTTTTATGCATGGCGCGTATGGTTGGGTTTATTACAGCACCGAAAGAAAAGCAAAGTCACGAATCTGTCTTTTACACACCTCGTGTTTCCATTTTCTATCTGTGTTGTTCTGTGGAATGTCTCCGACCTATCCCTTCAAGAGCTCTCCTATGTCGCGGCTGTCGTGCGCTCTTTTATTTTTTTTCCTTTCCGCTGTTTTTGTCTCGACCATGCTCCTAGATTTGCGGCTGACCGATAGCAATGCGGAATGTCTCCCGCATTTTCGAGATATGGTCCAAGTCCTGGTAAGGTGCATGCGTGCGCACTTCATGGATCAGTCTGATCAGGGATGTTCGGTTCAGATTGGAGAAGTCCTCGGGCGTGTGGGGGAAATCTTTGATCAACCAGCCGGTGTGGACCGAGACAAGGGGTGTCAAGGTCATGTAGTGGCGCGTTTCTTTTGTGATATTATGATTTTGCCAGCGCGCCCAATTATTGTACTCACTACATGCGTAATGGTTGACATAAATCTTATGTACGGAATTAAGCTGGGTGAAGGGCGAGGGGGGGGGAGGTTGCTTACCCGATCTGATTGGAGTTGAAGCCGCGCGTGCTGGAAAATTTGACGTCCTGCCTGAGGTTTACGTCCTGCCCGACGGTGTCGATATTCATCTTGATGCTACCGTAATGGTTGGTGATGTCGATGAGCACCTTGGTCTGCGCCTCCTTTTCTTGAGCGCGGACCTTCTGGAGATTTTCGAGCGCCTCCTTGAGGAGGTTTGTCGCAATGCGCAGGGCGTCCAAGTCTGCCGAGAGCTGTTCTTCTCTCGTCGGGGTGACTGATCGCGTCTTCTCGGAATCATCCGACGAGGCCATGCTCGAGATCGATTGGACGCCGTCGATGTTGGACTGCGACTCGTTCGAGGGATCTGGAATCATTGGCCAGTCAGTGAGCGTCAATGTGTCAGCATGGCTTGCTTGGGTACGAAGAACTTCTTACGTGAGTCTTTGCCCAGCATCCCGTACATGTTTGCCTTGGGGGACATTGACGCTCTTGCAAGGATTCTGAGGTTGAGGTTGAGGTCGGGGATTTCAGGTTGGGTCGAGCAGCTTTTAAGAGCGAAGAGTTTGTGTCTGCGATCCGGTCCCCGTAATCGAACCGCAGTTGCCACCGCACTAAGATGGCAAGAATGGTAGCTGGTGAGGGTGCACTCATGACTAAATAATGGTTGAGCTGAATTCCCAGGGTACACTCGACCCACAGAGCTCAATGAAAAACTGTTGATTCATGGCGCCACCATTGGAGCTTGTGGAAATACAGACCTGAGAAGGCCGAGAATATGGTACAGGCTTTCTGCTGCGGTACGATGAATAGTGATAATGCCGCGGGTTTGTGGGATGTATGCTATTATTCGGTACAGGAAATATGAATGGGGGCTACCGAAAACTCAAGGGGCCGAGTAGATAGGTGGTCGGGTGACCGAGATTCTTTCAAATTTTATAGGGCAAATGTTCGTAACATACGAACAGATCTGTCGTCTTAGCTGCGGCCCATTCTACAGCCGCCATGTGTCATAGCAAGAGATCTACGCTGTCGCAGCCGACTCTGAGCCGGTGTTACTGTTAACGTAGATGCGTCGTCGCCTGGATAATCATCTGCCATTTTAGTAGGGGTTCTCCGTGATATTAGCCCTCCCTCGCCTTATATTTTGGTAGCGAGACCCTTCTGCAGGAAAACTTTTTACCGCATCATCGCACTATAAGAAGATACGTGTTCAAAGAATGTTTGTACCGCTATCACGATCTTGAGCAGGATTACGGCATCTTAGCACTTAAGTCACGAATTTTTATAAAGATAAGATACACACAGCGCTTGTTATTATAGTATTAGGTTTAAGGAGGTGTTCATTATAAGGATCAAGACGGCGGCGGCGGCGGCGGCGGCGATGGTATTGGCATAAAATTACGCACTAAAAAAGAGACATTTCCTTATAAGTCAATGGTATCGATCGCAGTTCAAATGATGTTACCGTGCATTTTCTCAGTCTTGGATTCTTCGGATCTAAATAAAGGAAAAATAAACCCCAAACCTTGCCGTTCAGCTCGGACAAGTGACGCCACCGTTCGGCTCGTATCCGAGGGCTGCCAACGGCATAGCGGGCTTCCAACACGGTTGATACTGCCCACATCTGTCTCCGAGATATCGAAATACACTTCAATGAATAGTTGATCCGATTCCCCTATCTCGCTAATTTCTACCACCCATGTAAGAAGAGTGTAGCGTTCTCGACAGAGCTCAAAAAGGCTCAAATCTTCCGCAACCCATCGTGGTAGCGTCACGTCGAGCGCACATACCAACAGACCTACGCCGATAAAGCTTCCGCGGGCTTTATCTACGCTTATCTGGAGCCATCCATCCTTGCCCTCGTTGCGGGGCAGTTGTCCCACCACCTGCATCCATCGGCATCCTCAGCCGCCCGCCGACGATAAGCCGATTCCCCATCTATGCTCTGCTTCGCCCTTCCTATTGGAGCACACCGCCGAACCGCTTTGGAGCGCAATGGAGGCAATCGAGGTTGGGGGGGTTGCAGATTCCGCCGCCATCCAGCCAATCCCTAGTCACTTGAGGTTGTTCCGCATGCCTATCAACGCCCTTGACGCAGTTGATAGGATACCTGGACGAGCGGCCTTCGCATTAGCGTCCGCCGTTGCATGATGTCTATCAACGATAATATTATGGCTTTTGACTCCAGAGCCCCCCTCTCTCTTTCACTCATCACCACCTGATCCACGCCTTCTTTCCCCCCTTCCCATCATCGGCCGGTCGGGGTCTTGGCAGACGAGCAGCAGAAGAAGTCAAACATGGCGGACGTCGAAAAGAAGATCGCGGACCCCGTGTCGGTGCCGGAGTCGGACGTGGCCGAGGGGTCGCTGGAAGCGGTGGTTGTGGACCAGCGGATGCAAGAAGACATTGGCGCACAGCTCTACCTCGAGGTCCAGCAGTACTCCAAGGAGGAGCTCGAGGCGGAGAGGAAAAAAGTTCTCAGGAAAATCGACAGGGTCATCCTGCCCATTGTAAGCTCCCCGATTGCCATATATGCCGATGATTGCGCGTGGTCGCTGATGCTCAGTGTGGTCAGATCTGCATTACCTACACCCTTCAATTCCTTGACAAGCTCTCACTGAACTACGCTTCGGCGTATTCACTCAAGGAAGACCTCGGCCTCGGCGGGTGAGTTCGCGATCCCACAGCCAGACACCCCGCCGCCCACCAACTGACACACACCCACACCAACAGCCAACGCTACTCCTGGACGGCCTCCATCTTCAACTTCGGCTACCTCTTCTGGGCGATCCCGTCCAACCTCCTCATCCAAAAGCTCCCCGTCGCCAAATTCACCGGCGGCATGCTCCTCGTCTGGGCCGTCATCCTCGTCTGCCACGTCGCGGCCAAAGACTTCGCGGGGATGATGGTCCTGCGCTTCACCCTCGGCATGTTCGAAGCCGGCATCTCCCCGGCCATCATGAACATCACGTCCATGTTCTACACGCGCAGCGAGCAGCCGCTGCGCATGTGCCTCTTCCTCGCCTTCAACGGCATGGCGACCATGGTGGGCGCGCTGCTCGGGTACGGGCTCGGGCACGCGACCGACCACTCGCTCAAAGCGTGGCAGCTCATCTTCCTCGTCATCGGCGCGCTCAACTTCGCGTGGGGCGTCGTCTTCCTGTGGCTGATGCCCGACGCGCCGTCGGCCGCGCGCTTCCTCACCCACAAGGAGCGCGTCGTCGCCGTGCACCGCATCGCCGAGAACATGATGGGCGTCAAGAACACGCGCTTCCTGCCGCGCCAGGCCGCGGCCGCGCTCGCCGACGCAAAGGTCTGGTGTCTCGTCTTCATCGGCTGCGCCTGCGGCATCATCAACGGCGGTGTGTCCAACTTCGCTTCCTCCCTCATCAAGGGCTTCGGCTTCTCCGGCATCAGCGCCACCCTCCTGCAGCTCCCGACGGGGGCCATCGAGTTCGTCGTAGTGCCGCTGTGCGGCGTCGCCGCGGGCAGGTGGCGCGATGTCCGGTGCTGGTTGTTGATGGCGATATGCCTGCCGCCGCTGGGAGGGCTGATTGGGATACGGCTTACCAGTCTGGACGAGAGGTGGAGCCTGGTCGGGTGCACGTGGCTGCAGTATATTGTGGGGGCGCCGGTGATCCTGGCGTGGAATCTGATGACGAGTAATATCGCGGGGCATTCGAAGCGCACCATGACGAACGGGTTGTGGTTCGTGTGGTATGCGGCGGGGAATATCGTGGGGGCCCAGCTGTTTTTTGCGCGCGAGGCGCCGCGGTATGAGTCGGCCATCATTGCACTGTGCGTGTGCTATGCGGCGATTATAGTGCTGGCATTCGTGCTAAGGCAGGTCATGTGGTGGGAGAATAAGAGGAGGGACAAGGCAATGGGGGTGGGGGAGCGGACGGTGAACGGGGCGGATGAGGCGGCGATGAAGGAAGGGTTTAGGGATCAGACGGATGTGGAGAATAAGCATTTCAGGTATTGCTTGTGAGGGAAGGAAGGAATTAGTCTGGTTTTCGGAAATGTTACGATGCTGAAGGAAGCCTTCTGCTCCGCAGTGGCAGGTTGAAAGATGGCGACTCGACAGTATCAAATCGACTCCCCCAGCTCCGGCTGCTCTCACCATCGAAGGTCATCGATCTACGAAGTGCCCTTCCAGCCACAACCTCGTCTCCAAAGCCGAACAGTGTTTTTCGATCTTTCAAGGACCCCAGACTCGCCGCCCTGCGAACACACCTCTCCCCACCCGCCCTTGCCCTCTCCGAATACCTCTCGCCCGCCTTGAAACCCACACCTCGGCACCCTCCGGCCCCATCGAACCGCGCACCCAAAATCTTCTCAACCACCCACTCCGCCGTGCGCGCATGCAAACTCGGCGCGACATTTCCCCCTCGATGCTCATCCCGGCCGCCATCCACGAAGCTCTCCGCGTCCGCCAGCCCCTGAAAGACGACGAGCTGGTCGCGCAGGTACGCATCAACGCAACCGCCATGCCTCACCTCTTCGACCAACTCTCGAGCGACGCGCTCAATCAGCCTGTCCACAGCGGCGGGCACGGCGGTGATTTTCTCGTTGTACAGCCAGTCGCGGCCGAGCCTGTGGCCGGTCGACGACGTCGCGACGAGGAGAAGGTAGAGGTCCTTGTGTGAGCTCTTCTCAAAGGTCACGGCGAAGGCGCCCGCCTGGGGGTCGAGGTGGGGGAAGCTGGCGGCGAGCACGCTGTGCAGTTTGCGCTCGGCTTGGCCCTGGCAGTATGATGGGGCAAGGATGGTGGCGGTTATGGATCCGATGGGCCCTCGGTTCTCGAGGCGGAAGGGCGGCAGGGTCTGGGAACGGGGCATGGAGGTTACGGTGAAGGTGATGGAGCCTTTGGGGCCGCGCATCCAGCCTCTTTGGTGGAGGTTTGCTGTGATGGGCGGCAGGCCGATGAGGGACAAGGTGGGTAGGAGGACCTGATGGATGTAGTCGTATGAGGGTGAAAGAGACACGTTGGTTCCGCCATGGATGGTTATTGCGAATGGCTTGTTTGACGGGCGGCCGGAGAACAGGATGAAAGGGAGCACGGCTTGGAAGACGAGGCCAATGCTTCCAGCGCTGCCGATGTCGATGATGTTGGCTTTCTGAGGAGACTTGATTTCGCCGCGGACGTCGGCACGTGGAAAGAAGTCGAGGGTCTGGCTCTGCTGCTCAGCACCCGCGGAGATGGCTCTGCTGGCGAGGGCTAGCCATTGGACGGCAGAGAGATGCTGTGCCTTCAGCCCGCTCTTGCCTCTGCGATTTGCTCGGATGCGGGTGATGCGGATGGGCTCGGCCGTCAGAGCAGCCAGGCCCACCGAGATGCGGAGAAGCTGGCCGCCGCCCTCCAGCGTTGTTCCATCAATGCACGCCATGAGCTGCAGTAACAAGTGGATTCTCTCTGGGTCAGTGGAAGCAGAAAGCGGAGCGGGTGGCGGGCGCGCTTTCGAGCAGCAGTGGACATGGCTCTATAGTGCAGGGTGAGTCAACAGCGAGCGGCGGCCGGAGAGTCAGCGCTGCTCAGCCTCGTTGCTGCCTGGGGCAGTCTGGTGGCTGAAGTGGTCAAGGCATGCGAGCTCAATTGACGCTGGCCGCAGCTCGAGATGCAAGAAGATGCAGGCGCACCGCGGGCGATGGGAGCACAGGGATAGACGCATCATGGTGTTGTCGTCGAAAGAGAGGGAAGGCGCAGCCGGGCGCTTACGCCACCAACGCAACGGGCATCATCGTAGGGCTGTGACGCTGTCTCCCACATCAACCCGGATTTGCCGCCCTGCTGTCTGCGCAGTGACGTCGACGCCGGCAGCACCTCCGTCTCACAGGCGCAAAACTTGTTACCAGCATCCGGCTTCAAAAATATGTCCTCTCGCGACCGGCCGAGGCCATCTTCCTGCATTAACCTCATCCTCCTTCCCGTCTGACAACAACCGCCTTTCCCGAATCATCCACCATGTCGGCCTTCCCCATCATCTTCAACATCGACGGCTCGTCCCGCCACGAGGTGCTCCTCGTCTCGCCCAGCGTCTCGCTGGCCGACCTGAGCGCCAAGATCGAGTCGACCGCCACCTCGTCGCCCAACTGCCAGGAGTTCATGGCCAAGTACGCCAAGAAGAAGGGCGACCAGAAGGTCGAGGCCATCAAGGTCCGTTGGGCCATGGCCGGCCGCGACCACAAGACCTTCCCCTCCACCACCGCCCTGACCGACGACAACACCGAAGCCGTCCTCCACCTGATCGAGCGCAGCGGCGTCGGCAAGGACGTGCTTGAGGTCAAGCTGGCGGCCGAAGCCGAGGAGAAAGCGTAGGTACGAGCACTCGTATCTTCTTTTCTTTCCGTGCGCTGACCATTTACGTCGCTGGTTCGTAGGCTTCCGGATCGCACCAAGTAGATAGATGCCATCCCCCCCAATGTGCAATGATTGTATGACCGGCATGCGGTATTGCAAAACAAGTGGCAAAGCGATTTTTATTCAATAATTAATACATCACGTTACCAATCATTCATCGAGCCCCAGCTGCCAGTTGATCCAACGCTGTTAGCCACGTGAGGAGTCTCAAAGAGCATGTGAAGAGCCAAGGTACCAGAACCAACAATAGGTTGCATAATGCTTCATCGTTCCCTATCCCGCGAAGACTGCAAATACTCCTCTCTTTTCATTTCCGCATAGGAAATAAAAGCACACTTCCGGATGGAGACAGGTTCCAAAACTATACGACAACATCTAGATGGAGAATCCAACTGCCTGCGTAAGTAGAGATCCATATCTGACCCATAATCTAGGCAGAAACCAAGGGAGAAAAAAGACACCACTACTGCCATCACCACACCACCAAAAAAAAAAAGGGCAAAACAACGCGGCGACGCAAGGCTGCCTCACAGCCTCGCATCCTCTCCCCCTCCCACGAGAGTAACAAAGAGCACGCACCACACATCGACCATCGATCAACGACAGTGGCAGTGTGAAAAAAAGAGGCGCTAAACAGCAAACTCACCACAGAATAATCCTCCGAACCCGCGATCCTCCCTCGGCCCCCCCCTTTCCCTTATTCGTCGCAAACCATGAGGGAATAATCACGAAAAGGATTTTCCTTCTAGACCCTGCACGATCTACCAGTCAAGTTGAATCGCGTGGTGGCTGAGCACATGTAACCCACCGCTCGGACTCTTTCTCCCACGTGGCAATGTGTCCCGGAGAGGCCACAAAATTCCGCCTTGCTGCGTTGCCATGTGGCCCGGCCCCATGTGGATGTGACGATATTACCTGGGGAACCCCGGGCAATAATGTGGCTGCCCATGTGGGAACATGAGAGAGTAGTTCATGCAAGGTCCGTGTCCGTCCCCGATGGGGCTGAAAACATTCGCCCCATTGTAGAGGATGGAGGCTGTGCATCGAGTGTTGTTGCACGGTCCGCAAGTCTCTCCTCTTGCTTATCGTGGGGGTCAAACGGAGTACTCACAACCGAGGGACAAACCCTGGAGTTGTGCAGGCCGCTTTCGTAGTTGTGTTGTATGTATATACATGAAAAGGGAGGGTCAATCCATATGCTCAAATGCTTTAATTTCACGCTATCAACGTCTAAGCTGCCGTGGCAGAACTTGTCTTCTTCTTCTTTTTTTTCTTCTTTTGCCATCTGACAAAATCATATGATGGCATCTTCCTCTCTTCTTTTGATTTAATAGCCTTGCCTTCCCTTACTTTTTTCGTTTGTTCAATCATAATTCCGTCGCGTTGCACCAGCCACAAAGCTAGAGCGCGGTCACACCACACCTTTGCGCACAGCCCCGTCGAAAAGCGCGCACATTCAGGTCCGTTTTCGGCACACCGTTTACATACGGTCAACGGGGGTGATGCCCAGCAGAGTCAGACCGTTCCTCAGGACCTGCCTAGCGGCGACGTACAGCGCCATGCGGGCCTTCTTCACCGACTCCTCAGAACCGACGACCTGGAGGTGGTCATAGGACGAGCTGACGGCGTGCGTCATCTTGAACAGATACGTCAGGACGGTGGCGGGCTCCTGCTTCTTCAGCGTGTCGTTGAAGACGTCGGGCCACTGGGCAATCAGCCTGAGCACGTCGTGGGCGTGCTTCTCCTTCAGCAGCGACAGGTCCGCCGAGACGAGGTCCTCCTCCTTGATGTCCGCCTTGCGGACGATGCTGCACAGCCGGGCGTGGGCGTACTCGAGGTAAGGGCCGGTGTCGCCCTCGAACGACGTCATGCGGGAGAGGTCGAAGTCGTAGTTGTTGATGCGCTTGCCCTTCATGTCCTGGACCATGACGGCGGCAATGCCGAGGATGTCGGCCGTCTTGGCCGGGTCCGCGACCTGCTCGTACTTGGCCTGGTTGCTCTTCATGACATCGTGCATCTGCTCGCCGACGATGTTCAGAACCTCGTCGAGCGCCTTGGCAGTACCCAGACGAGTCGACATCTTGTTGACCATACCGAAGTTGATGTGCTGGCACTTTTCGGCAATGTCCTTGCGGCCCATCAGCTCAATGATCTTGAAAAGCTGGGCAAGGTGCAGGTCCTGCTGCGTTGCGACAACGTAAATCATCTTGTCGAAGTTGTACGTGTTGTAACGCTCCACGGCAGCGCCGATATCACGGGTCAGGTAGAGCGAGGTGCCGTCCTTCTTTTGGACCAGAGCCTTGCCCAGCTTCTTGCTGTGCTTGGTCAGGTCGACGAGGACGGCGCCCTCGGAATTCTCAGACGTGCCCGACTCCTGAAGCTGCTTGGCAGCATTCTCCATGCTCTCGTTCTTGACCTGAGACTCGCCCGAGTACACGTCGTAGTGCACGTTCAGGCGAGCATACGACTTCTCGAGGGCCTCAATGGAGACGTCACGGCACCACTTCCAGAACTCCATGGGCTCCTTCTCGCCGGCCTCCATGCGCTTGAAGTAGTCACGAGCCTGCTGGCTGACACTCTTCTTGACGAGCTCGTCCAGCTCGGGCTGCGCCTTGGCGGCCTCGTCCTCCTTGCCCTCCTTCTTCAGCGCCGCAATGGCGTCCGTCTTCTGCTTGATCTGCTCATCCTCCTCCTTCTGGATCTTGGTCATCTGCTGGTACACCTCGACCAGGTGCTTGATGGGGTCCGCCTTGAGCTTCGCCTCGTCGCCGAACTTGCCGTAGCCGACGGCCAGGATGCCGTATTGCCTGCCCCAGTCGCCCAGGTAGTTCATGCGGATGACCTCCCATCCCGCACCCTCGTACAGCTTGGCGAGGAAACCGCCAATGATTGTGCTGCGGAGATGGGCGTAGCCGAAGGGCTTCGCGATGTTGGGCGAGGAGAACTCGATGATGATCTTCTTGCGGCCCTTTGAAGGGTCCGACTCGTCCTTCAGGCCAAAGACAGGGTTGAGACCGTAGGTGCTGCCATTCTTGAGGATGGAGGGGATGACGAGGTTGCTGAGGGGCGCTGGTTTGAAGAAGAATTGGAGGAAGGTACCGAGGGCGGTAGGCGGCTCGACGAGCGGCGATTCGGGGAACTGAGCGCGGGTGAGATCAACGTCGGGTTGGCGGGCGAGTGATGCGGTGCCATGGGCTTACCTTCTCAGCGAGTTCCTTGGCGAGCTCGTCGGGCTTCTTGCCCTTGAGCCTCAGGGCGGGGACGGCAAGAGTCAAGTCACCCTTCTCGAGCGACTGGGTCCATTGGAGGGTAGGGTATATGATCTTGGGGTCGACGCCGCTGGACTGCGCGAGCAGGTTGGTGATGTGAGAGCGGTAGATGTCGAAAGGATTCAGCTCCGGGTGGGTGTTCGGTGCCTTGGGCACGTCGGAGAGGCCGAAATTCTTCAAGGTCGCAGCGACGTCGTCGACAGATGGGGCCATGGTGAAGGTGCGGCGTACGGGGCGGTCCAGCAGGTGCGGCAAGGAATGGCGGAGCTGAAGCTTCGGAGCGAGCAGGGCGAAGGCGCGGCACAGCGGTCGGGCAGGCTTGGGGTATAGGGCACGGAGACTGGAGTCCAAAGGCCTGCGCAGAAGATGGCGTTGGGCTTGCATACAGGCTCGTAGAATTCCAAGTGGGGTCGCCGCAATTCAGTCATCGATGGCAGCCCGCGCCAAAATTTCTTCTCATGACTCAGGAATCCGAACCCCACCAGCCACGCGCCGTGCACCACGCCTCGCGCATCCGCGCCCATCACCCCGGCGATCCATCAATGGCGTTCAGCTCCGTCGCAAGAGTGCTGCATACCGAGGTGGGGGAATGTTGGTTGCCAGGCACCTGCCAGTGCTCGGAGAAGGATCAATAGTGTCAGTGGCACTGCAGTCAGCGCACATGTCTGCTCTCCGAGAGCTTTAGCTGAAGCGCGCGGAACAGCTGAGCCGACTTTGCTGTTCTTTGTTCGCACGCCCCGTTCACTAAGCAGTTTGCGCTGCTCATGTACCTAGCGCGCGCGCCTAAGGGTCTTTGCGGGGCTGCGCTGTACAATAGCATTGTATGTACATAGACCTAGCGCGCGGTACGGTCTGCTGTGCCAGCTGCGCACGGCTACGGGCGTGATCAGCTACTGCTGCGCCTGTTCGTGGAGTCATTCTGCTAGATCGTCTGCACACACACCGCTCGGTGATGGCAAAGAAGGATGACAGCCTGTGGCTGCACTCAGCCCCGCGGCACAGGCCCCAACCGCCCCCACCAGTGGAGCAGCAGCAAGCCTCAGGGCCAAGGCACATTTGGCGCCTACCCTCGTGCCCACATACAAAAAGGTATCTGCGGTAGTCACGGCTCTGTTGTATCACCATATAACCTCGTCACTCACACATTTCCTCAACCCAACTCACCCATTCCCGCCCCCAAACCACAGCCCAATCATGGCCGCAAACCCCGCCACCACCAACACCACCGCCTCCACCGCGGGGCGCAACGCCAAAATCTACCTGGCCCCCAACTACCCGCCCAAGCTCGAAGGGCGCTCCATCTTCCTCGCGGGCAGCATCGAGATGGGCAAGGCCGAGGACTGGCAGACGGTCGTGACGGACCGGATCGCGCACCTGCCCATCACCATCCTCAACCCGCGGCGGCCCGACTGGGACAACGACTGGAAGCAGAGCAAGGACGACCCGCGCTTCCGCGAGCAGGTCGAGTGGGAGCTGGACATGCAGGAGCGCTGCGACGTCGTCGCCATGCACTTCCACCCGGACACAAAGGCCCCCATCTCGCTGCTCGAGCTCGGCCTCTTCGCGTCGAGCGGCAAGATGGTCGTCTGCTGCCCCGACGGCTTCTACCGCAAGGGCAACGTCGAGCTCGTCTGCGAGCGTGCCGGCGTCCCGCTGTTCAACACCCTGGAAGAGTGGGTCGAGGAGGTCCTCAAGAAGCTGAAGGCTTGATCGGGGCCCCCACCAACACAACCACCACCCCCACTACCGCCACGACCCCGGGAGGCGCGAAAAAAAAAAGCGCCCGGTGCTTGGAGAAGCATGGAGTTGTGGGCTTTTTCCTGATTCAGCGTTGAAGCGACGGCGTGCAGACGCATATCCTTTGTACATTATCTCTCATCTGCCGTCTGTCTGTCTTTTCCCATTTCAACTCACGAAATCATGCCTTTTTTCTTAGAGATATCCTCGGTATCTGAGGGGAGGGTTTCGGGACGAGCTTACATACAACTACCTTGTCCAACTTCACGCCCTTTCAGTTTCCTGTCTTGAAATCGGAACAAATGTGCCCTCCACGGCTATCGATCATCAGGCCGAGCCATGCAAGAATAATGCATGCTCTCCGAAGGCCTGAGTGTAGCTGCGCGATTGGGCTCCCACCTCCCAAGGATCAAGCAAGGGTAATCCTCCAAGAATCTCACCTGCTTAATTGCAGGGCTGTCTTATCTCGTATCACCGTTTGCTCCGAATCCGCCCGCGGAGCACCTTCTTTCCCCTTGCATCATTCGCATTGAACGCCGGCCCCAGGGAGCTGGACTCCGCAGCCGTGTGACGCAAATGCAAAACCAGCCAGTCGCCAGAGGAACAACAACAAACACTTCGACGAGGCATCGAGTTTACGGTGGCGGTAGCGAGGATTTGATGCCATTTTATCCATTATTACAGCTGCCCATTTTGAAGGTGCCCTCGCTTCATTGCTGCCCAATCATCCTCTAAACCCGCCTGGATCGATCCCGTTCCGTTGCGTCAAAAGATCCCGAATGCGCCCTTGCCTCATGCACGCCGGTGCCAGACGCCTCGCCCTCTTCCCGAACGGACTGCCAGCCATGTTTTGCCCTTAGTTTGGATACGAGAACGACTTTTGACACCAAGATTGCGAACACCCATTCGACGTCATTGAAAGGGAACGTCAAGAATTTTGCCATATGAGAAAAACCATGTAATGATTTAAAGTAAGGCACCAAGCCATATAGTCTTTGAAAGAGCCTTCCCCAAACAAGAATGCTAAACAACGTCCACCCGCTGATTTTGCGTTCCAGTACAATGCGATCTCTTGAACGCACTGAAGGACTAATGCGACGGAGGGGTATGAAGAGAATTTGTAGGAGTTATAGGAGGAGATTGAGGGGAATTTGAGGAATGAGCACTCGCGCCAACTTGCTACCTGTGGATAACGAAAGATGAGAAGTTGCGTAATCCAGATGCGTACTGGGAGAGTAAACGCGGAGGCTACGACAAGAAAAAGAGAAAACAAGTGCCAAGCCAAACATCGTAGTATCAATACTACCTTGAAAGTGCTTCTTGTGAGAGCACATACAGCTAACAGGAGCTCCCATCTGGGATTTTGTGGTCGTAAATGTCGTTCGTAGCATCATAGTCGTAAGCGGCCATAATTCGTAATCTCCCCATGTTGTCCTCCCTGGGTAAACAGAAAATAGAGAGGCAACTTTTCCCCTTTTGGTCCTCTTGCAAGAGCTGTCTTTTTTTTGCCACCCGGATTTTGGTCGGCTCCAATCGCCGTTTTCCATTACCAACGAATAGAGACAAGACTTTGAAAGGAACAAATATACCACCCGAAGACTAGGTTCATTGCTGATCAAGTCAAAGGACATGAGATAAGGAGAAAAGGTCGGGGGAAAAAAACGGAAGAAACGCGAAGGGGATATCAAATAGCCAACCATGTCCAATCCTGGATCCATCAGAATAAATGCAAAAGAAAACCGAGATTGAGTTTGACACCTTCAGTTCACGGTACGAGTGCCGCTATGAGGCGTTTAGAATCTCCGTTCGGGTCGGTAATATTGTCGGGGATCGTTGGCATAGTGAACTCTCCTTTGTTGTCTCATCGGGCGTTCAGGCTCGGGAGCGGGCTCATAGCCACCGCGAATACTACTACCACGCGGGAGAGCACTCTCACGATCGCTTCGAGACCGGCTGCTGCTGGTGTTGGTAGTCACACGGCTGCCCTCCCCGAGATATTTCTTCTCCCTGCCTTTGGTCTCGGAGATGATGATCTGTTGTTTGCCATCTTCGCCAGTGGTAACCCTGAAAACCTTGTGGCCCATGTCGCCTTCGACGAACATGTCATCACCCTCCATTCTGATGACCATGTTACCGTCTTTGACGGTCTTGCGCGTTGAGGTGCTGCGAGCTCCATCACTAATGCGGCTGGCGCCGTCATAGCTGTGCTGCGAGTGGCTGCTGGCTCGAGGGCGAGTAGCGTTGCTAGAAGCGCGGCCGCGAGCAGCGTTGGTGCGAAGACTATCAGCGACAGCGCCAGAGTTGCCGTTCATGCTGTTCAAGTAGGCTTCCACCTTGTTGACTTCGCTGTGCAGCTTGTCCTTCCTTCTATCGTCGGCGCTAGCGTCGCGGCGGAGAGTGTCGTCATACTCGAGGTGAGCCACGTCCCTGTTGTATACCGTGTTGATTCTAGTCCTTTCACGTTCTGAATCTCTGGGTCGGTCGGACCTGGAAGGTTGGATCGTGACACGGTCTCCTCTCGATACTGAAGGGTAATAGGAATTGCGATTGGAGCCAGCGACGGAAGAACGTCTGTGAGGCAGTTGAAGCGAGTGAGTCATTTCGACTAGATCGTCTTCGTAGTTGTCCACTCTGTCGTAGTAGCCAACGGATAACGGCCTGGCACGGGGAACGTTACTAGTCGTTTGCGACCGCAGGCTTGGTCGCCGTCGTGGAGGCTCGACGGTTGGACGAGGCGGTGGCCCCATGATACTCCTGCTATGATCGGCTGGAGCATGGCGGTAGTGGCCACTTTCATCCTCATCCTCATCCGAGCGGTCATCGGAAGGCGCTGGTTGGTACGGAAGAGGTTGCGCTACAAGAGGTCCGTAGCGGGGGTTTGGCAAGTTTTGTGGGGACGGCCGAGGAGGATATCCCTCACTCGCTCTGCTTAATATGGGAGGACGGCTTTCATAAGAAGCGCTAAGGGGAGAAGAAGGGACTGCGCCGTAATACCCTGCATGAGATGCTGCGCCCATCATGGCAGCATACTGAGGATTCCACATTGTAGGCGGCGGTCCGTGGTTCATCTGGGGATAGTTGTGGCGGTCTGAGAGACTAGATCCGCTGTAGTAGCTGAGTGGCCTCTGGTGAGAGTAAATTTGTGACCTCGTTGTTGATCCTGCGATTTGGGTTTCAACGAACGGGTGATTGTAGCCAATTGGAGGCCTGCCTGGAGATGGAGGCACGCGGGGTGACCGAGGGGTGTACGAGGAGTAATTGTCTTCCATTCCAGTCTTCAATGGCGGTGGCTTTATTCTCAACCTGCCCAGGCACCGGTCACAGTTGGGATCCTCACACTCTGGGCCGACGCTGTCGCGACGTGGGCGGGTGACGGATGGAGCTCTGGTCCTTGTGGAAGACTGGCGCACCACCACCGGCTTCCTCTCCTTCTGTGTCTTGGATGTCTTGGAAGGCTTGGGGCTCTCGCGAGCATGACTCTTCTTCTTGGAGCTCTCGGACAGTCTGGGGCGCGCATGGGCAGTGGGTGGAGCCGGGGCCTCTGGAGCGGCAGGTGGGGCGTCAGTCTTCACGGGCGAGCGTCTTCTACTATTCGAGCTTTTGGCGGAATCAGCGCTGCTACCCGTGGCGGCGGTGCGGCTCGAATACCCTGAATCACTTGTGAGGTCGTTCGGCCGGGCGGCGCCATGGGTCCTACGCAGCTCGTTCTGCGAGGAGCGCTTGGCGGAGACATTGGACTGGGGCTGCGACTTGGGCTCGGCGAAGCCCTCGTCGGAAGACTCGTCGGTCTCGCAGGTGGGTTGGAACATCCGCGGAGGCATGGTGGCGGTGGAGGAGGGCAACAGGGCAACAGAGTGGATCGGCGGGTTTCGGTTCGGGTAATCGATAGCGGCGGCAATCAGCGAGGGCGGACGGGCGACAACACCAAGCGCAGTCGCTTCGGCGGGGTGCGCGCGCACTGGGTCGTGGATGGTGCTCAGCAGTCGGACAATGCGCGCGGAAGCATGGCGAGGGAGATCAGCCGGGCAGAGAGGGAGAGGCCGGAGGCGGGGTGGTGCGAGGAAGCATAAATTTAACAGCCGACGGGAGCACCAAGGGCCGTTGGGCCGCCTGAGGAGCAGGTTGGGCAGGTAGGGCTGCGGCAACCCGGGCAGATTAACAAGCACCGCAAGCAACAGAGGCAAAAAGCGCGCAGCGACGGGCGCGGGGCAGAGCGGGAGCTGGGGAGCGGCGAGGAAAAGAGTCGAGGGAGCAGGCGAACGGGCGGCCAGGGTAGTTATTAGTCGGCGGGCGACTCGTCCAGATCGCAGCCTGCGGAGGCAGCAGCAGCAGCGGGAGAATCTCAGCAGTCGCACAACCCTCGCCCACATTGGCCCGACGACGGCCAAGCCAGCAATCACGTTTCACGCCTTCGCCCGAGTGCCTGTGTGGCGGCGCGCCTTCCACACCTGCCACCACCCACTGCCGCGCCCGGACGCGCCCCAGACGCGACCATCCACCCATCATCCAGCACTTCTCCCCCAAGCGCACGGCGCAAAGCGCGCTCCTGATCTTCACGCGCCCACGCACGCACGCACGCACGCACGCACGCACGCCCGCACGCCGGCACAACGTGTTTGCAGTGCTGGGTCTGCGGACCACCGTCGCGGACCGCCGTCACGGGCCTCGCTCTGATGCCGCGCCCCGGAATTCCAGAGCGTTGGCTGCCGTCGCTCCACGCCCCCAATCCACCGTCGGCCGGTGAACAGGCGGCCAATGCGTGGCCCACGATCTGCTCACCTAACGTCAACCTCATGCGCCCCGACTGAACAGCCCGTCTGCTCCGCCGCCGCCCGCTCCGGCCCTGTTGGTAGTCAGCGGCACGATGCCGGCCTTGACGTCGACCTCCTCTCCGAGCAGCGTGCGCTGTGCTGCCGCGACCACAATCCCGACCGCCTCGCCCGCGCCCTTCGATAGGCTGGACCGCCTGCACCTTTGCTCGGCACCCCCGGATCGCCCTGGCCCTGCTGCTGCGGTGGCGTCAACCGAGCACACATGATCTTGTCTCTGGTCCCGTACTTGCGGCTCCAACGCACGACCGCCAACGCATCAGTGCCCGGTTTCTCCCTGCGCAAACATGTCCAGCCGCGTCAATCACCGTCAATCAGTGTGCATCAGGAACACGCGAGAGTACCTGCCACTGCCATCCCTGGAGTACCCAGGTACCTGGCTTGTCCGCTTGCGGTCTAAAGCACCGCTGAACCACTACGGCCGCCTCCGGTCAGTCTCAAGCCTTCCGAGAGCTAGCCACGTTGGAGCACATGTCGCACTTCCCCACATGCCAACTAAGCTGCTGGAGGGATCGTGGAAATTGCGACCACCTGCCCACTGGTGCATCTATTTCCGAACTGTGGGGAGCCCAGCCAGGCCAAATGCCTAGACTGCTTCGGCCGCCTCCGCCTCCACCTGCACCCTGCTTGTCCAGTGTATTCCGCGCGTAAAGCACACTCGACACAGCTCTGCCGGTCCAATTGGACCTCTCGTCAATCGCCAGCTACGTGGGTTTAGGCCACATCCGAAACGAGTCACGCCCGGTCTGCTGGGCCAGCCGTTGCTTGAGCATCTTGTTACGGCCTGAGACTCTCGCCACTCAGCCGATGTAATCATCGGCTAAGTGAGCTCTACAGTATTACAAGAGACGCTGAACATGCCGGTCTTTGCTTTCTTGGAGTCCAGATATGGCCCATTTCCATTGCCGTTTGGTTCGCTATAAACATTACGGGCGTATGTTCGGCTCAAACTCCGCACTACTCCCTATTATCCCGGCCGAAAGCATCATGGCTGCAATGTATACACGTGAGCGTGCAGGACAATGGACCATGATAACCGTCTAAACAGCCGAGTGTTACAATACTGGACAGTATGGCGGCTCTGAATCGCCAGCTTCTGGCTTCCTCCGCATATTCCGCGACGCTTCTAGAGATGCCTAGAACATTTTATGCACACCAGCCACTTGATGCAAGGCGAGCGTGCATAACTCGCATCCGTCTCTTCTGGCAGGGGCCCGTTGCGGCACGGATCAGATGACCGGTGCAACGATGACGAATGAGGAGCACTCACGACGCTCGGGTGCAGCTGTCTGAATCGATTCGGAAGACGGAGCCCGTCCCGGCAGCTGTGGCGACTGACGGCAATGGAGGGCCAGACCGGAGGCTTCGTCATACAGCCGGACAGCTTCGACGAGAGTGGCTCCATAAAGGCGGTCACAGTCAGCAGTCGCCTTGTATTCAGTCGCCAGTCTTCCCGACAGGCTGAAGTCCAATCCCAACCGGCGGCTCGCGCCCCATGCATTCGAACTGGGGATCGTTATCACGATGTGGCTGCTTTCAGCAGTTCATGCAGCGGCACTAATACTTGCCCACGTTGGCCAGTGACGGGCTAGCCGCATTGTACGTGATCCTGCGGAGGCCGGCCCTTAGCAACATTGGCCTCCAACCAGCTATCGACCACCCGAATACCCGAAACAGCCTTTGACAAACTTTGCAACGAGTGGCAGAGCCTGCGTCGATAGCCTCGGCGGCAGTATCCCAGAGATCCACTCGCTTGAGTAACAAAAGTCTCCGGTGCATATATTGCCTCCGATGTTGTAACGGTGAAGAAAGCAGCCCGCATACCTTCCACGCGGAGCTCTTCCCGATCCCGACGCCGCCCGGATCCCGCTCTTCTGACCGCCCTAGTCGTCTTTCACTATCACGTTATCAGCGTGCTTCGCAGCTGACGGTCACAGCAGCACGCGCATCAGCAGCAGCTGTGGACACTCTGCTAGCCTGCAGGCATCCGTGCTCGGCCCTGCGGTACCACGGCCAAGCCGTGAGAAGTCCGGGGCAGCAGGTGCAGGGCAGCAACAGGAGCACCGACACGACTTCTCAAAGCAGACCGAGGGCAAATGTCGAGCTGCCCCCCCCC